AGGGGTGAGACCGCATGGCCTGACCAGCCAACAGCGCTCCGAGAGGGATGTGCGACGGGGTGAGACCGCATGGCCTGACCAGCCAACAGCGCCCCGAGAGGGATGTGCGACGGGGTGAGCCCGGATGGCCTGACCAGCCAACAGCGCTCCGAGAGGGATGTGCGAAGGGGTGAGCCCGCATGGCCTGACCAGCCCCGAGAGGGATGTGCGAAGGGGTGAGCCCGCATGGCCTGACCAGCCAACAGCGCCCCGAGAGGGATGTGCGGAGAGTTGAGCCCGCATGGCCTGACCAGCCAACAGCGCCCCGAGAGGGATGTGCGAAGGGGTGAGACCGCATGGCCTGACCAGCCAACAGCGCCCCGAGAGGGATGTGCGAAGGGGTGAGCCCGCATGGCCTGACCAGCCAACAGCGCCCCGAGAGGGATGTGCGGAGAGTTAAGCCCGCATGGCCTGACCAGTTAACAGCGCCCCGAGAGGGATGTGCGAAGGGGTGAGCCCGCATGGCCTGACCAGCCAACAGCGCCCCGAGAGGGATGTGCGAAGGGGTGAGCCCGCATGGCCTGACCAGCCGACAGCGCCCCGAGAGGGATGTGCGAAGGGGTGAGCCCGCATGGCCTGACCAGCCAACAGCGCCCTGAGAGGGATGTGCGAAGGGGTGAGCCCGCATGGCCTGACCAGCCAACAGCGCCCCAAGAGGGATGTGCGGAGAGTTGAGCCCGCATGGCCTGACCAGCCGACAGCGCCCCGAGAGGGATGTGCGAAGGGGTGAGCCCGCATGGCCTGACCAGCCAACAGCGTCCCGAGAGGGATGTGCGAAGGGGTGAGCCCGCATGGCCTGACCAGCCAACAGCGCCCCGAGAGGGATGTGCGAAGGGGTGAGCCCGCATGGCCTGACCAGCCAACAGCGCCCCAAGAGGGATGTGCGGAGAGTTGAGCCCGCATGGCCTGACCAGCCAACAGCGCCCCGAGAGGGATGTGCGAAGGGGTGAGCCCGCATGGCCTGACCAGCCAGCAGCGCCCTGAGAGGGATGTGCGAAGGGGTGAGCCCGCATGGCCTGACCAGCCAACAGCGCTCCGAGAGGGATGTGCGGAGAGTTGAGCCCGCATGGCCTGACCAGCCAACAGCGCTCCGAGAGGGATGTGCGAAGGGGTGAGACCGCATGGCCTGACCAGCCAACAGCGCCCCAAGAGGGATGTGCGAAGGGGTGAGCCCGCATGGCCTGACCAGCCAACAGCGCCCCAAGAGGGATGTGCGGAGAGTTGAGCCCGCATGGCCTGACCAGCCGACAGCGCCCCGAGAGGGATGTGCGAAGGGGTGAGCCCGCATGGCCTGACCAGCCAACAGCGTCCCGAGAGGGATGTGCGAAGGGGTGAGCCCGCATGGCCTGACCAGCCAACAGCGCCCCGAGAGGGATGTGCGAAGGGGTGAGCCCGCATGGCCTGACCAGCCAACAGCGCCCCAAGAGGGATGTGCGGAGAGTTGAGCCCGCATGGCCTGACCAGCCAACAGCGCCCCGAGAGGGATGTGCGAAGGGGTGAGCCCGCATGGCCTGACCAGCCAGCAGCGCCCTGAGAGGGATGTGCGAAGGGGTGAGCCCGCATGGCCTGACCAGCCAACAGCGCTCCGAGAGGGATGTGCGGAGAGTTGAGCCCGCATGGCCTGACCAGCCAACAGCGCTCCGAGAGGGATGTGCGAAGGGGTGAGCCCGCATGGCCTGACCAGCCAACAGCGCCCCGAGAGGGATGTGCGAAGGGGTGAGCCCGCATGGCCTGACCAGCCAACAGCGCCCCGAGAGGGATGTGCGAAGGGGTGAGCCCGCATGGCCTGACCAGCCAACGTGTCCCGAGAGGGATGTGCGAAGGGGTGAGCCCGCATGGCCTGACCAGCCAACAGCGCCCCGAGAGGGATGTGCGAAGGGGTGAGCCCGCATGGCCTGACCAGCCAACAGCGCCCCAAGAGGGATGTGCGGAGAGTTGAGCCCGCATGGCCTGACCAGCCAACAGCGCCCCGAGAGGGATGTGCGAAGGGGTGAGCCCGCATGGCCTGACCAGCCAGCAGCGCCCTGAGAGGGATGTGCGAAGGGGTGAGCCCGCATGGCCTGACCAGCCAACAGCGCTCCGAGAGGGATGTGCGGAGAGTTGAGCCCGCATGGCCTGACCAGCCAACAGCGCTCCGAGAGGGATGTGCGAAGGGGTGAGACCGCATGGCCTGACCAGCCAACAGCGCTCCGAGAGGGATGTGCGACGGGGTGAGACCGCATGGCCTGACCAGCCAACAGCGCTCCGAGAGGGATGTGCGAAGGGGTGAGCCCGCATGGCCTGACCAGCCCCGAGAGGGATGTGCGAAGAGTTGAGCCCGCATGGCCTGACCAGCCAACAGCGCCCCGAGAGGGATGTGCGAAGGCGTGAGACCGCATGGCCTGACCAGCCAACAGCGCCCCGAGAGGGATGTGCGAAGGGGTGAGCCCGCATGGCCTGACCAGCCAACAGCGCTCCGAGAGGGATGTGCGAAGGGGTGAGACCGCATGGCCTGACCAGCCAACAGCGCTCCGAGAGGGATGTGCGAAGGGGTGAGCCCGCATGGCCTGACCAGCCAACAGCGCCCCGAGAGGGATGTGCGAAGGGGTGAGCCCGCATGGCCTGACCAGCCAACACCGCCCCGAGAGGGATGTGCGAAGGGGTGAGACCGCATGGCCTGACCAGCCAACAGCGCCCCGAGAGGGATGTGCGAAGGGGTGAGCCCACATGGCCTGACCAGCCAACAGCGCCCCGAGAGGGATGTGCGAAGGGGTGAGCCCGCATGGCCTGACCAGCCAACAGCGCTCCGAGAGGGATGTGCGAAGGGGTGAGCCCGCATGGCCTGACCAGCCAACAGCGCCCCGAGAGGGATGTGCGAAGGGGTGAGCCCACATGGCCTGACCAGCCAACAGCGCCCCGAGAGGGATGTGCGGAGAGTTGAGCCCGCATGGCCTGACCAGCCAACAGCGCCCCGAGAGGGATGTGCGAAGGGGTGAGACCGCATGGCCTGACCAGCCAACAGCGCCCCGAGAGGGATGTGCGAAGGGGTGAGCCCACATGGCCTGACCAGCCAACAGCGCTCCGAGAGGGATGTGCGAAGGGGTGAGCCCGCATGGCCTGACCAGCCAACAGCGCTCCGAGAGGGATGTGCGAAGGGGTGAGCCCGCATGGCCTGACCAGCCAACAGCGCCCCGAGAGGGATGTGCGAAGGGGTGAGCCCACATGGCCTGACCAGCCAACAGCGCCCCGAGAGGGATGTGCGGAGAGTTGAGCCCGCATGGCCTGACCAGCCAACAGCGCCCCGAGAGGGATGTGCGAAGGGGTGAGACCGCATGGCCTGACCAGCCAACAGCGCCCCGAGAGGGATGTGCGAAGGGGTGAGCCCACATGGCCTGACCAGCCAACAGCGCTCCGAGAGGGATGTGCGAAGGGGTGAGCCCGCATGGCCTGACCAGCCAACAGCGCCCCGAGGAGGATGTGCGACGGGGTGAGCCCGCATGGCCTGACCAGCCAACAGCGCCCCGAGAGGGATGTGCGAAGGGGTGAGCCCGCACGGCCTGACCAGCCAACAGCGCCCCGAGAGGGATGTGCGACGGGGTGAGACCGCATGGCCTGACCAGCCAACAGCGCTCCGAGAGGGATGTGCGAAGGGGTGAGCCCGCATGGCCTGACCAGCCGACAGCGTCCCGAGAGGGATGTGCGAAGGGGTGAGCCCACATGGCCTGACCAGCCAACAGCGCCCCGAGAGGGATGTGCGGAGAGTTGAGCCCGCATGGCCTGACCAGCCAACAGCGCCCCGAGAGGGATGTGCGAAGGGGTGAGACCGCATGGCCTGACCAGCCAACAGCGCCCCGAGAGGGATGTGCGAAGGGGTGAGCCCGCATGGCCTGACCAGCCAACAGCGCCCCGAGAGGGATGTGCGAAGGGGTGAGACCGCATGGCCTGACCAGCCAACAGCGCTCCGAGAGGGATGTGCGAAGGGGTGAGCCCGCATGGCCTGACCAGCCAACAGCGCCCCGAGAGGGATGTGCGAAGGGGTGAGCCCACATGGCCTGACCAGCCAACAGCGCCCCGAGAGGGATGTGCGGAGAGTTGAGCCCGCATGGCCTGACCAGCCAACAGCGCCCCGAGAGGGATGTGCGAAGGGGTCAGCCATGGCGTGTTCCTTACGAAAACTGGCCGCTGTGTGTGTTACCCTGTCAACAAAACACACGCGTGCCGATATGCTCCCATGGTTCATGAGGGCAACAGCACGGTCCATCGCACCGTTCTTCTTCTTCTCCTTGCACACGGGGGAAGCACACCTCACCTCGCGTCACCTCCCTACCCCCGTAACCACGACACTGCCCACACACACCACAATCATCTTTCGGCAATCACAGTACGTTTCGCCTCGCGGCCAGTTATTTTAACACACCACAATCGAGCATGACCACCACCATCACCGCCACCACCACCATGCATCGTAAGGCAGGTCACGTCAAAGCTCTTATGAACGCTCATAGAGGAGCTGTTGCTGCTTCCCTAATGCTTAATTGCTGGTGCTCGGTTGTCGCCGCACTGTGCACTGTGCTGCCGTCCCTCATTCTTCCCCGCACCGCCGCCCGCCCCCCCCCCGCCCTCCTCCGCGCGCGCACACCCTCACCACCACCGGCCATAAGTCGCACAGGATCCCCCTCCCCCTCTGACTTGGCTAACCTGCCATGTGCTCCACGTACTCTCCAACACACACATCGTCCTCCTCACCCTGCTGCCCCTGTCCCTGCCCCAGCAGTCCTCGTGTCCCCCCACGCCGCCTCCAACGTCTTTTCATCCGCCGACACCGCCTGAAACGTGTCGAAATCCTTCAGTTGCAAGCCCGCCCCCTCCCCTCCTTCCCTTCCCGTGGCATTACCCCCAACACCACTGCCACTACCACCGCCACCCACCTGCCCTCCCACACTACCAGCCGACTGGCCAGCCTCCGAGCTGCCGGCACCACCGCCACCTCCTCCTCCCCCTGCTACCGGTACCGGTACACCCTGTCCGCTGCTGCTGCTGCTGGCGCCACTACCACCGCCACCAGCACCACCAGCAACCCCCTGCTGCTGTTGCTGCACCTGCTGCTGCTGCTGCGTCATGGTCGGCGTCGTCGCGTTTGTTTCTTGGGCACTGTTGCTACCGCTGTTGGTCGCCCCCGTCAGGCCCCACTTCTTCTTAAACACCTGGGGGGGGCGGCAAGCGGGGAGACGCAGCAGCAGCAGCAGCGGGTAAGAGGGTGCAAACAAAGTAAGCGAAAGGCTCAACCCCTTCCTCCCATCCCCTCACCTCCACCGCCCCCGGTGTATCCAGCCAGTCGCACACATCCCTCAGCCGCACCGCCGTCGCCTCCTCCGGCACCCACCCCGACCACTCGCGGCCGTAGGCGCATCCACCGCTGAGGGGGCGGAGGGGGAGGGGAGGGGAGAATAAGAGCTACTCTACCCGTGAAGCAACTGGACTCCCAATCCCGTAGGAGAGGGGAGGAAACAAAAGAGGAAGAAGCTGTGTATGGTGACGAGGGGGTGGGGGCTGCACCATGGGGTAGGTTGCTACGTGGAACATGGTACCCGGCCCAGACCGCCCCACCCTGGAGGGGGAGGAAAACATTATATAAGTGAAACAACGAGTCCCGATCCCATATCCCGACTCATGCAGGATGGGGAGGAGGACAAGGTCACGGGAGTTTTATCTTATATGCCAGCGCGGTATTGAGTGGCCAGCTGAAGAGCTACGTTTGATAGTCCCCGCACCCGCCCTTCTCCTCTCCATCCTCATCGCGCAACACAGTAACCGCATCGTCCACCCCACCCCGCCTCCCACTCCCCATCCCATGCGGTGAAGTGCTCTGTGCGGTGCGTTCTTTGCTCTCTTCCTCTTCCCACCCCATCCACCCATCCCCTCCTCCCCTCCTCCTGCAGCTGGTGAGGCATCGTCGTACACAGCTCGTCAGTTTCCTCTTCATGCCCTATCTCACCCCCTCCCTCCGTTGCTTCACTGTTCATTTCTCCCACCCCGCCTTCCTCTGCTGTTCGCCCCCCCCCCCGCCCCCCCGCCCCGCACCTCAGAAACACCGACTCGCACAGCGTGAAGAAGTCGCAGGCGCCGCTATCCAGATAGCGCAGCAGGTCGTGCGGCTTGGGGCCGTGGAAGTGCAGGATGGCGGCCCCAGGGTCGACAGCGCGGTAGGGCTTGGCGTTGAAGCGCTGGGGCAGCAGCTGAGCGCGCAGGTCGGCCTCGTAGAACTGCGGGGCGGGGGGGGGGGGAAGAGGGGAAGGAAAGAAGAATACCCAATGTGTGGGGGAGAGGCAGCGGTGTCGTTATAGAGAGCTGCGGATTTCACTACCTTCCGGCAATCACAGAACGTTACATCTTGCGGCCAGTTTCCGTAGCACCAACACCCACCCGCACGCCCCCACCCCCACACCCCCCACCTTGTGAATCCCTGCTTTTTCTTTTTTTGTTTTAATACGGTTTTAATTGGTCCCCATTTGACCCCACCTTGTTGAGCGCCCCCTGGTCCGCAGGTCCGTAGTTGGTGAAGTAGAGTCCCTCGTCGTTGCCCAGCAGCATGCGCATGAAGGCGGGGTAGGCGGAGCGCATGGCGGGCAGGTGCGCCAGAAACACGCCCGCGTTGTAGGGGAAGGACTCGAGGAACTCGTACGACATGGACAGGGAGCGGGGCAGCGGCAGGCCTGGGGGTTGGGGGGTTCGGGGGAGGGAGGGGGTTGGGGGTATGAGGGGACAAGGGAATACCAAGCCACACGTGAGGGCATGACAAAGGGGGGAGAGGAAGAAGATTTGATGTACCCACTGTGGAAAAGGGGGAACCCTCCGTTACACAAAGAGCCACCCCCCGGCGGCTTTACGACTTCTAGTAGTTCCTGTCATGTCCTAGCCGCTCAGCTGACTAAAAGGGCTGACGAATACCGGCCAACGCGCCCCTCTTACTTTCCCTCCCTCTTCTTCCTCCTTCCCCCGCTCACTCACCAAAGTCGCCCATTCGTACTGGCTGTCTGAAATACACGTCAGCATCCGTGTACAACACATACGTGTACTGCATGAGCCCCGGTACGACAGGCAGGTCCACGCGCTGAAATGTGGACACCAGCGCGTCGGGGGACTTGAACAGATGCGAGTGGTGCACGTTGGTCTGTGCGGGGGAGAGGGGGAGGGAGGGTTGCATGCGTGTTCTAGAATAATGGTCGCGAGGAGTACATATGTAAAGATAATAAGATTAATAACTGCTTTTCCAAGTAAAAGCCGGTCGTACAACAATACATTCATACATGCGCATTTCCTTAATGTGCTGTTACTACTGCACGTGAATGTACGTGTCGTGATGTGCCATATCGTACATGTCGCACGTGCCGTACATGTCATGCCGTACATGTCGTGCATGTCGTACGCGGTCCCGCCGGTTTGTCCGTACCTTTGCCTTGCTCTTGGCCAGTGCCACCAGCTTGTCCCGCCAAGCTGGCGAGTGGTGCAGCAGCGTGACGCCCTGCTCCGCCAGCCAGGAGGCGATGGGGCTGGACAGGTCGCCGCTGAAGACGCAGTACGGGACCAGCGAGCGGGTGGCGAGGGCGGAGCTGGGGGGGAAAGGAAGGGGGAGCATGGGAAGGTAAGGGAAGGTAAGGGAAAGAATTGGAAAAGGAAGTAAAGCACTGGAGTCCCAATTCCATGTCCCAAGTCATGCAAGGGGAGGGAGAAGCCAAGCGGCAAGCGGGCCGCAGGAGGAGGGTTACGGCAGGAAGTTAGGCAGTCGTGGATTGCGTGGCAGGTGGGCTGTTTTGGTTACTGTCACTGGCACAACCAACCCACACGACCCCTTCCCATGCCCTCCCCTTCCAGCATCCGCACAAGCAACCACACCATCACACGCCATCACACGCCAGCTGCCCTGAAGCGTCTACAAACCATCCATCAAACATCCCAACCATCCAAACCACCTAAACCACGCACCCCGCCCCCCCACCCACCGCACGGCCGCCTCCATAACCACCCCCCCACCTTATTTGTACCCCCTCACTCCCCCTGTCCCCCCCGCCCTCACCGCACGGCCGCCTTGAGCATGTAATCGTAGCTGCCGTCCCCCCAGCTGCTGTAGGTGAACACCCAGGGCAGCCGGTGCAGCGCCGGCAGCAGCGAGGACAGCGGGATGTTGCCCCCATTGTAGTAGGCGGCCCAGAGGCCCGCGCGGCGGCGCTCCAGCAGGCCGAGGGCGGCGAAGGTGGAGACGCTGTTGCCAATGAAGCTGATGGGGGGTGGGGGTGGGGGCGATGGAGACAAGAAGGTGGGAGGGTGGAGGTGTGGGTTGAGGTGTAGGGATGGGGGAGCTAGGATGGTTGGAGTTTGGGGATGGCTGACTGTGGTGGCGACGTGGCATGACGCAAGTCCTGAACACATACCGAGGTACGCTTGGTAGCGCATGCATGCATGCATGCTTTCTTTCCAATTGCACCCCTTTTCCTGTTGCATCCCTCCCCCCCACCCACCGCTCCGCCCGCAAGCCCACAAAGTACTCCACCAGCGCCGCGAACTCCCGACCGCCCGCCCGCGCCACTGGATCCCCGCCGCCAGCATTGCTACCGCTGCTGCCGCCAGCATTGTCACTGCTGTTGCCGCTTCCCGCCTTCCCCGCCTTCCCCTCCGCCCGCAGCCCCACATCCGCGCTGGTGACCACTCGGTAGCCCGCGGCTGCCAGCTGGGAGAGAGCCTGGGGAGGGCGGGGGGCAGTAGGGGTAACGTGTAACGCCAAAGGTCAAACGCACACACCCCCTTACTTTCCCCCACCTCGTCGTGACCCGGCGTACCTTTTCCCTGCGCGTCGGGTCTGTATCGGGCCAGTAGGACGCGACGTAGAGCGGCTGCGGGGGCACGACTGGGGAGGGGACAGGACTGGGAAAGAAATCGGAGTCGGAAGCAACGGAAGAGGAGGCGTGAGAGGAGGAGTTGGAAAAGGTGCCACCAGAGGCGGAGGAGGCGGAGGCGGGTGCTGCTGCGGGCAGTCCGAACAGCCTCAGTCGAGTGCCGATGTCGTCCGTGTGGTTGTAGCAGTTGTCGCGGACGACTCCGTCTTGTAGCGACTCCCAGCGCCTGATGGTGGGTTGGGGGGGGGGTTGGGGGAGGGCGACGGGAAGGAGCGAGAGGGAGTGAGGGGAGAGGACGTGAGGACCGACTGGACATCGGAGGGAGGGAGGAGGGGAGGAGGCAGGCAGAGCGGGGGCACAAGACGGTATTCATGAGCCCCCTCCCCTAGTCTCCACCACACTTGCCACCACCACCACCACCACCACCTGAATGCCTGGCCACCTCGGAACCACCAATCACTCTCCCCACCGCCTCCCTCCTCACTTGCAATGTTCCACCCAGTCATTTTCAATACGCAGGTGCAGGAAGCTGAAACCCCCGCCGCTGCCGCCGCTACTGCCACCACTGCCGCTGCTGCTGTCAGTGCCACCGGCGGATGCGGATCCCGCCCCTGCCCCAGCTCCTGCCTGTTGCTGCTGGCCCCCCTCCGCGGCTCCTGCGGGTGAGGCAGCCGTGATGGAAGCCACGATCTGGTCCACCAGAGCCGAGGCCTGCGTGCGTACCGGTATGCATGCGTGCATGCATGCAGGGGGACTGGGGTTACCGGCAGACTTGGGTGGGCTGAACTTGACAAACTTTCGGTTCTGGGATCGTCATGCAAAGCCGGTGTGGCACAAGGTGGCCCCGGCCCGCCCACTGTCGTACTGCCCCCCTTACCCCCTGCTGCCCCCCTTACCTCCGCATTCGGCCTCAGGGCCCCCAGCACGGCCCAGATCAGCTCCACCTCGGCCTCGCTGAGGCCCCACCCGGGCATCTTGAACAGCGGGCAGTCCACGGAAAGATGCGGTACGGCATCGTACTGCGCTGCCAGGGGGGTCGCGGCGTCCCAGCCGTACTGCGCTAGACCCACGTGGTTGCCGTACTTGCTGTCGTACACTGAATCGGGCGGCGCGGCTTCATATTGTAAGTGAGTATTTTGATTTGGGTCGGTGGTAACCTTGAGATCTTGGTTGTGATTTTGCTGTTGCTGTTGCTCGAAAGCAGAAGTGGAGGGAGATATTAGAAGTTGTTGTAGTTCGGGTTCCGGAACAAGAATTCGAACACCTGTACGACGCATGGTAGTTATGAAGTGTCGTACGTCGTACATTGAGGAGAAGGGGACTTGGTTATCGGCGTTAACTAGCACAGCGGCGTCCGAACGTTGTAAGCCGTTGTCGATGAGGACTGGGAGTACGGCGGAGCGGTTTAACCGCCGTGCAAGAAGGATGCCGTACATTATGGATAGCCGCTGATTGGCGAAGCCGTTGCAAACTTGGAACCGTATGGTGCGATTCGCGGGCGTCCAGGGGTATCCTAGTAAGGTTGCGTTCGGTTGGGCTGTCGCTGTATGAAATGTCTCCTTGTCCGCTTTTGCCGACCGAGAGCCGGTCATGCGCCGTGCTTGCAAGGCGCCAAGCTTAGACGAGCGGCTTAGCATAGGCTTATTTGCCGGCGCCGCTCCTGACCCTTCACCGCTGGCCATCCCAGTCAGGTCCATGGCTGAGGTTGAGACTGCATATGAAGCCAACCCTAGATGGGAGCGGATGCTCCACGGCGGTCGATTAGTTGTGCCAACCAAATAGCCCACCAGTAATAGAACAAGGTATAGCATGTATCGCGACATGGCTGATGCTGTCAACCGACAAAAAAGCTGGGGAACTATGCCCGATCCCGACCGAACCAAGCTCTGCCGCCTGGGCACCCGTGGCGGCATTTCAGAGGTTGCGCAGAGAATTGTCGGCTGTCCGTATTCGTCACCATCGAGGATCGGGCCAAGCGCATCCCCGCCAAGGGACCGCTGGCCCGGGTTTTGCCGCCGCAGTTTGAGCGGATGCAGCAGGGTCACCTGCCTGGCCGCGACTTCGGGGCTGTGGCTAACGTTGTGTCCTCACGTGCGTGCCAGGCACGCGATGGCGATAGGCACTAAAGCAACAAAATCGCGTTCGTGAAATCGGCACCGTTGATTGTTTATTCAGCTTCGGAGCTATAAGCAGCGGACACACGCATCAGCTACATAAGAAAAAAGCACTAAGTAGGCCCCGCTGACTTCTGCAGTTGCATAAGATCCGAAAATGGAAGTATCCCTACAGTTAAAAGCGTTTATAATTCATGAAGGCGGCAAAGTACATTGAAGCTCCGGACGTGTAGAGTTCGGTCAACGACCGTAACAGGAAAGACGGTACCGGCAAGCGGCAAAACGAAGCAAATGGTTAGCATAGACTATAAACTCAAAGCAGGCTGCAACCCCTTCAGGTGCTGAAGGCAGGGCTCGCTTGTAACTTGGCTCCAGAACCCTATAGTACGGTTCATCTACGGCAGACGGGAACAATGCGCTCCCGACGACCTTAAATGTGTCCAGGATTCGGTCGTTAGAACCGATTACGCTATCGCGTAATCGACCCCACCACCGTGCTTTGCCCTGTAAACTAATGGTATCAATTCAAATCCGCCCATACTCGAGAACGCACAAAAAGCCTGGGCAAAGCACTCACATGGCACCACCGGACTTGCAAGACACCAAGTCTACTGACTTTCACACCATTTTGTGCTATACTGGCTAATGAGCAATGTTGGTTTGCAGTAGGAAAGCTCTGGCTTGCGTTACATAGCCAAAATGTGAAGGACATGCTAACTGGAAGCTTAGTCTGCATACTTAAGGCGTTTGCGCCGCTTTAAGCTTAAATCTAGAGCCCATATGAAGAATAAAGCAGTCAATATAAGTTGCCGATTGTGGGTGAACGGGAGATGGACTCGTGCAAGCAGGGCTTGTAGACCATTTTTGCATTTTTCGGAATCCCAGGAACATAGCCCACTTCCCGTCACCTTCTCACACGCAACGCCCCCCCTCCGTCGCCCCCTTGCACCCATCGCCCATGCTCCCTCCCCCCCTTTTGTCATATATCCGCTTCCTTACAGCCTTCACCGCCGTCCCCCCCCTCCCGCGCCCTCCTGGTTCTGCCCCAAGCAATCCCGTCGCCAAACCGGCCACGTACTCCCCGCTTCCCTGTGACTCCCCCCACCCGTCCTATACGACCAATAACCTGAGCTGCTATATCATCACGTGGCAAGTGCTTTCAGTCCGAATCCTCCTAATGACGTCTTCGACTCGATAATACAGCGCCTGAGAGCGGGAATGAGGGGTAAAGGGGGGCAGGGTGTGCATTCTCCTCAGCAACCGGCCCTTCCCCGCGCTGTACCTACCTGTCTCCCCATGCCCTCCCCATGCGGCTGTCCTTACTCGCGCGGCCCTGCCTCCTTATGCCCTTCTCCGTGTGGCGCCCTTGCAGCCTCCAGCCTTCCTGTCCTCCCCCGTGGAAAACCTGCCTAGATGCCTACAGATGCCCTCAATCCTGTCGTAAATGTGCCAGTTTATGAGCAGGACGGGGGCATGGTGGGTATGCATGCATGTAGTGGTGCCAGTTGATGGGCTTGTGTAACACAGGTCCTAAAAGGCCTCTCGAGATGTCGTGAGGACTTCTAGTGTAGCTTGATGCGCTGGTAGGTGCGGACGAAATGCCTGGGTGCAGGTCCTTAGGAAGGGTGGTAATGCTTGCACGCATGGTGCCGGTTCCTGGCAGGACAAGTGGATGTCCCGCCCGCATGAGCACCGGTAGCCGGGAGGGGCGGGGATGCATGTGCATGTGGGTGCCGGTGACAAGCAGGGCAGGGATACCTGCATGCATGGGCGGCATTTGCGGAAGAAGGCGATGGCTGCACATTGTTTTCGTATTGTGATGGTGCATGCCTCAGCGCATGAGCATGTCATGCGCACCGTTGCTTAGTGGAGGGAACTAGGAAGCCTGGGGATGAGAAGGCAGCTACATGATGAGGCGTGTTGACTTCGAGGTTAGGTGGCTTGTCGAGTAGGGACTTGAAGCAGGGGAGGTGGAAGCGGGCCCTGAAGATAGCAGTGGAGAGCATATAAAGATACGCGTGGGGATCTGTCCTGTGCTTCTGTGGCCTGCTGTGTCGCTAGGCTTCGCACATCCGGGCTTTGAGAAAGGGGCGTTGGCCTGCGCAGCAGCGGTGGCAATAGCTCTATCTAGCGCTAGCGGCGTGCGGACGGGGCCTCTGGCATCTGCCGCAGGTCCGGAGGGCATGCCTGCTCGAACGCACGCTTGTTGTTGGCCAGCGCGGCAGTGCGGGGACGGCGCGCCGGGCTTTGGTCAGGACGTGTGGGCGCCGGATGGTTCAGAAGCGCGACTATGCCTGCGCATGCAGGCGCCGGTAGATGGATAACGAGTGGAGGGATGCCTCCCTATGCCTTAACCCGGGCTGCGCCTGCGTCCACCTGCCTTTCCCGGTGCAATTCCTGCCTCCCCATTCCCTTGCCCGTGCGGCCGCCCTTCCACATGCGACGCCTCACTGCCCTTCGTGCAGTTCTTGCAACCCACTGTATTCCCTTTTCCGCGCGGCTGCCCCTACCAGCAACTGGCGTACGGCCCCCTCTCCGTCCCCCAGCTCACACTCTGCATCCCTGTCTTCCTTCTACCGCTGCCCCATGCTCCCTTTCGCACGCAGCGCCCCTCCCGTCACCCTCTCGCACCCCTCGTCCCACCCCGTCGCCCCTGCGCACCCCTCGCCCCTGCCCGTCGCCCCACGCACCCCTCGCCCCTCCCCGTCGCCCTCTCCCCCCTTCCTGTCGCATTTCCGCTTGCTTACACCCTTCTCCGCCCCCCCCCGCGCTCTCCTGTGTCTGCCCCAAACGTTTCTCGTAGCCAAAACGGCCATGTCCTCTCCTCCCTCCGCTTCCCTGTCGCCCCTGCGCACCCCTCGCCCCTCCCCGTCGATTTAAAAGCCTCCGCTCAGTCCCATGCAACACCGCAGTACACATAGCCGTTCCTGACCTATCCCGTTACAAGCCCCCGCTCAGTCCCGTTTAAGCCTAGCCGTCGTACACTTGCCTTGATGTGGGGCAAGGCCGCGTGCTGTTCTCCGCAAGCCATGTCATCAGCAATTTGCCCTCGGGCAGTACCTTCATTTGGTTACCCCAATCCTTGCAATCCGCGTGCAGAAGTAATACGGTGTGCGGCTTCCATCCTTCATGCAGATTACGTGACCCTCCCCCCTGCCATTTCTCAAGGTCGAAGTCAGCAACCAAGGCCAACTAAGAGGCATAGAAGTAAACATACTGCCAGAACTGGACCGAACGAGTCGCGTTGGCTATGGAAAGCGACAGCCATTTTTAGATCCTAAATAACACCATAGGTAAGGCTCGTAAAGGGGTCCCTGTAACATGTATCATCGGCGAAAGTCAGTGGACTTGGTGTCCGGTGGTGCCATGTGAGTGCTTTGCCCAGGCTTTTTGTGCGTTCTCGAGTAAGGGCGGATTTGAATTGATACCATTAGTTTACAGGGCAAAGCACGGTGGTGGGGTCGATTACGCGATTGCGTAATCGGTTCTAACGACCGAATCCTGGACACATTTAAGGTCGTCGATGCGCTCCGGCCTTAGCCGAGCACGTCTACACAAACTCCTGAATGCCATAATGATTCGCCACCGCGCCTCGTGTATGTTTCGAGCGCCTCAGCGACTCCCTCGTACAGGGCCGTCTTGTCCTCAGCTCACGGCACTTCAACGACCTATAGTACCTCTAACTCCATCTAATATAAACGCCCAACCGCATTGCTTATCAAGTTCTGCATCGCACAGCCGAGGTCCTGCAAGCGTACAATCCGCAAGCTGTCGTTCGGAACCAAACACCACCAATGCCATCGCGATCATCACCAAACGCGACTTCTTGTCCTACAGCGCAGCAGCTTGCGCCATTACATTGCTTTCCAGCCTAACGCTCGAGTCAGGCATCCATCCTTCAGAGGCAGCCGTGCTCGTGGATGAGGATGTTGCCACAGCCGTGTTCCAGGCGGTCAGTCCCTCAGTCGCCTCCATTGCTGTCGTACGGACCGTTGGAGGCGTACGGCAATCCGAAGTGGTTGGTTCCGGTGTGGTTTGGGATGCGGTTGGGCCCCACGTGGTAACCAACTTCCACCTGATACCGCCTCTGCAAGGCAGCAACACGGTGAGTTGGGTTGAGCTGGAAGTATGTGTCACAAGGGCGGCGGATGTACGGATATTCGTGGGCTGTCGTACGGCACGTGTAAGGGTAATAACCAAACCCGCAAGCAAATGCTTCTGTTGGAAGTACGGTGTGTATTGGTGGTGATTTGAGCATTTGTGGCGCTAGGGCTTCGCACACAGCTGACTTAGAAGGACTTTACCCACATGCATGATCAATGGACGACAATTGTACTAGATAGATATCCCTGCGTTTTCGTACCGCTGCTAACAGAACGTTCTTAGTTTGCCTGGTAGCCTAGTGATATCCTTCTTAACCCCTCGTTCCGACACTCCCTGTCCTGAACGACCGGCGGGTCACCCCGCCGACCCAGCTCCTGCGGGTCACCCTAACTGACGCCGCCACACGCGCCCCCGTCACCCTGGCCGCACGAGTGGCGGGCAGCGACAGCCTGCACGACATTGCCGTACTACAACTCCTTCCCACGCCATCAACACAACCACCACCCCAACCACCACAACCGTCGCCGGCAGCAGTAGCAGCAGCCGCAACCCTGGCAACCTCGTCCCCTTCAGCGCCCAGCGGAGTAAGAGTGGTGCCCATTCGCATGGGCTCCTCAGCCGACCTCAAGGTGCGGAGGGAGGGGGGCCCTGGGGTGTCCTGGGTGGCAGGGTTCTCCCTAACGAAAGGTACGGCACCGAAGAAGAGGGCCGAGCAGGGCCCACAATGGAAGATCATAACGATATCCAGAGTGGCAGGGAGAATGCCGGTAGCATGATGTACGACAGAAGAGGGCCGTATCGCATGGAGCATGTGGAGCAACTGAAGACCTACTGTCCTCCCGACCCGACCGCCAGGTGGGGCAGTCCGTGTTCGCTGTAGGCAACCTGGCGGCTCCTCGAGAAGAGGAGGCGGCGGCTGCGGTGCTGCAAGCGAGAGCGGCTGGTGCTGCAGCTGCTGGTGCCGGCAGTGGCGGCGTTAGCGCCGACGGGCACTCCTCCTCTTCCTCCGCTTCCTCGTCTTTTTCCTCCGCCACGCTGAGTGCGGGGCTAGTGAGCGGCCTCAACCGCAGCATCCCCATCCCCTCCCGAGTCCCGACCCCTCACAAGCGAGCCCCTCCACGAAACAACCCACCATAACCCGCCCATGTACAGCAAACCGTACCGAAGCAGCACCGAATCCGGCCCGTGGGAGCCGGGAAGCACACGGGGACGCACCCTCCCCCAAAAGCACCGTACAACCGCCAGGTCACCCGTGCCACCTCCTAGCCACCACCACGCCTTATGAAACCGCATGCCACGGGCTCATGCCTGGGGCGCCTCCTCCTCGACGCCTCTCTCATTACCCAAGCTAGGCGTTCCCGCCCCAACTGCCCGCTCATTCCCCGTCCGACCACCCACAACCGCACCGGATGCCAACCCTGACTGTCACGTACTGCCACACCACCAACAACACGGAGACACCAAAGTAATGACGCTTGCAGAGCAGTCAACAGCCAGCAGCTCTGACAGATACACGCACGGGCACACCTACCTCGCTGCACACACACTCCCCCTCAACGTCTCCAGCCCCTTTCCAACCCGGAACAGGCTTCCAAGCCGCCGCCATTTCCTCGCCTTTCCAGCCTGCGGGAACTCCCTACCTGTGGCGACCCAACTTCCCCCCTAATGCTATTTGACCCCCCCCCCACCCTCACATCCAGCCGCCGTCCGCCCCGCTCTGTTGCAGCAGCACCTGCAGCACCGCCTGCATGGTCATCAGCGTCAGCTGGGGAGCGACGGCCTGCGGGGCGGGGGACAGGAACAGGGACGGGAAGAGGGGGGAGGTGACCCCAAAAGCCCAAGAGGAGGGGAAATAGGCCCGCATGTACTGCGTACACACCGCAACAGGTAGGGAGAGTCGCCCAAGCAAGCAAGCGGACCGGGATGGGGTGCGGGCTTACAACTCCTTCGAAAACAACAAAACATGGTAGACATCGGTGAAACGGGGTTTAATGGAGCGCAGAGGACGTCCGCAGCCTCCAGGATGTCAGCGCTGTGCTGGTTGGGGGACGAGCAAAGCGGGCGGCAACCACTCCCCCACGCGTGTGGGGATCGACATACCGGTAACAACGCCGCTTCGAACCGCCGCGCCATGCGCCACACCTGCTCCCATTACGCCCACATTCCCCACCTCCCACCTCCCCCCACGTCCCAGATCCAGGTCCCCTTCAATATTCGATTCAACCCATGATGACGCCTTATCAACGGTTCGCTAGTCATTTCCTCTTTACCCCCCACCCCACCTGCATGTGTTCCAGCTGCTCCAGCCTCCACGCCACCACCGTCAGCAGCCCCACCGCAACTGACAGCAGGAAGGCTGCCAGCATCAGCCACCTGGGGGGGGAGGGGTAACAGGGATGCATACTCCGCATTAGGCTGGATAGTTGGGGTGGAGGGGAGACAGGAAGGCGGGGAGGCCGGAAAAGATGGAGACCCGATGGATGTGGTGATTGAGGGAGGAGGGGGAGAGGGGGGCGAATGGGAAAACGGTACGGCGAAAGGGTAGGTTAAGGAATGGGACGGGAGGAGATCCGGGGGCTCAGGTCGGTTCTCCCTTATATAATACGACCATCCACAACCCCCCCTCCCGCCGCCCTCCCACTCACTTGCGGTCGTTCCGCTCCACCGCCTTCATCCACAGGTTGCTCACGTGGTCGCTGCGCTCGCGCCAGCTGTCCTCCTGCGGGGCGGGGAGGGAGGGGGCCGGGGAGGGGGAGGGGGCCGGGGAGGGAAAGTAAAAGACAAGTGAAGCAACGGAGACAGGTGGGGGTGGGAGAGAGACCATGCTGTTAAGGACAGCAGAGGGAGGGCCGGGACAGGGCTGGCTGGCCAGGGCGGGGTAACATGGGCGGGGGATAGCGGTAGGGAGGGAGGGAGTTGAGGTGTCAGTCGGTTGGTCTGGGTGGTGGTCCTGGCGGGTCAGCGGCCCCACCTTGAGTCGCTGCACCTCCGCTGCGATCTCCTCCAGCGGCAGGTCGGGCGGGATGTAGATCGCCTCCACCGGCTTGGAGGCGCCCTCCTCGCCCGCACCCTGCTGCTCCTCCGCCGCCGCCCCACCCTCGCCCGAGCCATCCCCACCACCAGCACCGCGCTGCCCCTTCTTCTTGCCGGCTGCACCTTGCTTGCCGTCCGTCTGGGAGGAGGAGGAGGTGGGCCAGAGCTGCCACCAGGGTCGTCGATCCTGAGAGGAGGAAGGAGAAGCAGAGGAGGAGCCCGTGCCGCCGCCGCCTTCCTGATTTGAGGAGGCGGCCGAGGAGGAGGAGGAGGAGGAGGGTTCCTTGCTTTCGTCTTGCAGCTTTGCCGCGCCGGCGTTGGGCGCCCAAAACAGCCACCATGGCTGCTGCTGCTGCTGCTGCTGTCCGTCAGGGGTGGAACTCCCGCCAGCTGCGGAGGCGGCCTTCCCGTCTGCACCGTCACTGCTGCTACCACTGCTGCTACCGCTGCTGCTGCCACCCTTGGCGGTATCCTTGCTATGGCCAGCGCCTCGTCGTTGGAAGATGTCCTCCTCCAGTCCCGGCCCGCCGCCGTAGCGCGGCAACTTGGACACGAAGGCCTCCAACCAGTTACCGCTAGGACCGCCACCGCTACTGCTGTTGCTACTGCTAGTGCGGTTGCTGCTACCGCTACTGCCATTTCCGCCCTCAGACGCCTCCTGCTGCTGCTGCTGCGGGTGCGGGTGCGGCAGCTGTCCCAGCGACTCGCGAGCTTTGTCAAGTGCGGAGGCCGTCAGGGAATGTGCGGAGGCGGACAAGCTGGCCCAGGCGTGTTTGACGGAGTCCCCCGCGCCTGCCCCCGCGCCCGCAGCGGCGGCGCTACTAGGTGATGCCGGCGGTTTGCTGCCGGTGTGATCCCCGGCTGGCCTCGATGACACGGTTTCCGCGGTCACGTCAATGGCCTCTTGCCGGGCCTGCTGCTGCTGCTGCTTCAGCTGTTGCTGCTGGCGTTGTTGTCGCTGCTGCGGGGAAAGCTCAAGCGCCTCTACAGTTGGAAGCGGCGGCGTTCCGGAGGGCTCTCCGGGTACTCGAGCCTGGGAGGACAACACCGCACTGGGTGGAGGGAGCGATTGGGGGTCCTGTTGACCACCGCCGTCGCCGTTGCTGCGGCTACCAGAGGCGCTGCTGCTGCCGACGAAGGACACGCCGTACACCCTGCCGTCGCCGTCAGTGCCCAGCATATGTCCGTTGCCGATGCGTCTGTACGACACAACACCGTTGACGTCGCCGCCGCCGCCACTGCCGTTACCGTTACCGTTGCTGCCGTCGCCGCTGCCGTACTGCAATGGCTGCTGCTCCGAAACCACCGGTCGCTCAATGACCGCCGTCGCCGTTGACGTCGGCATCGCCGTACGACTGGTCGCAACGGCGGCGGTTGCGGCGAGATCATCGCCTCCGCCAAGCGCCGCCGCCGGCGCCTTCGCCCGCGTGGCCTCACTCAATGACGCCTGCCTGCCCGCCACCGCCTCCTCAGCCGCCACGATGATTCGTCGCTGACCCGAACTGTCCCTCGACGCCTCCGCCGCCGCCGCCAGTGCTGCATTCGCCAGCGCCTGCAGTCGCTCGCGGGCGCGAGCGCGCGCCACGTCGTCAGCCACACTGGTGCTTGCGGCGGCGCCGCCGCGGCCCGCGGCATCCGCCGCCGCTGGGGAATCCCTCGGCGGCGGCAGCGCCTTACTAGCCGCTGCCGGCGGCGGCGGCGGCAGTGCCTGCTGTCCAATCATGGAAGCTCCTTGGTCCACAGCTCCCTTGGCGGCCCCCGCCGCAGCAGCAGCCGCCTCCTGCGCCGCTCGGGCCGCTCGAGCCGCCGCGCGCGCCGCCGCGGCCTTCGTCATGGCGATTGCCGACACGGCGGCGGAGGCGGCGACGGCGGCTCGGCTGCTGGCGGCGGCGGCGCTGCGAATGTCGGTGATGGGCGCTTGTGAGGCGGCCTGGCGGGAGAAGTTCTCGGCCTCTCGGTAACCCGAGTCCTGGTCGTCGTCGTCGAAGGGCTGCGGTGGTTGTGTGGGGGGGTCAAAGACCATACCAAACCATAGGAGACCACAAGTGGGGGGAGGGCGGGGGTGGGGGCGCACGTGAGAGAAGAAGCACGGTACGGATGAGGTGGAAAGGTTTGGCCAAGAGGTTTGGGCTGTCGCAAGCGGGGAAAGATGTGAGAGAGACCGCGCTGTGCACAGTATTTCTAAAACCCCTGTCGCTGGGGCCTTCCTACCTGGCACATGCCACATGCCCTGACCTCATTCATCGTTCTCACCTTGTACGACATTTCGAACAGCACCTCCCCCGAGGCCACGGCCTCCGCCCCCGAGATGCCGTACGAGGTGCCGGGCGGCTGCAGCGGCACCCACATGGACACCTTGCCGCCCTCCTGGGGGGGGGGGGTGGAGGGGTTGGGGGGTGGAGGGGTTGGGGGGTGGAGGGGTTGGGGGGGGGTTTGGAAGGGGGGGTTTGGGGGGGGAGGGGTTTGGGGGGAGGGAGGGGGAAAGGGGGAAAAGGACCATGCGTTAATGCTAGACTGGTAGTGTTGGGGGGAGAGAGGGGAGCACTTCTGGGTTCATCAATGTCAGCCCCCAGCCCATGAACCCACCAACAACCCCAATCCCCCTCTCCTCTCCTCCCCTACAAGTCTTGTCACCTACCGGACGTCCGGCTTTCCCACCCCCCCAAGGAAAAGCGCCCGGTCCTAGGCCGTATTACTTCCTTCCCATTTCCCTCCCCCTCTCCCCCCCCTCCCGCCTCCTCTCACCGCTCCCCTCTGCGCCGCCATGACGTCCGCCAGCTGAATGGCCGCCCGCCCCACCTCGGTGCGCCCCGTCAGGTGGCTGTCCTTCACCAACACCTCCAACACCTGACAGGGAAGGACAGGGAGGGCAGGGGAGGGGAGGGCGGAGGGGTAAAGAGGAAGAAACCAACCAACCAACTAACCGGGGAGGGCGCATCAGGGCCGCGGCGGGGAACAACGTATAAGGGGTGACCAGCGAGGTTACAGAATCGGTTGCGGCCACATGCGAGAGGGAGGGCGCCGCCCCTACAGGCCGTGCTACAGACACTGGCGGGAGGCTGGGGAAAGAGGCCAGCAGCCAAGAGCAAGCGCAGCCACCCGCCCACGACTCCCCTTCCCTTCCGCCCCCCCCCCCGGGGCACAAACGCCTCCCATTGCTTTGCCCTAACCTGTGGTTTCCTGTGGCTTGGTCTATCGTTTCCCCCCTGCCTCTACCCCCCCTTCCCCCCTGCCCCCCCCCATTCAACGCAAGGTTACTCTTTTTTCTCCTGCTACCGCCCCCTTCCCCCTCTCCACCCCCCTACCCCCCACCTGCAGCTCCGGGTCCTCTACCAAGAACTGGAACTCCTGGTTCCACACGGGGGCGCGGTGGCGGCCCGGGTGGCTGGTGTCGCCCTCGCGCCGGGACTGGACAGCCTGGGGGGGTGGGGAGGAGGGGGGTGGGAGGGGGGCGGGTTTGGGGGGTGGGGAATAGCGGTGGATGTAGGCATGTGGAGCCCTATCCACTTTTACGGTGATAGGGCTCCCTCTAAACCGAAATCCCCGAGCCCCGTCCCGCTTCCCCGCCCCCCCCCACCTGCTCCCCCAGCACCAGCCTGCAGTAGGGGTTGCTCTGCCCCGGGAAGCCCCACACCGGCAGGTTGCGCGCCTCCTGCAGGGTCACACTCAGCTCGCCCTGGGGGGAAATATAGATAAGTGCGTCAACGGGGGGGGAGAGGAGCGGGAAGGGGGCGGGGCGGGGTCGGTTCATAGGGGAAAACAAACAGGGAAAACACATGGAAAGGGACAACATCTGCAAACCTGGCAGAGAAGGGTGGTGCGGAGTAGCAGGACAGGCCGCTGGTTTCACTCTAGTAACACCTGCCCTTCCCCCCACCCGCCTCTCCCTGTGCCCCCCCCCCTCCCTCCCCGCCCTCCTGCTCCCCTCCCCTCCCCCACACCTTGAAGGCCTCCGGCAGTGTGATACCGCCCGCGGGCGTCTGCGGCCCCAGCGGCAGAGCGGACAGCAGCGCAGCCTCCACCGCGTCAGCCTGGAGGAGGGGGGGGAGTAGTGTGGGAGAGAGGAAGGAGAGGGGCATGAAGGAGAAGCCGAGAGCGTCAAGCCGATAGTTCCTGTGCTGTGTCATGGTCCCTTGCCCCTTGCGCAGAACGAATGCCACCTGAGGCCGCCTCCTCCGTCCGTCAGGCTCTACCAACGCCCGACGTAGCCCCCTGTAAGGGCCGCAAACCCTAAACCCCCACCCCCCACCCCCCGGGACCGTAACCCCAATACCCCATGTAAGGGCTGCACCCCCCCCCCGGAACCCTACCCCACCCCCATTCAACACATTGGGTATTCTTCTTTTATCCCCCACCCCCATCCCCCGTTTCACTTATTTCATTTTTTACCCCCACCTGCAGCACTGCACTGGCCACCGCGCGCATGATGGTGTCCCGCCCCACCGCCGCCTCCGCAATGGTGGTCACCGAGGGAGGGATGTTCACCTCCAGCCGCTGAGGCAGCACCATCAGCCGAGGCAGCTCCACAGTCAGCAGCTTGCGCAGGTAGTTCTGTACGACAGGCACTCGCATCAGCCGTACACGGTTGTACGGCGAGAGCTGCACCTTGATGTTGGGCGGGCCCACGAAGGCGAAGCTGATGGTGCCGATCCAGGGGCACATGGGCGCCAGGCGCAGCTTGAGCCACACCTGGCATTCAAGGTCCAGGTCGGATACGAGGACGGGGACTTTGAAGCGCCAGCGGCCCTCCCCGAGCTCCAACATGAGCAGCATGCGGGCGCCGCCGGTATAGCGGATGTCCACCACACCATTGAGGTCGGAGTCCTGAGGGGGGTTGGAGATGTGTACCAGAACCACGGGTTGGGGCGAAGCAATGGGGAGGGGAAAGAAGACTTTCCAAATGCAGTGAATGAGAATGTCGATCAAGACGAGGTGTTTTGGGGGGCAGGGGGAAGGGGGTCAAAGGTAGACCAAACCATAGGAAACCGTAGATAAGGGAACAACGCGTTGGGGGAAGGAGGCGGCAGGGTGCCACAAGGCGGAAGGGGGGACGGGGGAAGGAAGGAGGGAACAGGGGAGAAAGAAAGACAGAAAGTCTTACCCCCCACCCTTCTTTCTTCCCACCTTGCATTTATCCATATTTCCCTCCCACCCCCACACACCTTTCTGCTGTTCCGTCGCCTCATGTTGGAGAAGTAGGGCGCCTCATGGTCCAGTGTCATCTCTACCACCCGCAGCCGACACAGCCAGCGGGGCACACCGCCCTCCTTGACCTGATTGGGTGGGGAAGGCAGGCGGGCAGGGAGGGAGGGAGGAAGTGCTTCTTGCGCCCTACGTACTACCAGCACCAGTAGTGGGTTTATACCTATCAACACCTCCGGCAATCACAGTGCGTTCCTGCTCGCGGCCAGTTTTCTTAACACCCCGCTACCCCACACTCACCCCAGCGCCCAGTTCCTTCCTCTTTACCCCCCGCCCCCGCCCGCCCGCCCCAGCTCCCCCCCCCTCGCACTTACCAGCCCATCAAACAAGGGCTGCAGCAGGTCGATAATCCACCGCTCCAGCCCCCGCTGGTACACCCGCCACACCTTCCGCCAACACATGTTCACCCACTCCACACTCTCCCCCGGCTCCGCCCCCGCCAGCAACGCCGCCGCCGCCCCGGCTGCTGCCCCTGCCGCCGCTGCTGAGCTGCTGCTGCCGCCAGCTGCAGGCAGCGGCTGCTGTTGCTGCTGCGAGCCGCCGGGTCCAGGACCCGAACCCGGCGGAGACCCCAGGGCTCCCGCCGAGCCGGGGCCGCCATCCATGGTGGCCGTGGGACTGCCTGGCATGCTCCAGCTGCCGCCGCCCACGGGCCCAGCTCCCGCCAGGAATGAAGCCGCCTCAGCGCCGTTTTCCGCGTCCCAGCCACTCATCAGCGAGGCGGCGGGGTGCGCGGAGGGACCGAAGTCGCTGGTTCCGCTGGTGCTGCTCAGGCTGCCGCTGCCACTGCGGGTTGCTGCTGCTGCTGTCCCTGCACCGCTCTGGCCCCGCCCAGCGCTGCTGCTTCCGCTGCCGCTGCTACTGCCCCCGCTGCTGCCCCTGTTGCTCCAGTCCAGCAGTTCCGCCAGCCGCTGCCCCCACCCCCGCTGCTGCTGCCCCCAGCGCTGCCGAGCCAGCCAGCGGCCCAGCAGCTGCAGCGCCACCGTCAGCAGGATGCCCAGAGCCACTCCGCCGGGGCTCACACTGGTGGAGGGAGAGGGGAGGGGTGGGAGGGAGGGAGGGAAAGAGAAGTGAGGGAGGGGGCTGGATAGGTTACATGACCGATAGGGTTCAGCCTCCGCGATTGCAATGCTGCGCAAGAACCATGCTTCAGCAAACAGAGCAGTGGCAGCTCCTGAGCGGTTAGGGTGTGACCCACCCGCTGCGGGCTGGCAGTTGAGTCGCGGACGCCACCACCGGTGTTACGAGCCGCTGAGCCGCGTCGTGCTGCTGGCCGGGCTGCGGTTGGGAGCGTAGGTGGAGGCGTTGGGGGTGCTGCTCGGGAGGGGATGCTGCATGGGGGTCGGCTGGGCCTGCCGTGGCGATGCTTGCGAGGGGAAGCGGCCCTTCCTCGCGCCTGTAGGAAGCCCCAGCAACTGACGATGCAGGATTTGCATCGGTTCGAACGCTGGCGAATACCTGCGTTGACCCAAATAGAAAGAGTGAAGAAATGGAATTACATTATATTGCGGTAGTTGACGGCTGCTGCCATCACTGTAACACGTGCCCGACGAAGAGCCAGGCGCTATTCCAACAATCCTTTCGGTCGTTACAAGTGCCTAGAACCGGTGTTGTCCGTATGAGGTATATCGAATGCTCGGGCATTCCGTTGGACATAGCATACAAGCATCAGACAGCATTTCCCAAACAAGCCACGCATGGGGCACTGTTACATGCGCCAGATCTCTTGGCGACTCACCTCCGAAGGGTTGATCGCTGCTGCAGGCCGCAGCGGATGCCGCTTCACAATACGAAGACGTCCATCAATGCCACGCGCACTAGCTACCGGTATTTGCAGCGGAGTTGCCTGAAGTTTACCCATGCAGAGCGGTTTCAGAATGAAAGCATATTTATCTCCCCATAACGACAAGAATCGCCGACAGCTACATCGGCAATCCAGAACCCTGTCAGCACCCTGCACCTGCAATCGCTGTTTATGGTTCCCCTTAACTTTGTTACATACCGTGCGCCCGACGCGACTAGAGCAACCCAGAGGTCCTTGAGGGCCCATCCACGGTCAAGTCCGAGTCCAGACACGCTGCTGGATGTTTCCAATATAACAGCTAAACGATTGCGTATAGTCGCAATAGCCCTGTTCGGAACAAGTGCATTGTGATTCTTCAAGGGAACTCCTATTGCGTTATGCTTGCAAAGACGGCAATAATCCTGCTTTATCCCTAGATTGGTGAGGTTATCGTGTTGCAAAAACTAGGCAGAACGCCTAGTCATCCGTCCCCGGTCCGAGTCCAGTCGATTGGTGTCTTGTCATCATCTTGCCTGTGTCGTACATAGGGTACTTCGCACCGCATATCTTACGAAAATTCGTTGCCCTTTCTTCTGACATGTGCAACAAAACCACGGAGGTTGTCGTCATGGGCACTTCAATATCAACAGGGTCGCCAAGGTGTCGTGCGTTGGCTCAATCTCGTGTATGCAACATATAAAGTCCATCCCCGGTGTGGTTTTTCGTGATGGCCGGTGCCCCCTTTCGGCAGGTTTGTTGAACCTGAGCTTTTCTCACGCTACCTATGATCCCACACAACTTCCGGCATTCCAGTGTTCATACACAGCTAGCAACGGCACGCCAAGCACTGATACCGGCCGCTGCAACAGCGCAAAGGACTTTTGCCAGACCGTCAAGGGATCCTTTCAGTCTTTGGATAGGGGGATGGTTGGGATTGTGAACGGCTAACATCTCTTACATCCATGTGGGCAGCACGGAAAGGCACCATGTTGCGCCGACCACACGTGCGTTCAGGACCTGGCCTTGAGCTCACGAGCCTCCTGGCACATAGAGCTGAGCTAAGCGAGGGAATGGAAGTGAGAAAGGCTCATGACCGGTAGTACAGCAAGCGCAGGGTTCAGCGCAAGAATGCGGACCTACAGATGAAGCATTTGTCTACAACCCTGTGGGAAAATCCAAGCCCCTGTGAGCAAATGCGGCAGTACCATCGGGCTCTAGGTTCCCCGGCCGGAACCCTGAGCTAGTCACCAGGTGGGAAATCACAAGGCTAGTATGCAGTCTCCGCATGATGAGCCCGGGATGCCGTACGTATTGCGGATGTGCGAGCGAACTTGGCATATGGAGCAGGCAACAACAACCGATATAGGACGCGAGTACGAAGCAGCAGCCAGCACCGAAGCAGCTTCTACCGCAGCAGACGGCCTGCAGCCATAGTAGCAAAAGCTGCAGTTTCATCATGTGGTCAAATAGTTAGCAGTTAGTAAGGACACGTTGATTAGCATGCTTGATTAAGCATCGGCCACGCAGACGTCCCTCCTTGTCTATGCTGGTTTATAAAGCCCATAGAGTGGTGCGTCGCACTTAAGTCGTTCTGATTCCCCTGTAATACTCGCATTCTCCTTGGAGAAGCGGGCATAAGCATTGCATCAGAATGGCCCAGAATCTTTAATCGAACTTGCTACTTGTAACGAGATAACGGCAAGCTGATAGAAGCTATATCCAGACAAGGGCCAGCAGGTCGCCGCTGAACGTACAGCAGGTTCCAGCGCCACCGGGCTCTGCACAACAATCACAGAAACCAGTGCTCCACTCAGCAGACTGTGTCGCCATGACTGTGGTTGTGGGCTTGTCAAATAGCTGTGTGCTCGGCGGTAGACTTAAACCGGTTGGCAAGCTGCTGGCAAGGCAGTTAGCATACCATTCCAGAGATTATACGGAAGCCTGTTGAATACTGTCGTACTCGTACACCTGCTAGCTACCAGTCGGCAGTCGTAAAGTATCACGAGCCAAAGCAGCCAGTAGACACAAGGCTTAGCGTGCTCTTGCTTAAGGGCCAGACAAAGCTTGAGGCAACCCCTCCCATCGCAATGGTTTGCAGGTTACGGCAGTTGATGCACCCGCTGCGATCTGCGGTATCGGAGCGGACACCGTTGGCAAAGCGTCTCCAGAATTGCACTATGTTTACCCTCATTACTGATTTCCATTGTCGCGGTGTGAAAAGTTGTTATTACATTAAGCATTTGCCAAGGCTGCTGAGGTTTGATCATGCTCCTTGTAGAGTGGTCAAACCTGTAAAAATCAATGGTTGTCGGTGAAGTTGAGGGTGCTTGTGAGCTGCGGGAACCTGGTGGACCTAGCGATGGGCATGCCACTCGGCAGTTTGGTAAGTTCCAGAAGTAGGCAACTCGAACGGCACAGATCGCCCCACTAACTGTTCGAAAAATTGCGAGCACGTTTGATGTCTAGCTGCATTAGATCGTTGAGCTTCACTTTAACATCGCCGATGAACCCATTACAACGCATGACATGGTTGCCAGACCGCAAAAAGGCATCATCTTCCTGTGCCTTTCCCCGTTTTCCTTCCTATAACTGACACTGCCTCGGTTGAGCATTCCTGACACTCATACTCCCTCCATAACCCATTTCCCATCCGCACCCCCATTCTCAGCTTACCAGCAGCCCAACCTCCCTCCCACTCTAGCTCCTCTGGCTTGTCCCCCAGTTTGCCATCCCCTTTCCAACCACCCCCAACCACCCAACCAACACCCTCACAACAGATGACGGTGCTAGCTGCACTACCGGCACCGTACCCGAATCGGCGAACCCCACGATAGTACCCCAACCCCAGCCCGAACAACAACCGCAAGTCCAACTGCATAAGCAGCAGCAGCAACAACCGGCGGAGGAGTCGGAGCCTGCGTCGGTAAGAAGCGGTGCCGAGCAAGCCGAAACCCTGCACCCGCCGCAGCAGGGAGGGCGAGGGGATGGGCAGCAGCAGCAGCAGCAGCAGCCGGAGCAGCAGCAGGAGGAGGGGCAACAGGCGGAGCAGGGCGGTGAGGTAAATGCCGCTAACGAAGAGGATGCGGCGGAGCGGGCGGCGAGGGCAGAGGCTCTGAAGCGGGAGGGCAACGAGCTGTTTGGTCGCGGCGAGTGGGACGCAGCTGCAGCCAAGTATAATGAGGCCCTGGATGCTGGTGAGCGCTGTGATCCTTGTGTTACGACATGGGGCGCGCGGGTGCTGTAATGCAGCAGGGCTCGGCGTTTTGCTGCGATGGTAGCGTACTTTGTGTTGTTTTGACCCGGTCTTGGGTACAGAGCCTTGTTACAGAGCTGCTGCTTTAATGGCGTACGATGCAAGGGTGACTAGCTATGTTTCCTAGGGTTTAAACCCTAAACCCTTGCAGAATGCACATGTTTCTTCTCGTCCCTCACGCCTGCCCTCTTCCTCTTGAATTTCAACCCCAACCTCAAGCCCCACCTCCACCCCCACCTCAGCCTCTGCCCAAAGCTCGTCGTCAGTTTCTTCCTTTGAACCCAACCCTAACCTCTCACCCCAACCTCAAACCCAACCTCTCACAGCTCCCGCAGCAGCCCTCAAGGAGCGTGCCATCTACTTCGCCAACCTCGCCGCATGCAACATTAAAACCCAGCAGTACGCGGCTGCCGTACAAAGCTGTACGGAGGCGCTACAGCTAGATCCGTCGTATAAAAAAGCCTACATGCGCCGATGCGAGGCTTTCGAGCGGCTAGACGAGCTAGATCACGCGCTTTCAGACGCCAAGAAGCTTCTAGAGCTGGCGCCGGACAGCAGCTGGGCGAAGAGCAAGGTAGCGGCGCTGCAGCCGGTTGTGGACGAGCGTACGGAGAAGCTCAAGGTACGGCGGGGAAGTACCGGTTTGTACGGGGATAACATCCCTTTGTTGCGGAAAGCTGTCTCGCATGTCGTACTCTGATCTATGCACACGCAACTGCCGTACTCCGCAGACGGAGATGCTGTCCAAGCTGAAGGACCTGGGCAACACCATTCTGGGCAAGTTCGGGCTGTCGACCGACAATTTCAAATTCGACAAGGATCCAAACACGGGAAGCTACAACATCCGGTTCGAGCGGTGATGATGGCTATATACCGTCTCGCTGTTCAAAGAGCGGGTCCCGGTGTGTCATGCTGGCCAGGTTTGTCTCTTGGATTCCGGATTGCCGGTACGGGGTTAGTCCGCAGGGCGTTAGCTGCAGGGCTGGCAACTACGTTGTTCCAATGGGTTCACACTTAACCGGTGTAGGACGACAGGTTTCGAGGCCCGGTGTAGGACGACGGGTTTCGAGGCCAAGTAGCAGCTTTGGAGGCGGTGTAGGGTTTAAACAAATCGGGGAGGAGGCCGACGAGGTGCATGCAACAAAGCGCTCCAAGCCTCCAGCTGTCTTTCGCCCATCTAGTCCAGCCATGTGGGCGCATCCGTACGGCAGCTGCGGACCGCAGCGCTGTGCGGTGTGGGTTGCGCTACGCGTCGTGATGTGCGGCATTGACCATGTGGACCTGTCTGGCAGAGCTCCGATGCAAGAGAAATGATGTTGCAAACCTGTGCAAGGCCAACCGGCTTCTGTCGCATGAAGAGCCTTCGAGAACACCGGCAACTGGCTCTCAGCTAGGCGAATGCAGCAGCAACCCGAATCCCCGAAGCATCCCCACCCTCACCAGCGCAACACAGCATATACCGGTATGCATCGCCCCCCGCTCCAAACCTCCTGCATTGGCACAACTGCGGCCGCCCAAATAGCCAACAACCAGACCCTCACTCGGCTTGGTGGCATGGTTGTTGCCGGTGAACTAATCTCGCCTCGTCGCAAGGGCGGTGTACGTCTCCGCTTCGTCCTCATGCACTCTTCTGTCCGTTTGTGTCAAACCCTTGACAACCACGCACACCCAATACCGTCCGCCGTTCACCCTATCTGCCTGCTACCGGTATTCAGCATGGAGTTCATCAAAACCTCGACAGCGGCCCTGGTCCAATCAGCAACAGTGAGGCACCCGTTTGTCGGTAGTAGGCCTTGCGTTTGTACCCTTCAACACGCTTCCTCCTACCTTTGTGTCCCAGCGCCTTACACTGGATACACAAGCTATACCACTAGGTCAGCCAAACACCGCCAGATTGTTCTAAAACGACATCTTGCTGTCCGGTTAAGGGTCATGTATACAAGGTGTGTTGTCGTCCCCTCAAACCAACTCCTTTCAAACCAAAATATCGGGGGTATCCGCTACGGCACCAGACAGCATCAACCTGGCGTGGGGAAGCAGGCTGCCGGCAGACCAATACTGTGAGGGCTTATTTCCGACACACCCACCAACCCAGCTTCACCGACCGGACCGCAATGCCACCCTCTGTAATACGGGTGCATGGTCCGGCAAGGAAAAGGGCCCCCGACGGCCTCAACCTTGTTCCCCACCTTCGCCTTCCTGCACCTTATTCGTCCATGCGCCTCATCCCCTTCCTAACCCGCCTCCATCGCACCCGACGCACATTCCACCGCCACGCGTGTCCTTCTCCTCACGCCGCAATCCCTGCAAACTGGTGTGGTGGCGGTGACGCAACCCCCAATTCCCCCCAAATGCAGCTGCACACGAAAAAGAGAACACCTAGGCACGCACACACATGCACAGCGCATACCGGCAGGTCGATCCCGAGCACTGCGGCATGCAATGGGGAAGCGGCAGCAGCACCGCTAGCAGCACAACAGCCAAGCACAGGCCCATCCTCCGCAGCACCACCACCACCACAACCGCCCTGGCCGCATGCGGTTGATGCATGCATCGCCACGATGGGAGAACTCCTCATGACCCAGATGAGATCCCACGTCACTCCTCGCCCCGCTCCTCCACCCTGACCGCATGCGGTCTACCATGAACGCATGAGGGCGCCGTGTCCTCAGCGCCCGCCTCCCACCGCGGGTGGCGCATCCCGGTCGAACTGCATGCGCGGCGCGATGCACATGGCCATGAGCTCCTGGAACAGCAGCTTGCAGGCGTAGGGGATGTACACCTGGGGGGGAGGAGGTGGGTAAGGAGGGGAAGGGAAGGGAGAGGGGGAGGAGCGTCATGTGCCAAAGCGAAAGAGGGGAGTACCGGCAGTAGTAGCAAGGTGTGCCGCTGCGTGTGTGTCCTGCTGTGCGCTCTACCCGTAAACACGCAACCCCACCCCATTTGTACCACTATCACACCACAAATTGGAATTCCTTTTTACCCCCACCCCCACCCCTTACCTGGTAGATGTTGGATCCGTCCTTGTAGATGGTGGACGTGAACTGCTGCTTCTTCAGGTTTGCCACCGCTAGCAGCCCCGACCGCTCGCACACGTGCACCCGGTAGGCGTCCGACTGGTCGAAGAGGCGCTCCTTCAGGAAGGCGGCGGCGCCGTGACTGATGATGCAGTCGCGCTCCATCTCGCCAAACCTGTTGGGGGGGAGGGAGGAGGGAGGAGAGGGAGAGAGGAGGGTGTGGATGAACCGCACTGGGCTGGAATTCTGGGGTTTTGCTGGCGAGGGGAACCGGTTGGCCTCGGGGGCTAGTAAGGATGTAGACCAAGTTTGCGACGACAGTGGCAACCTGCAGTGCAAGCCCCTGACGAGCGGGGGTGGGGGGTGGGACCCTCGCCACCACCCTCACCACTTCTCATGTACTTTTCCCCCACCTCCCTTATCCCTCAGTCAGTTAGTTGTTTCCTCTTTTTTCCCCCACCTACCGAAGGCCTCCGTCCCTGGCGCGTCCCTCCGCCGGCTGCCTCGTCAGCACCTGCACCGGCCCCCGCCCGCGCGAGTGGATCTTGAAGTCCACCATGTGCTTCAGGCGCTGGTAGTAGGTGGGGTTGAGGAAGATCTGCGCGCGGATCTGGCGGCCTGTGTGACCGCTGTACATCACCTCCCAGCCGCGGCGCTGGTAGCCCAGGTCGTGCAGCATCTGCGACACGTTGTCCACCGTGACCTGATGAGGGGGGAGGGGGGAGAGGGGGAAGGAGGGAGAATGGGGGGTGGATGTTTTGACAATCCTTCTCGCAGAGTTTTTATCTATAGAAACTCGCACTGCGCCCTTCTCCTCAACCCTGCGCCGTGTCCCCTTCCTCCTCTCCTCTTAGCAACCCCTTGCCCTCCTCCCTCCCGCCGGGCTTCTTCTGGCATTGGGACATCAGGAAGTTACCCCTTCTTCCCTCCCTTCCCCTCCCCCTGCCCTCTGCAACCGTAACCGTAACCGCAACCATAACCGTAACCGCAATAACTACCACAACCGCAGTTCCCGCTTACCTTGGTGAAGGGCGTTGCGTCTCCCTCGCTGCCCATCAGCGACGCCACCTTGCTCATGAGCGCCTCCACCAAGTGCCCGATGGTCATGCGAGAGGGAATGGCGTGCGGGTTGACGATGATGTCCGGCACGATTCCCTCCGCGCTGAAGGGCATGTCCTCCATGGTGTAGGTGATACCGCAGGTGCCCTTCTGGCCGTGACGCGAAGCGAACTTGTCGCCCACCTGAGGGTGAGGGAGAGGGTGAGGGGGTGGGTGAGGTGGAGAGGTAAAATGAGAAGCGGGGCAACGGAGTCCCAATCCCATGTCCCCGCTCATGCAGGAGACAATACTCGAGCGGGAGGGTTGGGGATGTGAGGGAGAGGGAGACGGTGGTGTTGGGTGAGGCGGGTGTAGTGCGATGAAGGTTTCGTTCCGTACCGTAACAATATACCGTAACAAAAATGAACTTTATCAGGCTAACTAACAATCAATGGAATGGTCATGCTCTCATGCAGCAATAAGCGGAGCCGAGCTGCCCTGAGGGAGGGGTTGAGCAGGAGGTCCGCCCGCGTGCCCCTCCCCACCTCATCTTCACCCACGGTCAAGCAGAGGCCAGGAACTGGGGAGGCCGCCCCCAGCCTGGCTGCTGCCCCTACATGCACCCATTCCCTCCCTGTACCTGCGGGATGCAGATGGTCCTCACGCGGATCTTGACGAACTTCTGGCCCTCGTCATTGGTGGTCAGCATCACCTGCACACCAGGGGGGGGACATGACATGACAGCACAGGGCATGGGGGGACATGGCATGAGGTGACACGCGAAACACCGACCATGACCCCCATGAGGTAGGCCGGGGTAGGAGTTACCCGCCCCGCCGCCGCTGCACCCGAACACGCACACCCCTGTTTCCACCCGCCCGGCTTCATCCCCTCATCATCCCCCCACCCACCCACCCCACCACCCCCCACCCCACCTGGTCGATCACGCCCGCCTCGTGCCCCCTCAGCGCCAGCGACGCATCCTTCTTCGTGAAGCGCTGCACCGCCCCCGTGGGGTCCTCCGGCAGGGTCACGGTTTTGCCGCAGATGATGTCCTCACCCGACACTCGGGTGCCTGGAGGGCAGAGCCCATCCGCATCCAGCTTGTCGTACGTGCCGTGTTTCATCTTGGAGGTGACCACTGGGTCCGGCACCTCGATCTCCTCTCGCGCCATGCTGCCCGCCTTCTTCTCCTCCTCCTTGTAGGCGCGGTAGAAGATGGAGCGGTGGAAGCCGCGGTCGATGGACGAGCCGTTGAGCATGAGCGAGTCCTCCTGGTTGTATCCGCTGTAGCACATGATGGCCACGATGGCGTTGATGCCTGGGGGGTTAATATGGTTGGAAGATTCCGCGTTAAGCTGGAATTTAGGATTGCGCATAGTCAAATTCGTTGGGTTAGTAGCAGCACAGTGATGCCTGGGGGGGGGAGGGGGGAGCACATGAGATTTGAAGCAACTCGAGTCCCAATCCCGTATCCCGACTCATGCAGTGGGGGGGAGGGGGGGGAGAGGTCACAGATCGAAGGAAACCACAGGTTGGGGCACAGCAATGGGGATAGGAGGCGGCAAGGTGGCGGGGAGGGAGGCGGAGGGGTACCGGTATGTCGTTAGGATTGTTCGTGTGAAGTGCAGCATTTCCTAGGTAGCATCACACCAAAACCAGTAGCACACGTTGCAGCACACATCGACACATCGAGTGGGTTGTCAGAACGCTCCCCAACATACCGTACCGTGTGGTCACTGTCCCCTCTCCCTCCCCTTCAGAGACAGCTCGTCAGTTTCCTCTTTTTACCTCCTCTCCCCCCCTACCCTTCCCCTCCCCCCCACTGATGCATTTCTCTATATCTTTTTCCCCTCCCCCCCACTCCCCCCACCCGCGGGCAGCTCCCTGAACTTCAAGTAGTCCATGGCCCGGGTGCACACCAGCGGCTTCTGGGGGTAGTACAGCACGAAACCCTGGGGGGGGGGGAAGGGGGGAGGGTGGCGGGGTGAAGGGGGAGGGATGGGATGAAGCATGGGGTAACTGGGGGAACAATGAAGTGTGGAGATTTAAGGATGGAGCAAGCAAAGCTCTCGTCCCCATGAGACCAATGAGACCCACGAGACCCAACCTCCACACTGCCCATCCCCTGCCCCCACTGCTGCACCCACCCTCCCCCCCAACACACCCCACCCACCTGCGTGTCCATGCGCGTCTGGTAGTTGGTTGCGTACATGCCCATAGCCTGCTTGCCCATGGCACTCTGGGGGGGGGGGGGGGGGAGAGACGAGGGCGGTGAAGAAAAGGGGTTCAGAGGAAAACACAAAGCTCTAATAATGTGACATGTGATATATTGTGATATATAATGTTATATATAATGTGAACCGCAGATATCACCTGACGACCGACGATGAATAAAATAAATATGCGCAAGTTGCCCCACCCCCAATTCAGGCACCAGCCGCTCTCACTCTCCCTTCCTACCCCCCACCCCTCACCCCACGTCTTCCTCTTCTCCCCCCACCCCACCCCGCGTTGCTTTGCCCTAACTTGTGGTCTCCTATGGTTTGGTGTGGTCTTTGACCCCCCCCCCTGCCCCACCTGGTACGTGTTACGGGGCGACTGGTTGTGGTCGGGGAAGGGGATGATGGAGGCGCACACGCCCAGGATCATGGCTGGGTGGATCTCACAGTGCGTGTAGGTGGTGCCGGTGGAGGCGCCCGCCTCGCGTGCGTGCCGCAGGTCGGCGATGGTCATCGCAATCATGGTGGTCTCCTCCTCCTCCGCGTCAATGTACCTGAGTGTAGGAGAGGGGTGGGGGTGGGGGGAAAGGAGATTATGATTTCATGTCACCCCATGCCCACCTCCTAGAAACACCCCTTGGCAACGTCAACCAAACACAACACACCCGTGCTCCCACCTCCCCATGCACCACTCCTCGCCAGCCCCCTCCTCTGCTCCCCGCTTCCTCGTCAGCTTCCTCCTCCCCCCCAAAAAAGTATCACCCCAGCCGCCACGGAGCTTAAAATACGGTTTGTTATTGATTGATGCTACTAGCTATACAACAACTACAGTTATTTGCTACCCCAACTATCCAGCTTAATGCGGATTCTGTCTCCAAATTAACCCCCCAAAGTATCCCTATTACCCCCCCCCCCAGCCCAACCCAACACTCACTCTACCAGACCGTCCTGCACCAGCTGCGGCCAGGCGTACTCCTCCTCCTCCGGCGCCGGCGCAATCAGCCTGCGGATGTGCTGCTTGGTGACCAGCAGCCGGTTGCCCTCCACGATGTACAGCGGGCGGGAGGTGCGGCCGTAGTCGGTGAAGATGCGCAGCTCCTTGAGCGGGCCGTCGTAGATGATGGAGACCTTGGGGGGGGAGGGGGGAGGGGGGGAGGGAGGGGGGGGGAGGGAGGGGGAGGGAGGGGGGGAGGGAGGGGGAGGGAGGGGGAGGGAGGGGGAGGGAGGGGGAGGGAGGGGGGGGAGGGGGGAGGAGGGAGGGAGGGGGAGGAATACCCAATGTGTTGAATGTGAATGGCAAAGGGAAGGGGGTAAAGAGGGATACATACCGGTATTCCGCATTGGCAGGATTGCTCCCTCCCTCCCCTGTTCCTCCCCTCCCCCCCTCCCGCACCTCCGTGCTGAACGCCACCTGCCGCCGCATTGCCCGCAGGTTCTTGATGAGGGCGGTGGGGTCGCGCTGGATGCCCAGCCACACGCCGTTGATGAACACCTGGGGGGAGGGGGGAGGGGGCGCAAAAGGGGGGAGGAGGGAGGGAGTCAAGACAAATGGACAGATGGAGATAGGATAGGAGGGGAGAGGTGGGGGCGGGGGGTAACGTGTATGGGGGTGACACTCGCCACGTGGTGGGCCCTATTACTTTCCCCCCACGGGGACGCGGAGGGGTGGAGACAGAAAGTTAAAGACAAAGGGACGGGGAGGGTATATAATAGCAGGGGAGAGGTGGGGGGTAATGTTTCTTATGGAGGGTTTTCGCCACGGGTTGGACCCCATTAATTTCCCTCCCCCCCCCATACACACACCTTTGTGCTCGCTGCAATGTCCGCGGGTGTCACCTCGTCCAGCGCCTCCGTGTTGAACTCCTCCAGGTGAGCCACCACGGGCAGGGAGGGGGTGCCCACTGCGGGGGGGAAGGGGAGGGGGGAGGGGGGAAGGAGGGAGGCGGTTGGAGCCGCAAAGAGCCGCAAGTGGTGCAACCTCTGCGATGCAATCTGTGGTGCAATCCACAATGAAGCAGTCCATGACAGATGTCACATGTTTTAGGTTTTCCTACCCCTACCCCTCCCGCTCCCCTCTCTCCTCCCTCCCCCGCCTGGGGACTGGGACCCCAGTGCGTCTCCCCTTTTATCTTTTCCCCTCCCCCCTTCCTTCTTCAGCTTCCCCCTCTCCCCCCCCTCCCCCACCCATGTTGACGCCTTTATCCCTCAGTCAGTTAGTTGTTTCCCCCCCCCTCCCCCACCCGTGATGTAGCACATGAGCGCCATGTTCTTCACCAGTCCCACCGCCTGCCCCTCCGGCGTCTCCGCGGGGCAGAACATGCCCCACAGGCTGTTGTGCAGCTGACGGGGCTTGGCCAGCTTGCCCTCGCGACCAATGGGCGAGTTGACGCGGCGCAGGTGACTCAGCGTGGAGGCGTAGGTGAGGCGGGCTAGCACCTGGCTCACACCTGGGGGGAGGGGGGGGGTGGGGGGGGGGCAAAGGGAAATAAAGAGGAACTAGCAACTAGGTAAGGGGGGGTAATCCACACTTACGGTGCCCTGCTCCGAACACCCCCGACCCCTCACACTGCACATAGCTACCCCCCACCTGTGGGTGCGGTACATCTCTGACCCCCACCCCCACCCAGCTTTCCCCCCCGCTGCCCCCACCTGCTCTGATTCCCTGCTTGCCCTGCTCGCCCCAGTTGCCAGTGGCCAGCGAGTACTTGAGGCCGCGGGTGATGATCTTCTCATTGATGGCGGACAGCACGTTGATCTCCTTGCCCGCGTCAACCTGGGGGGGAGGGGGGGGAGAGGGAGTTTGGAGGGGAAAAGGGGGGTTTGCGAGGAAGGGAGGATCGGAGCAGGTAGCCCCAGCCCGACCCTCTCCCAGCCGCATACACCCACCCCATCTCCACCTCTTTCAGTAACTCCCCTCCCCTGCCCTGCCCCCCCTAACCCACCATCCTCTGCGCCTGCATCCTCAGCTCCTTGCACAGCTTCCTGAATAGCAGTCGGAACAGCCCCGCCATGAGCGGCCCGCCCAGGTCCAGCCGCTTGTTGGCGTAGTGGTCGCGGTCGTCCTCGGGGCGGCGGGACAGGGCCACCAGCATCAGCCTGGGGAGAAGGGGGGGGCAGGGAGGGGAGGTGGGAGAGAGAGGTGTAAAGGATCAATGTGTTTGGCTGATAATGGCAAACCAGATGACAAGGGACGGGAGGGCAGGAGGAGGAGAGCAGGTGGGAGAGAAGGAGAGGTGGATGGGGCGGGGGTAGCCGGCATAGGTGTGAGTAGGCGAGTGTGTGCCCCCTCTTCATGCGGATCATGCAGACAAGCACTGCACCCCCACTGCGCCTCCCTCCCCCCCTCCCTAATGTCTAGGGCACAGACGCACCTCCAAACCCCAGGCCACCCAAGCCCCACTCTGCTGTCCCCCCCAACCCTAGTCCCCCACCTGAGCGCCTTCCCCCCTCCCCCCCTTAGCAACCCATGGAGAAGCCTCGTCATCCAGTTCGTCCTTTTTCCTTGGTTTTACCCTCCCCCCCCTTCCCCCCTCCTGCCCCCACCTGTGCACCATGTATCCCACGAAGTACCCCTTGCGTGTCTCCATGAACTCCTCCGTGCCCAGGTGCGGCAGCAGCTCCTTGATCAGCAGGTTGCGAGCGTACTGGATGCGGTCGGACTGCATGGGGGCGGGGGGGGGGGAGGGTGAGAGGTGGGGAAGGGGGGGGGAGGGGGGTTACAAACCATACCATACCATAGGAAGCCACAGGTTGCGGCAAAGCATTGGGGATAGGAGACGGCAGGGTGCCGCAATACAGAGTGTTGGGAGGGGGGGTGAGGCTGCTAGGTTAAGCCTCGAGCTTCCCTCCCTTCCTCTGTCATCCCCCCTGTCATGCCTTAAGAGGCATCAGGATTCGGGTGCTCCACGCTTCCTTCTGCACTCCCCTCCCCCCTCTCCTCTTGGGACTCCGTTGCTTCACTTCTCATTTCGCCCTCCCCTCCTTGGGATTGTCAGCAACTTGTATCATTATCACACCACACTTTGGAATTTCTTTTTCCCCCCTCTCTCGGGCTATGGGTCTGGGACTTATATAATAAATGCAAACTAGTTGTTTGCATTTATTATATTATTTTCTCCCCCGCCCACCTGCCCCCGCCCCCTACCTTGCTCGCTCCCGTGACCGTCCCTCGCTTGCCCAGGTAGTTGAGCGCCTCCTCCTGCGTCTGCACCTCCTGCGCCTCCTCCACACTCGCCCGCAGCGCCTCCAGCATGGCGGGGTCGGCGTCCAGGTCGTACACGATGTGCTCCAGGATGTCACGGTCGGACTGCGGGGGGGGGGGAGTGGAGGGGAGGGGGTAAACCAGGGGGAAGTGTGTGTGTGTGTGTGTTTTATTTTGTCCTTACCCGCCCGCCCGTCCGACCAGGTGTCTCACTCACTATACCCTACATACGTAGTGGCCCACCCCGGGGCGCACCCTCCTCTCGCACTGCCTTGCCCCAACGTGCGCTTCACACGGATGTAAACGGGTGTCATTGTGCTTCTCCCTTGTCTTGTGGCGGCCTGCCGCCGCATTCCCCCATTGTTTTGCCCTAATTCGTTCCGTTCCCACTCCCACCCCCTCCCCCCACCCACCACAAACCCCAGCGCCCTGAACAGGATAAAGATGGGGAATTCCGCCCGAATGTAGGGGATCTGCGCGCGGATGACCCCCGCCGCGCCCGCCTTCTTGCCCTTGGCCAGCATCATGATGGACATGGAGGAGGCGGAGCGGGTGGAGCCCTCCACCACGGACCTGCGGGGGGAGGGGGTGAGGAGGAGGGAGGTAAACCATGGTGAATGAAGCAACGGATTGGGGAGAACGAGAGAGGAGGAGGAGGAAGGAGGGGGAAGTGGACGGGAAAGAGGAGAAAGAACGGACCACGTGATCAAGCACCACACCATGGATTGGGGAGTGAGGGGGGCGTGCACAGGGATATGTTCGTGTGCCCGGCCACCCATGCGCCATTGCGCCTGCCCAGCCTCGTCGTCCTACGCGCCCCTCCCCCTTTCCCCCTCCCACCTGATTTCCCCGCCCACCCCCCTCCCACCTGATCTCCGCGCAGAATGTGTACTTGCTGGGCTGGCTCTTCTTGAAGACGTACACGTGGTTGTTGGCCATGCGCTCCTGCGCGATCAGCACCTTCTCACTGCCGTTGATGATGAAGTAGCCGCCCTGGGGGGTTGTGGGGGCGAGGGGCGGGGGTCAATTATTGGGGGAGGTAAGGAGGTAAGACGGGGGGATCAGATAACTGAGCCGCGGAAACACTGAGGAGTAGGAGGAGGGGTTGGAGGAAAGTACATGGAAGAGAACAGGAGAGCAGGGGGAAAGCAGCAGGGAAGCGAGCAGCGTGTGAGGGGGATGAGGACGGGGCATACGGGATACGTTCCGCGCCCCTCTCCAGAGGGGCACTACCCTCGTCCAGCCAGCCCAGGTGAGCTCTGGTGCTGCGACCGGGTATCGTTTGATGGTGGTGTTGATGGGAGGCGGCAGGATGGGGGAGGATGAGGATCCGCGACCTCCTCGGGCTGATGTCCAAGACCCCACATGGTCCCGAGGAAGTGCGCCGGGTGCAACACCCCCTTCCCTGCTTCCCTGCATTTCCCCTCCACTGCTCCACTGGCCTTCTCCCTGTCCTTGTGGCCCCTCCATTGCCCTCGCCTCCGTGATGAAAAAAGCAGAATGAAAACTGTCAAACACCGCCGCCCCTGCTGCTACTGCCGCTGTTACCGCCACTGCTGTGTGTCTGCTGCTCCCACCACCGTCCATGTCCGCTTTGCTTGCAGCAGTGCTTTGCTGCGATCCAAGCTGTGGAGCTGCGATCCAAGCTGTGGTCCGAAAGAGTGCACCGCCGCACCAAGCAGCAGTGCTTTGCTGCGATCCAAGCTGTGGAGCTGCGATCCAGGCTGTGGTCCGAAAGAGTGCACCGCCGCACCAAGGAGAGTGCCTCGTCGCACCACCGCCGCCATGTGGGGGAGCACCGGACTGCTGCTGACTGCTGTCCTCCCTCGCGTGCTCTTGCAACCGCCGCTCCTCCCTTTCCCCTCCTTGACCAAACAGCCCATATGGGGCACGGCGCGCATGGGGCACATACCCCTTCTGCCCAACCTGCTTGGAGTCCATTCGGCTACCCTTCCTCACTCCCTCCCAACCCCATTACCACCCTCCCCCTCACCTGGTTTCCACCCCCCTCCCCGCGCTTCTCATCTAATGATGTCACTGTCCTCCAAACGCATGCCTCTTCTTCTTTCCGCACCCGCCCACCTTCCTTTATACCCCTCCCACCTGGTCGTACGGGCACTCCCCCAGGTTGGTCGCCTCCTGCTCCGTGGCCGCCTCGTGCAGGTTGCATCGCTCCGACTTGAGCATGATGGGAACCTGGAGGGGGGGGAGGGAGGGGGAGGGGTTAACAGGGATACATATTAGGAGGGCGGGATAGGGGGGGATGAGCAGGTCAAAGACCATACCAACCCGCAGGAAACTACAGGTTGGGGCAAAGCAATGGGGAGAGGGAGAGGAAAGAAGAAACTGACGAGCTGTTGACGAAGCTTCACGATGGGTCCAACACAGTAGTGCAGGGGAGAGGGGTGGGAGGAGGGGAGTGCGTAGTGATGTGGGTCAGGGTCACCTCCTGGGTTTTTCCCACTAGAATCTCCACCGCATCTCCATTTCATATGATTCGCAGCTCAGAACCCACCGCAGCTCTCTCGCCCACAGCCGCCCTTCAGGTCCCAAACCCTAAAGCTCGCTCCGCCGACCCCACCCCCTCCACATACACAACAGGCCCCACCCTCTGCAGCCGCCCTTCCTGACCTTCCTGACTCATCTTAACCCACATCAGCCTCCTCCCAAGAACCCACTGGCCCCCACCCCATGCCTCCACCCATGCTCGTTCTAGCCCCCTCGGGACTTTCACCAGGACTTGCCACCTCCCTTCACAGCGTGCTAGTCCTTTTTCCGTCCTTCTCCTCACAGCCCCCACCTTGCCCTTTTTCGGTTTCTTCCTGTTGACCCGCCCCCTCGCTACCCCCCCCCCGACTCCGTTGCTTCACTTTCACCCCCCCCCCCCACCTTGCCCAGGTGCACATGTGAAAATGTCTCCTGCTTCTCCTCCACCGTGTCGTCCTCCAGCCGCGTGTACTCCGTCTTGGTGACGTCCACGTACAGCGGCGCGCAGTAGCTGAGCAAGCGGGAGGAAAGGGGAGAGGGAGAGGGAGGGGGAAGGAAAGGGAGGGGATCGGGGAAGGAGGAGGGCGAAGGAGGGTGCTTCGGGCAAGGGTGTTCAGCGACGCTGTGCCCTGGAGGCTTGATAGGGGCCCAGTTGAGCGCGATGAAGCGCAAGCAAGGAAGCCAGAGGAGGCGGGCCTGGCTAGGAGGATAGGTGCGCCCAGGCGAGCTAGGAGCAGGCAGCAAGCTGCGCTGTGCAACTTACGTGAGGTTGCGCAGGCGTGCCTCCTTGGGGAAGAGGACCACCGATTCGCCATCCTGCTCAGTGATTTGAGGCCTGCTGAGGTACACCTGTCCAAACTTGATTATATACTCCTTCTCCTCGGCTGCTTCTACGCCTGGCAGGTGCTGCGATTCAGGCTTAATGACGATTTCAGGCGTCTCGTCGATGATCTCTTGGATTGTGACGTTAACAAATTCATTAAATGAATCTAGCTGCTGACGGACAAGACCCTTGTCGTCAAAGAAGGCTGTAATGACGTTCCACGAGTCCTCCTGCACAATCTCGTCGTCGCCCTCCTCCTCCTGAGTCACCTCCATATGGTCTTCATCTGCCCCGTACATCTTGCCTCAGACCCGCAGCCCACCGGCTGGCAACCGGGCTGCGGGGCTGCGGGGCAATGGAGGCGGTTGCCCGCCGACCCCGCGAATTAAAACGCGTGCTGCCTCTAAGATGACTTTAGGATAATCCCAGGACAAAGTTACTGTGCGTACTTGGCGACAAGCCTGGCAAGTAGCAGCGTTTTACAGAAGGCAAGAAAAAACAGGTAGATACTTCAGTACTGTTTAACGCTTTAGACTATGTATGAAAGATACGTGCGAAAACTTTGCTATGACGGACTTATGTGGATCCTTTTGGCTTTTGCTTCTCGTTGGCGCGCATGGATGCCCGAGCGTTGTCATGCACCTGAGCGTTCGCCGTCCGGCGCTACAATTCATCACATGTAACAATAGCAAATATAATAAGATGCAAGCTGCTCACGTTGTCGGGTGTCCGGCTTTCCGACTGCGCTTACCGATCTGTCGCGCCGCAGTCGCAAAGTTAACCCCAAGGCTGCTCAAGAAGCCACACGACGCAAGCGAGCGTCCCCTTTCGTGCGCATCGGCCGTTCTTCCTAATAACGTGCTGAGGCAACATGTCACCTCCAATGCCCGTCCCCATGGCGATACCGTTGACGACGTCGCGAAGCGCGTCAGCAACATTTCCACGCATATTAGGAGCCTTGTCGCGGCCATCGACGATCTTAGCAGACCCAACGCCCACTTGAACGCTGGCTTTGCTCCCGCTGGCGACGCATCCCCAGACCAGGATGGGGCCCCCACCAACACCCAGCAACAGACCTTCTCCCTTTGGTTCGACTTGCTAACCGCCATCGACGCCCTAACCGCAGCAACTGCGGATGTCCGTGCCTGTACGACGCTCGTCCAACAGTATAGCAGCTCCCGTACACAGCTTGAGTCTCTCGTCCACCTTTTGGCGACTGTCTCAGACATAGAACACCAAGTCCTTTCCTGTCCACGAACCTTCCAGGCCCTGTCATCGCATCCCCAAGCCCACCTCCTCCGACCCACATCGCAAACCCAACCCACCCAACACCCTCCTAGGAACCACCACAACCACCTTAACCACCGCAACCCCCGCAACCCCAGCAGCACCGCCACCGCCCAGCACCTCCTCTCCGTCCTCGGCCCCCGATTCCTCCGCGAGGCCTACCACCCCCCGCACCCGCATGCCTTCTCCGTGGCCCTCCCCCACAGCGACAAAGCGGCTCTACTGGCGGAGGCGCGCAGGCGGGAGCAGCAGCTGCTGGCGGCACTAGGGAGGCTGCTGGGGCGTGGGGACACGGGGGCTGATGGGGAGGAAGGCTGGGGCGAGGAAAACTGGGGCGAGGAAGGGCAGGAGGGAGCCTGGGAGGGGGACAGGAGTAGCAGCGGAGTAGGTGGAGGTGGAGGCGAGGGCGGTTGGAGGGGGGAGGGTGGTACGGCAGGGCTGGCGCCGCCGCCGGGTGCGGGGTCACCGCCGCTGTTGTCGTACAATTGGCTGTCGTACGGCCTGACGGCGGAGGAGCTGGCGGAGGATGTCGTACTGGCGGAGGTGGCGGCGGAGCAGTGGAGCCGGCATCGGCGGCGGCGGCAGGGTGGACGTCAGCAGCAGCGGCGGCATGATGGCGGTGACGATGCTGATGCTGACGGTGTAGGAGAGGACGGCGGCAGCAACGGCGGCGGCAGCGGCGGCGGCGCCAGACTGTTTCTTACGCTGGATGTGTGTGCTGCGCTGCTGCAGCGGCACCCCGACCCAGTGCTGCGGCAGCAGGTGGGGAGAAGGGTGATACCGGGTATGTGCGTTCCATCATGCGCCATCGTGCTTGTCAGGGATCAGCCTCGGTGGCTTGTCTGGCGTCTGACCCAATTGGATAACTTACCAAAGTTCGTGCGTTTGCTCGTCCGCGTACGTCTGCTCGCCTGCGGTTACCAAAGTGAGTGCCACATGACGCGTTTACCAAAGTTCGTGCGTGGAACAACCGATGCCGTATACATGATTCAAGATGGAGGGTGAGCCAATCATGTCACTGTCACTGGTCTGTTGCTTTCGTCTGCTCGTCTCACCAAAGTGAGCGGCCGCATGGCGCATGCGTGCAGGTGTATGAGGAGGGCCTTGCGCCGCTGGGCTCCTGTGCGCTGGGCCTGTTGCAGCAACTGAGGGACACCCGGGCGCAGCAGGCGGCCTTGTACGGACTGTACGACAGCAGCGATGGCGACGGCGGGATTAGTAATACGTCTAGTAATACCAGCAGCAGTTATTATACCGGTAATGCCGTACATGCGCAGCTGTTTGGTGGCGGCGGTGGTGCTGGTGACGGTTATGCGGCGCTCGCGCACATGGACACGCTGGCACGTGACGCCCGTGCGGCGGCGGCTTTCCTGACGTCGCTCGCAGAGTCGTTGAAGCCGCTGGTTTCGAAGCAGGTAGGGGTTTAAGCTGGCAGGGGGTCAGGGAGAACAGAGCTGTTATTGCATTGCATTGTTTTCGCAGCGGAAAGGAGTTGACCCATGGGTCAATGAGCTGGTTTGAACCCCAACCCAAACTCGGTTGCCATCACCCGTAGACTGAGCGCTTGCTCACCTCTGCCAGACCCTCCGCGCTTCCCGTGTCACGCATGCACTGTGCATCGTGTCACAGGCACTCCAGGCCGAGTCGCACCATGACTCGCGCTGCCCCCCCCGGCTGCAGGACTCACTCGCTTCCATCCACCACGAGCGTCATCTTGTTTGCCATTCTTCTTCAACACACTGGGTATTCTTCGGGCCCCCCGCAGGTGAAGTCAATGCGGCGGCTGCAGGCAGGAGAGGACTCACCCGCCTCCACCGCCTTCGCCTCACCCACCTCGACCGCATCCACTGCCTCACCCGCCTTACCCACCGCACAGCCCGACCTAGCCCTTGACGTGGGCAGTCAGGAGCTCCTGCAGAGGCTGCAGGCGTGCCGAGCGAACCAATCGACGGCTGGCGGCAACAGCAGCAGCAAGGAGGGCGAGGATGGTGTCACCATGCTGCCGTTCGATACAGCAGATCAGGCTGCGCCGTACATGCACGACATGGGCGCCTTGATGGCGGGCGTATCCGCCTGGTTTCGGAGCTTACTGGGCGTGACGCTGAGCCGACCCACATCACCACCGCCAACCCAGATTGTTGGAAAGCAGCAGCGGGAGCAGCACCGGCGGTACCCAGGCCCAGGAGCATGTTCTGACACTGATGCGACTCCGTACGACGGTGTTTCTCCTCTCCCGTACGACATAGAAGCGATGCTGCAGGATCTATCCTGCTTGGCCCATGGATACGATCTAACGAATCCCGGCGATTGGTCTTCCGTCGGTTGGTCTTCCGCCGGGCCCATGCATACCGGTAGTTTAACCAACGGCGGCAACAGCAGCGCTGCTGCCGCCCCCGGCGGCAGCTCCCTATCTGGCACGAGCGCGAGGGAAGACGATTGCGGCAGCAGCAGCAGCAACAGCAGCAGCAGCGGGTTCACAGGCCCCGCCTGTGATATCAGCCACGAGGTCCCCCACGCTGCCGTCCTCGCAGCTCTGCGGGAGGCTGCTGCGCGGGAGCCCGGACGCTTCCTCGCCTTTAGGGTGGCGGTGGAGGGCGAGGAGACGGAGGAGGCGGAGCAGGAGGAGGAGGAGAAGGAGGGCGGCCCTGGAGGCGGGGCGAAGTTGGGGCAACAACAGCCATGCCGGCAGCAGGGCGGCGGCGAGGGCGGCGGCGATGATGCAGCGGAAGGTGTTGTGGATCCCGAGGCGAGGACGCCTGGTCCTCATGGCGGCCCCCGAGCAGCAGCAGCAGCAGCAGCAGCAGCAGCTGCCCGGTGGTTGCTGCTGGACCGCCGAGGGGGCTTCGGGACGCGATACCTGCTACCGCCGCGGGTGGGGCAGCGGGTGGGGACAGCGGCGGGGGGTGTCAGGGTGGCGGCGGTGGTGGTGGGCTTGCAGTCGGGTTGCGGGTGCGGCCAGCCTTGTGGCGACGGAGGCAGCTCCTCCTGGCTGACCCGTGGGTCGCACTTTGAGCTGTGGGAGCTCATGCATGAGCTCGGACATGGACTGCACTTCCTGTTGGCCGCAGCGCCGCCCACCGCCGCCGCAGCCGGCGCCTGTCTGGACGCTGAGTCAACCGGAGCCGGTACGGCGCCGACGCCAAAGCTGCCGTACAATGCCTTCCTGCCGCACAATCTGCCCCTGGAGCTTGTGGAGTTGCCGTCCTCGTTTCTGGAGCGAGCAGCTGGGGAGGCAGGGGTGGTGCAGGTGCTGCTCTCGGGGTGCAGGTGGGTGAAAGCGTGACCCGTGGGTCTGTGTGGTGGGATCTTGTCGTGTCCGTGGCCTTACTCTCTCGCACACACATTGTATCACTCGGACTGCATACAGAGCTACTGTCCCTCCACACCTTTGAAGCTGTCCTGTTGCTGCTGCCTCTGCTGCAAACACGTCGTCTGTGTTTGCGGCTCTGCACCCTCTGCGACCTGCCCCCCCCCCCCACGCACGCACACACACAGGCACCCTGTCACCGGCCAGTCACCGCCCCCGGACGTGGCTCGGGCGCTCGCGCGGGCGGTTCGCTGCTCCTTCTACAGTCCCGTCAGCATGCAGCTGCAGGTGGGGGGAAATTAAAGATAATTGAAGCAACGAGTCGCAATCCCATATCCCGACTCATGCAGTGAGCGCATTCGGAGACACTATCCTAGAAGCACGCAATTCAGGAGTCATGCGATTCCGACTCATGCGATTTATGGTTCTAGGTGGATGGGGCCTGCTGCGTGCCGGTGATTCAACTCCGCTGCGTTCCGCCGCAGGTGCTGTCCTGTCTGCTGGATCAGCTGCTGCTGCTGGCGCCGCGCAAGTCGCCCGCGGCCCTAACGGCCCCCCGCCTGTGGCGGCAGCTGCTGGCTAGCTTCGCACCCGACCTCCCCGCCGAGTACACCGTACAACAGGTGTGTGCCGTACTGTAGGGTTGTCGTAACTGAACCGCATTAACAGACTCACAGCCCTCGGTTATGACCTTGTACCGGTAGTACAACTGCCAGCCTGTCACAGTACAATGGGCGTCTGCCGTACCGTACGGCATGGTAGTCAGAAAGAGAAACGTGCCCCCTGCTCATGTAATGCTTGCTAACATGGTTACCGATACTGGCCTGGTAGCATGCTTTGGAAGAACGTGCTGGCATGTGTGCTTGTTGGTTCGTGCTTGCTGGCTTGCATCTATCGTACTTGCTAGTTCGTGCTTGCTTGCTAGACACTAAGAGGGAAAGGAGAGCCACCCGTCTAGGCGCCCACCGCGGCATGACCGTTTCCCCAGTCCTGACAGCTGTGTGCTGCCCCACCCCGCTCATGGCGTCGCCCGGCTCCCCCGCCTCCCTCCTCCCCGTCCCGCGCATGCACGCGCGCAGCTGCATGGCCTGCCCCGCATGGCCCAGGCTGCGGGCCAGGGCTACGGCTACTGTGTGGCGGGATACCTGGCGGACGAGCTTTGGAGCCGCTGCTGCTGCGGCTGGCAGGCGAAGGTAGATGCAGGGGAGGGGAAGGTTGATGGCCGTTGCAGCCGCCGGAAGGGGCAGGCGCGGGTGCAGGGGCGGCTGCTTCGTAGGCTGTTGTTCGAGGAGTTTGTGGTGGCAGCTGCTGTGGGTGGAGGTGGGGGTGGGGGTGATGGGCGAATGGGCAGCAGCCGCGTGTTGCTGCGGCCAGCGGATCTGCTAGCGAGGTTGCTGGAGCTCACGTCAGCTGAGGCGACAACAGCTGCTCCTGCTGCTGCACCGGCTCCTGCTGCTGCAGCGGCTCCTGCTGCTGCACCGGCTCCTGCTGCTGCAGCGGCTCCTGCTGCTGCAGCGGCTCCTGCTGCTGTTGCGTTTGCTCCTCCACCCGCTGCTGGTGCTGCTGCTGGGGTTCCTTCCTCCGCTGGGGCTGCTGCTGCTGTTGCGGAGGCGGGTGGTGGTTCCGGGGTGCAGGTGGGAGGAGCTGCTGGGAGGGAGCCGGCAAGGGGGCCGGCAGGTGCGGGTGCGGATGGGGGTGCAGCTTGCGGCACCCCCGGGCAGCCGCCGGGGGTGAGGTTGCTGATGCGCGTGCAGGGGGGCGGCTGTGTGCCGCGAGTGTTGCCCGAGCTGGTGCGGCGGTGGGCTTGGAGCGACGCGGAGTGAGAGAGGGTGCGAGAAGGAGGGAAGAAGAGGGAGGAGCAGGAAAACGGGTCTTTGCGTGCTGCAGCAATGGTTGCGATGCGATGCAATGCGTGATGGGGCAGGAGCAGCAGCTGGACCCTGCTGAGGGATCAGAGATATATCAAAGCCACAGGTTAGTGCAAAGCAATGGGTTCGTGCTGTGGGAGGTATAGGATTGAGAAAGAGCTGAGAGCAAAGGAAGTGTGACCATAAGCTCCCATGATGAACTTGCAGCTGAGCTCTGTAACTGCTACGCGAATTGTGCGACCGTTTAACTGAAGGCAGGGACGGGTTATAATGGTCTTCGTGTGTACATGGTGTGACGAGGAAGGTCGCAGATCCCGCACCTTGCAAACCCCGTGTATGTTTATACCACGCCTGCACTGCTTCCGCCCATGCCAGTCACTGACGCAACGCTAATACACACCGCTCGGGATAAGCGCGCCAGCAACATCAATACCCGTGCTCGCAAAACCTCGTTCATCCTCAAACTTCATTCGTTTGCACCTTGACCACCTTGAGTTCCTGACCTGTTTGAACACCTCCATGCCCTGGCTCCAAACCAACAAAACGGAATGCATTATGTATAACTTCTTGGCATGTCTTTAACACCTCCACGCCCAAGCTCTAAGGAACAAAACTGAATGTTTAACTGGTAACTCTAGCAGCCTCTGTTCATCCATCCTAGGACCCCCGCGCCCCCCACCCCGGGTCCTCCGCCGGCTGCCACAGCCAGTAGTTGGCCAGCCCGCTGTGTCCGCACGGCTCGCAGCGCACCCGCCCGCGCCCGCCGCACGCCCCGCAGCACGCCAGCTGCACCCCCGGCAGACAGCCACCCACCTTGCCGCGACCGTGGCAGACGGAGCAGGGCAGGTAGCCGGCGCCGTAGCAGCGCTTGCATTTGCGTGGTCGCTGCGGCATGCACGAGGCGTGGGGCATGAGGCACGAGGCGAGTGGGTGAGGCGTTTTAGAGTGGGTGGCGGGGGCGGTGTTGGTGGCTATGTGGCGGCTTCATTGCGTGGGCGTGTGGTTAACGACTCGTTAGGGCGGGGGGTTCGGTGTTGCATGGTCGGGGGGCATGCGTCGGCGGCATGGCTCGTTCGGCAAACGACAACTGGACCTTTGCATGAAGGAAGGGCAGTGCAGGAAAGCGCACGTGCAAGGGCTGATGTCGGTGGGGATGACGTCGGTAGGCGGCTTTTGCGTGCGTTACGGAGCCTGGCGGAACCCACCAGGTATTGTACGAGGGCTTGAACGCCGTACGGCAGTACAGCAGAACCAAGTACGGCAAGCCCCACTAAGGCGGCAGGCAGCGACTCAGCAGCAGCAGCAGCAGCAGGAGTATTGCATGGGATGGCTGCATGATCAAGGACAGAACTGGGATTAGGCTTCGGGCATGCTTGGTTTCACATGCATGTGCACACATGGAGCATCGAGCTTTGGGTTGATGTGGGATTGTTTATGGCCTGCCCTTGTCTGGTCCCATGCGTGTCCGCTTATACAGCAGGGGCGTAGGAAGTGTGTCAATTGCCCTAACCATGCCCTCAGGTCGTTTGGCCTTTTGTGGGCTTGCAACCTCCCCGGCTATACCCGAATAGGCCCCGCCCCTGTTAATATACTCCCGTGTGAAGTACTCAGACGCATGGGGAAAACCCTTACCGCGCAGGGGCGAGAGTCGCTTGGTATCTACGGCTGGCCTGGTCCAAAGTGGCAAGCCTGGTTTTGGTCTGTTCGTTAGTGATATGCTTGGCGCTTTCGGGCAGGCGATTCCCATCCTTGTCGCAGAATCCAACGCCGCTGCGAGCGCACGTATGTGTTGGTTGCCACTCCTATAATTTGCCGCTGTAAGCAACGCAGGAGAGGGTGACAGCTGAGAGCTTTTGTGTCAGCCGGTGCATGCAAGCTGCAATGCTCGGGTACGGAGTAGACGGCAAATCCACAGATTTAGGTCAGAAGCCCTTGGGACGTTTTCTATACTAAGTAATTTGTAGACGTACCTGTACCATACAAAGTATTCAGCTGACTTGATTATAAAGTTGCTCCCCAATACCGCATGCGCTGGCCTGAAGGAGTGGCATCATTAATGGGGCAACCCAGGCAGCTAGTCGGCTGGCATTTACCCACAGCGTCTTAACAGAGCCCTTTGGCTTGCTCGGGGAACAAAGGGGCGGCACAGCACCAACTGCGGGCGGTTCTATACGAAGTCGTCCAACATAGGCCCGGAACCCCGCCCTTTCCCCACCTCCAAAACTACCAAGGTGGTTCTAAGCCTAGCTGCTAGAAACTGAACTAAGGCCGACCCCCGCCTATAGGCGGTAGGTGAATCGGTCGGACGTCCTTCGCTACCACTATGCAGCGCAGCCGGGCGCGCCGCTGTCCTTGTGACAAACAAATAGCCCTGTTTAGTTCGTGACACTCGAACCACACCCAGCCATCGGCGTGCATTCGGCGCTTGAGCCAGCAAGTCCGACATTTCAGCTTTGCGAACTCATGTCCGCAATCAACTGTTCTGGCACCTGTATTGCTGGTCAAATGCCTATAGAGGCAGAGGCCTTCCCGGCTTTGCGGCGAGATTCTCCCGCTTTGCAGCAGCCGTATTCAACATCCTCCCGGATAGCCGGAAGCCTGGACCATGCTTCGTCGCCCCCTTCATCATCATTGTCGAGATTTCAGCGCCGACGGCGTCATTCATGGCAACGTTGTCGCTGGCAGCGCTGCTGGAGCAAGGAACAGCAGCTCGATGAGTCTCCATGCCCCTCAACAACGTCCACGACCGATTCCAAATCGGCAGGCCTCGTTCGCATGCTGCAGGAACCGCAGCCGTGCCGCCGGAATCTTAGCTGCACCTTGGTTGAAGGCTGCCTCCTCCACGTTCCACGTTCCCTGTGTCTGCCTACTGCACCTACTTGCAGCCACTCCTACAAGCGCATTGTTCGGCTGCAATCCGTGCAATTGAAGATTCTGGGCCGGGAACCAGAGGACTTGGCTCCTGGCTATCGCAAGGTGCTGCAAGCCCTTGCGCGTGCGTGTGGCTGCCGCTTGGCGGGTGTGTATGTACGACAGGTGAGGAAGAGCGTGGCGAAGGTTTGGTTCTGAGGGGTTGGTAAGGGTCTGCTGGGGTACGGTATGGTTAAGGGTTTGCGCTCAAACACGCGGCATGTCTTGCATCCTCGGCCTGCCCCTCGATGCTTCTAGCTTCGTTGGGCTGTAAGCCCAACCCGGGCGGTGCGGGCCTGTGATGCTGAAGCACTTCCATTGTTGCCTGTCGTTTACCACGGTCGCATTCGCTGGTATATGCAGGGCTGCATAGAACTCACTTTGGATCTAGAAACGGAGGAGCAGCAGCAGCAGGAGGCTGAGCCAGGAGAAGGCGATGGCGCTCCGGATGAGTACTGGCAAGAGGTCAAGCCCAGTCAGGAGGAGTCCTGCATGGAGCGCCGGGGCAGCAGCAGCCCCGCCAGCAACACCACCAGCAAGGGAGCTGCAGGCAGCACCAGCGGCGGCAACGGCTTTGCTGTCAACAACTGCAGCAACTCTAACGGCCAGCCCGGACCCCTACCTGGGAGCCATCGCAACAGCAGCAGCAGCAGCATCCACAGTAGCGGCAGCAACACCAGCAGTGGCAAGCTGCGCGGCTTGGAGCTGCTCTCCTCCCAAGAGGGCATGCAGGCGGTGGTGTCGCAGGTGGTCAAGGCCGCGGTCGGGCCCGCCACGCCCGCCCCCGCCACGGTAGACATCAGCTTGCTGCCACTGCAGAGCGCCGCATGCTCCGCAGCCTCCGCAGCTGGGTTCCCTTCCTCCTTGAGGAGGTCCCCCAGGCCAGCCGAAGAGGGCGCCGCCGCAATGCCTGGGGCAGTGCCCATGACGACCCACATGGCGGCGTCACGCGGCGGGTTGCGGACGGGTTTGGGTTTGGGTTTGGGAAGGTTGCCGCCGCCGCTGGAGGGATGGCTCCTGAGGCCTCGCGGTGCCCGGGGGTGCTTCACGAGAGGCAGTGCGGGTGTGGGTGCTGGTGCTGCTGCTGCTGCTGGTGGTGGCAGCTCGGGGTCAGGGTCTGAGTCGAGCTACAGCTGCCGTTCGGGTCCCGTCATCCGTGCCGCGCCGTGGTCAAAGGTGCTGGCACGATCACATGATGCGGCGCAAGCGGCATCGTCGTCCGCTTCGCTGCCCCAGACGCCGCCGCGCCGGCCGGTCATTAGCCGTGTACAGCCGCGTGTGGTGCTAATACCTGTCGTACCACCGCCCGGCGCAGTAGCACCTCCTGATGGTTCTGAAGTGAGGGCGGCACCAGCAGCTGCAGGAGCTGCGGCGCCGCGGCTGCCGCCGCAGTCGCTGCGTGCCGGCCAGCCGCGCCTCCTTGCCAGCACCGCTGACCACCACGCCGCCACCTCCTCCAGAGGCAGCGTGGACGTCCCGGGGCGGGATAGCAACGGCAACAGCAACACCAACACCGCCGATGACGATACGGCCAGCTTGATCAGCTGCATGAGCAGCAGCGGCTTCGCAACGACCTCCGACTCCGCGCCCTCCTCTCGCGACGAAGTGACCACCTCCAGCTCCTCCGCCACCGCACACCTCACCGCCTCTTCTCCTCCTCGGTCTTGCCCAGCCAGCGAGGATGCCCAGTCGCGGGGCCCGCAGGCGCCCGCGAGCCCGGTCATTACCTTCCGGGTCGACATCCTTACCACGGGAGGCGTCTTGCTGCCTGTTGAAAAGGCGGCTAAGACTACATCCACTACATCAACCAGCGCTGCCACCACAGCTCCGGCATCTGATTGCACGCGCTGCACGCAACACCACCACCAGGCCGCATCTGCCGGCTCCCTGCTCAAGAGCGGCACCGCTGTGCATCCGCAGCTTGAACTGCTAGCTCGCTGCAACGGTCACTACCTGCCCATCCAAACGCGAGTCCTCGCAACCTCCTCCTGTTCCTCTCGTTCTTCCTCCTCCTCACCGGCTTCTACCACCAAGGCTCCTACCTCAACCGCTGAGGCGTCTGCTGCTGCCGCTGCTGCTGCTGCGTCTGGTAGAGCCCAGGACGGAGCGGTGACGATTACCTACGAAGTAAGCCTACTGGCGCTGCCGCCAGAACTCATCCCCAGCGGAACCTCCACCACCGACCACAGCACCCCCAGCAGCATCAGGACCACCTCCTCATGCGGCACGGTGCTGCTGCTAGACCTCCGCTGGCGCGGCGCTCCGGCGCAGGTCGTTCCCGTGCTGCTGCTGCTGCAGCAACCGCAGCAGCCCCAGCAGCAGCTTCAGCCGCAGGGGCTAGCTGCGGAGTTGGCGGCTGTCGCGGCTGCTTGGCGCGGTCCCTCACAGGAGCTGGATGGCCTGCTTTACGACGCGGGGGCATGGCTGGCGGGGATGGCAGCTCGGAGAGCGGCCTCGGCGAGGACTGCAGCGGCAGCAGCTGGCGCCATGACCGCGACTGCAGGAGCTTCTTCTCCGCCGTCGTGGTCGTTACTGTTGTCGGCGGCGGAGGCGGAGGAGACGGCGGCTTTGACAGCTGCCGGTGGCACCAGCAGCAGCAGCAACAGTAGCACTGACGGTGCAGCGCACATGCAAATCGCAGCAGCAGCAGCAGCCCGGCAGGGGGCCCTTGTTGTGGACGGACTGCCGGAATGCGTCGGCTCTGGTTGCGGTGGTGGTGGGGTTGTTGGGCACGGGGAGGCTGCGTACCTGCCGGTGTTGGGCGCGTCGCTGCTGCAGTTTGCGCACGCGATGGGGCTGAAGGGGATGGCGCAGGAGCTGCAGGAGGGCATGCGACGGGCGGGCTACACGGGCTCCTTCAGGTGGGGTGGGGTGGCGGGGGGCGAGGAAGAGGAGGAAACCGACCAAGTATGGCTTTTGTTGGGGGATGGGTTGGGCTGTGGATTGGGTTGGGTCGGGCTGAATGTGGGCTTGTTGGCATGAGCGGTTTAGGGGGTGAGCTTAAGGCTGGGTGGGTGGTGAGGACATGGCGGGCTAGGGGAGTTGCCAGGGTTTCTTGCCCAGGCGGATTTAAAAATCCTTGCTGTCATTATCGTGAGGGCCTGTCCTGTCCTGTCCGTAGTATCTGCGCTGGTGCTGGTTTAACGCTGACGAGTGACCCACCTCCTCTGTTCGCTGTCCGCTGTTCCTTCCTGGCAGGTCCCTCCTGCTCCACACCACCGAGACCCATGGTTCGGAGCAAATCCAGCCCATGCACCAGCAACACACGGACCCCCACCAGCAGCAACTGCAGCAAGCGTTGCTCCCTCAACCTGAGGAGGTCGTTGATGCTGACATAAGCCCGTTTACTCTTCCTGCTACTGCTACTGCTCCTGCGGCGGCCCCTGGTACCTTCACCGGGTCGGCAACCGACGGGTCGTCTCATGCGCCTTCTGCATCCGCGTCCCCATTAGCACGCTTCAGCCTGCGCTCGGGCCGCAAATCCCTGGACCGCTGCCCCCCCAGCCGCACCCCAGACACCTCCCTCAGCGCCACCTTCGGATCCGCATCCTACCTGGAAACAGATCCGGAGTGCTACAGCCCCCAAGCTGCTGCTGCCGCCGGCTTCGGCTCTCCTCTGTCCACCGCATCCTCCGTTGCCAGGCTGCCGGACGTGTTGCCGGCCCCCGAGGTTGCGGGAGGCGGCGGCTCGGAGGCAGCGGCCTCGCTGTCGTGCAGGCTGGCAGCGGCCTCGGGAGCCCCCGGGGAGCAGCCGCCTCGTGCGGTGTCACCCCAGCAGCTGGAGCGCTCCCTAGCGGCCCTAGGACAGGCGCACAAGCAAGGCGCGGAAGGCACCGGCGCCGGAGGAACTTCGCCGCTGTGAGTGTGCGGTAGCCTGGGGCGTGTGTCATGTACTCATGTTCTGGCTCGTGGCCCGGGTTAGAGTGGCCCGGATTACCGAAGTGCCCGCTTGTAGAAGCTGCTGCTGTCTAGGGCGCTCCTCACGGCACTGTTTCAATGCTTATCCATCCCCCTTTCCTCACGTTTCTCTTCCTCACCTCACCTCCTCTCCCGTCTCCTTCCCTTCCCCCATGCAGACAACAACTGAACTTGTTGAGCCTGCTAGAGCTCTTCTTCTTGGCCCTCTTGGCCGTGCCTTGCGGAGGTCACCTGGCCAACCAAGGCAGCTCCCAGGCAGCACCCGGGATCCTGCCGCTGCCGGCGGCGGCCACAGCTGCCCTGGTGGTAGCGCTGCTGCCCGCCCTCATCGCCTGCGCGGCCGGGCTGCTGCAGCCGCTGCTGCGGCAGGAGCGACAGCATCAGACGCGGCAGCAGGAGACGCGGCAGCAGGAGGCGTCTGCGGGGAGTCTGTGGCCCGACTTGTTGCGGCTGGCCTGCTCGGCGGCGGCCAAGCTGCTGCTGCTCAGCGGTGCGCTGGGTAGCGCCGGGGTAAGTCGGCTACCCGGAATCAGTGAATTAGTTTGGCATAAAATGTAAAAGCAACGGTTAGTGCACTTGACACAAGCCCTGCCGCTGTTCCTGGACCACTGGGGCCTCATTGGGTGGAATTTGTGTGCTGCCCGCTTCACAGGGTAGCGGTCTGCGGCTTGGAGTGCTGGCGCTGGAGGGGGTGGGGGTGCCCGTGGGCTGCCTTCTGGCGCCTGATAAGACCCTCACGCTAGCGACGTTGAAGTTCCCCATCTTCCTGGCAGTGGCAGTGGTCGCAGCGGCGGGGCCTGCGACGGCGCCAAGCGCTGCTGCGTGGGGCCCTGCAAACACCGCGGGTCCAGAGGGTGTGTTGCAGGTTGTCGGCGGCAGCAGCGGCGACGCAGCAGCCACGTTGGTTGCGGCGCTTTGGGCGTTGCTGGTGGCGGTGGTGGGGGTGTTGTGCCATGCACACCTACGCGTCCGTCTCCAACGTGCGGCCGTTCAAAGTACGAGGACTGAGTAACGTGCATGCCATGGGCCAGACAGGTGCTAAGGTTACGTGGGGTGGGGTGTCGTGTTAAGAATACTGGCACGGCTGGTGGGGTGTCGTGTGTGTTGTTCCTGATTAGCTTGGCAGCGTGGGGAGCATGGGGGATTGCACGCGGGGGAGCGGTAGGTACGAGGGCTTTTTTAACCTGGACCTGTAGAGGAGGGGCTTATCGCTCCCTTGCCTGGCTGTGTTTGTGGGTACGGCAAGTTCTGGGCCCGCTGTGGACCAGATGGTATGGTGGCTTTGCTTGTGCGAACTGGTGGTGTGTGGACAGCATTGTTAAAAAGAGTTATGACTGAATAAGAAGCGATGGCGATATGCAGCAACGCGGTATGCAGTACTGGTGTCGGTTCCAATCAGTCCAAATGCGGTTACGCATTGTGATTGGTGCTCCTAAAAGTGCTCGTAATTGTTGTGTGGGGAAGTACGGTTTCCACAGCAAGATTCTGTCGGCCGATTGTTCTTCCCCTTCAGCGGCTTCAGGAACTGTGAATTTGCTGGAATGCGTTGTACGGCTAGGTTTGGGAACACTGAGATTTTGACCTGCAGTGCAGTCGATTGAGTGTGCGTGGCGCGCGCGGTGCCGTAGCTACTCCTCCAAATCGTGTGTGGAAATCAATTGCTTAAGAATCTAATGGTGTGGCGTGCGGACGTGAGCAGTCTGCAGCCTCAGCTCTGATAGAGGTTGGGCACGGCAGGAGGGGGCAAGAGTCCTTTTTGGTTTCGCGAGCACGCCAAAGCTGTGTATGCTGCCTGGTCCGTCCGTGGCTGCGTTTAGGAAGTAGGTTTCCCTTTCCTGTTATCCGAAGGGGGGAGCTGCATCCTGGGGGGAGGGATCTATATCGTGCGGGTGATTGGCTGGTGCACGCCTGTGTTTGTGTATTGTCCTGGTATTGAATCTCCCCTGGGGCTTCTATAGCAAGTACGCTATGTCAAGAAGTTGAGTGCTTGAAGTTTTGAATGTGAATGAAAGTTAAGCGGATGTTAAGCAGCATAATGTTGAGGTGGTTTCTGAGCGCGCAATCAGCCCCCTCGCTACTCCTTTTGATGAATGTCAGGTGTATGGTTTCCCGTGAGATGCCGTTGGCGCATTCAAGCGGTAAAACAGTAAGTACGGGAAGTATAAGGGCCCCGCACTGCCGAAAGTGTTTGTATCCATGCCAATGCCTATTTGCGTGATATATGTCCGTTACCTGTGGTGGTTGGAAAGCTGGAGGAACTGAAGTGTGTAGTTGAGTGTGTGTTTGGCGAAGGTTTACGTGATGATGCGGCGTGGTGATGTCTAACCCGGTGAGAGGTGCCATGCACTTTGCTGCTGGTGTGGTTTAAAGAGGTTGGATTGGCCATGCTTTGCCATGCATGTGGTTTGGTGGCGAGATGGGTACAATGTTTCAGTTTGTGCCCATTTAGTTGCATGAAGGGATGTCGAAAGAGACCTCGAAGCCATAAAGATTCCCGATTGCATCATTGGACGAATGGGATGTTTTGCCATTGGTACAGCGTTTACAACGGTGGGATGTACGCCGCCGCCGCATTGATGGATTGTGCAAATTTCAAAAGCACCACAACTAAAGTTATAAGGGCATCAATGCAGAATCCGAGTTCTGATCACGGCCACCAACCGAAGTACAATCCCTGTGTGTCGGCATTTGAGGCGACTGTGACATTGCAGGTTGACGTCAACTGAGTATCATTAACAAGAGACAACAGAGATACAACCTGCCGGCACAATAGATTCGTAATTACGATAACTGGATACATACATGCAGTGTCGCACGTCATCTTAATCCACGAATGCTCAAGTCGGCTATTGTTAATAGCCTACCGTTGGGTATAGCGTATTATGCACGTCTTATCCAAGAGACATGTACACTCATCCTTCGCACAAGCAAACGAGCCGTTAGCAAGGGTTCCCTGCTTGTTGTACACACCCAACCCGCATACACCCATCCAGCAACTGCCGAGCAAAAACGCAACCCTCTGCAACAACCGGTCCGACGGGCGGCACGGCAAGCTGAAACGTAAGCTTGCCAACATCAAAATCTGCCATCCCTGCAAACCGCTACGCGTCATGTACATTATCGAAAATGAACTGAAGATACAGCCACCTAGCATTAATGCACTTCCCCAAAAGTCGGAGTCAAGCGCCGACCGGGAAACGGCCTGCAACACGCCGTGCCCTTCGGTTCAGGCGGACACATGGCACTTGTTGCGTACACATCGAAACACACCACGGACGGACTGTCGGGCCCAAAGCTGGTCATAGTCAGGCGGCATAAGCTGCCAATTACGAGTACGACACGCGCCGCTGCGGAAGGACCCGAGGAGCATTGAATTGCACCGGTGGGCCGCTGGGGGTCCAGCGCTGGTGCTGATAGGCTAAGGCCGCAGCGGCCGCCGCGACCGCATGCAGGCCACTGCTGGGGACGCGCGGGAAGACCGGCGGAAGCGGCGCGGCAGGTGCGTAGCCTGGGAAATAGGGGTATGGGGCACCAGCACCAAACGGATATGGCACGGATTAGCGTGGGTTTGAGCGGCGATCCAATGTAATTAGGTACGTTTGCATTGGAGATAACGATGCACGCAACCTCGATGCTAGGAGGCGGGAGGCATATTCACATACCTTTCCGGTTATCGTGCGCACCACGGAGGTCGGCGGGCGACGGCGCGCGGCTGTGCTCACGAGAGGGCGGCTTCGAACCTGTGGCACGACACGGTCGGTATGGCAAGTGTAACGTGCAAGGTAAAGCGCAACACAGGCCAAGCCGGGAACAACGCCAAGGGCGGCTACAGGTTATTCGCACATGTACTGGCGCAACAAACTCGTAATAGGAGACGGAGGTATCGCAGTGGGTATTGGCCGTTATGTACCGTAGCTGTGTCTGATCATCGCGCACCAAGTTATTTAGGTTTTTTTTAAATATAACGCGCAGGGGTCTGAGCAATTATATTCCACTTCGCGCAGCGTAGGGAGTATTATCCTAAGTACCTTCCGATTATGTGACGAACAACCAAAAGCATAGCGGTGGAACCCGTGGAAGCAAACGCTAAAAGCTACGGGTGGACTTGGACGAGGGGAAACCCGGGGGAATTGGAGAAAATGCGAAACCCGTTGTTTTGGGGGTGGCACAGGAGGCCACGTATTTATTTTCCTTAACGCGCAGGCCCCGGACCTTACATTACTTTAGCGCGTTAATGCACATGTTGCCAAATAATTGTTTATTTTTGCGCGATGATCACGGGGAGGGACGGTAGTGATTTTAAATGTCACCACACGGTCAGCTCAGGGTAGCAACCTGAAGTGACTGCCTCCATCACACCTGGCACGATTGGGAGCTTTACGACGCGGGGCTGACCTGCCGGTGCGTGTGCGTGCACGTGTGAGTGCGCTGGCTTGGAGTGGACAGCAGCGGGGGCGGCCGACGGGGCGGAGGAGGGCGCCGCGCCGCTCCAGGAGCAGGCCCGGTGGTGAGGTGCAGCGGAGGGCACAGAGGACGCAGAGGAGGAGGAAGGGGCTGCTGCGGACGAGGCGGCAGGGGCTGACGGCGCTGCGGCACCAGAGGTGGTGGGAGGGGCTGAGACGGCTGGCCGTACGGCATCCGTGTCGTAAGATGGCGGCGGCAGGTGCTTGGGCAGCTGCCGGATGTCTCGGGGTACGACAATGGTGTCCAGCAGGTTGTGCCTGGATGGAGCGCCTGCGAGGCAAGGTGGGCAGAAAGGTTGCCAAGGACAAATGCAGCCAATCACGTGACTCCCAGCCCGCAGATGAAAGACAGGGCCGCATCCGCGCAGCCATCATCTCAGTGGCGCATCGATCCTTATTATATGTCGCTTGCGCGCGCATGTGTGGATGATAGGACCCACCATCAGATGTCCAGCGGCGGGCCGGCCGGCGGTGCGCCGAGGGCGGCTCCGGCATCACGTGCAGCCACCGGGAGGCTGCGTGGCTGGCCAGGATGGCGGATGGGGAGGGCCTGTGCGGGTGTCCACGGTGTGGGTTGATGATATCGCGATGTCGTGAAATAAGGAAGCAGCCGCGGTTAAGGAACGCAGCAGTGAGGAAGCCGCTACCTAACGGTGTGGCGTAGGATACATGTGGCTGTGGCACGGCATGCAATGAATGGGCCCACACGCCCACACACTAGCCGTTGCTTGCTTGGGACACGAGTCTCACCAGGCATCCACAGTTGCCACTCCCTGTAACAGTCTACCAACGAACCGCACACATCACCCCGCCAGGCCGGTTCATACCCCCGCGGCCTGGTCGCACCGTTTGCTGGGCTCCGTGCTCAGTAAGTTGTGGCAGATGTTGATCAATTCCTGGCTGTAAGTGCCGGCCTTGATGGGGGCAAAGCGGCCGCCGATAATGCGGTTGCGCAGGTCCAGCATGTTGCGGCCCTCCATAGGGGTCCTGCAGGTACGACGCACGACAGATGTTGGGGATAATAGGCATCCAAACCTCCTTGCGTTAACGGAATGAGGTGATGGGGTGCCGCTGGGCTGGTGTGCAGTCCAAGTTGGGGTTGGAGCTTTAGGAGTCTCACAACACATGAACGTGTCCCGAGGGGCTTCATAATTGAAGTGGGGTCCTAGAATGGTACCATGGGCGCTGAATTGAAGCGGCTGGAACACACCTGAAGGTCATCATCTCGTACAGCACGGCGCCCACGGACCACATATCACTGCCGTACGAATACGGCCGGCCGCTCCACACCTGTGCGGAGAGGAGAGAGGAGACAAGAAACACCGGAGGTAAGTGAGCACGTCGATAGCGTCACTACGTCGTCACGATGCATGCTAAAACGTGTGATAGCAACGGACCCAAGCAGGGCAAGCACCCAAACCAGAACACATCTGCAGCGGCGCGTCCGCCCGCCCTCCACTTATCTGGTGCCATGTAGGAGGGTGTGCCGATCTGAGTGCGCGTGAACTCCACCCGCGTCAGCGCCTTGGCGATACCCAGGTCGCCAATCTTGAGTAGGTCGTTGGCGCACAGGAAGATGTTGGCAGGCTTGATGTCGCGGTGGATGACGTTCTGAGCGTGAAGAGCCTGCAGGCCCCTGCAGAGGGGTGGTGGTGCACACACGGGACACAGGAGTTTGGTTGAGTTTGGATGAGGGTAAAGCGGTGTTGGATGAGAATACGTAGATAGGACGCGGGATATGTGGGGTATGTGTCCTGCAGTCATGGATCCCGGTCATGCTCCAACGTCCTGCCATTCCTCTGCTTACTTGCAGAGCTGGAGCAGAATGCGCCAGATGGCCTCCTCCGGGAACTGGTGCTTGGTCTTTCTGCCCTTGTCGATGTAGTATTTAAGGTCGCCAAAGGGAGCATACTCCATGACGGTGCAGAGCTTGTTGCCCCACACGAAAGCCTCGTGGTAGCGTATCTACACAGCGCGAGGAAGATACAATACGTACGCTGCTAGTTTATGGTCAGGATGAAGGGTTAGAGAACAACTGTATCGACGCTTTCGCCTAAAACCCATGCAAGCGGCCGGCATGTAAACCTAGCCAGTCCCAACATAAGTTTCCTTGTGCTACCCTATATGCGCCTATGACTATGCTTCCCTGCATACTGCACGCATAAAGGAGCTTCCAGAGGTTGGAACCCCCCTTGAAAGGACAAGAGGACGCGAGTCTTTCCATAACTGCAGCTATGCTAGCGGACGATAACCCACCACGTTGTGATGAGCAATTGACACGAGAAGGCGAACCTCGTTGACAGCATCAGCTCGCTCGGCTTGTGACATTGAGCCGAAGTCTGCCACCTTCAGCGCGTAGACTTGCTTGTCGCTTTCGCGCTCAACCTTATATACCTTCCCATAACTGCCCCTGCCGAGCTCTCTGTGCACCTGTGTTGTCCATCGTTGAGAAAGTTGCCTGACATGACATGGAAACATCCGCACTTAGGTTTGCTATGGCAGAGGTAGAGTCAATACCTTGAAGTTTGGCATTCGAGGCAGGCCGCTATAGGCGACGCCCGAGCTCGGTGCTGCCATGTTCAAGTCTGTTCACCAGAGTCGACGACTATATGGTCTGAGCTGCAATGGCACAGCAGCTCAATTACTGTCACTAAGAAGCAAAGTAGTAATGTAAACGTTGCAGTCAGTAATGCTAAGGAGCTATACTCAAAGCAATGTTGGTTTTTGACGCTACGAGGCAAGGGCAACTATGGCCCAAGGCAACTTCTCGGCGTGTTCTTTTTAGTCTAGGTAAATGTCAATCCTACGGGACATGACGAACATGCTTAGTAGCCAAGGGCCTTCTCGGGTCTAGGACAAGTCAGTTCAAACAAGGAATCCAATTGGTTTCGGTGCGCCATGCCTCAATGCAACTCCTTTGTTTGCTCCCTTAAACAAGGCGTCGGCTTTCATAGCCCTATCATGTAATCTAGTATTGTTCTGTAGCCATAATTAATCAGCGCAGCTAAAACCGCTGCCTGGCAGATTGCACCTGACATGCCCTCCCAAGCTCAAATTTAACTTGTTAGCATACCGGTCTCAGCAAGTTCAGCGCGTGGATGCTACCGGTCATTTATCTAAGTGTCGGAAGCCGTCGTCGGCTCCTGTGCTTTGGGGTATGCTTTGTGGGACTCGAGGCAACGCTTGGGGTGTTACCCGCAGTCACAGTCACAGTTCCGAATGAACGCAATCGCGCATAAAGCTCGGTGGCTTCCGGGCTTACGTCGTTTGACGTGACAAGCTCAGGCGTTGCGACCGTCACCAATCCCTTAGTCCTACACGGTCCTGCCGAACGAACACGGTACGTATGGAGTGTTAAGGCTCGACACAAACACACACGCTTGCCACATCCACCGCATGCGGGTCACGGCAGTCAGTGGAGGCAAACAGTCACCGCTAGTCACGGTTAGTTTCTGTCATGTCCTGGTCGTTCTTACCATACACACAGTATCAAACCTCCAACAGGCTAACAGTCTAAACTATAGGGGCCTCTCAAGTCTCCCATTTGACACTGCACCCAACTCATCCCACTATTCACTCCGGCTATGGCACGCAACCGCCGGCTGCCTGCTCCCGTCTCCTCTTGCACAACACCTGCCATGCAAGTGCGCTGTCCCCTAGAAGCTCATCCCCTCCTTGTCAGCCTCCTTGGGGTAGTAATCCTGCGTGGGGCGTGTCAGACTCGTGTAAGGCCAGAGGGGCTAGTGAGGCTTGGTTCCAACGCGTGCTTGGAACTACATGGGGGCCCCTGGCACGACCCGCGCAACGCCTACCACACTAAGTCACACAAGGGACACGGCTAGTAGCTGTGCTTTTGCTCTCAACCCGCTACAACCCATTTGCTTTCGCACTACACACAGCACAGCATACATGCAGTACTCCACATACCTGCAGGCAACCCAGCCCACTCGCTACCACCTTGAAGCGCCCCCGTAACCGCTCCAGGGCATCAATCAGGTTCTCATCCTGTGTACGACACACCAGCAGCGAAAAAAGGGCTTTGTAGACAAACGTGGGGTGGATTGTACGGCAGCATTACAATAAAGACCTACTCCGCTCCAACTCAGGTGTGCTAACCATCACCAAGTTGTACCAATGTGCCGGTGCCGTGCTTTCCTTTCTACTGCAAAACTGACTAAGGCCGGCGGTACGGCAAACAATCCCTGCCGTACACCACCTTGATGCCGTACACCTGCCTGCGGGTCGTACAGCGGGAAGTTCTGGATCAAGGCCTCCAGGGCGGCCAGTGCCCGCTCCTGCCGCTCCGAAAGCGCTCCCGGCTCCCGAGCCTACCGAGATGCGGTTGGGGTGTCCAGGGGCGCCCCCCCGGGTATGTATAGCCCGGACAGCAGCGGCGAGGGTGGACAGGTGGGAATGGTTAGAAAGTGAAGCAACTGGAGTCCCAAGCCCATATCCCGACTCATGCAGTGAATGCACACGGGTGGACAGGGGGAGGGGCAGCAGGAGTGGAAGCAGCGGGGGCGTTCGCATTCAACCGGGACTAGAAGCCGGGTGCGATACGGCCGCTAGTGGGTGCCGTACAATAGCATAAACGGAAAGGTCGCTGGCACTAGGTTGTTGTACGGTAACTGTACGACGGTCTGCCGTACCTGTAGAGCGCGCCACATCCGTGTACATCCTGCGTAAAAGCCCACTTCTTGTCCTGCATACCAAAGTCGATGGCTAGTGGTCAGATGGCAAGATGAGTCTAGTTTACCTAAGGTTTTATCAGGTAGCGGTAAGTTATTCCAGGTACGCCAGGGCCCTGCCTTGGCTTAGGGAATCGCCTTTCCGTTGCGGCTTACCTATTTCATAGCCCTTTTGTATACCAAGTTCTCTCCCCTCTGCTAGACCCGCCAGCAAGCCGTCCCTGTGCAACATCGTTGTCAGGTTGGGTGGCGGTGCTAGGCAGGGCAGTTAGTTGTCAACGCAGCAAACCCACTTGATACCATCTTCACGCCCCTTCTGTATGCTAGTATCCTCAACGCTCAGCGCCGCTCCAAACAAGTCATCTTCCAAACCGTCGGCAGACATGTGTCAAAGGGATCGCACAAACAAAGATATACTACAAACGATAAAGTGTTGTCACCTGTATATATTGCGGCACTTAAGGAGTGCAGATAATTGATGGCAGGTAATGCCGGCTCCACGATTACAACGACGTAATGCGATCGGCGGAGTCAACGCAAAGGAAACGCTGAACAAGCTTTTCGATACTGTGAACCTTACACATTATTATTGCTCTTGACACACAGGTTACATATCTTACTTGTGCAAACTAACGTGTAGCACGCTTCCCAGTTACCGCACCGTTTACATGATTACTTAGCATTGCATGCGGCGTTAGGAATGTCAAGACCATCGCGGCTAACGTCGACTTTGCTGGGTCAGGCGCCTTTCCAGCCTTTAGATGCGATTGCTTCGGGAGTTCGCCTTGTCGGCTCTCATACATGTGTTTCATCAACATCAGGAGCTTTGTCCGCTTCACTTAATAAACACGACTCTACGGTATTTAGCGAATCGGCACTCGCTCATCCTGCAACGGCGGCGGAATCAGTTACAGCGCTAGCGCGAGCTCCTGAGACGCTGCTCCACGCAAATGCTCAAACGAGCATCGGAGCTACCTGTAACTTGCATGCTGACAGCTCCCATCAGATCTGCTTACCCGGCGTAACTCATCCTTCTGCCGGATGGGCATCAGCCATCGGGGCTGCAAAGCGCTTCGCAGGTGGCTGGGAGCGGCCCCCACAGACCATTAAGCAGCTACGCGACTTCAGCACAGCTGCCTCTGGCGGTCATGGCTCCTTACGCGCAGCCTCCTCCGAGGGCTGCAGTAGCAGCATCTGTACCAGTTCCGGCAGCATCAACAGCAGCGGCCTTGTAACAACAACCACATCAACAACACCAGCAGCATCGATCTGCAGCACCAGCACCAGCAGTTGCTGCGTCAGCAGCAGCTCCCAGGCGCCGTCGCTGCTCCACACCGCAGGTGTCCCGTCGCCTGTGCTTTCAGCCCACCTGGACCGGGGCAGCATGCCCGCAGGAGCAGTGGGAGGAGCAGGAGCAAGAGGCATCTGCACGGCACTGCCCGGCACAACAGCACCAGCTGCGGTATCAGCTGCAGCAGCAACGCATACGGTGTTGTCAGCCATAGCATGCCAAGCTGCTGGATTCGCCACCCGGGCGTCTACTAGCAAGAAGAAACAGAAGAGCGCCTCCTCCTCCGCAGAGCCCCCTGCTGTAGCAGCTGATGCACCCACAGCCACAACCACAACCCCTGCAGCAGCAGCAGGCGAAGCGGCGGAGGCAGGCGTCCCAGAGGCGACTGCCGGCGTGGAGGCCGGCCCTCCCGCCAAGCCCAAGCGCGTCAGGCGCAAGTCCTCCTCCGCTGCCGCCGCGGCAGCAGCAGAGGGGGGAGCTGAGCCGGCTGCCGCCGCCGCCGCATCTGCTACCGAAGTTGCTGCGCACGCCGCCGCTGGCGCCGCTGATGTCGCTGCCCCTGCTGCTGCGGCCGCGCCCAAGCGGGTGAAGCGCGCCTCCACTCGCATTTCCACATCCGCTAGCACCTCCTCCGAAACCACCGCGAATGGTGGTGCCGCAACCGATCTCGACCCCACTGCCACCCCCACTGCCACTACCACCACTCGACGCACTAAGGGCACTGCCAAGAGCAAGAAAACCTCAGCAGCAGCAGCAGCCACGACCGCCTCCTCTTCCTCCTCTGGGACACCTGCCTCAGCCGCAGACGCAGCAGCCGCAGAGGCAACCGGCTGGGAGGCGGAGGTGGAGGCAGCCGCCGGCCACCCCCCGTCCGCGGGTGCGGATGCCGACCCCTACGTGGACGTGCACGACACGCAGGACCTGCACCACGGCACCAGCCTGTTCGTGGGCAGCGAGCGCGAGTGGTACGAGCAGCACGTGCGGGAGGTGCTGGGTGCGCCGGCGCGGGGGCCGGGGGTGGGGCCGCCGGAGTGGGAGGCGTTCAGCCAGCAGCTGCAGCTGGAGGCGAGGTGCAGGTGGGGAGGGGAGGGAGGGGGTGGGGGGGTGGGGAGGGGAGGGGAGCCAAAGACCACACCATACCATAGGAAACCACTTAGGGTTAGGGTAAAGCAATGGGGATAGGAGACCACCGGGTGCCGCAATACAGAGTGTTGGGAGGGGAGGAGGGTGCAGGTGGGGCTGATGAAAGCCCACCAGGGACGGGTTGGGAGGTGAGGTGAGGGGCGGGGCTAGTTAATCACATGGCAGCAGGGGGTGCTGCAGCAGCAGCAGGGGGTGCTGCAGAACGGTCTCCTCTGGGCTGTGGAGCCGGTGCGCCTCTGACAGCACACCTCCGCCCCTCCCCGCCCTTCCTCCTCCTACCTTCTCCTGCCTCCCTGCCGCCTGCCTCCCTGCCGCCCTCCTCCTCCTCCTGCCCTCCCCGCCTCCAGGAACATCGCGTTGGAGAGCTACCGGCAGGAGTACGAGAAGCTGCTGGAGCGGCAGCAGGCGTCCATGGCGCGACCCGCCCGTCGGCTGGTGGCGCGCTGGGTGCCGCAGCTGGCGGAGGCGATCGAGGTGCAGAACAAGCATGTAGGAGAGGGGGGTGGAAGGGGGCGGTGGGGGAGAGGGTGGGGGGGTAGAGGGGCAGGCGCATGGGGTATGCAGTTAAACTGAGACTCGAGGCACATGGGGGTTTGGGAAGGGAGGGGAGGTGTGTAGGGAGTGGGGTGGGGAATGGGGCAGATCCATCTACAACCCCCTCAGCCCCTCACCCTCTCCAACCCCAACCCCAATCTCTCCCTCCCTCCTCCCCCCTCCCCCCAACCCCCAACCCCCAGTTCCTCACCCTAAACGTGGACTCCCGCTCCGCCGTTGCCACGCGCGGCCCCAAGGCGCTCAAGGGCTCCAAGGAGCGATTCGCGGACATGGTGACGGCGCAGCACATCGGCAAGCTCACCGCGCCCCCACAGCTGACCAGCGAACCCGGCAGTACGGCAACTGTGCCAAGTACGGCAACAGTGCCAAGTACGGCAACAGTGCCAAGTACGGCAACAGTGCCAAGTACGGCAACAGGCAGTGCCCAGGCAGCGGCTTCAGCAAGGGCGGGAGCAGCAGGTGCAGGTCCGGAAGCAGCCCCCGGAGCAGCACCAGCATCAGCGGCAGGGGAAGGGGAAGGGGAAGGGGCAGCGGAAGGGGGAGCTCTGCAGGCGGGGGCCGAGGGGGGCAGCAGCGGGAGCAGCAGCAGCAGCAGTAGTCCGCAGGAGGCGTTGCCGGCGCTGCGGGACGTGTCGAGCTGGGTGCCGCACACCATGTCAGTGCCGCCGCCGTTGCTGGCTAAGGCGGTGGTGGCGGGTGAGGGGGCGGGGGTGGCGGGGGGGGGGAGGAGAAACTGACGAGCTGTATGATACGGCTTTACAATGGGGGGAAGGGGGTAATGTGGGGTTAGCTAGGGGCTCTGGGGTGGCGGGGGAAAGTAGCAACACCCCGCTCCAAGTGAAAACACCCTTCTCTAATACCCACGCAATACATCACATGCGGTTAGGTGGTGTCCTCTCGTCCCGCAGGACCCCAACCCCGGGACACCCCCTAACCCCCTAACCCCCCCCCTAAACCGCCACGTCCCTCTCTTCCCCCCCTTCCGCCTCCATCTCCCCCCCCCCCCGCGCAGCCCTGCTCAACACGTTGATCACCGCCGAGCGCGGGAAGGAACGGGATGATGCGGTGGACATGCCCTCCGGCATGGCACTCAGTACGGACGTGGCGGACACGCTGGGGCGGAGGGTCATGGACATGGTGTCGTACATGCAGGTATGCCGCCGTACGACGTGAGGTTGAAGATGTCGTAGTACATGCGGGTACATAAAGGTACAACGGTTTTTGCCGCAATACGTGAGCTGTCGTACATGCAGGCACGTAGCGGCATCTGCCGTACGACGTTTTGAACTCAGTATATATCCGCTACCCCCTCTCCTCCCTGCCTTCCCAAACAGGCTTGTGAGTTGGTGGTTAAGAAGCGCAGCGAGGTGCGCAAAGCCGTGAGAGACAGGCGCGAGGTGTGGATAGCTGCCCGGACGGGGGGCAGCGGAGGCGGGCAGGGGGCGGAGGAGGGGGGTGCACCGCCTGCGGAGATGCAGGCGGGGGAGCTGCTGCAGGAGCACGAGCTGCAGGAGCTGCGGCAGGCGGCAGCGGCATGTCATGTGGATGGTAAGGGTGGCGCCGCCGGTTCCTCCTCGCCCACGCCAAGCAGCAGCAGCAGCAGCAGCCCTGCTGGTGAGGGTGCCATGGATCCTCCTCTGCAGGCGGTGTCTTCAGGGGGGTTTGATTTGGGACAGCTGCTATCACGTGAGTGTCGGAGTGACGCTCGCATAGACCAGGTAAGGAGGAGGAAGGGAGGCGTGGGGGTTGAGGGAAGGGGGCTGGGAGGGAGGGTATGAGGCGCACATGCGGGGCGGAGGGGAGACGAGGGTGTGTGTCAGTGACCCCCTGAGCACTGCATCACCGTGGGTTTGTGGGTTTGGCGGCGTGACCCATGGGTCGGCGGTGAAGCTAGGGTGGGAGGGCCAGGTGCTGCGGGATGCGCATAGCCCCGGATCGGCGCTCCCCTTCCTCCTCGGCCCCTCCCCATCCGTGCCCTTACCCTCTTGGCTTCCTGACAACTCGCTGCAGCCTGTCCCCACTGCCTTGCCCTAACCCGTCGTTTTGGTATGTCTCCGACCCTCCCTCCTCCCTCCCTCCTCCCTTCCCCCCCGATCCCTTCCCGCACCCCTCTCCCCAGGCCGCCAAACGGGTCATGGATGCGCGCAAGGCGCTGTTCGACATGCAGGTCGCAGCGCACCTGCTGCAGCCCCCCACCGCCGCGGACCAGGTCGTATCCGACGGGGTGGCCGCGGGGGCGCGGCGCACGGCGGCTGCAGAGCTGCGCAACAGCTCGGGGAGGCGGGTGTGTTTGAACTTCTGCGTGAAGCGCAAGCTGGCGGCGGCGCCGGAGCTGGCGGCGTGCGTTCAGAAGTGGGACCAGGCCACTCGGGTGCAGGTGGGGGAGGGGGTTGAGGGTGGGGAATAGCTGAAAAGTGAAGGGGGGGTGAGGGGTGAGAGGTGGGTGGAGGGGGGAGATGGGTAGGTGAGGGGTAAGTGAGGAAGGAGGCCAAACCGCAGGAGTGAGGGCAAGGCAATAGGGAGAGGAGGCGGCCGGGTGCGGTCGTTTCTCGCGGCTCAGTTCACCTAATCCCTCCTCTCTCTCCTTCCTCCTTCTCCCTCCTCCCTCTCCTTCCTCCTTCTCCCTCCTCTCTCTCCTTCCTCCTTCTCCCTCCTCCCTCTCCTTCCTCCTTCTCCCTCCTCCCTCTTCCTGTCGGGAGAGTCGAGTCGGGATTCGGGGTTGGGACTCCGTTGATGCACTTATCTATACTTTTCCTCCCTCCTCCCTCCCCCCCCAGGTGGGTGCCGGCCTGCTGTCTGTGGGCCTGTCCTGCCTGCACATCCACAACCCGGACAGCGGGGCGGAGGAGCGCGCCTTCCAGCACCGCAGCAGCAGCCTCAAGACCTTCACCAGGGGCGGCATACAGTCGCCCGGCCTCATCATGGCGCACCCGCAGGTGCTGAGGCTGCTGGAGGGAGATGAGGAGGTGAGGGGGGGGGGGGCGGGTGATGGGAGGGGGGTTAAGGAAAAGCAAAACAGGCAGGGAGGGGTTTGGGGGGGGTGTGGGATGGGGGGTGGAGGAGGTGACCAAAAGCATGCGGGTAGCAGCTCTCTGGCGGCCTCTGTTGCCAGTCAGTAAAAACACGTGCTGCTCCCTCCCCTGCTCCCTCCTCACGTAGCTCTTCATTTTGCCTCCCCCTCCCCCTATGGTATGTTACAATCTTTACCCCCCCTCCCCCCCCCTCTCTTAGCTCCGGCGCATGCTGCAGCCGCACATGATGCCCATGGTGGTGGAGCCGCGCCCCTGGAGCGGCGTGCGGCGGGGCGGCTTCCTGTCGCAGACCACCCCCGTCATGAAGGCGAGGTACAGCCCGAAGGTGAGGGGAGGGGAGGGGGGTAGAGGTAGGGAGGCGTGCAAGGGAGGGTTAGGGACAACGAGCACATGGGGGGTTGGGAAGGGGGGGCAGGCAGGCGCATGGGGGGTTGGGAGCGAGGTGGGCGTGGCGAGGAGGAAGGGTCAACCCGTGGGAGTAGCCCGTTAGCCTACCAAACCAGGGGGAAGGACCCGAAGGAGGTAGGGGGAAGGAGGAGGAGGAGGAGGGGGGAGCATCACCACCGCCGTGTGTGTATGCCGTGTCACTCCGTAACCCGCTTCCCCCCTTCCCTCCCCCCCCCCTCTTCCCACCCCCTGCCAACTCCTACCCCCATTGCTTTGCCCTAACTTGTGGTCTCCTATTGTTTGGTATGGTCTTTTACCCCCCTTTCCAGATCATCGAGCGAATCCGCACCGCGCACGCCAGCGGCGCCATGCAGCCGCTGTACGACGCCCTGACGGTGCTGGGCAACGTACCCTGGCGCATCAACACACGCGTGCTGGGGGTGCTGGAGAAGGTGCTGGAGTCAGGTGGGGTGGGGTGGGTGGGGGAGTGGAGGGTGGCGGTGTTTAGGAAACTGGCCGCGCGAGTAGGAACGTACCCGTGTGCTTGGCGGCGTATGAAGTGCAGGATGGGTGCGACCATCCCGCCTATTGATGCATGGCTCTTCTCCTTCTTCCCTCCATTCCCCTTTCCTCCCCCCTCACGCAACACGCCTCCCCCCTCCCCCCTACCCCTCTCACCCCTCATCCCCCAGGCGGTGGCAAGCTGGGTATCCCCCCCAGCCACAAGCGCCCCCTGCCGCCCCGCTTCACAACCACCCTCAACGAGAGCTACCGGGTAGGCCAGCCAGCCAGCCAGCCGGGGGGGAGTGAAGGTTGAACCCCTGCGCCACTGGATACGCCACCCCCCTTCCTCCGCCAGGAGACACCCTCTCATCTTCCCTCACACCACACCGCCTCAACACCACCCCGCGCAGCCATGTGGCAACCCATGTTGACGCCTTATCCCTCAGTCAGTTAGTTGTTTCCTCTTTACCCCGCCCAGCACCCCACCCACCTCACCCAGTCCAACCTCCGCTGGTGGACACCCTCACACCACCTCACACCACCTCACCTCACCCCACACCACCCCGCCCACCACCCACTACCCCACCCGCCTCCCCCAGCCGTGTCGCTTAGTCAGCCAGTTTGTTACTTTCCTCCTCTTTACCCCACTCCCTCCCCTCCACGGGACTTCCTATTGTCACGGTTAGTGTTGCTTTGTTGCTCGGTTTACCTAATCCCCCCCTCCCCCTTCATGCCGCTCCCCTTCTCCCTCCCCTCCCCTCCCCTCCCCTCCCCTCCCCCCAGTCTGTCCTGGGCGACTCCCAGGCTCCCCCCCAGTGCGGCACGCCCTACATGCGGCTGCAGCGCGAGGGGCGCGGGCAGCTGCTGGTGGGGGCGGGGGCCATGAGCCGAGCGGAGGAGGAGGCGTACCAGCGGCAGTGCGATGTGAGGAGGAAGTGGGAGGGGAGGGAGGGCGGGAGGGGGCGGGGAGGGGGGAACCGACGGGAGGGGGAAGGGGGGGGGGCCGCGATGGGGAGAGGGGCAGTGGGGAGGGAGGGTATTGAGGGGAAGAGTGAGTAGCGAGGCACATGGCGCAGGTGTGGGGGGGTGTGGGATGGGTGGCGGGGAGTGGTGTGTGTTAAAATAACTGGCCGCGAGGCGAAACGTGGTGTGTGTGCGTGTGCGTGTGCGTGTGTGTGGACAGCACAGGATGTGGGTTCTTGTCGTACGATATGATACCAGGCGGCGACCGGTTGTGAGGTCAGCTTCCTTGTCGCCCACCTCAATAGCCCCTTTCTCCCTCCCTACCTGCTACCACCTCCCCCCCCCCCCCCACACACACACGCACACGCACACGCACACGCAGGCGGTCCGGATGGCCAACTGCAACGACACGGGGTTGCGCACCGTGCTCAAGTACCGCATGGAGATTGCGCGGCAGTACGCGGGGCGCATGGTGGGCAGCGGGGGGGCGGCAGCAGCGGCAGGCGGGGTTGGCGCGGGTGGGGGTGTAGTGGATCTGGTGGAGGGCGGGCGGCAGGAGCAGCAGGGAGAGCCAACCGTGTTCTTCCAGCCGCACAATATCGACTTCAGGTGGGTGGGTGGGAGGTCAGCGGGCGTGTTGGGGTTGCACGTGTGTGTGTTAAGAAAACCGGGCGTGAGGAGGAACGTACGTTAAAATAACTGGCCCGTGTGTTTTTCTGCGTGCCCGTGCCAGCTGTTCACACAACGGCGGCCCCTCCTCGCCTCCCCCCAACCCTGACCTATTCGCGCCGCCAGCGCTCTTCACCCTTCCTTACCCTCCTTCACGCGCCCCCCTCTTCACCGCCCCCTCCCCCCCCTCCCCACCCCCCACCGACCCAGGGGTCGCGCCTATCCCCTGCACCCGCACCTAACCCACCTGGCGGATGACGGCTCCCGGGGGCTGCTGCAGTTCGGAGTGGGCAAACCGCTGGGGGAGCGGGGCATGCAATGGCTGCTCATGCAGGTGTGTGTGGGGGAGGTCTTCACCACTCTTCTTCGCGCTGTTCGCTCCTCCTTCTTCCCCCCCTGCCCTGACCTTCTTTTCCACCCGCTGCCTCCTCTACGGTCCCCCGCCCGGCCTCCTCCCCTCCCCCCTCCCCCTCCCTTTACCGCTTTTCGACTCGACTCACGGTTGTTTCCAACAGGGCTTGTCAGCAATTTGTACCATTATCACACCACACATTGGAATTTCGTTTCTTCCCCTCCCTTGGGTCCTGCAAACCCAACAACTATGACTAACCGCAACCCAACTATCCAGCCTACTGCGGAGTACGCACCGGTATCCCCCGATTACTACCCCCCCCTTTATGGGATTTGGACTCGTTGTTTCACATATTTAATCCCCCCCTTCCCAGGTCGCCAACTACTGGGGCCGCGGTATCGACAAGCTGCCCCTGCAGCAGCGCCTGGCCTGGGCCGAGAAGCACCTGCCGGCCGTGCGCGCCTCCGCGGTGTCCCCCCTGGAGGGGGCTGCGTGGTGGCAGGCGGCGGAGCGGCCCTGGCAGATGCTGGCCACCTGCTTCGACATCGAGGAGGCGCTGCGGTGCGGCAGCAGCCCCGCGGCGCATGTCAGCTACCAGCCTGTTAGCCAGGTGGGGGAAGGGGGGGAGGACGGGAGGGGAGTAAAATAAACAGACACTGACGATGCAACTAACAAGCTGTATGACAAGGCAAGGGGAGGAAGGGGGGGAGGAGGGGAAGGCGGAAAGGGGGGGTCACGTGAGGAAACTTACGAGGAACTGTGGTGGGGGGAGGGAGGGGGGGGAGGGAGGGAGGGAGGAGGTGGAGGTTGGGATAAGAGGAGGAATAACACCATGAGGCGGTGAGTACCGGTAGTGGTGAGGAGGGAGGTGGGGAGTAGCAGGTTCGTGATTGTCTGGTCACCACGTCTGGTCCTTCCTTAACCCGCCTCCCCCTCCCCCTCCCGCCCCCCCCTCCCCAGGACGGCACCTGCAACGGTCTGCAGCACTACGCGGCGCTGGCTCGCGACTCGGGCGGTGGGCGGGCGGTGAACCTCTTCCCCACGGAGCGACCGCAGGACGTGTACCAGGTGGGGGGGGGAGGGGGGTAAAGAGGAAACAACTAACTGACTGAGGGATAAGGCGTCAACAGGTGGTCGGGAGGGGGGTGCGGAGGGGGGTGCGCAGGGGGGTGCGCAGGGGGGTGCGCAGGGGGGTGCGCAGGGGGGCCCCATGCATGTACATCGCAAACCCGCACTTCTCCCCGTGAATGCACAACCGCATCCCCACCCATGCACTGGAGACGCCTCGCTTATCGCTTACTTTACCCCCATGCCTGCCCCATGCACACATACACAACCGCCTCCTTCGTCTTCTTACCCCCCCCCCTCCACCCTACCTTGCACAACACCCCCCCTCCCTTCCCCGCATGCTTTGCCCTAACTTGTGGTTTGGTATGGTCTTTGACCCCCCTCCCTTCCCCCGCATGCATGCAGGCGGTTGCCGACGCGGTAGCCGACCGAGTGGCCCGCGCCGCCGCACAGGGCCGCTCCGAGGCCGTCAAGGTGCACGGTTCCGTTGACCGCAAGCTGGTCAAACAAACCGTTATGACGTACGTGTACGGCGTTACGATCATCGGGGCGCGGGAGCAAGTGGAGAACCGACTGGAGGAGCGCGGCTGGACCAATGCGAAGGAGCGGCGCAAGGTGGGTGGTGGGAGAACAACCAATGTGGTGGGGACTGGGGAGGGAGGGAGGAAAGTGGAAAGGGATGAGCTGTAGCTGGGAAGGTTGGAGGTTGGAAGTTGGTGGTTGGTGGTTGAGGGTACCCTCAACCGCCGCAGCTCCACCTCCCTCATGCTGGGTCCACCCGTTGACCGCGCACCTCCCCCGCGTGCCGCTTCCGTGTGCCAGCAACCCCCCGCCCTGCCCCCTCGTGCTCCCTGCTCCTCCCTCCTCAAAGCCCCCCTTTCAAACCTCCTCACCCTTTAGGTTCGAGACGCCCTCATTGCACTCCCAACCAACATCACCCCACCTCCTCTCCTTTCCCTTCCCTTCCCTCCCCCCTCCCGCTCATTGCACGAGTCGAGATATAGGATTGGGACGCCAGTTGCTGCGCTTATCAATTATTCCCCCTCACCCCCCTCACACCCCCCTCCCTAGCAGCTCAGTTTATCTCATCCCCCCCTCCCCTCCCCGCATGCAGGTCGCCACCTACATCGCGTCCATCATCTTCGACTCCATGGGCGACGTGTTCGGGCCCATGGTGGCGGTGCGCACCTGGCTGGGGCAGTGCGCCCGGGTGAGAGCGCATGCAGCGGGGGGGGGGGAGGGAGGGAAGCAGCGGGGGGGGGAGGAGGGAAGCAGCGGGGGGAGACTGGGTTTGGGGGCGGAGTTTGAGGAATCCCACCCTCCACCTCATTCCACCTCATTCCGGCTTACTGGGAATCCAGCTGTTGACGTTATCCTCCCCCCTGCCCCTCCCTGCCCCTCCCTCCCCCCTTTCCCCTCCCCCCCCCCAGCATGCCACCTCCAGCGGTCAGCCCGTCATGTGGAGCTCGCCACTGGGGTTCCCCATCGAGCAGCCCTACCGCCACCTGCCCTCGAAGATGGTGGGCACCGCGCTGCAGGTGTGTATGTGTGTGTGTGTGGGGGGGGAGGTGGGGGGGTCTTGGAAAACCTGGGGGGGGAGGTGTGGGGGTCTTGGAAAACCTGGGGGGGGAGGTGTGGGGGTCTTGGAAAACCTGGCCGCGAGAGGTGGAACATACTGGCTTATCGGAAGTTGGGAGGGGGGAGGGAGGGAGAAGGGCGCGGAGGTAGAGTGACACCTGGGGGATTGGGCGTGTGTTAAAATAGCTGGCCGCGAGGCGAAACGTACTGTGATTGCCGAAGGATGGAGTCCTCCCACCGAAAACGCCACAGGTGAAGTGAAGTCCGTTGGCTATGTTGTAATAGAGCTATCGAGTAGTATCGGAATCAGTGTAAAGCAGTAATAGCAATGTCGTAACGCGACCGGACCTAAGGACCGGAGTAGTAAGTAGGTAGGTATAAGTAACCGTCACTGTCGTGTGTGTGTGTGTGTGTTTTAGAGGTGCCATAACGCTCTGAGCGGCTCTGCGGCTCGCGACTTACGGTTCCTTGTTGTCCCCACCCGCACCCGCACCCAACTCGCAGCCAATTTCCTAAACACATTCACCCACCACCCACCACCCCCCCCACCCCCGCCCCCCCCACACACATTGGAATTTCTTTCCCACCCCACCCCCAGACCTTCAAGTTGCGTGACAACGGGTTCGATGCGGAGTCGCCCATCGACGTGCGGCGGCAGTGCAGCGGCTTCCCGCCCAACTACATCCACTCGCTGGACGGGGCGCACATGATGATGACGGCCATGCAGGTGGGGGTGGGGGGGTGGGGGAGGGGGGCGAAACAAAGAGGTGACGTGGTGAGGTGGGGTGGCCGATAGAGCGGGGAGGGCAGGACGGCTGTCATAGGGATCGACTGACAGCATGGCCGATGTTGCATGGGGCTGACCTGCTGCACACCTCACGCACACTGCCAATGCGGTCCAAAACCTCTTTTTTTAACGCCCTACGCCCCATTCATATCCGAAACCCCTCTCATACCTGTACCCCTCCCCCAGGTGCGCCGCAACGGCGGCTGCTTCGCTGCAGTGCACGACAGCTTCTGGACGCACGCGTCGACCGTGGACGACATGAATCGAGCCATCCGGTGCGAGCGGTGGGGTGGGACGTGACGTGACTTGGTATGCTGTGGTGCCAGACAGAGCGGGGAGGACATGGATGGACTGACAGACCCGCCCCCTCGTCGCGCTCCCCACTCCTCCCTTCCCCCCATCCCTTTCATATCCTTCACCTCCACTTTCACATTCGCATTTACTTTCACTTCCATTTATTACTTTTTCCCCTCCCCCCCTCCCAACACTACCTCCCAATACTAACCAACACTTTGTCTTGTGGTGCCCTGCCAACTCCTACCCCCATTGCTTTGCCCTAATTTGTGGTCTCCTATGGTTTGGTATGGTCTTTGACCCCCCTCCCTCCCTCCCCCCCCTCCCCTCCCTCCCTCCCTCCCTCCCTCCTCCCTCACTCCCCCCCGCCCTCCCTTCCTCCCTCCCTCCTCCCCCCTGCAGCGACACCTTCGTCGAGCTGCACACCCGCCCGCTGCTGCACGAGCTGCACGCGGAGGTGGCGGCCAACCCGCTCTACCGGAGCGCGTATGTGCAGCTGCCGCCGGTGCCGCCGCCGGGGGACATGGACCTGTCCGTGGTGCGGGACTCCGCCTACTTCTTTTCTTAGGGAGGAGGCGTTTGTTGGGCTGGAAGGGGATAAACTCAAAGGACTTCTTCTTCTAGGGGGCGTTCTCCTGGGAGACGTTTGCCCTGCTATGGAAGCCACTTCTTCTTCTTCTTCTTCTCCTGGTAGGGAACCTGCTTCTTCTTTCGTAGGGAAGACGGAGACCGCCTGCTTCTGCCCGTAGGCATTTGTTATCCTGAAAGGGGATACAATTAAAAGGCGTAGGGTAGGATGGGCTGCATGGGTAGGGGAGGGTACGGCGGGGTAGGAGGGCTTATGTAGGTGTGGAGGCTGGGAGATGGGTGGTGATGAGCTCTGGAGAGCTTTTGCAGGGAGGTCTTGGAATAGTAGGGTTTAAGCGTGGGATGAGGGGCGGAAATGTTGGAGAGGGCGAAGGGGGTGGTTTTGCGTAGGAAAGTGTAGTAAAACGTGATACCTCGGTAGCTTTGCCTGCTGGTGGTGCTGGGGTGGAGCTCGCGGCTTAAGAGGAAGGAAAGGAGGTGCAGGGAGGAAGGGCAGGCGGGGTTAAAAAGTATAGGGTTAAGGTGAACTGTTGGGAAGGCAGTCGGCAAGGTAGATGTTGAGACTGGAATATCTTCATCCTGTGGCCGAAGAAGGGGTGTGCAGGGACGATGGTGGCGGGTGCAGGTGCGGAGAGCTCCTGCTTACGTTGCGGTGCAGGTATGTGCGTTTTAATTGGACTGGTCGCACAAACCGACATGGACCATGGATATGTGTGCGTGCGTGAGCACTGTGCGTGTGTGTGTTTTAACTTGCGCGCGCACATGCATTTCATTAACCGGACGGGGCAGTATCGCTCCGTAATTTGTCATGTGTTTCGTTGCTAGTACGGTTTGTTTCACGCAAGTGGCTAGAGGTGTTCCTAGAGACAGGGCAGGTGAATCAGGGGGCGGACGAGCTGTTCAGATTTGGCGTGATGTGTGCAGGAGTTAGGGCAGCAAAGGCCAAATGAGGTATCTGCCTCCTTTCATAGTCGAGACCCCTCGTGCCGCGTGTAAGAGGGATGGATGGAAGCACGAGCGGCATCTGCATGCGGGGGCCCGTGATCCGTATTGCATGGGGGCCGTGATCCGTCCCTGAGCAAGCAGGTAGCGCGAGAGGGGCTTCGGGGTGCGAGGTCGCTGGTCTGACCGCTGGTGGTCTGGTACCGGTACCGGTAGGGGCTTCATGTAAGGATAAGGAACGAGGGTTACATGCCATTTAGGCGCTGCTGCTGCGCGGGGACAGCTGCAGGGCAGGGACTCCATGCACAGGGGGAAACGCTCTTGGAGCCGCGTCCTGGTTTCTAAAAGACGGGGCATCCAGTAATTTTACACGTTGCACAGCGGGCAGTTGCAGAGGCATTGCGTTCGAGCAAAACCGGCCCAAAACGTCAGAGTATGCCTTTACCGGCTAACCTGATCATGACAAGCATGGTCTATGCCATCTCTCCGGTTGCCGGTTACCGTACGTCGCAATGCACTGCATCTGTCCTCAAGTCGGAATCCAGCACCTCACCAGGAGGGCAAGAGCATCGGCCGGGCCCGCTTCAGAGCCACTGACCACCCTGGAGTACATCCAACTGGCCCGCCCGCCTAGCACCGTTCTACTAAATGTAATTTCATATTCTTTACCTACAGCTCACAAGGAACAACCTCCGCGCCTTACGTCCAACCGCCGCGTCTTTGCGTAGGTCAGGTTGTCGAGGCCACGGACCAGGCTATCACGCTGCGGCTTGGGAATCCCTCCCATGCTGATCAGCTTGTCTTGCACGGCCTAGACAACCAAAGAGCATGCTGAAGCCGTAGCCTACATAGCCCCCTACATACAGGCTACGGCTTCAGCATGCTCTTTGGTTGTCTAGGCCGTGCAAGACAAGCTGATCAGCATGGGAGGGATTCCCAAGCCGCAGCGTGATAGCCTGGTCCGTGGCCTCGACAACCTGATCTACGCAAAGACGCGGCGGTTGGACGTAAGGCGCGGAGGTTGTTCCTTGTGAGCTGTAGGTAAGGAATATGAAATTACGGGCCAGTTGGATGTACTCCAGGGTGGTCAGTGGCTCTGAAGCGGGCCCGGCCGATGCTCTTGCACAAGGATGACCAAGTGCCGTACCGACAGCGATCTCACTCCGTTTGGCAAACGAAGAGCTGGAAACAGCTTTTGCTAGCTGCATATTGTTGGAGCAGCATAGACGTATAGTTCACGAACCCGGTGTCGGTTGCCCACTTATGCATGTTGTCCCTTTGCATCGCCGGAGTAGAGTACCGTAGAGACCTCGGAACCCTACCGAACGATTACTGCTTAAGCCTTAATCTGGCCTTAGACGACGTGCAAGATAGCCTCATGGGCCACCGATGTCCCATGGCTATTTCGGCGCCGCTGACATGTGCATAGGCAGGCCAAAGAGGTTTAATACTTCTAGTACTCCAGCGTTTGTCAGTTACTTGTCCACGGATCGCCAACGGTCACGGCACGCCAAATGCCACCTGGGAACAGACACTTTCTCGAGGCCGTCGCTGAAGTGTTTGGCAGCGAAAAGGCCTCTGACTGCGTGATTCGCTTCTGTCAGGAGGCAGATGTGCTCGAGCGACAGCCGGAGCAGCAGCAGCAGCAGCAGCAGCAGCAGCAGCAGGAGGCCTCTGCTGAGGCACTCCTCTCAGCTGGGGCAGCTGATGCAGCTGGTGCTGTTGGCGTACCGGTAATAAAGGATCAAAGTTTCATCGGAAGCCCGCTTCCTGCACACCGGTTCGTCCTGTGCTTCAGCTCCGAGCGCTTCACGGCACAGGTACGACAGGGCGCATAGCTCATAGTGGATACCTCGGCTGTGTCGAACCTGGTTTCTGGCAGATAGGGTGCCACGTTGAAAGTATGTATTATTAACATATATGTGTGTAACAAAGAAAGCTAAAAAGCACCTGATGCCCGCTGCTGATCTTCTCTCCAATGGCAGTTCGAGCGATGGGACAGTGGCGAGCCGGCCACACCAGCGGCATCCTCTACCCAGACCGCCTCCTTCACCTCCACCCCCACCACCCCCCGCCCCGAGCTGCGCATCCCCCTGGGCAGCGAGGCCGAGGTGGACAGCGCGCGTGCAGCCATCCGCTTCGCCTACACGGGGGAGGTGCAGGCGGGCAGCGTGCGGGAGGTGCTGGAGGTGCGGCGCCAGGCGACATACCTGCAAATCAAGGGCTGCGCTGAGGCGTGCGATGAAGTCCTACGCGGCATGATCGCCGCATCCACAGTCACTGCACAGCAGCAGCAGCAGGAGGATGTCGATGAAGGGCACCAACCTCTCAGCGAACAGCAGGCGGCTGCTGTTATGGAGTTTTACTTGAGTGCTTCGCTGTGGCCTGACCCCGCTGTCATGAAGGACCCCAGCTTTGAAGCCGTCGTGACAGCCGCCAAGCCGCAGCTTGTGTCGTACTTCGGCAGTACACTGCGGGTCCTCAACACGCCCTCCCTCCGCCAGCAGCTGCTGGATCTGCCGGCGGTGGCGGTGGAGGCGCTGCTGGAGTCGGACAGGTTCGGCACGGACAGTGAGTCCAGCGTGCTGCTTGTGCTGGCGACCTGGATGGAGGCCAACTACGCGACCAAGACGGACGCGGAAACACGCAGGAGGCTGTGCCGGCAGGTGCGGCTGGTGCAGCTGAACAAGCCCTACCTCGGCTTCGTGCTGCCGGCGCTCGCTGCGGATTTCGGGCTATCACCGGATACACCGGCTGGCTGGTTCCCTGTTTCCGTGGCAGAAGCCTGCTTCATAACCCATTTTGCTGATGCCTCTGAAAAGAAACGCAAGCGGCTGGTTAAGGAAGCGCAGGGATGCTCGGCATACGACATCCGCTCAGCCACCTACAACACAACACCCCGCGCGGCATGCTTGACCTTTGACGGCCTCAGCGTCGCCATGCACATCCCGCAGCAGACGCTGGAGGAAAAGCTGGCGAGCTCGCAGCCGGGCAAAACTGCGAGAATTTTTTGGACTATGGAGCAGCAACCGTTCGTCGTCGTACAGGGCTTCGAGTGGCGTGTGTCTGTACAATGCCGCCATGGGGCATCGTCCGCTGGGCTGTTCAAGCATTGCCGCAAGCCAGGTGCTTTCAAGACCCTAAATCCCCGTCATCTTAGCGGCCCTGAGCCAATGTTGGTGGACATGTGCAGTCACCTGGTCGTGGAGCGTTGGCGCAACGGCAAATGCGAGGGCTCAGTCGTTACCAATTTCTGCTCGGATACATATGTGGGCACGGGGAAAGGTTGGGGAAGTGCATCGGCGCTGCCCCTTCGGCCGCTAGAAGAGAGGGGTGCGGAAGCAGGTGGCGGCGGCGCCGGTGATGCACCTGCAGGAGGTGGTGGTCAAGAGGCGGCGGGCGGTACCCAGCAGATGCTGGCAGCCTGGGGGGAGTACCTGCACGAGGGGAAGATTAGGGGCAGGCTGACGCTGCTGCCAGCATCGGATGAAGAGCAGTGATGGAGAGAAATGGGGAAGAGAAATGAGGGGGAGAAATGAGGGGGTGGGGAGAGCAGTGAGCGGCGAATTGTCGTTCCGGGGAACAGTGCGGGTCACGTGCATAAGGAATTCGCTTATTTGCTGCATTACCGGTAGCTGTAACGGGGTGAAAGTGCTGTGAGCCAGTGCAATGGGGCTCTAGCGTTACGTGGCATGCTCTGTTCGTAACGTAGGTTGACTCTCCTGGGAGTTCCCTTGGGGAGTTCCCTTGGCTCCTGAGAAGGACCCGCCTGTGAGGCTCTGCACCACACTCCCAGACGGAGCCCTGCCGCGAATGGACCACGCTCAACATGCAACCCGCCCCGCAGCTTCCTGCATCCATGTTCCGTGTTCCCGGTAACCCTCGGAACACGCATCATATGGGATGGGAACACACTGGTCACTAGCACCTGTCTTTTGAGGTCCCCAGAGCAGGGGGGCTTTAGCATATCACCCTTTTCCGGCCCCGAGGGGCTTCGGGGGGGCCACCATGTGAAACTGTTCCGGCCGTCTAGTCTGCAGCTTCCCGGTAGTAGGGGTAACGTGCAGGGCCCCCGCATGCATCCAAGGTCTCGTGACGCGATCCTGCTGGGCCTCAAGCGGTTGCATTGCTTTCCAGGTTACGTGTGCATTCCAGTTGGAACCCCTCATACCAAGATTACCAACGCATTAGAGGGGCAGATGGTGCATTCCAATGGATTCCATGCTTGGCTTGGAACAGAGTAACGCAGTCGTCAACTCGGAGGCTTTCGTTTCCACGTATGCATGGATAACAGTTACCGGGGTCCCCAAGAATGGAACACGGGTGATGAACCAAGACCGCACACTTGGGCTAACACGGATGTCCTATGCATCTACGAAGTGCTGGTGCAACAGATGCCACAAAAGAACGCAATCCCCCCCCACACACGACGTCAGCAGGCTCATTGATTTGGGGTTTAGGAACCATGTAACATTTACAGTTACGGTATTATGTCCGGGCAACCTGGTAGGGCAAAAGACCACATGCCACTTTCACTCCCATCCTTGAGGAAACCGGTAGCAACCGAGCAAGCTGGTGTTCGATGACAGCAACCACACCACACCGCAAATCGCTGTGCGGCCTCATGCGGCCACATGCGGCATGCATCCTGGGGCCTACAAGCACTGCCTCCCAACCGTACATGCACTGACACGCTGTCCTGGGTAATGGTCTGCTGATGGCTGTTGGGCAGGGAAAGCCTATCCACCCTAACTACCGTACCAGCCTGTGATAAGCTGTAAAGCAAACGAATTCTGCCTCGCAATGCATTGAAAGGCCGCGGCCCCATGCGTAGCAAAGGCTGCATCAAACGTTGGACACCAAATCCCACAGAACTAAGCCGCGATGCGTGCTTCCCCCGCTGCCCTTTGTCGCTACCCTCATTACCAAAATACACGGTAATTTGGTAATTACCAAAACACAAACAGCAGACGGCTTCAAGGTATAGGCCGTATAGCCCTGGTAGTTGGTCTTCAGTGATGAAGAACGCAGCCAGTCATCTGAACCTGCCGTACTTTGTCGGACGCACGCAAACCCCGCCCGCATCACATCGCGTTACGAAGGGGTTCACTGTAATTTCACCCCCCAAAATGACCCATGCATGTACCGGTAAGTCAACACGTACACTCGACACGTACACGATACTCGCAACATGATGATTTCCCGCGCATTACAAAGGCCAAATCACCACCAGCCCCCACACACTCGCACGTACGGCTGCCCTATTGCTGCGCCACCTTCCGCCCCTTCACAGTCAGCCCTCTGCGGTTTAGCGCCGCGAGTGCAGCGCTGCGCATTTGTGCATCTAGATCCAGCCCCGTCGCCGTGATCTGCAGCCCCTCTATGCCCCCCTGCAGCGCTCCTACCCCCACAACCGACCCATTCCCAGCGCCCGCACCCCCAGCGCCACCGCCAATCCCCCTCGTCAGTATCCCACCCCCACCAGCATGCACCGCATGAGTCGTCGCCGTCGTCCCCGGCGCCATGGCGGAGTTCTGCCGCCCCGCTGCCGTACTGCCGCCGCCAGCGGCTTTACCCACGACGCCGGCACCGCAACCGCCGCCGCCGGAGCCTCCCGCGCGTCCCGATGTGGGTGCACCGGCGGGTCTCAGCCCCGGGCCGCCGCCAGGCGGAGGGTACACAGGCGGTCTCGTGGTGGGGGTTCCGCCGCCGCCGCTGGCGGCAGACCCAGCTGCGCCGCCGCCGCTGGCGGCGCCGCCAGCGGATGTGCCTCCCGCAGGCGGCGGCGCGGCCACCACGGGTGCCACGTACCCCGCGGCGCCGCTCGTGAAGGAACGTTGCCGGGAGGCGGCGGCCTGTCCCGACGACGACGCCGGCGCCGCTGACCAGTGTCGTACCCCGCTTGTGCTGCTGTAGCGCTCCGTCGCGTGTTGCGCCGCAGCGGTGGCGTCGGGCACTGAGAGGGGCTGGTAGATAAGCGCGACGGCGTCTTCCTCGCCTGCCTCGCCGTCGCTGCGCCGATGTACGGCATGCATGTGATGCTGCGATGTGCTCTGGATCTGGAACAACGGCGACGACACGGAGGTGGGGTTCGCTGGCGGCGGCATGAGAATGGGCGTCGTCGTACGCACCATAAGCGCAGGATGCGAGGGCACGCCGCCAGCCCTCGAGTTCTTGAACGCCCGGCCGCCCGTTATACTCGCAGCGGTGCTGCTGCTGCTGTCCCAAAGACCGCTGCCGCCGCCACTGCCGCCGCCACCGCTGCCCAGCACACCCGCTGCCGCCGCCGCGGCGGCGGCGGAGCGTGGCGACGCGGGCGCGTAGCTACTGCTCAGCGTCCGGGCCAGCTTGGGGCTTCCCACCGGCATGGCGCTCCCAGTCACTGCCGCCAAGGGAGGCTGCGAGAGCTGCAGGAGCGTGTGCGTGAGGCCCAGCAGGTACACGTCAGTGCCGCCGTAACGGCCGCTGGCAGCCCGGCTGCTGCTGCTGCCGCTGTTTCCGACCCCGGGGATGTTCACGGCAGCGGCAGGGGCCAGTCCGATACTCAAGGGAGCCGCTGGGAGCGGCCCCAGCGGCGAGGGGCTCCGCTGCTGCTGCTGCTGTTGTTGTTGTTGTTGTTGGGAGGCGGCACCAGGTGTTCCTGGCCGGAGCTCCTCGCCCGCGCTTTGCGGCCGGGGCCTGGAACTGATGTAGTGTAGTACGGCAAGCGGGTCATGACCCGCCGCCGCTGCGGCGGCAGCGATCGCTGCGTCCCATGTTGCGGCGGCCGCCATGGCTGCGCTGTTGCCGCCCCCTAGCGCGGAGCTGCCAGACTGCTGCTTACGCGCCGCAGCACTGCTAGCACCGCCACCACCGCCACCTATTGCTGCTGCTGACCCGCCGGAGCTGCCGGGCTGTAGCTTGTCCCGTATACTGGCAGGGATAGAAGAGGCGGAAGGTGGTCTGCTGCCGTGGACGAGGAGGCTTCGTTTCGAGGACCCGACACCCCCGCCCAGCCCCGACCCTGACCCCCCCGCGCCCCCCGGCCCCCCCGTCGACTGATCGCGCTCCCCCGACCCGTTAAGATCTCGGAGGGCTGAGCCGCCGCCGCCGCCGCCGCTGCTGCTGTTCCCGGGGTGTGCAGCGCTGGTAGCCTCCAGGGCGCAGCTGTGGGCGTGTCGTACATGGTTGTGGGCGCTTCCCACGGACACGGGTCGCATGGCGGGTTGCGATGGTGCGACGAGGAGGCCTGCCGCAGCAGCTGCGGCCTGCTGCTGGTAGTGTTGGAGCTGCTGCAGCGCCGCGAGGTGGTTGTAGCCGCCGCCGCTGAGGCCGCTGCTGCTGCTGCCGAGCCCCCCGCTGCTGCTGTTGAAGCTGAGCCCGCCGCCGCCGCCGCCGCCGCTGCTGCTGCTGCCAAACCCCCGGAGGCTGGAGCCGGGCAGGGCGGATGTGTATGCGGCGGAGGCGGAGGCAGATGTGGAGGAGGAGGAGGAGGTGGGGGCTGCTGCTGTTGCTGCTGCTCCTGAAGAGGCGGTGGCGGTCGACGAGGGAGAGCCCGGCCGACCGGCGCCGGCACCGGAACCAAACCCAGCACTACCGGTGATGCCGAGAGCGGCTGCGGCCTCGGCAGCGGAGGGCCACTCCGACCCTTCGCTGCAGCTCCCGAAGCCCCCGACGCCGACGCCGCTGCCACAGACGCCGAGCCCGAGGCTGAACAGGTTGCTGCTAGCGGCGTTACTGTGAGCTGCAGCGGCGCGCGAGGCGGCCGAGGAGGGCCGCTGTTTGCGCATTCCAAGAAAGGGGTACGGGGGCAAAGCCCCCTGTTGTTGTAGTTGTTGTAAAAGTTGTTGTTGTTGCTGCTGCTGTTGCAGCTGCTGACTAAGTGCCGTTGAGGCGTTATTCATGCTCCCCGCCGACTGCTGCTGCTGCTGTTGGCTAAGGGGACTGTTGCGACCGCTGTCAGCAGCGGAGGAGGCAGGCCGGGCGCAAGCCCCCGTACCGCCACTCCCACCACCACCACCCGCCGCCGCCGCTCGAGCGCGGGGGCCGGAGGAAATCCGCAACCCCGCTGACAGCGACCCGCCAACCTGCCCAGGAGCTGCAGCAGCAGCAGCAGCAGCAGCTGCAATCGGAGCCGCCTCCCCCGCCGCACCGCTGCCGCTACTCAGCGCCGAAACCGGCCGACTGCTGGCCGCACTTCCCGCCCCATCACTCCCCTCTCCGTACACCTCGGACATCCGCTGCCCACCCACCACGGTGCCGTACAGGTAGGCCTGTTGATAGTAGTGCTGGTAGACAGCCGGGTCGTACTGATAGGGCCCCGGGGGCAGTAGCGGCAGGTAGTAGGTGGCCGTGGCGGCTTGGGGCTGCTGGCCAAAGGCGGTAGCCAGGTAGGGTTGCGAGGGGTAGAGGAAGGCGGGCAGCAGCGACTGCCCCGCCTGCAGCTGCTGCTGCTGCAGCTTCTTCGCGCGGCGCCGCTCCTCCGCCATCTGAGCGAGCTTGTCGCGGTGCGCTCGGGCCTTGGCGCGCTCGGCTTTTTGAGCGTCGGTCTCGGTGTCCTCCTGTGCGGGTGGGGAGAGGGGAGAGAGAGGGAGGGTGAAAAATAGAATGAAACACTGACGAAGCAACTGAGAGGAAGGGGGGCGGAGGAGGCGTGAAGGGCCTCAAGGAGGTGTGAAGGCAGGAAGGTAGAGGTAGGGTTGGAGGCAGACGGAGGTGCAGACGTGGGTAAAAGGAGTTAGGAGGAGGAAAAGGAGTTGGAGAACGTGTCTCAGAAGGCACACGGCGACACATGGGGAAGGGGGGCGGCGAGGAACCGCCCAAGGGTGGCTGGCCCAGCACACTGTCCCACCTTGCGCTTCTTCTCGTCCTCAGGGCGCTTGGTGGATCGCGCCTGGAAGGAGGCCTGGTAGATGTCCGCTGCGCCCTGTGGTGGGGGTGGGTGAAAAAAAAGAAATTCCAAAGTGTGGTGTGATAATGTTACAAGTTGCTGACAATCCCTGGTGGGGGAGGTGGGGGTCAAAGACCATACCAAACCATAGGAGGTGGGGGGGGGGGAATGGGGTGGGATGTGGTGGGAAGAAAAGCTGTAAGCGCATAAGCAAGCGCGTTGCCCCGGCTACAAGCGGTGGAGCGGTCCTCTTCCTGCCCCCCGTTCCCCCTCATCCCTTTCCCTCACCTCCCTCCCCCTCATCGCTTTCTCTCCAACTCTCTTCCCCCCTATCCCTGTTGATCCCCCCTCTTCTCCCTCTCTTCTCTCGTTCTCCCTCATCATACAGCCCCACCCCCCCACGCCCCTCTCCCCCCACCCCACCTTGAGCAGCTCCTCATACAGCGCCTGCTTGGCGGGGTCGGGCGAGGGGAAGATGCGCGTGAAGTTGCCCGCGTGCTTGGACTCGTAGCGCTCCCGGGCTGCCAACACCTTGGACCTGGGGGGGACGGGAGGGGGGGGCGGAGGGGGGGCGGAGGGGGGAAAGAGGGGAGGGGGGAAGAGATGTTCCAGAACCACACAGGTTAGGGCTAAGCGATCGGGATAGAGGGAAGCAGGCTGTCACGAAACAACCAAGGTAGGAAGAGGAGCAAACCAACCCAGATGCCAACCCCCCCGTCCCACCCCCCACCCCACCCCACCTGAGCGCCTCGTACTCTTCCGGCGTCCTCGGCTTCACAAACCCCCCCGCCCCCGCCGCCCCCCCCGCTGCTCCCCCGCCGCTGCCGCCACCCTCCTCCCCATCGCCCCCGCCCTTGTCCCGCTCCCGCTCCCGCCCCTCGCCCTGCCCCGCCGCGCCGCTGCTGCTGGCCCCGCCGCCCCCTTGCCGCCCCGGCGGCGGCTTCTTCGCATGCATGGGCTCTAGGAGCCGACTGGTGGCTGCGCGCTTCTCCGCCTTCTTGGTCTTGGCGATGATCTTTGGGTCGACACGCACCAGCTCAATGGTCTGCGTGATGAGCTCCTCCTTGATGGCCAGGTCCAGCGGCGAGTCGATGTTGAAGGAGGGCGAGTGGTTCACCTCTATGAGCCAGGGGCGCAGCTGGGCGTCCAGCATGATGTCGTAACCCAGGATCTCGAAGCAGCTGGGAGGGGAGGGGGGAGGGGGGGGAGGAAACACGTGAAAAGGAGCAGTCGAGGAGCCGGGGGGGGGCGTATTAGAAATACATGTTCGGCATTAGGCTAAGGGGTGGGGTGGGGTGGGGTGGGGGGGTGAAACCCTCATACCGGCTTGGTGATGCGAGGGGGCAGAAGTGTGCCCGGACGAGTGCCTGCCCCCCTGCCCCCTGCCCCCTGTCCCCCCTGTCCCTGCCCCCACCTGAACCCGTCATTGTCGGGCGGTAGCACGGAGCGGTAGTTGTTCCGCAGGATGGGTTGCACGCTGCACAGCGACTTGATGATCAGGTCGCCGATGTCCGACCAGACCTTGTCGTAGTTGTGGCCTGGGGGGGGGGGGGAGGTGCGGGAGGTATACGGAGGAAGGAGTAAGACCCAATCGGGTGTACGAGGAGGGGGCAACCTAATTGGGTTGGCTTGGGTTCGGCCAAGAAACCCAAGAAGGTAACGTGTGCCGGAGAGTGCACAGGGGCTGCCTAGGTCCCCCTAAAACGTGATGCGCCCCTCTGTCCTCCCCTCCCTCACCCCCAGTCCTTTTCAACACATCCAACACATTGGGTATCCTTCTTTCACCCCTTCCCCACCCCCCCAGTCCCCACCCTTCGCTGTGAGGTACTGCCGCAGCTGCGCCAGACACCACTTGCTGGCGTCCTCGCCGCTGCTCGCGTTGGCGGCCACCGCCGCCACAAACGCCTCGTTCTTCTTGTTCACCGCGTAGTTGGTCAGGTGCATGAAGGCGACATCCAGGTTGTTGGCCTTGGGGGGCGAGTACTTTTCGGTGCAGATCCTGGGGTTTGCCACCGGGGGGTTGGGTTGGAGGGAGGAAGGGAGGGTTAACTAGGGATACGAAGTCCGTATTAGGCTGGATTATAGAGGATTGCGTGGAGGGTGGGTGGAGGGAAGGAAGGGGTAAGGGGGGGTGAAGCACAGACCCATGGGTCCTGTGGGTTGGGTTTTTGGAGGGGGGGACAAGGAAACCCCCTTCTCCCCCTTTCAACTGGGTATTCGTCTTTTCCTCCCCCCTCCGCCCCGTGTTTCCGCGGCCCATCTAATCTCACCCCCCCTCTTTCCCCCACCTGGCCAGCCCCTCCACTCTTGTGGCACCCTGCCGCCTCCTACCCCCACTGCTTTGCCCTAACCTGTGGTTTCCTATGGTTCAGTATGGTCTTTGACCCCCCCTCCCCCTCCAGGCGGTCCTCTCTCCATGCGGCTTCTTCCTCAAGTCATTTCGGTTTATGGTAAGCAAGCAATCGACAAGTCTCTGAGCTGCGTGTTTCTAGAATAGGGTCTCCGAATGCGCTCACTGCATGAGTCGGGATTCGGGATTGGGACTCCGTTGTTGCACTTATCTCACCCCCCCCTCCCTCCCCACTCCCCCCTCCCCCCCCCCACCTGGCCAGACCCTCATGGAACAGAAACACCCGCAGCGGGTCGCACGACAGCACCAGCGCGTATATGCGCAGGTCGAACTTGTAGCCGTGGATGAGCAGCGGCGAGGACAGGTAGTGCTGAGCCACCACGTTGGGGGTGGCCATCTCACTCAGCACGCGGGCGACAACCTGGGCGGGGGGGGGAGTGGGAGGGGAGGTGGGAGTGGGAGGGGAGGTGGGGGAGGAGGGAGGTCGGGGACGCCACTGCCACTGCCACTGCCGCTGCCACGTCGGGCCGTGTGGGGGCCCAGAACCGGGCTCACGGACCGGATCCCACCGTGCATGCGGTACGACACGCGCTGCGAGACCCCCGGGTTCAGGAGGAACTCGATACACGTGAGAGTTTGAGTGAGTTACACGCATCACCTGCTGCTGCAGCTGTGCCCTCCCCCGCCCGCCCGCCACCCCCTCCCCCCCACCTCGTCCTTGCCGCCCTGCACCAGTCGGATGCCGCGGCCCTGGCAGCCGGCGTCCGGCTTCAGGATGTAGACTTGCTTCTTGCCGCGAGCCCGGATGTCCGCCATGAACTCCTGGGGGGGGGGGGGGAAACAAGAATACCCAATGGAATGGGGGGGGAGAGGGAGGCGGGGTTACTTGGACGCGTAGGGGCGTAGGCTGATTGAGGCGTCACTGGTCTCAACTGCTGTAAGCGCATGCCTGCATGCATGCATGCAGGCATGGGAAAGCACGGCGTTGTCAAGCAGCGAAGCTCCCACTGGTGGCCGAAAGCGGGCTATCGGTAGCCAGTTCATGCAAACGGTGGGACCCGTGGGCGACATGACGGATCTGAATCCAACACGCAGCGCTGCGCTCCGCATGCCGCCAACAATCCCCACCGTCCACTGAGCCCCCCCCGCGCTGCCACCGCCCTGCCGCCCACCCATACCCCCCCGTCAGTTTCATGTTACAAACCATGGTGATGCCTTATCACCCGGTTAGTTCGTTGTCTCCTCTTTACCCCCGTCAGTTTCCTCATTATCACCTCCCCGCCCCCCCGCCCGCCCACTCCCCCGCACCTCCTTGTCCCCCGGCAGTATGAAGGTGCGCGGAAAGAAGTCGTAGTGCTGCGGAAACTGCCGAGCCATCTTCATCAGGTTGCGGGCCATGGCTCGTTTGCGGCAGATCTCCAACATGCCGCTGAAGTGGTTGATCTTCTGCGCTCGGGGTGGGGGGTGGGGGGGAAAGGGGGTGTGGTGAGGCGGGAGGGAAGTGGCCGGGGCGGTTTAAGGAGAGGGTAAGAGTCTGTGACCAAGCGCGCACGCCAGGCCTGGGCTTTGGTATTCCAAAGGGTGTTAAGCCCGCGCCCCTGACGTGCGTCGGTCGGTGGCCTAGCTGCCAACCCTGGCACCTGGCAGTGTTGCTCAGGCAGCAGCAGCAGCAGGGGAGGCTGCACCAAGGTAGCCAGGATGTGCAGCAGGAGAAGCTGCATGTGCGTGTGTGGCCACACATGCGGTGCCCTTCACCCCCCCCCCACATGCCGCCCCATGCAAGGAGAGTGCTGACAGCTTCCTTAGGAAGAACAACAGCAGCAGCCACAACCGTTGTTACGACAGCTGCGGACGACTGCAGCTGCGGACGACTGCAGCTGCGGACGACTACAAGTCCGTGGCTCCTAAGCATCACCTACACAACGCCGCTCACAACGAATCGGGCGCAGCGGCCGAGTGGCATCCAATTCCCTTCCACCTGCTGCGGGGCTCCCATCACGGGCGGCGGGCTAGGGGGGCCTGAGCTCAGGCTGCGCAGGCTGTTTTACACTGGACTGGCTGAGGGTGACGTACCCTTAACTGCGCCCCCCTCGCCAACAGGCCGCAAGCAACGCCTGCCCGCCAACTGCAGGTGGAAGCGTGTCATCCGCGTTTAGCTGCTCGTGACCCCGTGGGTTTCTCCCTCTCTCTCTTGCAGGAAACGCATGACGCACGGTGTCCCGGCTGCCCTGCATCTGCTCCCGCCCGCCGCCGCTGCTGCCGGCTGCTGCTGCCGCTGCCTGCCGCTGTAAGCTCGTCCGCAGAGCCAACAGCACTGCTCAACCGCTCAACTGCACGCCGCATCGCTGCCCGTGCTGCTCCCCATACGCCTGCTCTCCAGATGTCCGCACAACACGTCTGCGTCGTTTGCTCCCCTCCGGCAGCCACTGGGAGCTTCTCCGCAGCAGCAACGCTGCTCCGCTACTACTGCTGCTGACGTTGACGACGACCCCACGCCCCGACTGCACAGCCGCGATGCAGCCGCTCTCCACGCAGCAAGGAGAGCCCGTCTCCCCACGAACCTCATCGTCAACGCTTTGGGAGCCGCTGCTGCTGCTACCCCAGCGTGCGGCTGCTTGCTTGGCAGCGTGCTAGCTCACCCCGACCCAGCCGGCAGCCCCCAGGCCCGCCAGCGCTGCTGCGGAGGGAGGCAGCTGCAGGGAGCCAAGCAGCCCTCGCAGCTGGATGTCCGCGACTTCCCCACCCCCCGTTCCTATGGTTCCTATGGTTCGGTATGGTCTTTGACCCCCCGTTGCGCCACCCGGGACCACTCACGTTGCGACCCGAATGGTAACAACGCACATGGCACCGGGGAACCGGTATCAGCGTACCACTACCAACAATCCCACCGTTCCTGTCTGTCTGCATGTCTGACTGCCGTACATCCCCCACGCCCGCACCTGGATCCGAGTCAGCTTCATGATCCGCTCGATGCTGACCGAGGTGTCCGTCCAATAGATCTGGTGGAGGGCGGGAGGGTGGGGGTAAGCAGGCAAGCAGGTTTGGGAAGCCCACTCATCGACTCCGCATCAACAGATGTGCAACATAGTAGTAGCTAGTACACCCGCAACGGCACGGAGCTGGGCCCCGCTGCTTGTCACGGTTGTCCTCCTCCCCTCATGATACCGGTATGCCGAACCGGCCTGACACGCAGCAGCAAGAAACGCTGCAGCCCCCTGCGCTGCCGTACAGACGTCACCTCACCTCCCAGTCGTCGTCATCGCCAACCTCCTTCCAGCCCAGCTTGCGCTGCACGATGCGCACTGGCGGGCGGGGCGGGCGGGGGGAAGGGGGGCAGCAAAGGGATTCGGCACACGCATCAAACCGGTCAGGCACAAGCGTTACCAGGGGCTCAGCAGGGGCTGTCCTGTTGGGTTAGGACTGGCTCCGGGCATTAGGGCAGGTCGGCTACTAAGGGGACAGCGGAGGGCAGCTAGGCAGTGGAAGGCAGTGGAGGGCAGCTAGGCAGTGGAGGGCAGCTAGGCAGCGGAGGGCAGTGGAGGGCAGCGGAGCTACATGGGGCAGTGCCTGGGACTCGGTGGGCTAACCAGTCAAGCAGCTAAGATCATGCCTTGCCTACCAGGGGGGTGCAACAGGACCCAGGACTCGGGAGTCGGGTTGGCTGGGCAGGACCCAGGAGTCAGGTTTCCTGGGAGCACCGTGACCACCGTGGTCAACGCCCCGTGATGGCTCAACACAAGTAGCATTTCGGGTGTGCGAAGACGTGCTGGGGTTGTAGGTTGCGAACCTGGGCTAGTGCTGGTAAGAGGAGCGTGTAAACCCGGATACCTGCCAAGCTACCCGGCAGGTTCCCCCCGCTTGCGCAACGGCCCTGTGTTGCCTCTCCCTCCCAGATCGCGCTGCTCGCAGTTAACACGACTTACATACTTCATACTTGCAGTTGCTCAGGTTGATGCGAATGGGAGGCGGTGGCTTCTTACGCTTCCCTTTCGTCTTCTTCTTGCTGTATATAGGTGTGAGAAGCACCGCGCGCGCCCGTTTCCGCAGTCGACAGCCAAGAGTTACAAGGCGGGTTAAAGTCGTGCCGTTATGCAAAACAACGCATTATTTGCAAGACTTCGAAGGTTGGGGCTACAGCGTGCCTACCTGTCGCTCTCAGGAGGCGGCTCCTGAGCGACTGGAACAGGCTGGAGGACGCACTGACCCACATCCTCTCCTTCAAACTCTTCTCCTTCAAGCTCAGCGTCGCCCTCACTGTATTCTGCCATACTGCTTTCCGTTTGCGGATGTCACCGTCGACTTCTGACGACAGAACATCAGCAACATGTTGTAAATTTCAAGCAACAAGTAAGCGTTTGCATTTGGCTTTTACAACAAGAGCTTAGAGGTTGCCATATAGCACTAAAGCTAAGGTCATAAGGACGCCTATCCAAAACACCTGATATATCGACGTGCAAATGTCTCGTAAGTCTACTTCTTAGCAAAGCTATGTGCTAGGTTAGAGCTGCTGTCGAAGTCGTCTGCAATCTCGCCTCATAGTCGTACAACAGGCGTCAGGAGTCTTCCTACATATTTTGGGCACCCTATAAAAGTACCTGGCTCATCAATAATTGTATAAAATACGCCACACGCTCGTTTAAAGTCCACCAGTCACCACCCTCAGCACCATGGCTCGCCAGCGCTCTGGTAAGCATACGCAACTTGCTGTTAGCCATGTTCTTGGCAAAAGCTTTTAGCATTTATGTAGCAATTTGCAACTCGTTATTGTCTTTTCAGAACGCATTGACTGTTAACGTTATATGTCGATTCCTCCTACGCGCAGCCCCGGCACCTGCTTCCCGCTCTGCGGCCGCTGCAGCTTCGCGCCCTAAGCCTGCTGCTTCGGCTCCTCCCCCGCCTCCGCCTCCCGCCGCTCCGGCCGCACCTGCTGCTCCAGCTGCGGCTCCTGCGTCATCCGGGGGTTGGTTCAGCCGGCCTGCGGCTCCCCAGCCGGTTGCTCCGCCTCCCATGGCTGCACCTGGTAAGTAAATTGTTTATTAGCAACGCTTTATTTAGGCGGTCCATTCTAGCGTATCCGTCCTGATGGAGATCCGCCTTCCGACCTGTCGTTTCTCGACCCTTCTTGCGCAGCCCCCGCCGCTCCTCCCGCTGTGGCCTCAAGCGGCGGTGGCATCATGTCGGGCTTGATTGGCACCGTTGTGCAAGGTGAGCGAGGGCTACTTGAGCGTTTACTACGGCAACCCATCCAATTGCTTTTCAAGTTGTGTGCTTGTATGCATGCGATGCTTCTTGATTGTTATGGTGCTGCAGAACGTTCCTCGCGTGCTTGACCCGCGACCGCTGCGCTTCTGTCGCTTGCACGTTTTCGCTTTACGATGTGCTCCTAGCAGCGTGGCCGCGGCCTATATTTTGACTACAATAACAACCCTTCCGATAACTCTGACTGCTTTTCTCCAAGTTCTGTGAAATCCTTACGTCCAACCGTCGTCGTGTCTTACGTAAGGTCTTCCCACCTTCCTTGCAGGTGCTGCTCTTGGCACGGGCAGTGCCCTTGCCAACCGCGCCGTGGACGCCGTGATGGGCCCTCGCACCGTTGTGCACGAGCACCAGGGTGCGCCTGCCCCCGCTGCGCCTGCTGCCACTGCCATGCCCCCTGCTGAGGGGCCTTGCGCGGGCCAGGTCAAGGCTTTCGCTGAGTGCATGAGCAAGAACGGAGGCGACATGGGAGCCTGCCAGTGGTACTTTGACACCATGCAGCAGTGCAAGCTCGGCAGCGCGTAAGCAGCAGATTGCTGTGGAGTGTGCTGCAGGTGGTGTGCGTGTGTGTGTTTAAATCATGAATGGCGCTGGATGTTCGGGTATACTCGCTATTGTGCTCCGGAGCACAGGGCTTGGGCCCTGCGCTCTCCGTTATCATAGTCCCCCCCGTGAACCTTCCCAACCTATCCTGTGTTTTTTAAGCCTACATCGGGAGTAGGTCTTCATTCTATTTGTTAAGAACACTTGGTCTTCAATTCCCAGGTAGGCGTCATAGCGTGGCACCCGACGTCTGCAAATGCCGTACATGAAGCTGTTGCAGCGCTTTAGGTGTATAAAGCGCGCCTGCTGCTGTGGTTGTGGAGACATTGTCGGTGTGTCAGGGCTTTGGTTTGCCGGGAATGCTCAAACTCCGTATATGGCTCCCCAGGGCCCCATCTCGTAGTTACCCTCGTGAGAGGCCTTTCTGGTGTTTTGTCCTTGGCGCCTTGAAATGCCAAGTCTTGGCAGAGGCGTGCATACATGTCGTGATGTAACACCGTGAGGAATATTTACCGCAAGCCGTGCTCTACAGGTGTACAGAAATGCTATGTTGGGAGCAGTGTGCTGGGCATAAGGGAAGCCAAATACAGGCGGCTCCTCGGGTATGAGTTTGCAGCAGCTTTAGGGCAGCCCGCAATGACACGTGGCATGGTCAGATGAGACTACCAGTAGTTCAAAAGGGAAGGACGAAGGGGATGACGTGGAGAGGACCAGAGCATCAAGCCTTAATCTCGATTTTCAGTGCATGGAGGAGGGAGGTGCTGTACAACCTGCGGCAACGCTGCATGAAGGGCGCCAGTCGGGCAGCCGTCCTATGCTCCCAATGAGAATATACATACTACCCATGAGCCTGACTATGCTCCTGCCAACCCCGGTGCCTGCAACTGTGTGACAACAGAAGTGGTTGCTAATCCCCATAGGGCGACCCATGGGGCGTTCACACCAGCGATGAACAACGGCTGCACAGCCGTTGTTCATCAGGAAATCGGCTTGACGGACCAGGGCATCCCAGAGCGTTTCAAGCTTATGACCAAGAAGCTAGCGTGTAGGCCCTAATGTAGGTCAGGACAGACTTCCCCTTCCAGAGTTGAGACCCGCAGTCTTCGTTCACAATGGCCGTGCAGGAAGCTCTAATTCCAAACGTTAAGCGTGCATTTTCGTGATATTCCAGTACTTTAAGCTCCATTATTTACAAGGTTGATATGCTGTGAACCGTGAAAGAGCAGCCCAGGCCGAGCAGGCCGCGAGGCCAGCTGTCAGGGCGGATTCCGCTTACACCATAGCATTAACAGCGAATTTGATAGCCAGCAAAAGGTCTAGTCGTGAGCTTCCTTCTCCAAAGGGGTAATGGCTTGCAGTTCTTGTGTTTTCGTTGCCAGCGCTTGGTTCGGTTAAGTGCTGCATGCTTAGGTTGAATGGCAGCTGTATCGCCCAATGCGGCCAATGCGGCGCCTCCATCTCGCTGGGCAAAGACGAAGTAGGAGCGCCTACGCTGCTTGCATGGATTCCGCCGGAAGTCAACTTCACGTGCACCTGCACTTTCTATGTTTTCAGAACCTTCGTTATCAAAAATTATTTGCCACTGGCGTTCCTTGTCGCACTCGGCTTGGCATTGGCGTGGCCAGTGCCGGGGCGATTCCTAGCCCACGTTTCGATCCTGGGCAATGTCCGAATAGTGCAGGTGCGGTTGCTTTGTGGACATCAATATGCTTGACTATGCCTCTTCTGCAGGCAATCTTGGTCCAGGCGCACATTACCCGAATCCGACTGAAATCCCGCGACTCTTTCTCCACGTGCAACCCCCTGTTTAGGTGGTAGCTATGTCCATCGTTTTCCTAATCACTGGACTGCAACTTAATACCTCGGAGCTAAAGCGCGCTCTGGCCCCACGTAACTTACTTGCCGTATTTTACGGCTTTGTTGCCATCTTGGTGGCTACGCCCTGCCTCGGCTTCGCCCTCCGTTCAGCCCCCCTGGAGCCGCGTGCATTTGCTACAGGTATGTCACCTGCCATCTCAACGCGTCCGAGCATCGATCCAAGCTTTCCGAGTGTATGCATCCTTCAATCCATCTATCCCAACCACAACCCATCCTCACACATACGTCTCTCGAAGCTCCCAGCACCCAGGCTAGCCCGCCATCCCCACACCTCCAACCCTTCCTCCACGACACCAATTCACAATTACACTTTTGCTTATCCTAGACATCCTGACAACCCCTCACCTCGTCATCATCCCTTCTTCCCTCGCCAACTCCTTCTTCTTTCTTTTTTCTCCCCAGGTCTTGCCATCTTCTGCGTCGCTCCCACCACCCTGGGAGTGGGTGTTGCGCTTACCACAGCCTGCGGCGGCAACGAGGTACTCGCGCTGCTGCTGACGGTTGGCACCAACGCCCTGGCGGTAGCCACCATGCCGCCGGAGCTGCGGCTGCTGTTCCCACCACGGGAAGCAGCAGGGGGAGGAGGAGGAGGCGGTGGAGGTGGTTCAGCAGGAGGTGATAGCTCAGGGGCTGATGAGGGGGCAGATGCTCCGCTGAACGTGGACGTGCAGGTGGGAGCTGGGAGGCGAGAGCTGAGTGAGCGCGCCCAGTGGTTCTGAGGGGTACCGTGATGAGGGGATCCATAATGAAGAGCTTCGGGCAGCAGTTGGGCTGCACCGCTGCATTTCCCTTGTTCCCCTTCCGCGCTCGGCTGCTGCCCTGTCCTGCCTGAACCCCTCCTCTCCTGCTCCTCTCCCCGCCCCGCAACCGCCCCCCCCCTGCCCCCCAAACACCTGCAGGTGACGGACTTGCTGGTAAAACTGGCCATCTCGGTGCTTGCGCCCTTCGTGCTGGGCAAGGCAGGTGGCGGCGGCGGGGGGGGACTAGGGGCGGGGAGGGAGGGGGCGGGCTGGAAGGGAAAAGGAGATTGAGAACAGGTGAGGGCAGGAGAGGCCTGCGCAACGCCTCTTCATTGGTTGCCCATTGCCCATAACCTAGCAACCCTCACTTCTTGTTCCTCTAACCCGCCCTCGCCCCTCACCCCCCCCGCTGCAGGCAGCCCGCGAGGCCTGGCCCCGGGTCGCCTCCCTCGTGCGCTCCCACCGGCTGCACCTCTCCCTCACCTCCACCACCCTGCTTGCCTTCGTGGTGTGGCAGACGCTGAGCGCCGCGCGCGACACGCTGCTCGCCCAGCGGCCGGGTCCTGTGTTCGCGATGATGGGGCTGGCGGTGGCGATGCACGTGGCGTACCTGGGGGCGAATTACCTGGTCGTGTGGTGGGTGGCTTTGGGGGGTAGTTGGGGGGTGGGGGGTCGCTAACCCTCGCTTCGTCTTGAAGAACCTTGCCGCCTCATTCCAGCTGTTTTTGCCCATTCGTGATTGCCTTTGGTTGGGGCGATGTTTCCCTCCCCCCCTTGCCCCCCTCCCCCCTGAATGCGCTCACTGCATGAGTCGGGATTCGGGATTGGGACTGTGTTGTTGCACTTATTTTTTTTTTTTGGTTTTTCTTTGGTTTTAATTGGTCCAAAAATTGACCCCCCCCCCCCCCGCCCTCCCCAGGCATGTGCTGCGCGCCCCCCTGAGAGAGGCCATCGCGACCGTCATCATGGCCAGCCAGAAGTCCGCCCCTGTTGCCGTGACCACCATCACCTTCCTCACCCGCGACCCGGCGCAGCAGGGGCTGCTGTCGCTGCCAGCGATCGTGGGACAGCTGTGTCAGATCTTTATTGGCGCGGCACTGGCGCCCTGGCTGGCGGGAGTGGTGGGTTCGGTTGGGGGGAGGGGTATCGGGTAGGGTAGGGTGAAGAGGAAAACGGGAAGAAACGAGGGGAAGTTGAGGAAAAGAGGAGTCAACCAGGTAGGGTAGGGTAGGGCGGTTACCGGTAGAGCGCATGAGCGGTGTAAGGGCGAACGGGTCAGATCATCAGTGCTTAGTAATTCGTATGTGCCCTGTCTATGTGTCATCCTTGACACGCGACCCCCTAACCGACCCATCATGACACGTCCTACTTTCCCAACTCCCCGCCCTTACTAGGGGTGTTACCTACCGGTATGCCCATCGTTCCTTCTCCCCCCAGGTTGCCCGAAGCGAGCTGCCCAAGGAGCTCGCCCTCTCGACTGCTGCCTCTGCTGCTGTGCGGGCTGAGTCGCCGCAGCAGCAGCAGGAGGGGAGTGCCGGTAAGGGGCGGGCGGGTAGCCATCATGGGAGGCAGCCGGAGGGGCAGCTGCTGCAGGCTGCTGAGGAGGGCCGAGCGGGCGGTGATGCGGGCGGCGGCGGCAGCGGCAGCGTCAAGGCCGTTAAGGCGGCTGATGTTGGTGGTACCGCTGCTGTGGAGAGGCTCCTCCCCAGCAGCCCCTGTAGGGTAGCAGCAGCAGCAGTGGGTGTAAGCAGCAACACCACCACCACCACCACCACCAGCAGCAGCAGCAGTAGCGGCGAACGCAGCAGCAGCGAGAAAGCAAGCGCTGCGGCACCGGTCGCAAAGGAGCCGGGGTGATCCGCTTTGTTGGGTCTGTTGAGTCAAGAATCTTGTAAGATGTGGTTGGGGGAGGGTGGGGGGATGCGCGGTTGGAGGAGTTGGGGTACTGCTGCTGGGGCAGGTGTGGGGCGGGCTGGGGTTTCAACGTTGGTTCCAGGGGCAGCTGCAGATGGGGCCTTCGGGGAACCGGTTCCGTACATGCTACGGGTGCGTTGCGCGACACGGCGGCCAACACGTGCGGGTAGTTGGTACGGCATGATGATGCGTACTGGATGATGCTCGTTGATCATGACATTTCCCCGAGGTAACTCTTCCGCAGAGGTATGTGGGAAGTACCGTAGTAGGAAATGAGGGACGGGGCGGTCGCGCGTATATGCTTCAAGAAAGCTGGCCGCAAAGCAGACCGTCGCAAATGCATGTGGGCGTAGGTATCCGAATGTTCGCAGCCCGACTGGGTTTCAGCCCATGTTTGGACGCTGCGAGGTTAATTTGCGGTTACCGGTTCGTTGTCTTAACGTGAATGAAAGCGTCCTAATAAATAATCTATAAGCTCTGATGTGTATCGCCCATACTCGTTTTCTTATGTTCCTTTTGTGTCGCTTCGTGTCAGTTGTCGGTTTATGCGCGATCGTACAAGATGTGAAGGTCCGGGACACGTCATATAAACGATATACCCTGAGAGAGCCCTCGGGGCACGAGCGAAGTATGCCGGGTCATCGAGATTTAGGCCGGGATAGACTATGGTAGGGCCGTAATGGTGTTGTCCACATTGTACGGCAGTTCGTTGAGCGTTGCTTGGTGCCGTTTATCTCTGATGACGGGACCTAGAAGGGTCGGCAACTCGGCTGCGAGTGCCGAGCACCCTCTAGGGACGCTCCGCTGCGAAAGCCCGCGCCCCCAAGGGGGAAGAGACCGACAGGGCTCAAGTGCAGGTTGCAGCATTCCCGTCCCCGAGGTCACATGGCGCTGCACACGCACATCACGTCACGGGGGGGGGGGGTTATCCCACGGCGTCTTTGAAACCACACTAGGCTCGATGCAGCCCCCGGAACACATCTCCCAAGCATGCAGTTCATTCCCTGAAGTTTAACCAAGCCACGAAGGTTGATAGCCACGCAAGAAACTGCAGTACAGAGTTCTCCAGTGTCGCCGATTAGCAAACGAGATCCACCGAGCAAACAAGTAACCAACTGCCGCAGTACACGGTAACCGATTGCACGTGCATTCAAACACATTAGTACGACAGCCTTACATCAGCCCCCCTCCCCCCCCACGACTTGCCCATATTTCCCTGTCATCAGTCACATAGCATGTTCTGCTAAAGCCCTCTCTCCCCCAACCACGCTCGCATCTCTAACAATCAAGCCTCTCACCACCTTTCGGGCCCCCCGTATCTCCCCAGATCTGCACGAAACCCCCCTACACAACCCTCCCCAGAGCCTCCCCCCCTACACAATCCCCATGGTGCCGCCCAGCCGCCTCAGCAGCCCCGACCCCGCATGCGTCCCCGAACCCGCCCGCTCGCCCTCCGCCGCTGTCGCCGCCGCCACATCCGCCGGCTCCTCCTCCGATATCGCCGCAGCCGCCGCCGCCAGCGCCGCCCCCGGCGACACGAACGGAGGCATCGGCAGGCGTCCGGACGGCGGTTTCATGAGCAACGGACCCGGCAGCACACGCGAAAAGCGGGTGTCCAGGTAGCCCGGAGGCGGCCTTGCAGGGCTCGAGGGGGCTGGCGCTGTAGCTGCTGCCGCCGCCGCGGCCGCCGCTGACCACTTGCTATCCCAGTGCGCCACGGCGGCGGCGGTGGCGGCGGCGGCGGCGGCGCTTCCTCCGCCGGCGGAAAGCTTGGAGGTGGCCTGGTGCGTGAGGTCCTGGTCTAGGGGGACCCCCGGCGGCAGGTCTACCAGCGAGGAATCCATAGGTGACAAGGGGATGTCCCCCTCGCCCTCCGCCCCCGTCGCCGCCGTCACAGCGGCGGTGCCGTCAGGCAGCTGGCCGCTGGCTTGGTTTGCCGTACATGCGCCGCTATGGCCGCGCTGGAGCACCGCAGAACCGGCGGCGGACAGAGCTGCCGGCGCCGTCGCGGCGGCGGCAGCAGCGTCGGCGACTTGGTTCCGTACTGATGCCATGGCTGACAGCGCTGATGGCGGTACGACAGTACGTCCGCAGTACGAGCATGTTGCGCAACTGCATGCCGTACATGCAGGGGCCTGGATGGTGAGCCCCAGGACGCCGCCGCCGCCGGCAGAGCCGACGGCTGTTGCCGTCGCCGCCGTCGCTGCTGGTGACGACGGCGGCAGGGGAACGCCAGCGGCCTGGAAGATCTTGTTGATAAACGTCGGCGGCGGCGGTACGGCACAATCCCGCCCGCGAAACATCGCCGCTGCCGCGGCGGCGATGGCGGCGGCGGTGGCCGCGTCAGGAATGTCGTCTTGCAGGTCGCCGCTCGCCAGACGTCGCGACGGAAGCCTTGGCGAGGCGGCGCCGCTGCGGAATGCGCCAGTGCCGCCACCGCTGCCGTCCAACCAGGCGGCGCCGGCCCCGCCGCCGCCGCCACCGGATAGAAGCCTCGACCGCGACGTCGCCTCACTGAAGCGCCCTCTCGGCGGCGACCACGGACTGCCGGCCGCAGCGCTACTGCCCATGCTGGCGAGATCTGCATGTACCGAACGTACGACACGCAAGGCAGCTGCCGCCGGCGCCGCCGCCGTCACCCGCCCTGCTGACGTCGGCGATGTGGCTGCTGACGCCGCCGCCGCTCGCGGTGGCGGGGAGGACCGTCCCGCCGCCGCCGCCACGTCCAAGCTACCCCGCCGCGCACTCCCCATCATCGCCAGCCCCGCCAACACCTGCTGCTGCTGTTGGAGACCCGCATCCGAACCACGAACGCTGGAATCTCGCGTGGGGCTCAAGCTCTGTTCCGACAGCGGGTGCGCATGCAGCATCGTGCCATGCGGCGGCCCCCATGGGGCATGCTGCACGGGGCCGTACAACCCTCCCCGCTGACTCCCATCCGCCGCCATGTAGCCCCCAGCGCCACCACCCCAAACCAGCCCCCCAGGCATTCCAGCCACGGGTGAATGCGGGCGGATCGACACATCCGCAGCTCCAAAACCCGCCACACCCGCCGGATGAACCAAGCCGCCGCCCCCAGGACCATAATACCGCCCATCTCCTCCTCCAACTCCACCAACACCCATGGACACTCGGCGTCCGCTCACATCCCGCATGCTGCCTCCCGCCCTAGCCCCGAAGCTCCTGTGCCCGCTGCCGCCCTCCCATTGACCGTGACTACTCAACCACCTACCCACACTCACACCCGCGCCCGCGCCCACACCCGCGCCCACACCCGCGCCCACACCCACACCCAGCCCTGCACCCTGCACTGCCGGCTCGACCCCCGCAGCCAGGCCCGCGGCTAGACCCGGCGCCAGGCCCACACCCGCTGCCGCCGCGGCCGCCAGGGTGGTGAGCGCTGCGTGGCTGCGGGCGCGTTGGAAGCTGCGCGGCAGGTTGCCGCACTCGGACAGGAAGCGCGAGGAGCGCGTGCGCTGCAGCGGCCGGGTGCGCACAAGCATGGGGTCCTGCGAGGGGGGTTGGAGGGGGGTGCCAAGGTGGGGGTAAAGAAAGAAAGAGACACTGACGGGGGGAGAGGGAAAGGAACATGGATTCGGTACTAGGCCGTGAAAAATAGGGGAGAAACATGGGGAAAAAATTAAATATGTGAAACAACGAGTCCCAATCCCATATCCCGACTCATGCAGTGAGCGCATTCGGAGACACTATTCGGAGAAACAGGGGGAAGGGAAGGGGAAGGAATGAAGGACACACAGGATATTTCTCTCTTCTCCCACTTCCCACTCCCACTTCCCACTCCCACTTACCAGGTCGACTCCCTCCGGCAGGTCTCCGGATGGCTGCTCCTGCTGCTGCAGTTGGTGCTGCTGCTGCTGCTGCAGGTAGCTCGGCGACACCGGGTGAACGGGCGATAGCGGCCCAGTCGGGGACAGCGGCCCCTGCTGCTGCTGTGGCTGCAGCTGCGTCACCGGCTCTAACTCCGATGTGAGGCTGGTGGCAGCAGCCCCAGCAGCAGCAACAGTAGCAGAAGCAGCAACAGTAGCAGTGGTACCTTCCGGCAGCGGCGGCAGCGGCAAGCCATGATACAGCGGCACCCCGGGGGGCAGCGCGGAGGCAGCCGGCGACAGCCCCGGCTCTAAGCCCCCGGAGAAAGCCGTACCCAGAAGACGCTGCCCTTCTGCGGCTGCTGCTGCTGCCGTCAATGCAAATGCGGATGCGGACTGACCCGTTGCAGGGGACCATAGCTGTTGTTGCTGTTGTTGCTGCTGCTGCTGGTGCAGCTGCAGCAATGGAGTCGGACTGTAACCACCAGCACCACCAGCACTACCGGCCGCCGCACCCTCTCCTGCTCCTGCCCCCACCTCCACCACCCTTCCCAACCCAACCCCCTCCTCCTCCTCCTCCCTCCCACCCCTTCCTCCCCCTCCCCCCCAACCCCACCCCCCTCCTCCTCCCCCTCCGCCCCCATCCAGCGAGCTAGCCGGACTGCGTGCCCGCTCGGGGGTTGCTGCTGGCGTGTGCAGCTGGCGCTGGTGCTGCTCGGAGGTCATGCGGGTGCGGTTGTGCGCCTGAGCCTGAGCCATGGCGTCAGCCACGTTGAAGGCGGAGGTGCGCTCGTCAACCTGGGGGGGGGTGAAGGCGTGGAGGGGTGGAGGGGGGTGGTTAAGAGGGGTGGTGGTGAGGGTGTCGTAGGGTGTAGCATGCATGCAATGGAACAGGTAAGGGGGTCCTCCCCCTCTTCGGCAGGCCTCTGGGTTGCAGCCTCGCACACACCGCCGCATCCAACCTCCGGCAGGATCCGCCCCTGTCCCCGTCTGCTGTCCTTCCAACCCACAAGCTCCCCTCCTCTCCCTTGCCCCTCCCCTTCAGCCTCCTTCCCCCCTCCCCCTCCCAAACCCGCCCCACCTCCCCTCCCAACCCCCGCCCCCCCCACCGCGTCCTCCTCCATCACCAGCTCCCGCTCCACACTCATGTCCAGCCAGGCGCCCAGCACCCGCACCAGACTGCCCTCCACCTGGTCAACCTGGAGGGGGAGGGGGGTCAAAGACCATAGGACCAAACCATAGGAGACCACAGGTTAGGGCAAAGCAATGGGGGTAGGAGTTGGTCCACCTGGGGGGGGAGAGGGGAGAGAGGGGGGAGAGGAGGGGCGGAATGGGGAGAGGAGGGGCGGAAGGGGGAGAGGAGGGGCGGAATGGGGAGAGGAGGCGGAATGGGGAGAGGAGGCGGAAGGGGGAGAGGAGGCGGAAGGGGGAGAGGAGGCGGAAGGGGGAGAGGAGGCGGAAGGGGGAGAGGAGGCGGAAGGGGGAGAGGAGGCGGAAGGGGGAGAGGAGGCGGAAGGGGGAGAGGAGGCGGAAGGGGGAGAGGAGGGGCGGAAGGGGGAGAGGAGGGCGGAAGGGGGAGAGGAGGCGGAAGGGGGAGAGGAGGCGGAAGGGGGAGAGGAGGCGGAAGGGGGAGAGGAGGCGGAAGGGGGAGAGGAGGCGGAAGGGGGAGAGGAGGGGCGGAAGGGGGAGAGGAGGGGCGGAAGGGGGAGAGGAGAGGCGGAAGGGGGAGAGGAGGCGGAAGGGGGAGAGGAGGCGGAAGGGGGAGAGGAGGCGGAAGGGGGAGAGGAGGGGCGGAAGGGGGAGAGGAGGGGCGGAAGGGGGAGAGGAGAGGCGGAAGGGGGAGAGGAGGGGCGGAAGGGGGAGAGGAGGGGCGGAAGGGGGAGAGGAGGGGCGGAAGGGGGAGAGGAGGGGCGGAAGGGGGAGAGGAGGGGCGGAAGGGGGAGAGGAGGGGCGGAAGGGGGAGAGGAGGGGCGGAAGGGGGAGAGGAGGGGCGGAAGGGGGAGAGGAGAGGCGGAAGGGGGAGAGGAGAGGCGGAAGGGGGAGAGGAGGCGGAAGGGGGAGAGGAGAGGCGGAAGGGGGAGAGGAGGGGCGGAAGGGGGAGAGGAGGGGCGGAAGGGGGAGAGGAGGGGCGGAAGGGGGAGAGGAGGCGGAAGGGGGAGAGGAGGCGGAAGGGGGAGAGGAGGCGGAAGGGGGAGAGGAGGCGGAAGGGGGAGAGGAGGGGCGGAAGGGGGAGAGGAGGGGCGGAAGGGGGAGAGGAGGGGCGGAAGGGGGAGAGGAGGGGCGGAAGGGGGAGAGGAGGGGCGGAAGGGGGAGAGGAGGGGCGGAAGGGGGAGAGGAGGGGCGGAAGGGGGAGAGGAGGGGCGGAAGGGGGAGAGGAGGGGCGGAAGGGGGAGAGGAGGGGCGGAAGGGGGAGAGGAGGGGCGGAAGGGGGAGAGGAGGGGCGGAAGGGGGAGAGGAGGGGCGGAAGGGGGAGAGGAGGGGCGGAAGGGGGAGAGGAGGCGGAAGGGGGAGAGGAGGCGGAAGGGGGAGAGGAGGCGGAAGGGGGAGAGGAGGCGGAAGGGGGAGAGGAGGCGGAAGGGGGAGAGGAGGGGCGGAAGGGGGAGAGAGAGGAGGAAGGGGGAGAGGAGGCGGAAGGGGGAGAGGAGGCGGAAGGGGGAGAGGAGGCGGAAGGGGGAGAGGAGGCGGAAGGGGGAGAGGAGGCGGAAGGGGGAGAGGAGGCGGAAGGGGGAGAGGAGGCGGAAGGGGGAGAGGAGGCGGAAGGGGGAGAGGAGGGGCGGAAGGGGGAGAGGAGGGGCGGAAGGGGGAGAGGAGGGGCGGAAGGGGGAGAGGAGGGGCGGAAGGGGGAGAGAGAGGAGGACACCCAGTGCGAGGAATGAGGCTGGCAAGCTAGGTGACTAAGCTGCTGGTGAGTGGAACCGAGTTCGTCGACAACTCCCCTTCCCAACCACACCATCCTGCGTTCCTGCCCCCTTCCTCTTTCCCCCCTTCTCAACCAAGAGAGCATCGCACCGTGTACCACTATCATTCCATTCACGGGTTTCCTGTCCACCCCTCCCCTCCTCCCTCCCACCCACCCACCAGCTGCAGTGCCATGTAGCAGTCCTGGATGCGCTCCCGCAGCGGCCCCATGATGAAGGAGCGCTTCAGCAGCTGAACAACCTCACACCACCCGTCGTGCTGGGGAGATAGGGGGGCAGAGGAGGGGAGGGGAAGGGGGGGGATGGGGAAGAGTGGGTGTGGGAAGAGAAACCACACCGACATCAACCGCAACACCTCCCGAGTACGCAACATGCAAGAACCTTGTCCAACACCCCTTGGGCCCCTCAACCTCAACCTCATTACCCCGTCTCATGCTCCGGTGTGGCCCCCCCCACCAACGCTAACCCCGCCCCTCACCCTGCTCCCCCCTACTCTACTCCCTCGGCCCCCACCCCAACCCCGGGATGGGCCGGGTTCATTTAGCAACCCATGGAGAAGCCCCGTCTTTCAGTTCGTCAGTTTTCCTTATTTTTACCCCCAACCCACCCCCGCCCACCTCCTGCTCCGCCGCGCCCCCCAGCCATGCCATCACCCGCTCCCGCACGAACTCCAGCATCGCCCCCGTCACGTGCGGATACAGCCGCTGCACCAGCCGCAGCGAGGGGCCGCGCAGCTGCCAGGCGCGGCAGGGGCGGCTGGTGCGCAGCGTCCACATGCGGCGACTGGGGGGGGGGGAGGGCGGGGTGCAGAGGAGGAGGAGGAGGAGGAGGAGTCAAAGAGATGCCCGTGAAGCGAACGGTGAACTGCCGGTGAGCTTTTATGTGCTTCCGTCTACGGCTTCCTCTGCTGATACCCTTCATGTTCCACACAGCGTGGACACACAGCGTGTGTTAAGAAAACTGGCCGCGAGTAGGAACGTACTGTGATGTTGGAAGATGAAGTCCCCACAGAACCCTCGCGGCTGGGTTGAGCTATACCGGTATTCCCCTCCTCCCCCCATGTCAGTTTCTTCCTGAAACCCCTCCCCTGCACCCGCATGCGCTCCCCCGCGCCCCCACCTGCATGCGGGTATGACCCCCGCCAGCAGACTGCCCTCCCCCAGCAGACACGGCACACCCGCACCCGAGGGGCCGGCGGGGGCCTCCTCCGGCTCCTGCGGGGGGAGGCCAGAGACTGCCAGTTAGGATAGTCGGCATATTCGCATATCATGACGTCATGAGGGCACTACGCACCACCCCAGCCAGTCTCGCATATGACCCCCTCCCCCTCCTCCTCCCGCTTGCCCCTTCCCCCACGCGCTTCGTTTCGTCCCCTCCTTTCAAGTGGAGGAGGTGGGGATAATGCCTTGCCTTGCCTTGCCTTAACCTGCTGTTTCCTTTGGTTTCCCTCCCCACCCCCCAAACCTGCGCGCACCTGGTTTCTGTGCGCCAGTACCACCCCCTCCTCCAGCAGCCACAGCCCGCCCTCCTCCGCGTCATCTCCGAACCTAAACACATCGTGCCCGGTGGGGTACTCGGAGGGAATGCAGTGCGCCGCGATCAGCTCCAACACCTCGGGGGCCAGGCCCTTGAAGGGCGGGCAGCGGGACAGCAGCGACTGCACACAGTGCCGTACAACCTGTGCGTGTGTGTGTGTGCGTGTGTATGTGTGTGCGTGTGTGTTTTGGTAGGGAAGAGGTGGGGAAAGGGAGAGGGGGGAAACAGTTAGTGAGAGGTGCATCAACTGGAGTCAGGAAGAGGAGGTGTGTTTAGTGTTCGGGACGGATACTGCAGGCAGAGCCGTGCATAACCTGTGTTGATGATGCAGGACAGAGGAGGAGGAGGAAGGAAATGGAGGCGGGGAAATGGAGGCTGCGGTGATCGGTTTACCGAGCACAAGCCTGCTCAGGTGCTCAAACCCGTGCGTTCACCCCCTCTTACTCCTGGAAACACTAGCCCCCCCTCTCCCCTTCTCGCCCCTCCCTCTCCCTCTCACCTCCCCCACCCTCCCATGGCTAGTTCGTCTCCTCCTCCTTACCCCTCTTCCCCCTCCCCCTTGTCGAACATCTCTTCCGTCTTTTCCCCTCCCCCCCCTTGCAAACCATGATGACGCCTTATCACACAGTCAGTTCGTTGCTTCCTCGTTTCCCCCCTTCCCCTCCCTCTCTCTTTTCCTCTCCCTCCCTCCCCCCGCTCCCACCAGCTGCCTGAGGTGCGCGGGCAGCTCGCACACGATGTCGCCCTCGTGCAGCTCCTCGTCCTGACGCGCATCGTACTCCGCCCAGAAGGTCTGGGTGCAGGGCGAAGAGGGGAGTGCGGGGTGAGGGTGGAGTGCGGGGTGAGGGGGGTCAGAGAGGCCCCACAACCGCACTCAACCTAATCACGTGATACCGCAAGCTAGGGGCGGGGGCGGGGTTGGTGGGGGTGGGGGTGGGGGTTAACACTCCAGGGTTTGTACCCCGACGCGCACCTCCCTCCCGCCAGCACATCCTTCCCCCCCCACCCGCCTTCCCCTCGCACCAGCACACCCTCCCCTCATGTCCCCCCACCCGCCCCCCCCCCCCCGTCCTACCAGCACATCCCGCTGCACGCCCTCCCCCACGTGCCCCTCCATCAGCCAGTGCCGGATGTGGCTCAGCCGCTTGCGGTGGTCGTAGGCAACCTGTTTGGGGGGGGGTGTCCAAGATATGCCAGAAAACAGGTTAGCAGGGCAAAGCAAATGGGACAGACCAACCTAGGGGGGAGGTGGGGCCAAAGACCAAACCATGATAAACCACGAATTAGGGTAAGCCAATTTTTCAACCCCCCACCCCCCCACCTGCGCCTCCGCCTGATCCCTCCTCAGCGCATCCCCCACCAGCGCCACCAGCGCCCCGAACAGGAACACCCCGTTCAGCTGCATCACGTTGGCCAGCACCTGCTCGAAGGGGCTCTTGGGCACGAAATCGGCGTAGCCGCAGGTGGTCATCTGAGGGCCGGGGTGGGGGGCGGGAAGTAGGAAAAGGGCGGGGTGGGGGCCGGGGTAGGAGGGGTAGGGGGGTAGGAGAGAGTCAACCCAGAGTTATGGATGAGAGGGACTGAAGGGAAAACATGAATAGCCATACGTTGGGGCGGGGCGGGGAGTAATAAAAAGGGGTTTAACTAACCGCGTGTCAAGGCTTTCACCCCTTGTGTCCCATAAGGCCCACCTTACCGTACCACCCCCACATCTTGTGGCGCCCTGCCAACTCCTACCCCCATTGCTTTGCCCTAACTTGTGGTCTCCTATGGTTTGGTATGGTCTTTGAACCCCCTCTTAACCCCCCTCTGAAGCCCCCCTCCCCCTCTGCCGTGCCCTACCACAGTGACCACGAAATACACCGCGTTGTACCACTTGCGCCCCGGCCCCATGGCTGCCACGTCCGCCCAGCTAATCGAGCTCATCCAGCTGGGTTGCCCCCGCTGCGCCTCGTAGTAGGCCGCCAGCAGCAGCACGCAGGAGTAGAGGTTCACAAGCACGGCGGTCTGGGGGGGAGGGGGAGGGGGGCAGGGGAGGGGGCAGGGGACAGGGGGCAGGGGGCAGGGGGAGGGGGCAGGGGAAGGAGGGTCAAGGATCATAACATACCATAGGACACCACAACGGGAAATAGGAAGCGGCAGGGTGCAGGAGGGGGGGGGCAGGGAAAAGGGAGGGGAGGCTGGGTGGTAAGGAGGAAGGAACTAGCCAACCGTGTGAGTGGTGCACGGGGTGTGTGTTGAAATAACTGGCCGCGAGGCGAAACGTACTGTGATTGCCGAAAGATGGAGTCCTCCCACCGAAAACGCCACAGGTGAAGTGAAGTCCGTTGGCTATGTTGTAATAGAGCTATCGAGTAGTATCGGAATCAGTGTAAAGCAGTAATAGCAATGTCGTAACGCGACCGGACCTAAGGACCGGAGTAGTAAGTAGGTAGGTATAAGTAACCGTCACTGTCGTGTGTAAACTGGATGTAGAGAAGCTGTAGCTGTCGCTGAACAGGGGTAAAAGCAGGGGTGATGCCAAGACGTCGCAGTGCATGCTCGAGCAAAGCAGGACAGGAAAAACAAGTGCAGGACCACTATGTGCGTATGCGAATATTACCGTAGACTGACCTGCAAGGCAGGGAGAACCAGCAGCCAGCAGCGAACACACCAGTAGTCAGTACCGAAGAATGTGTATGTGTGTGGGGGGGGGAGAGTGGGGTTGGGGAGTGAACAAGAGTCGACCTGACCTCCAGCTCTGAGCGGGCGAAACCCCCATCGCCGCTATCCCCCCTTCCCCTTCCCTGGTAGCAAGGTATCTTCCTCGCCTTTGCCTTCCTCACCTCCTTGCCCTTACCCCCTCACCATCCCCATTGCTTTGCCCTAACCCGTGGTTTCCTATGCTTTGGTGTGGTCTTTGACCCCCCTGGCACTCCATCCTGGTCCCCCCCGCATACAGCTCTTCCGCTTCCACTTTTCTACCCCCTCCCGTACCCCTCTCCCCCCACCTCCCCCTCCCCGCCCACCTGATACACCAACAGCCCCATGTAGAGCGGGGTGATGGAGAAGCGGTTGGCCAGCCAGGAGCGGTGCACCTCGCCGCCCGCGGAGATGGAGTACAGGTGCTGCGGAGGGGGGGAAGAGAGGGGGGGAAAGAAATTCCAAAGTGTGGTGTGATAATGATACAGGAGGGGGGGAAAGGAGGGGGACCAGAGGGAAACCAACCGCAACGACCGGGGCACAATACCGTGATATAACGTGTTGTGATTACATCCCCTAGCTAACCTCCATCTCCTGGCCCCCGCCTCAGCTGAGGGCGGGATGGACCAGCTACGATGTTTGCACCCCACCCTCCCATGGTGTAACCTACAGCCCACACAGCTGTACCCTCAGCTTCCGCCTGGCTACCATGGCTGCACCCCCCCCCCCCTGGTGAAGCCTACACATCATACCGGCACATCTTCTCCGTTTCCCCCCTGCCGCCCACCTTTACGAACAGCAGCACCCTCAGCAGCCGCAGCAGGCGGATGAGCGACACGATGGACACCGTTTGGTGCCGCGCGCCCGTGTCGCCAGCGGCCAGGATTACAATCTGGGGCGGGGAAAAGGACTCATAAATGCTTTTTAGGGAGATGAAAAAAGAATGAAAAAAGATTTTATCAACTAAGCTGACCGGTGTGGAAAACATGGTTAACACGGGGAGGGGGGGAAACTCGGGAACATAATCCATCAACCCCCCCCTGCCGTCAAACGCCACTATGACCACGCCCCAACCCCCCTAGTTGTAAGGTTCCAAACCAAACTCCCATCCAGCCCCCCCCCATTACGTTGTCGTACTATTACGACACATAAAGTTAATCAATTTCACCTATTACACTGCCTGTGCTGTAACACCATGTCCCAACTTCAAAAAGTATGCACTAACCCAGCTATCCAGCCTAATGCGGAATATGCATCCCTAATAACCCCTCTGCTGCCCCCCCTTCCCCCTGCCCATACAACACTTTGGTTTTCTTCTTCCCCTTCCCCCCTCAATGATTGCGCTCACTGCATGAGTCGGGATATGGGATTGGGACTCGTTGTTTCACATATTTCATTTCCCCCCCCTTCCCCTGCCCATACAACACTTTGGTTTTCTTCTTCCCCTTCCCCCCTCAATGATTGCGCTCACTGCATGAGTCGGGATATGGGATTGGGACTCGTTGTTTCACATATTTCATTTTCCCCCCTCCCCCTTCCCACCAGATACACCAACGGCGCCACCGCCAGCAGGTCCAGCCAGAAGGCGGCGGTGCGCAGCAGGAAGCCCAGCGCGTCGCGGCCGTCCAGCACCACCCGGCTGCGGTAGCCGTACGTCAGGGTGATGCCAACCTGCATGCATGCGTGTATGGGTGTGTGTGTATGGGAGGGAGGGGGTAAGCGGGGGGGGGAAACAGGGGGCAGTTTAGTTCCCTTCACCTGTACCCCATCCACTGGGTTGTCTGTTTCGAGTAGCCCTATACACATGGCCTCCTCGCCCCCACAGAACTTGTATCCCTAAGTCCCTATTACCCTCCCAGTCAGGGTTTCCTCGCGGCTCACCTTACCCCCTACCCCCCACATGGAATGGCATACTGCCAGACACTGCCTCGCTCTATACCCATTGCTTCGCCCCGACCGTTGTTTTTGTTATATCTCACACCCCGTCCCGCCAGGTGCTTGCCCAGGTGCTATGCCCCCCCCCAAGGGCCAAGGTGCTTGCCCCCCCCCCCGCACCTGCAGCGTCATGATCAGGTTGGCCGCGTACACCAGTCCTCCCGCCAGGTCCGTGCGCGTACACACCTCGCCCAGCCGGCCGTACTGTTCCAGGCAGAAGGCCACGTTGACGGGCACCCAGAAGGCGGTGAAGGCGGCGTCGAAGAGCGTCATGCCGCCGAACCACAGCCGCGCGGCGCCGCAGTGCGGGTGCAGCAGCGGCAGGCCGAACAGGGAGCGCCTGGGGCAGGGGGCGGGGGGTTCAAAGACCAAACCGAACCATAGGAAACCACAGGTCGGGGCCAGATGATGTACAGGTTTGGGCGGTAGGCAGACCGAGCCGCATGAGAGGTAAGGGTGGTAAGACCGACCGTGACTGGGAGCGTAGCAGGGGTTGTGGTAGCAGGTTACTCGCAACGGGCGGGGTTACCGGTACGCGCACCCCCCCCCCGCTTGCGCCGCTCCCTGCCCTCCTGCCCCCTCGCCCGCTGCTAACTCAACTATCCCGCCTCCTAATGCGGAATATGTATCCCTGATAACCCCCTCCCCCGCTTCCCTTGCGTACCTGATTTGGGTTTTGTTCAACTCCTTGCGGTCCAGCAGCTCCGCCAAGTAGGCCTCCCACACGCCCAGGCTCACGGACACGGACCGGGTAACCAGGCGGGTCAGCGCACCTTGGGTGGGGGAAGGGAGAAGGCAGGTTGGGGGGGAGAGGTAAAAATGGGGAAACTAACGAACTGTTCGACGAGGCTTCACCATGGTTTGACCAGGTTGGGAGGGGGGGGTGGTCAAAGACCATACCGGGACCATGGGGAAACCACAGGTTGGGCGGGGGAAAGGCCAGGAGGGAGGGGATAGGGAAAGGGAGGATGGAGGGGTTGGGAGGGGTTGATGGGGGAGGGCCTGCAGGGGCGCAGGGGGGTCGGCAGGAGCCGCCAGGCTGAGCTGCCTACCTTGTTCCGCCTGAGCGGCGGGGCCGCCAGCGGGGGCGTAGAAGGCGGCACGGTATAGCTGCTGCAGCAGCTGCCAGGAGTTCTTAGTGGCTGCGGCCGCGAGCTGAGAAAAGGAGTACGACACAGGTGGAACGTCGCTATACTGAGCGGATCGTAATGGAAGGCGAAGAAAGCGGAGGCTTAGGCAGTTGAGGAAGTTGTTCGGTTTTCTTGAGGGTGGGCCAGCGGTACCGGAGGCAAGGATTTTAGTCTGCTTGGCCGTCGGGTGGACCCAGGGCTTGCTGAAATAGCCAAGGGCCGCATCTGTATCATGTGAAGCGCTATAGGAGGCACTGTCAGTGGTTGCTCCAGCACCACGCACAAGCTGGTCGCTGTCGTTTAGCATCGCCGTATGTTGCTGCTCCAGCCCGCCTGTTAAGTAATCGCCTCGGCTGCCACCCAATCCCGCAGAAGCATCCGCCGGTTGAACTCCCAACATAGCAGCTCCATCTGGAGCTTTCATTTCATACACTTGCTGTCGCGAAGTGCTTTATGCAGCCCCCTTCAGTGTGTCAACGACGCCAGTAACTCCATGAGGTTTGCCCTATAGCCCTGAAGCTTGCGTTGGCTCAAACTCTCACAACACCTCCGAAACACATGCGCTATACGTTACAAGCGTATGGCTACTTTCCAACGCAGACATGCTTCTCAACTGGCCAGTATGCGGTTTGCTCAATTCTGATGTGGTAAGCGTTGAAAACGTCAAAAGGCGTGTAGGCGCCGCGAACCGCGTAGCTAGCTGTGCTACCAGCGTACTACTTATAGCTCATTTGCAACAGCATATTACAGTACTCTGTTTAGCTTTATTTTTCAATTTGCTGCTGGAGACCCAGACAGGTAGGCTTTGCGCAAAGGTTGGCGTTGTCGTATAGGGTAGTTTAAACCTGGTGGGCCGCTGGGTGTTTACTTGCGAAACTGCGAAGAGTGCATATACCTTCCTTCTAATGCATGTGTAGGGACATGTTATTCTGGAGGCATTAAAGCCCCGCAAGTTTACCTTGCTAGTTCACCGGGCAATGTCTGGCCTTGGCTTCCCCTAACATTGTAAAGCGCCATAGAGCGCTGTAGGTTGCTCAGATGGCTCCTTGTAACTTACATTTCTATACGGTGACAGCACTTCTAGCGATCCTTGCCACATCTGTTGCATTAGCCCAAGCGACGGAACTGTTCAAGGAGGAAACGAAAACATGTCATCCGGACTGCACAAAGTAGGTGCTCTCAGACACCAGCTTGCCTCCGATGACGCGTTTGCTAACCTCCGATGTCGTTTTCACGGCAGGCTGGGGAATTGCAACGGCGAAACAGGGCAGTGTGAATGCCCATTTGGCCTAACAGGTGGGCTACATAGGTGGGCCTCAGAAAAGGCTGGTGTGACTTGTCCAGTTCGTTTCATTCCCACGTATTTGGCTGTTAGGGTCTACGGAACAATGTGGCCAGGGCCAACGGGTTAGAGCCGACCTCCTTGGCAATTGACCTTTTCCCTCAGATTCCCTGGTCCCTGCATGCAGCCGTAACTGTCTCACTATCCTGTTCCTCGTAACCTTGTAGACTGGGCCTCGCTGCATCTCCTTTTGCCCGCCCTCCTTCTCGTGCTGCTGCCCTGCTGTTGCAACCTCCACAACCCTCATTTCCTGTCCCCTCCCCCTTCCCCCGACCCCCGCAGGCCCCAACTGCAGCGACCGTCTGTTCCCCGCCTGCCACTCCAGCACCGAGCCGGGCTCCCTGCCGCACTACGGCATCTGGTACCCCAAGAACTGCTACTGCGCAAAGTGAGAGGCGGGAGGGGGTGGCAGCCATGTAGCCGTCAATAGCGTGCGCTGTGGCACTGGCTGTTGTGCGCACAGTGGCTGCTCTGGATGAGATGTGGCCTGAGACGAATTTGTGACGAAGGATGGGATGGTGAAAGCGCTACATGGCAGCGGCTGGCCGCAAAACTCAGCGATCCAGCCATCCGGTCCTTCCTGGCCTGCATGCCGTACACTACTTCATAACAGTCAGGCAGGCTTGCCCTCTACCGGTGATTCCTTTTCCGCCTTGTTTCCCCTCTAATCCTTGCCCCCTTCCCCATCTCCCGTGTTTTCCTCTCCACCCACCCCTCCTCAGGCAGCTCCGACAGCACCCCTACAGCTGCCCGGACTACCTGAAGTTTGAGGGGGGAAGCGCACCCTACCTCTCACCATGCTTCTACGATATCCTTATGGAGAACAACGTACGTGGGGGTGGCTTTGGGAGCTAGGGTGCCGGCAGGGAAGCATGCTGAACCAACCCCTATCACAGTGTTGCGGAGGAAGCATTACCGAGTTGGCACTCGGCAGGTTGTACGGTGGTGTTGTGGGGGAGGCTGTGCGGTGTATGCTAGTGGACTTGGGCGAGGCCCCTTCCTCTCCAGTGGTCTCCTATGTCGTACACCTTTGCAATGGGTTTCACTGCAGCCCGGTTTGCAACCCGGTTTGAGACCTCCTCCCGCCCTCCTAGCAGCAACTTGCAACCCGACACGGTACCCAGGACCGCAGCTGGCGCCCTCCACCGGCACCACCGCCCTGTTTCCCGCCCTCCCGTCCCTCCTCTCCCGCCCCTCCCGTCCCCCTTCCCCCCCCCGTCAGTTTTCCTTGTTTTTACCCCCCTTCACGGATTTTCATCAGGGCTTGTCAGCTAGTTTACCACCATCACACCACACATTGGAATTTCCTTCCCTCCCCTCCCCCCTCCAGCTGCTTTGCTACCGGTACAAGAGCCTGCCCGAGTCTGCCCAGCTGTCCGACTCGCCGCCCATGGACCACCCGGACCTGGAGTGGGTGCGCATGGCGCCCTACCCCAACCTCAAGGAGAGGGTGCTGGCAGGGGAGGAGGTGCCAAAGGTAAGCACGTGCGTGCGGTAAGAAAACTGGCTGAGAGTCGAAACGTAATGTGATATCCGTGCTTGTCAAGATGCAAGTCAGAGAAGATGCTGATCAGGCCGGTTTCATGGGGCCGGCCACAGAAGACGGCCCCGCAACAGCAAATTCTCGACAGCAACAAAGAAACGTGGTGTGGTGCAAAGATGCGTTGCCGTTACCTTTCCTCCTCGCATGCACGGTCCCAAACCACCCTGCAGGAGTACAAGACACCGGACCAGGGAACGTGGCTCCCCCTGTCGAAATGTCCAAACAAGTAAGGAAGCATGAAAGGAAAATCCGGGCTTGTTGTGTTCCGGGCAGCAGGGGGCATGCGAGGTATGTGTTGGGTTGGAGGCAGCAGGCTGCGCGGCAGGGGCATGTAACGGATACATAAGCAAAATCCCCTCCGCGGCATCCATGCATCCTTTGTACCCCCCTCCACCTCCCTCCCAACTTCTGGTTTCCTATGCTTCGGTATGGTTTTACCCCTCCCCCCGCCCTTCCACCCCCTCATTCCGCCGCCAGCTTATGGAGCTTTATCACGGTTTGTACTTTGTGTGCTGCTACTAACCCAACGAATTTGACTATGCGCAATCCTAAAATCCAGCTTAATGCGGAATCATCATCCATATTACCCCCTCATTCCACACCACGCAGTTGCAGCCACCGCGGGTGGTGCCAGGTGCGCGGGGGCAACCACGCGGCGCACCATCACGCGGACGACCAGATCTGGTGCGCCTGCCACTCGTACTTCTCGGGGGCGTCGTGCGAGAAAACGAATGAGGAGCACTGCTTCCGCAACTGCAGGTGTGGTCCTAAGAAACCTGGTCGCGAGTCGCGAGTCGGAACGTACTGTGTGTGGGGTGTGCTAAGAAACCTGGTCGCGAGTGCAGATGGGTTTTGGGGACGGTGTGGGCGGGGTGACTGTATCCTCCCAGACTCACCTGCCCCCTTCATGCCAGCTTCCTAACTGGGCTGTATTCCTCCTGGCCATATTCCCCGCCCCGCCCCCCTCCCCCCCATCTTCCTCAGCGGTGTGGGCACGTGTCTGGGCGGTTGGTGCCACTGCCAGCCCGGCTACTGGGGCCATGGGTGCACTCGGAGGAAGGCGTACACCAGCACTGTGGGTGGGTAAAATATAAAGAGACACTGCCGATGCGACTTACTAGCTGTGGGTGGGTGGGTGGGGCCGAGAGCTGGAGTTAATTAATATATTCCGCATGGGCGAACATGGGGAGAGGTGTGGATGTGCGGAAGGTGATTGGGAACGGAAGGGGGTGGGGTGGCAGAGGAGGAAGAGGTGCACGCTGCAGGCCTTGGCAGACCAGGGTTTGGGGTCAACCTAGAAGCGCCAACATGGAAGGCTGGCTGATGGATCTGGGTGGCTTGGGTCATAAGCCTTCAGGGCCTGCCTTTGTGTGCCGGTAGTCCCTGGGATTCCCTTTGCTAACCCCAGCTCACTCCTGCAAACCCCTCATCGTGCATCCGCATGGGATGTGCCACGTGTTGGCACACTGCACAGGTTGGCGACCAAACCCTGCGGAAGCCAAGATATACGTGTACGACCTGCCAACTGAGATCATCCACCGCAGGGAGTTCAACGACCAATGGTAAGATGCTTGGCCCTGCAAGTCATTCACGCTGGGGTCCTGGTGACGCGGTCGGCTGCAGGATTAGGCTGGATTAGAGTTAGTTCCATCACCCTCACCAGACATGCACGAGATGGGTACACCCGGATACACCCGTCTTCACCTTCTTCACCCTCTCCTCGCCCTCCGCCGCCTCACCCCGCCCCGCCCTGCAGGGGGTCCCCGGCATGGTCACCAACGACACCGCGTTTGCAACCCACCCTTACCTTGCCCTCACCTGTTATCGTTGCACCATCGTTGCACCCTCCCCGGCCTCACGCCACCCCCTTGCCATGCCCAAACTTGCGTGGTTTCGCTTGGTTTTCTTCTCTATCTTTAAGCAAACTTTGTAGCAGGTTTATGGCTGTCCAGCTTGCTTCAACCTCACATGGTCTGTGACAGCGCTGGCAGGGCCCCCACCTTGTAACATCATGTCGCATTCGGTTCGGCTTCTCTCTGAGCCTCCCCTTCCCCTACCCCCGCCCCCACAGGGCCATCATCGACACCATGTACAACTCGGAGCTGGAGTTCACGGAGCAGCTGCTGGCCGACTGGAGCGTGCGTACGGAAAACCCTTGGGAAGGTACGACGACAGCAGTGATTCCCCTTCTGTGCAATATGCAACTACTCACCCATCCTAGCCGCCTGACCGTCCCCCTGATCACGTGGTTAGGCCAGCCCCTAGCGCCCCTAGGGTCACACGTCCGTCCAGTCGCCCACCCACCTAGCACCGACTCCCCCACTTGCTGGAATGTGCTGTGGTTGCTGGAGTAGGGGGGGGGCTGGTGTGGTCGATGTGGTGTGTATGCTGGGTGATGTCGAACGCTGCGTGTGCGTTGCCGTACACCATCTGTACGGCTCTTTGGAATGGACTTGCCGGCCCCTGTCCTGTGTCTGCATCGTACTACGGTAAATGCTGTTCCGGCAGGACTCCTACGGCTGGACTCCTATATAATACCCTCTTTGTCTATCATCGCCCTCCCTCTCCTCCCGGCAGCGACCTTCTTCTTCGTGCCCTTGTTCACGTACTGGTATACGGGTGAGTGAGCCGGTGGGGGAAACTGGTTGGGTTGCTCTGTTGCAAGTGCGACGGAGTGCAGGTCATGTGGGCATGTTTCGGGGTTAAGGCGGTGGGTTGGCGGGAGGTTGTGGAGGGAATAGCAGGCAGTACAAGGAGTCTTAGGTCGGCCTAGGAGAGCATTGTGCCGCCTATCTGGCACCCTACCTTCAGGCTTCCTATTCACACGGAGCCGGCATGAGCGCATGGCACCCATGAACGCCCTGAAGTCCATAACCCCTGCCCCCCCTGCGCCCTGAAGTCCATAACCCCTGCCCCCCCTGCGCCCTGAAGTCCATAACCCCTGCCCCCCCTGCGCCCTGAAGTCCATAACCCCTGCCCCCCCTGCGCCCTGAAGTCCATAACCCCTGCCCCCCCTGCGCCCTGAAGTCCATAACCCCTGCCCCCCTGCGCCCCCTGCTTCCCCCCTTCCCCCCCCAGGCAACGTGGGCCACCCCTACTACATCATCCAGCACGTGACCCACCACCTGCAGCGCATCGCGCCCTTCTTCAACCTCACGGCCGGCAGGAACCACATCATGTGGGCAACCAACGACAGGGGGGCGTGCAAGCTGCAACATGCGTCACCCGAGATGCAGCACTCGATCAAGGTATGTATGCAAGGCGCAACTCATCAGACACATCTCTGCCTCCTTCGTTTGGTCAACCTACTTCACCTCCGCTTCACATCACTCCCACTTCGCCCACCCCACCCCACCCCACCCCATCTCATGGCTATGACCGGATGGTCCGGATCCTACCCTCAGATCCCACGGTTCCCACCACGCACGCCACATCCCACATCCCATCCACACCCCATGTTTTCACCCCACATCCTCAGGTGGTGCACTTTGGCCAGTCCCCTCGCCGGCCCTACCTCTTCCGCACCCACCTGCCCGGCAGCACCAACAGCGTGGCGGAGATGACGGCCCTGCCGCAGCCGGGACACCGCTTCAAGGAGTTCCCGGAGTTTGGCATCAATGACATCATAGAGGAGCGGGAGTATTGCTTCAGGTAGTACCGCACACCACGTGCGGTTGAAGTACGCAACGCGTCGAACAACGCGAGTCACGTGCTTTGTTTTGCGTTGTTGTTGTTGTTGCAATGCCGATGTTAGTGTTGGTGTTGGTGTTGCTATGGCTTGTGGTCCGTACGTGTGCAGGTACGGCACGTGCCTGGCATGTGCGGTGGGGCAGTGTCCACTCCGCCATGGTGGTTGGCGGTGCATGGTTGTGGCACGCATACGCTGGGGGCAGCAGGCGTGTCGGCGGTGCCACCAGGGTGGGTGTGGACGGTGGTTGTGGCAGCAGATGTGTGCCCTTACCGCCCTCCCCTGCCCTGCTTGTTTCCTGTCCCTGCCCTCAGGCCTGAGAAGGACGTTGCAGCTCCCAACTACCTGCACCTGGCCTGGGTGAATCCAGACAGGTACAGCAAGGTGAGTTTGGGGGGGCGAGGGAATGGGAGGAGGAGGGCGGTGCATGGAGAGAGAGAGAGATCGAGAGCAATGAAGTGGTGTTTGCGCGTGAGTGTGAACGTTAGCAGCTAGCAGGTTAGCAGCTAGCAGAGAGAGAGGGACGCGGACCTGGGCGATGGTGCGGGGCTCTTTGCTTGCCTTTACAGAGCTCGACAAGCATCACTCCTGCACTTCCTCCTCCGCTCCGTTTTGGCCTATGCCCCACACGCCTCCCCTCTACGAAAGGTGTGGAGCACCACCTTCCTGCCCGATGGAAGCCGACTGGTGACCCGACGGCCGGACGCCCCTGAACGCAACACCACGCTCTTCTTCGGAGGTTACTCAAAGTAAGTGTGCAAGTAAGGGCGTGTGGGCGCGGGTATGGTAACTAAGCCGGGATGTGATAATAGGGGTGCGGACGCGGGAGCGAGACAGGTGCGTGCCGATAGTAAATTAGCTGCTTAAGCTCGCTTAGACTGCAGAGGGGGAGCTCGTTTTGGTTATGATGAGTGCATGCGTCTGTGTGTATACTCCGCGTAACACGTTTCTCTTAGTTATGTGCGCCTTGTTACGGTAATCTTTCGTGTCGCAGGAAAGATATGTGGTACAGTCAAGGTGTGCGACAAGCGCTACATAAGATGTTCGGATCCGGTGGCAAGTATGACCCTGCGGTACGTCGTACGTTCGGCACGACAAGGCGTCATTTCAAGCAGCTGATAGCCAGCCAATCGCTCTTGGTTACTCGTCATTGCTTAAGCCCACCTGCACACACTGCACGCGGCCAGTTTGCTTAACACTGCAGTCCCATCCGCTGTTTGCATTCGCTGGACGAAGGTAGCCTCTCTCTTATTACCCGGCCTCTTTCCTACTACCCGGCCCCTCCTAGTACTCTGCTTTCGGTACAGCACTAGAAAGCTTACGGCCCGGCTTAACAGCTGCCTAGCTCCGCCTCACTCGTGTTTGCCGATGCTGCAGGGCCCCAACGCCCGTCCAGACTTCCTTGTAACACAACCTCATCGTAAGTATGGAGGGGGGACGGTGCTTGGGCGGCCATGCATGCCACCATGCAGTGCAGATCCGGGATGTACCCATCCTGGATGCAAAGCCAGCAAGCCGGCAATTGTGGGGGTATCCCTACAAGTGCATCCGCACTAGGACGCCTCCCTGACCGTTGCAAACTACCGGTAACTTGGCTTCACCCGCCTTTGACGCCACAGCACGATCCCAACCTCCCACTTATCATGGTGGCCTGCACTCCCCCAACCCCTTGCACAGCTGATGCCCCCACGGAGATGCAAAGGGCCAAGTTCTGCCTGGCCCCCATGGGCGCCGGGTGGGGCATCCGCCTGACTGAGGCCATGGTGTGCGGTTGCGTGCCGGTAATCATCCAGGACCACGTGTACCAGGTACAAGGGTGCTAAGCTACTGGTGTGCATGTGGGTTTGCTGTGGGAGCTGCAGGGTAATGGAATACCGGGAATGGTTCTTTAGAGTGGCGTTCGTTGTGAAGAGGGCCACATCCAGCAGGCAGCGTTACTTTTGCATGGGGCATGCGGGTGCTTTGGCATGATGCCTGCTGCTGTATGGAGGGTGCCAGTGGGCGGGTGGCGTTGTGATGGGGGACCACGACTGCCAGGCACATGGGTGCACTGGAGTGGCTCCAGGGGGGGCGCTGTTTCAACCTCGTTTTCCGTTCTCCTTGTTCCCTCCCCGCCTCCACTACTCCCCTGCCACCCCCCAGGCTCTGTGGGATGTTGTGCCGTTCGAGGACTTCTCCATCCGCATCAGCCGCCACGACCTGCACCTGCTGGTGGAGCTGCTGGACATGGTCACGCCGCAGCAGCTGGAGAGGCTGCAGGTGGGGGGGGGGGGGAGAGGGAGGGGAAGAGGGAGAACCCAACTGAGGGGGTGGATGGAGAGGACAGCGGCGGGGCAGTAGGAGTGGGTGCAATGCAGAGGGGGGTGAAGAAGCAAGGGGCTTGGCTGTGTGGTACGGGGCGCGAAGCTCTGAGCGATTGAGGCCGGCCGTGTGGCGTTGCGCCCTGCCCTGTGTGTTACCGCGGAGTCTGCAGTCCCTCCCATCCCCGCATTCTGTCCTTGACACTCATGCCCGCTTCCCGCCTTTGTTTCTCCCGTGTCCCGCCACACCTGCAATCCGGACTTACGCCGCTTGCATGGGGCTGCACCGATCTACCGGTGCTACTGCTGCTGCTTGTGTTTCATCTGACTGCCGCACCCACCACCATCCGCGTCATGATGATCAACCTCCCCGCAACTGCCACAACACCAGGCGGGAGTGGAACGCTACCACAGGTGCGGGGGTTGTGTTGGCGACAAGACACTGCCCCGACTGGTTCCTTTGATTCCTTTGTTCCACTGCTCCGCGGCTTACGTCTGATGGCTATACCAGCAGCTGCTACCTGCGCTCCCTATCCAATGCGTGGTAAGGGCATAAAGGCCCGTCGCTTACCTCCCTCCCTTCCTGACCTGAAACCCCCTGCCGCTGCCTCGCCTCCTCTCCTCCAGGGCATTCTATTGGGACACGCAATTCGGCGGCCTGGCCTACAACTACACCATCACCGCCATCCGGCGCCGAGCGGTTCACTTGTGGAGCGTCAACTACCGCCGCCACCGCCGCCACCTGTTATCAGAGCAGCAGCATGGGCAGCAGCAACAGCAGCAGCAGCTGCAGCTGCTGCAACATGAAGAAGGAGTAGGGGGTCATGCTGGAGACGGCGAACACGTGCTGGCACTCGCGTAGATGCCAATGCAAGTGTTGTTGTAGTAACTGCTCTGTGAGAAGTGGTGCAGATGGGCTAAGGAAAGGTGGTTTACATTCGCTGCCTGGCGTGTACGGATACGCACTGTGTGTGGTGTTTCGTGCACCTCTGTCAGAAGGGAGGGAAGGAGGGGGGGCTGTTGTTGTGGGCGAGCAAGGTGAGCGAAGAGGGAAAGTACAGAGGACATTTCTATGTGGAAAGCCATGCGCTTGGTTGGGAAAGGGTTAAGGTGACCTACTTATGCTGCGTAGCGCACTAAGAACTGGCGGGCTTTTCGATTGCTACCTTATTTGGAGCTTGACAGTTGTTACCTGTGGATAGGATGCCGATGCTGAGGCTGTGGGGAAGTATGGAGGGAAACTGGTCGCGAGGGAAGTGGCTGTGGAGAAGCGTGTGTGGCCTTCGCGAGCCTTACCTCGTTTCGGTTCTTATGTATGACTCACGGCAAGCACATATATAGGTTTTTTGTGATCCTGTATTATTTTTGCGATACGTGTTACATCGGCGTTCAATGCACTGTGTCATGAAGCGGCTGTATCGGTCCAGTCCAGGGCGTGGGATATAGCAGCTGGCGATTGGTTTTACAGTAAAACTGTTGTGTAGATGCGCATCTGCATGGTACTGTAACATGGTGAACCGTCTGTGTACAAAGGAGGCAGGTCTATGTAACGCGCAACATAGTCACAATCCCGCCCCTGTAAGGTGGCAAGGTGGCAATTGCTTTAAAGCAAGACGCAAAACGGCTAACAACCATTTGGATGGTAAACCGGAAGGGAGGGGTCCACAACAGGTAAGGTTAGTTACACCTGAACTGCACACCCACATAAAATTTTCATACCCCTGGAGCCAACGGTCGATAAACTCGGGCCAGCGAGTCAGGCCGGTGCATTATGCCTTGTTACAGATCACCAATCCAACTGCCTTACGTAACGTTGGTATAGCAAAAGGTTTTTCTCGTTTATCGGTTTTCCTCATATATCGCCAGCAATGAACTGCTTACACTATACGTTAATTTGGTATTGAAAAAGCGTTGCGTCTTTTGGCTTGGGCGGCCTGCTCGTACGAATGCCGCTTGCAGAGGTCCCAAGCAACGGGATTTCCAGCGCAGAACACCCCAGTAAATACCTTGTGCTAACGGTTCTGGTTATCCTTTACTTGCGCCTTAGGAGATGCGTTATGGTCAATTCAGTCGTAAAGCCAAAAAGTGGCGCCCAAGGGCCTCTTAGTAATGTCCAGTTTCCAGTGACAGCTTAGGGTGTAGGCATTGCACCTACGCTATAATACCACAAAATGGCACCTCAACGAACTAGAAGACGATGGGCGACAGCTCTTTCAGCAATCATGGCTATAACTGCAGCATTAGCACACGCTACTGAAATATTTAAGGAGGAGATAAAAACGTGCCATCCTGATTGTACAAAGTAAGTTGTCTTACTGGCATCATGTGCGAGCCCCAACCATCCAAAGTCCGTCCTTGGACCACCTTCGGCGAATTCCCCGCACAGAAATGGTAACTGCAACGGCGAAACGGGAGAGTGCGATTGCCCATTCGGGTACACAGGTGGGACGCGCGCATAACTTTGGCGCTGTGAGTCGATGTCATGGCTGAACCATTGACTACAAATGGACGCCACCCTCCTGCTGGCCGCCCCACCCCCTCTCCTCCTCCTTTCCCCCGCAGGCCCCAGCTGCAGCGACCGTCTGTTCCCTGCCTGCCACTCCAGCGCCGAGCCGGGCTCCCTGCCGCACTACGGCGTCTGGTACCCCAAGAACTGCTACTGCGCAAAGTGAGAGGCGGGAGGGGAGGAGGATGAGTGGCGGGATGCCGAGAGGGAGATGAAGCGGCGATGGGGAGGAGGTTGACGGCTTGTTAACGTGCCAAGACCACTGTTTTCAAACCGCTGCTGCATCTGTACTGTTTTGCCGCTAGCGTTCCGTCGACGTCGATGTCCATGCCGTTGTCGTCATGCACCCTTCCAGCCAGCCGCTAAACGGGCCCCTAACCGGCCCCCGAACGTTCTCAGTTGGGATGTATTAAATCCCTTACCATCCACTCCACCATGGGAACGCCTAACACACCCCTCATACGTCACAACCCTCCCCCCCCTCACAACCTCTACATGCCCCCCCCATGCACCCCCCCATGCAACCCCATGCAACCCCCCATGCACCCCCCCATGCAACCCCCGCACCCCCGCAGGCAGCTGCTGGCGCACCCGTACAGCTGCCCCAAGTACGAGCACGGAGACCACAACGCGCATTGCTTCTACCCCATCCTGATGGAGAGCAATGTGGGTGCTACGATGTTATTCAGGGGGCGTTCCTGTCACTGGTACTCATGATTGCAAGACATCCGCCCCCTCGGAAGGGTAGCGTGGGAAGGAAGGGGCGCTGTTCTTCCCGTTAGGGCCACTTCTCCCCTCGGCCCCAACGCTCATGCATCACATCCCTTCACGTCGTACCAGGCATCCAACCACTCACAATACAGATCTGGGTTGGTTCCAATGCCTCCGTTGAAGCCCAAGGGCACGTTTTAGATGTTCCGGCCCGCCCTTCTCACGCCACTGCCCTGCTTCCCGGCCCCCCGGCCCCCTGTGGCTTCCTATAGTTCGGTATGGTCTTTGACCCCCCTTGTCTCCCCCCTCCCCCCTCCAGCTGCTTTGCTACCGGTACAAGAGCCTGCCCGAGTCTGCCCAGCTGTCCGACTCGCCGCCCATGGACCACCCGGACCTGGAGTGGGTGCGCATGGCGCCCTACCCCAACCTCAAGGAGAGGGTGCTGACCGGGGAGGAGGTGCCAAAGGTACAGAGGACGTGGAGAGGGCGGGAGGGGAGACGGGAAACGGGGTGGAGAGCGGGCGCGGGCGCGGGAGGCACAGGAAGCTGGAAAGAGGGTGTATTCAAGCTGACGGGGGGTTTTCATGATGGCCCCCCAACTTGTAGGGATTGTCAGCAACTTGTATCATTATCACACCACACTTTGAAATTTTTCTTTTCCCCCAACTACCTCCATGCGGGCCCCCACCTCCCACACTTTACTCCTTCCCTGTCAACCCACTCCCACTCCCGCACACGCACACATGTGCACACATGCGTACACAGGTGTACCAAACGCCCGACCAAGGCACCTGGCGACCGCTGTCGGAGTGTCCAAACAAGTAGGTGGGGCGAGGGGGGGGAAGGAGGGATGGAAACCAAGTTACCGGTACCTAGCTGGGAGCTGGGGAAGGTCCCCAAGGACGCTTAAGACAGGGGGGACGCGGGCGCTCTTAGCACACGGGTAGCATGCTTGGGACGGCAGGCAGGCAGGTGCATGGGTGTGCCGTGCCATGTGCTTACCGTGTAGGGTGGCGGCCGCCGTCAGGGTGGTAGATATACCGTTGTGGCCGGCTTTTGGAAGCCACCTGCCGATTGTTTTGCCCCAACTTGTGGGTTCCCTATGGTTCGGTATGGTCATTGAACCCCCCTCCCGCCCCGCCTTCCTCAGCCGTACCGCGCTTTGCCGTACTTGATCATGGAACCGAACAATGCCGTACCAGGGCGCCCGAGGACGTGCAGGACGAAGATTCCCTGCCACACTGTGCACGCCATGCACCATCATGTGTACGGCATTGACCCCCGTACGTTCGTACGTCTCCATTTGCTGTTCTCGCAGGTGCAACCACCGAGGGTGGTGCCAGGTCCACGGGTTCGATCGGATCTCCGGCCAGCACTTCAATGCCACCCCCTGGTGCGCCTGCCACTCGTACTTCTCCGGGGCGTCGTGTGAGCAGGCGGAGAACTACCACTGCTACCGGAACTGCAGGTGGGGGCGGGCCTTGGGGGGGCGGGCCTTGGTGGGGAGCCTTGGTGGTGGAAAAAGAAATTCCAAAATGTGCTGTGCCTTGGTGGTGGGGAGGGGGCCGCACGTGGGGGGTCAAAGACCATACCTTCCCATGCAATGCCACAGGTACGGTCAAAGCGAAGGGGATAGGAGGCGGCCGGGTGCAACAATACAGAGCGTTGGGGGGGGGGGCACGTGGGAGGGGGGCGTATGGGTAAGAGGAAGGAGGGGTAGAAAGGTTTTCCTTATTAGACGGGCCTCGCGGCCCTTGCTACTGGTGGCAGTGGGGGAAATGCGGCTGAGTGCGTGCGTGAGGACTGAGCGAGGGCTGGGGGGACAGGAGATGGTTGCTTGAAAGTGGTACCTTTGCTGTCTGCTGGCGGCCGCACTCCGCATCCCGCCTTGACGCCTTCCCTCCCCCTGTGTCCCCCTCCCCCCGCCCCCCTCCCCCCCATCTTCCTCAGCGGTGTGGGCACGTGTCTGGGCGGTTGGTGCCACTGCCAGCCCGGCTACTGGGGCCATGGGTGCACTCGGAGGAAGGCGTACACCAGCACTGTGGGTGGGTGGCGGGGGGGGCGAGGGAAGGGGAGGGCCGGGAGGGCGGGTGTGGACGTCCTGGGATTTATGGTAGGTGGGAACGAAAGGGGGCGGGGTGACTAACGAAGGAAGGAGGGAAGGAGGGAGGAAAGCCTGTGAGGGAATTCGAGTGGCCGGTGGCTGGTGGTGGTGGGTTCATCACCTTGTGTATGGGCATTCGGAATATGCTTAAGCAGCCCAATCCCTGTCCTCCCCGCCCCCACCCGCCCCCTCTCCCTTCGCCTCCCATCTCCTTTGCCTTGCCCTCACTCCTGGTTTGGCCTCTCTGTGACCCCCTCTCGCTTCGTATATCCCCCCCCCCTTTAACCTGTGGTTCTGGTATATCTCTGGCTCCCCTCTCGCTTCCCCCCCCCTCCCCCCCCTCCGAATGCGCTCACTGCATGAGTCGGGATTCGGGATTGGGACTGTGTTGTTGCACTTATTTATAATTCTCCCCCCCTCCCCCCCCCGCACTCGCTCTCAGGCTGGCGGCCCAACCACGCGGACATCCGGATATACGTGTACGACCTGCCCAACATCATCGTACACCGCAAAACGGAGGACCCATGGTAGGAGACCCATGGGTCACCGTGCCAGCGTCAATGAAACACACACACGTGCTTTTAGTAGGGACACCATCATAAGGCACTGCTCGCGGAGAGGGATGGGAAGAGGCCAAAAGGCAAGCGATTCTCCTCCGCACCGCCTTCTCTTTCTCCGTAAAGATTTCCGCTTTGCTTCCTTTCCTCTTCCCGCGTGTGATCCTGTTTATGCCCCTTTTACTTTGCCTTCCTGGCCTTAACCTTCCTTGCTGCCCCCCTGCTCCCGCTCCCCCGCTAGGTCACTCATCGACCTAATGTACAATGCGGAGCTGGAGTTCACGGAACTGCTGCTGTCGGATTGGAGCGTGCGTACGGAAAACCCCTGGGAAGGTGCGACACATGCACCGATGCACCTACGTAGTTACCTTTTGTACGGCGTCCCTGATACTCGTACTTGGTTTGTGTCAGTTTGTTGCTGATACGCATACCATTAGGGTGGTATGTGTGTGCTAACGGCACCTTATGCTTCATCTGAGCCCCTTTGCGCCGCTCGAGCTATGATCCACAGACACCCGCACCCGTTCCTTTGGCACACACTTTCCTACATTCACGTTCCTACTCGCGGCCAGTTTTCGTAACTTACCCCCTTTGTGTTTTAAGTGGGGACGTTTCATTTTCCCACGAGTAAGTTCCGACTCGCGACCAGTTTTGTACAACACACACCCTCTTCCCGCCCCCTCCTCCCCCCCTCCCTCCCTCCATTTTAATAAACGTTTTTTGTCTATCATCGCCCTCCCTCTCCGCCCCGCAGCGACCTTCTTCTTCGTGCCCATGTTCACGTACTGGTATACGGGTGAGTGAGCCGGTGGGGGGGGTTGCTAAAGCTTTGGTTCTTTGTTTGAAATCGGGGATAATAACACCACGGATGGGTCTGTGGGTGGGAGCGCACGCGCGTGCGTGGGCTGCATGGCTCTAGTGGCTCTAGGGTGCGTAGGTGGGTGGGTGGGTGGGTGGCTTACCAAAGCGGGCCGCGAGTCGGAACGTCCTGCCCCACCCGCCTGCCCCTTCCCTTTCCTTGTTCCCCACCCCCCTGCCCACCTGCGCCCCCTGCCCCCCTGCCCCCCTGCCCCCCTGCGCCCTGAAGTCCATAACCCCTGCCCCCCCTGCGCCCTGAAGTCCATAACCCCTGCCCCCCCTGCGCCCTGAAGTCCATAACCCCTGCCCCCCCTGCGCCCTGAAGTCCATAACCCCTGCCCCCCCTGCGCCCTGAAGTCCATAACCCCTGCCCCCCCTGCGCCCTGAAGTCCATAACCCCTGCCCCCCCTGCGCCCTGAAGTCCATAACCCCTGCCCCCCCTGCGCCCTGAAGTCCATAACCCCTGCCCCCCCTGCGCCCTGAAGTCCATAACCCCTGCCCCCCCTGCGCCCTGAAGTCCATAACCCCTGCCCCCCCTGCGCCCTGAAGTCCATAACCCCTGCCCCCCCTGCGCCCTGAAGTCCATAACCCCTGCCCCCCCTGCGCCCTGAAGTCCATAACCCCTGCCCCCCCTGCGCCCTGAAGTCCATAACCCCTGCCCCCCTGCGCCCCCTGCTTCCCCCCTTCCCCCCCCAGGCAACGTGGGCCACCCCTACTACATCATCCAGCACGTGACCCACCACCTGCAGCGCATCGCGCCCTTCTTCAACCTCACGGCCGGCAGGAACCACATCATGTGGGCAACCAACGACAGGGGGGCGTGCAGGATCGGGACGGCGCCGCCGGAGATGCAGCACCCGATCAAAGTACGGGGGGCAGGCGGGCGGGCGGGTCAAAAAGCATGCATAGCCATAGGAAGCCACAGGTTGGGGCAAGGCAATGGGGAGGAGGGGGGCGGCAGCCGAGGGCCTGGGCACTGAGGGAGGGAGCGGAGGGAGGGAAGGAAGGGAGGGGGAGAGGAAGGAAGGGATTGCAGACGGATTGATTCCCTTGGGTGGGCTCCCTTGGGCCAGGACTGCTCCATCTCCTTGCTCCCTTGATGCCTGGGAGCCCCCTCAGCCCTCCAATGCTCCACTCCGCCCCTGCCCCAACTCCTTCCCGCTTACACCCCTCTCCTTTCTCCCACCTCCTGCTCCTGCCCCCTCCTGTCACCACACGCACCCCTGGTCCCCCGCGGCCCGCCTCGCTTCCATCCCTCCTCAGCTGGTGCACTTCGGGCAGTCCCCGCGCCGCAGTCAACACCCGCTCCTCTCGCTGGCCGGCAACAGCGCCGCCGCCGCGGGGGCAATGGCAACAGCGTTGTACATGACACTGCCGCAGCCGGGACACCGGTTCGAGGAGTTTCCGGAGTTCAGTTCGCATGACATCATAACGGAGAACGAGCTCTGCTATGTGTAGGTGTTCACGCGTGCGTGTTAGGTGCGTGCATGTTAGGTGCGCATGTGTGAAGTGCGCGTGTGTGGTGGTGTATTGCATGTGTGTTAAGAAAACTGGCCGCGAGTAGGAACATACTGTGATTGTCGGTTGTGTGTGTGTGTGTGTGTAGTTGTGTGTGTGTGTGTGTGTGTGTTTTGTACAAACGGCACATGTGTGGCGTGGGGGGATTCGGTGCAATAAGCTCATTGGGTGTTGGTACGGGGCAGCGGGACGAGGTGTGTTTGGCTTTCGTTCGTTGTGTGTAGACGCCCGGCTGTGGCAGCCGCGGCAGCAGCTGCGGCGGTGGCGGCAGCGGGTCATGTTGGTTTGTACACCAGCTGTCGTTTGCAAGCATGTACGACGGTGCTTATGTATGCCAGCTGATTGCCGTGCACGTTTGTGACTGAATGATCGTAGTCATAGGAGGCCTATGCTTTGCAGGGGTTAGTTACAACGCGCCCAATTCATTCATCCGTCCTCTCGCTGCGTTCCCCGCCCTCCGCCCTTCCCCCACTAACCCCACCGCCCCAATCCGTGGTTGCATCAGGCCTGAGAAGGACGTTGTGTCGCCCAACTTCATAGCACTGGACTATGGCTGGTACAACCAGGTGTGCATACGGGGGGGGCGGATAGGGGTTTGGGGTGGAGCGACGGGGGTGGCCGGCACTACCAGCTGCACATACACACACACACACGTGACACGATGACATGATGACGGGAGGGGGCGTTGCATGGGGTTCGAGCGACGGGGGAATGGGGCGAGGTTGAATGGGGTGGATTGCCAGGCTACACGCAGGGCATCGTATTATTCGGATGGGGCTGGTATCGCCAGGGTATTTCGCGAAGTGGCGAGATGGTGGGAAGCGCGGTGGAGCTGGGAACTGGCGAGGAGGGGAGGGCGCTCCTGGCGAGAGCCGCATCTGGGAACATGCCCAGCAGTCGGTATGGTAGAAATATGGGGCCGGGGTAAAAGCAGGTAAAAGAGGCAGGAACATTTGTAGCCCGCTGGTGCGTGTCCTTGGCTGGATGTCCAATGTCATCAGCCAGTGTCTCACCATGGATGTCCAACTGGATATCCAGGGCCCCATCATGGACCTGGCTTGGACCTGGGAACAGCAACGCAGGACTCCAAGCTGTCCATGTCCTTTTGCCTTCAACCGTACGTCGTCCCCTGCCTTACTCCCACGCCCCCCTTCTGCCTCCCCCCCCTCCATGGCGTCCATGCCCCACACGCCTCCCCTCACAGGCCTGGAGCACCACCTTCCTGCCCGATGGAAGCCGACTGGTGACCCGACGGCCGGACGCCCAGCCTCGCACCGTAACCCTCTACTTCGGAGGCTACACCAAGTGAGGCCCGCAGGGGGGCCGGGGGAGGGGTGGGAAGAGGAAACTGAAAAGGGGAAACTGAGGAGCTGTATGACATGTATGCTTCATCAGGGGTTGCAAACACGGGGGGGGCCCAACCCGAATTAGCCAAGCCATGAAGGGGGAGGCGGCTGGAGGCGGCATGCGTGGGATGGAGGACGGACGCATCTGGGAAGGGTGCAAGGAGCTGGGTTAGTTGAGGCCCCAAACGTAAGACTCATTCTGTCGGTATGGACCATGGGCTTTGCGGGCCTCTTCGTGCTTTGTGTTTGACTGCGCTCCAAACTCACGGCGCTCCGGACCTCCTGCGCTCCTGTGTGCGGCATGCTGCAACCGTACCCATTCTCAACTCCCGTTGCAGGCCAGACATGGTTTACAGCCAAGGTGTACGACAAGCGCTACACAAGCTGTTTGGGCCCGGTGGCAAGTACGACCCCGAGGTACGACAGTACGACAGGACGGCACACACACGTGAGGCCCTCCACCCCAATTATTACCCCCAACCTACCCCCGCCCCAACCCCAACTCCAACCCCTGCAGGGCCCCAACGCGAGGCCCGACATCATCATCACGGGACCCGTTCGTGAGTGCCTCAGCCGCCCTCCCTGCTTGTATGTGCTTGTCATCATATTTGGTAGCCATATGCCTCTAGCTAACTCATTCTTGTGTGTTAAGAAAACTGGCCGCAGACTCGGAATTATGTGTGTACGTTTAGGACATGCGCTGCCTCGTAGCAGGCCCCAAAGCTCGCATGCAGACCACATACAGGGCCTGCAGGTCCCCGCCATCTTTACCGTCCTCTTGCATTGGAAACCGCACACCTGCCTCACTCCCCCCCCAACAACACACGACTTCCCACATGCACCACCGCCCTCCACCCTCCGGCCTTCAGCCCACGCGGCTGATGAGATGGTGAAGGCCAAGTTTTGCCTGGCGCCCATGGGCGCCGGGTGGGGCATCCGGCTGTCCCGCGCCGTGCTAGTGGGCTGTGTGCCGGTCGTGATTCAGGATCACGTGTACCAGGTAGGGTGGGGGTGCATGGGGTTTTAGGGTTTTAGGGGGTTGGAAAGGCAGGTAGGGGTGCATGGGGAAGGCCAGGCAGGGGTGCATGGGGGCGGGGAGGCAGGGGTGCATGGGGAAGGGCAGGTATGTACCACCGGTACTCCCTGTGCTCTGGTATTCCTCTGACCACCATCACCCACCCTTCCCCGTCCCCACTACTCCCCCCCAGGCTCTGTGGGATGTGGTCCCGTTCGAGGACTTCTCCATCCGCATCAGCCGCCACGACCTGCACATGCTGGTGGAGCTGCTGGACATGGTTACACCGCAGCAACTGGAGAGGCTGCAGGTGGGGGGGGAGAGGGAGGAGGGAGGGGAGGGGGCCGGGAGAGGAGGGAAGGAGGAAGGAATACCATAGCTTTTACCCTGTTGTTTTTGCTGCTGTGACTCTGCTGCTGCTGATGATGTTACCGATACGGCATCCCGCTCCTGACACATCTGCGACCTCACCTGCCACCTCCCGCACCCCGGACCGGCTGCTGCTACTGCTGCTGCCACCACCGCTGCTGCCACCACCACCGCTGCCGCCACCACCGTTGCTGCCATGCTGCTCATGCATCGTGCTACATCGCGCTCCAACGCTGCCGCTCACCGTCGCACCAACATCAGGCGGGGCTGGAGAAGCATCACAGGTGGGCCGGCGAGGGCGAATCGCTGCTGTGATGGGGGCTGCTGATGGGGGCTGGTGATGGGGGCTGGTAGTGCAGCTGGTGGGAGTTCGGGATGGCAGCAGCTGGACTATACACACGTGTGCCAGTGGGAGGAGGAGCAGGAGGGGGTGCTGTTCAGGTGACCGGTATGTGGATGTGGAGTGGGCTGTGGTGTGCTGGCATGCATGCAAGGGGTAGCCTTCCTGCCCCTCCTCGCCCCCCTACTTCCTGTTGCCGGGTCCGTGCGACCACCGGCCTCCAGCTCCCACTTCCCTCGTCCTGCTCCCTTCCCCACTCCAATCCTTGCACTCTCCCTGTCTCATCCCCGGTCTCCCTTGCATGCATGCATCCTTCCATCCGCCCATGCACCCATCCATCCACAAACCCTAGCAATCCCCCTGTCTCATTCCGCTCAGGGCGTTCATCTGGGAGGCTCACAACGGCGGCCTGGCCTACAACTACACCATAACCGCCCTCAAGCGACGAGCCTTCCACATGTGGAGCGGCAACTACCACCACCACCGCCGCCTCAGCAGCAGCAGCCACCACCACCACCACCACCACCACCGCATGCTCAGGTCGCATGATGCTCAGAACTGAACACTCAGAACTGAACAGCTTCCTGGAGGAACGAATGCTAGCTGAATCTGTGTGGGACTGTGACAGCTGTACCGGGGTTATAAGGTCTCCAAGGGTTGCACCTTCCTTTCGCGGGACCCCTGGCTCGTGGGGGCTACAGGGGCTAGCGGTATAAGGCCTCCAAGGGGGTTACAACGACTTGAGGAGTTCCAAAATAAATCCCTTGCATTTATATTGGAGTTCCAAAAACGCATGCAAGGTCACCCGAGTTAATGTTATAGGCCAGAACAAAGCTGCATGCATGCATGTAAGGGCCGTGGTTGTACGGCAGGTAGGAGTGCTTGGAGGCGCAGAGGGTGTGACGTCGCTAGTTGAAGCGAGCAAGGGATTGGGCAGATATGATTGTTAGACAACAAAGGGTGACCAAGGACCGACTGGGGAGTTGCTGTATTGTTAAAACAATCAAGGGCAGCGTAAAATGAGGACTGCTGCAGGGGGGAGGTGCTGGCGAAGGAAATGGGAGAATGGCGGAGGGTAGGGTGTGTAGGGTTGAATAGACAGGCACGGCGGGACCTGCTTTGTACAAGTCAGCCTTCGTATAATTTCTAATTTCTTGTGATTCCCTCATTTTAATAATAGAATCATTGTGCTGGTCGAGCGCATGCGATGTGGCGTAATGTTCAAGCAATGTGCTGCTGTAAGCGTGTCCTTACGAATTACCAAGCTCTCCTCCATGTGGTCTCCTAATGCGAAGTGCTATTCATGCCCTTGGACATCTCAACGGCGCCTGGTAAAACAATTAGGACAGCTGCGACAGCCAACCACTTCTGTATGATCCAAGGGTCCTTGTACGGCATTTCTTGTACGAACGTGCCACGAAGGAAAGCAGCACCCACATAGCCAGTGCAAGGCGCAAAGACCCTACTTTAGTTAGCTCTTGGTTAGCTGCTGTAAAACCCTTTTGCAACATAGAACCCTAGTTAGCAAAGCTGTAACAAAGCTTGGAAATTAACTAGGTATAGTCAATTCCCGATTTAGATTAATTACAGTGGTCTGGAGTTTGTGGCTGTGGCGTATGGCCAACCTACTAGAGCCCTTCATGCGCATTTCGCCAGAGGTAGAAGCTGCCTTGGCTGAAGGCCGCCCAGTAGTTGCACTTGAGAGCACTATAATCAGTCACGGAATGCCTTGGCCTGATAACTTAGCAACGGCCCTGGAAGTAGAAGGCGTAGTACGCGATGCCGGGGCAGTGCCAGCCACCATCGCCATCATCCAGGGCGTGCCCCACATCGGCATGCAGCGCGAGCAGCTTGAGCACATTGCCCGAAGAGGGACGGCCGTACAAAAGGTTTCGCGCCGAGACCTGCCTCTGGTCTTGGCAAAGCGCATGGACGGTGCGACAACGGTGTCTGCCACTGCAGCGCTCGCCGCTCTAGCCGGAGTCCACGTCTTTGTAACGGGAGGTATCGGCGGTGTGCACCGCGGCGGCGAGGTGACCATGGATGTGTCAGCTGACCTTACGGAGCTTGGTCGCACGCCCATCGCTGTCGTGTGCGCGGGCGCAAAGTCTATTCTTGACATTCCCCGCACTTTGGAGGTGTTAGAGACGCAGGTATGACAAGCGGAACGTCACCGGTTAACATAGCGGTTGCCTTGTGCGCCCATGGATGGATGGGTGTTGATCGGAGGGTGCTGAAAGCCTATGCTGCAGCAAGAGTCACGCAGGCCGTAGGTCCATACATACAACGGTGTCGTGAAACGCGACGCCAACATGTTTAATAAATCAAACGAATGTCACACTGTACTGCCGCACTGTGCTGTCACACCACCGCAGGGTGTGGCGGTGGCTGCCTACGGCACGGACGAGTTCCCCGCCTTCTTCACCCCTCGAAGTGGCTGCAAGGCGCCCGCACGTGTCGACTCGGCCGAAGAGTGAGTCCACATGGGTCGGCGTGTTTCCTGTTCCTCCCCGTCCGCATGGCTGCAGCTGCTTTGGCCTTCCATGGGCCTGCACACAGCTGCGCAGCAGCTGACGGCACCTGAAGACCTGGTACCTGGGGAAGGGGTTCGAAACAACCGAAAGTCCGCAATGAAGGAAGATGTCTCTTGTGATTCCCTTGCTACCTCCCGCCCGTTTTCCCCGACTGCAGGGCTGCCGGCATGCTGGCCTCCCTGCGGCGACTGGGTCTGGGCAGCGGGATGCTGGTGGCGGTGCCGGTGCCCTCGGAGCACGCGGCGGAGGGCGAGGAGGTGGAGGCCGCCATCCACACGGCGCTGCAGGAGGCGGAGCAGCGGGGCATCAAGGGAAACGAGGTGCGCGGGGGGTTGTTGCAGTGGTGGTGCTGCACAACGTGCTCCGGCCTCCCCTCATGCGCTTCATTCTGTCTGCGTCCCTTCTAACCACACCTTAGCATGCATAGCCGCATGTACACAACGTGCTATCCTACCCTACCCCCTATCATGTCTGATCCTCCATTGGAATTCCTCTTCCTCCTCCTCCTCCTCCCCGCAGGTGACTCCCTTCCTGCTGGAGCGGGTGCGCTCGCTGACGGGCGGCCGCTCGCTGGCCGCCAACATAAAGCTGGTCAAGAACAACGCGCGCGTGGGGGCGGCCATTGCACGGCAGTACGCGGCGCAGCTGAGGGCGCAGGACAGGCGGGAGCAGGAGCAGCAGCAGCAGCGGGGGAGGAGCAGCGGGAAGCAGGTTCCAGTGCTCCGAAGCAAGTTGTGAGAGGGCTTGTAAGCGTGACTTGCTGTGTGCGGAGCTGCGGGGGCATTGGGGTTGAGGAGTTCGCAGGTGTGGTGGTGGGAGTACCGTAGTAGGCAATGGGGGTTGAGGGTGATACTGCATGGGAGGCGGGGAGAGGGGTGGAGAGCGCAGATGGTGTACCTGAATGACTGGGGGTACCGATATACCGGTAGTACTGAGGGCATGTGGCGGTGGTGTGTTGCACCGGAGTGGTGTTGCCGGTTTCGTGTTTGGATGAAAGCTGCTGTTCTGGTAGCGGTTGAGGTTGGTGGTTGGCAGTTGTCGCGATGGCAGGTGGGATCTCCCGTGTGGCCGCGGGGGTGGAGCTGAGGCGCGTGCAGCGCTTGCGAGCGAGCGAGCTGGCGGTTACTTGATTGCCCGTGGTGTCAAAGTTGCTCGGATGCTACGCAGGATGTGAACGGAGAGGGAGTAATGTCCGGTGGTGTTGGGTGTGACGAGCCCCAGCCCGCTTGGAAAGACAGGCCCCAGGTCCTAGTGGCCGTGGCGGAAGACAAGGCGGGCGGAGACATCGGTTCGCTGCTTCTGTCTGTTTCTTAGGTTCCTAGGCTCCAAGTTGTGAAGGATCGCAAGCTTCTGCCGCCCAACAAGGCGTTATGGAATGTACGGGCTCGGAACGATGCCTGCAACGGTAGCTGAATGAGGATACGGTACACTAGCTCACACCGCAAGCAATGCTCCTCCCAAGCAAGCTACCTCCATATATGCTGCAGACGTGCAGACCCAGGGCATTTATTCGCAATTCCCGGGACGTTATTCGGCATCCATCAATATCTGTCGTACATATGCCATCCGTGGCGTCCTACTAGCTACTACACACGGCCAAGGAAAGGTACCGGCCAAGCTCTACAATGAATAACAATAGGGGCGAAGTACCAGTTCCCAGAAAATACAGGTAGCCAGGTACACAGCATAGACCAACTCACACGCGTGTACCCTTTACATCCTTCATCCAAACCGTCCAGGACCAACACCCGACAAGCCCCCAAACGCCCCAGCACATCACCACCACGCCTGTCCATAAACAGCGCAAACGGCCCGCGGCGGGGCTCTGTCCACCCTCATGAACTCATGGCGCCCGCCCCACTACCACCTCCACCCTCCCCTGCCGTGCCCCTACTCGCGCGCATGCCGCCCTGCCTGTTCTCCATCTCCCGCCCCGCCCCCTCCTGACCCTCTCCCTGCCCTCCTCCCCCTCCCGCCGCCGCCGCCCCCGCCCCTCCCTCATGCAGTAGCCCCATCACCATGGCATCTCGCTGCCGCAGCGCCCTCCGCAGACCCCGGTTCTCGCCCTCCAGCGCCGCCTCCGCCTCCTCCAACTGCCCCAACCGCTGCCGTACGGCCGCCAGATCGTCCGTCAACTGCTGGCTGCGAGCCGACTCGGCGGCGGAGCGCTCAGCGGCCTCCTGCGGTACAACGACGAGGGCACCATGAAACGCACAAAACACGGATCGCCAGGGCGCCAGCCGAGCCAACGTACCGGTACACGCACAGTACCCATGCTCAGCAGGAAGGAGACCCGGCTAGCCGGAGACGCACGAACTGCGCACGCACCACCCCTCCATGTTACCCTCCATTTCCCCGCTCCGCTCCGCCTACAGTTCCCACACCCGCACACTCACCCTGGTCACCGCCTCCGCCTCCGCCCTGGCTGTATCCACCGCGTCCGCCTCCGCCCCCAGCTGCACCTGCAGCGCCCCCACCACCTCCTCCAGCGCCGCCACCGCCGCCGTTCCGCCGCCCCGCACCGCCTCCAGCTGCGCGCCCCACGCCGCATGCACCGCACGCAGCGCCTGGCCGCTGTCCTCTTGCAGCTCCGAAACCGTGCTCTGGGGAGGGGAGCATGAGGGGAAGCGGAGGGAGAGGTGGAAGACAGGGGAAGAGGGAGGAGAGTTAGAGGTGAAGGAGCGGGCTGCGCGCGGGTGCGGGTGTACCGTACTAGGGCGAGTGCAGGGACGACTCCGCGTGTTAAGAAAACTGGCCGCGAGTAGGAACGTACTGGAATGTCGGAAGATGAAGTCCCCACAGAACCGCCGCAGGAGCCGAAGAATATGGTAGCATATGTACATATAGAAGTCCAGTACTGGTGCTGAGAGTAAGTAGGACGTAGGAGAAGCACTCTCGTAAAACGACCGGACCTAAGGCCGCGTGTTTGCGCTGCAACAAAGAGGCTAGGACCACAACCCAAGCCCAGACTCCTTGACCTTGGCACCTGCTGGGCATGTCCTGCCAACCGCGAGCCCATGCAACTGTGCCCCCAACCACTCCACTCACCCTCACCGCCGCCACCTCCTCCCGCACGCCCGCCATGACCTTCTCCAGCACCGCTGCCGCCGCCTCCCCCGCGGCTCGCCGACACGACTCCAGTGCCGAGTTGCTGTCCGCCAGGAAGCGGGCGGCCTGGGACTGCACAGGGGCCAAAGACACGCCAAACAACAAGTGAGGGCAAGACACAGGGGATAGGAGGCGGCCTGGGACTGAACAGAGCCGAGGAAGCGGAGTAACTGGTATATAGGGTTACCGGTATTTGATTACTACATGTTTCTAATATCGTAGAAAAAGCAGGGCACCCCCAACTCGCGATCGGTTTCCCAACACACAGGCGACTGTTTTCTCACACCTGCAGCTCCGCCACCCGTGTCTTGGCCGCCCGCAGCTCCCCTGCCATGCGAGCCAGCTCGCCCCGCAGCGGCGCCACCTCGCCCGCCGCCAGCGCCTCCGCCGTGGCCGCCTGCGCGCCCGCCACGTGCGCCGCCAGAAAGTCGCGCAGCTGGGCGGTCCACAGCGGGGAGGCGGAGGGGTCGGAGCAGGAGGGGGACTGGGGGAGGAGGGGGCGGGGATGAAGGGAGGAGGAGGACAAGGAAGGAGGGGTGTTACGGTATGTTGCAGGGTTGGTAGCGGGGGTTTGGGAGGGTGAGGAGGCGACTCTTGCCTTCACGGCGCATAGATGCGGCCAGGAAGCGATATGGCATCGGTTCACCAGGCTTTCCAGTTGTTCCACTAAGCCCGCAAAAGCAGCAGCCCCTCAAAAAGGCAGTGCTCACCAGCAGTGCATGCAGCAGCGGCTGCGGCAGCGGCGCCACCTCCGCCACACTGCGCACCAGCAGGGACCCGTGGGTCGCGGCCGCCTCAGCTGCCGTACGAGCCGCATCCCGCTCCGAAACCACGACCGCCATGTCTCGCCGCAGCCGCTCCAGACCCGCCCTCAGCTCCGAAACCATCCGAGCTGCCGCCAGGACGGATGATGCCAAGCCCTGCTGCTGTGGCGCTGTGGCCTCGTCATTGCCGCCAACACCGACGCCAGCAGCAGCAGCGGCTGCGGTGACGTCAGCTGGCAGCATTTGCTGTACGGCAACTGTTAGGTCGCGTTGCAGCAGGGTCAGGTGGCGGGCGGCCTCCGCTCGGTCGCGATCAGCAGCGCTAGACGCCAGCTGCGCCTGCAGCGGTGTTGGAAAAGGCATACGATATGGTTATCTCCAGCCCCCGTCCTTCCTCTTCACCCTCATCTCAATAGCCCCTGCTCCACCAAACTTGCGTTCCTCTTTACCCCTTTCACCACAAAACATGCACCCTCACCACCGCACCCCTCCCCTCCGCACCCCACCTGCTTGATCGAGTCCTCCGCCTGCCTCGCCGCCTCCGCCATGCTGCTCCCCGCCGCCGCCCGCAGCTCCCGCAGGTCCCTTCGCAGCCCCGCCAGCTGCCCGCCCAGCAGCCCCCGCAGCCGGCTGAGCTCCGTGCGGTGGCGGGCGGCCAGCCGGGCGGTGGCCAGCTCCAACCACTGGGGCAGGGAGGCCTGTGGGGAGGGGCGTGAGAGGACGTGGGAGGGACATAGGGGGTGGCAGGGAGAGGGAAGTGGCGTGATGGTGGTGCGGGAGGCAAGCCGGGTATGTGATGGAGGGAGTTGCATGCAAAGGTAACGTTAATTGTCAAGTTGGGAACTGCAGTAGCAACTGGAAAAGCAGCAGCAAGGACAAACAAAACGACCGACAACAGCAGCCAGCAGCAGCACTCCACCCCACCCCACCTTGAGCGCCAGCAGCATGCCCTCGCAGTTCTTCAGGTGACGTGTCAGGTGCTGACCCACATCCCGAGCCGCAGCCAGCTGCGACCGAATCAGCAGCCCGCCCTCCGTACCGCCACCGCCACCGCCGCACCCGCCGTACGGCACATAGCCCGAGGGGGCTGCTGCTGCTGCTCCTGCGGCTGCTGCTGAAAGGGTGCGACCGGCGGCGGAATGGAGCAGCGTGGAGCCGCGACTGCGAGGTCTGCCGGTTGTGGCAAAAGCTGCAGCGGATGCGAAGGCCTCTGCATGATTATGATGGTGTGGCGCGGAGGAGGCGGGCGGGCCGAATGCCGCGGTGCCACTGGCGGCGCAACCCAGCATGGAGAGGAGCTCGTTTAGCAGGACGCCGCCGAATGAGATTCTGTGTAGTGGTTGCAAGGTTGGCAAATATGGCAGTTATGAGGAGCTGTGTTGAGGTGCTATGAGACAGGACTGACCAAGCATAGGCAAGGGCTTCGCTAATGTGCTAATGGAAGGAACTGGGGGGCCAAGCAGTGGGAAAGCAGGAAAAGCTAGCTGGAGGCAGCTCAAGGTGTGTTTGCTCTCCGGCGTCCCGCTGCGCCAGCCCATCCGCTGCCCCGCGCACAGCTCCGGCTCCCCACCCGCACTCCGACCCCACCTGCCAGCCGCCATTTCCGTCGCGGCGCTAGCCAGATGGTCCCTCACCGCCTCCACCTCTGCCACCCCTTGCTCGGCCTCGAAGTGCGCCACCTCCAGGAGAGCAACGCGGTGCAGGGCGGCCGTGAGACTGGCGCCCGCTGCGTCCAGGGCCGCCACCAGGCTGCCGCTGACGACCCATGGGTCATCATCGCTCCCGCCGCCGCCGTTAACGCTGCCGCCGGTTGCTGTTGCTGCAGACGCCTTTGTCCTGCAGGATTGTTCAGGCGCGGTAAACTGGTGCATAAGGAACGCTTGTAATGCACGCCGGGACCGAGTTATCGCACAAGCCCACCAGTGGTGACCTTGCAGGAGCATTACCGCGCCCTCATGCCCCCCAAACGGAACAATCCCAACCTACCCAAGAGCAAGCACATTCAGTCCTCCCTCCGACAGCACACCGCCTGCTCCTCCTCCGCACAGCGGCCCCGTCGTCCTCCCTCCATGCCGCCGCGGCGTGTTCGTCGCGGAGCCGCCCCGCCCCGTCGCCGCCGCCGTCAGGAACCCTCCGCCTCCGCCGCCACCGCCGTATGGGTCATTGTCGTACGCGTCCTCCGCTGCGCCGTTGGCCGCCGCCAGCATCATGGCATGCAGCTGCGGCAGGCTGGGCGACTCCAGGGCGGTCACCACATCGCGGATCTTGGTCTTCAGGGTAGCCAGCTCGCTGGACCCAACCGCCTGCTGCGCATCCAGCCTGTGGGGGCCATGCAGGCGGAGAGCGGCGGATGGGGGCACAGGAGGGGCCCTTTACGCTGGGGGGGCGCTACACCATGCTCAGCAGCCCGCTACGGCTGAGCGGCCGGCCGCAATCGGGCGACACGTACGGATCCTGTAAAGGATCCAGTGCATTACTCGTGCCCCTGCTGCTTCGGTATGCTGGATGGTACCACGCATTGGACTTGCATCCGTGGTGTATCAATGCGGTGTCGGTACCATGCACCCGATAACCGTTGTGCCCGAGTGGCAGGGCTGCTCCTGCACACACCCCTCACCTGTCATGCAGCAGGGCAATGGTGGCGTGCGCGTCGCTGAGTGCCCGACTGAGCCGCACGCGCTCCTCCTCCCGCGACAGAGCGGCGGCCTCCGCAGATCCCTGGAGGGGGCAGGACGATGTAAGAAGAACCAGGAAGTCAGGACGTAGGCACCGTGTAACGCAGCCTGCATTACTAACAGAGGAGGCCACCTAACAGGGGACAAGCAAAGTACGATGTCGTACGGCATGTGGTATGCCTGGAAAGGCAAGCTACAAGGGTACCATAGCTCAATTGGGCTGCCGCACCTTGTCTCCCTCCGCTGTCGCCAGCACCTTGCGCAGCCGCGCCCGTTCCAAGTCAACCGCCGCCGCAGCCTCCTCGGCGCGCCGAGCAGCCGCCTCCGCCGCCTCCGCACGACCCCTCACAGCCTCCAACTCGCTTGCGCGCACAGCCGCCTCCCTCTGTGACGACATGGGAATGGGCACCCAACAGGTACGGCGCATGGGTACATGAATGGGTACAGAACACGTATGCTTCGGTGCTCTTCTAAGCGGCATGCTGGCCCATGGACAAATGACTGTACGGCTTTGGTGTCGCCGCGGCGATCCAAGATGCCGGTCGGAGAGCAGTTGGGAAGTGCCGAGCGGTTGTAGAGGCCGACATGCTTTTGCCTCGTGTCCCTTACACCTCGTACGCATGACCCCATGGTGTGACCCATGGTTCTCAGCTCCGCAACAACAACAGCAATTCAGCCGCTGTACCACACCTGCAGTGCCGCAGCTTCCGCGCGTGTGCGGTCCAGCTGCTGCTGCAGCTCCTCCACCTCCTGCCGCGTCTGCGGGGGAGCGGCAGTCCAGGAAACATCTGAGACCTCGGAGAAGGCACACGGGGAAGTAGCCCGGCAAGCGACATGGCTGGAAACCCAGTGGCCGCCAAGGCGCTCATGCAACCTTCATCCCTCGCCCTGAGTTCCTGCCCCCCCCCTCACCTCCGCCAGTCGCTTGCCGCCCTCCTTCTGCACCATGCCGTTGGCCAGCCGCAGCTGCGCCACCTCCTCCTGCGCCTCCCGCAGCTGCTGCCGCAGCACACCCAGGTCCACCGTGTGCGACTGCGGGGGCGGGGGATGGACAGGAGGCGGATGTTCCGCAGGGGCGGGGGTAGGGAATAGGGGTGGGAATTGCGGGGGGGGGTCCGGGGGATGTGTAGGAGGTGGATATTCCGCGGGGGCGGGAGAGGGGGAAAGCAGAAAGAAGGTGAGTGTCGGTGCTACAGGGATAAGAGGGTTAACGGAGAGGGGAGGGCGGCAGCGAGCTATGTACGCAGCTCCCCAGCCCCCCTCCTCCCTCCCCCACCTGCATGCGCGCCACCGCCTCCTGCACCAGCGCCACCCCGGCGCTGATGCTGCTCTCCACCGCCGAGTCCAGCGCCGCCTTGTCGCCCACCGCCCACTCGCGCATTAGTCGGGCCAGGAAGTCAGCACCCTGCGTGGGAGGGAGACGGAGGGAGCCGTTGAGAGGCATGTAAGATACAACTGCAAGCGTCTGTATGAGAATCAGTTGGAAACACATTTGACCGGTAAGCTAAGAGCAGTCCGTGCTTTCAAGCCCAAACATCGCGCAGCTGGCCCCCGGACATCGTTTCTTGAATCCAATAACTCGACACCGCCCCCATGTGTGTATGTAAGCGCCCGCTACCCACCACCCACCTGCAGGTACGCCACCGCGGGGTTGCTGCTGACGTCCAGCGCCGCCGCCACCGCCTCCTGCAGGCTCACCAGCGCCCGCCGCAGGGTGCTCCAGGCGGCTCGAACCACGAACAAGCTGTGCTGGAACTGCTGCTGCTGCTGTTGGTGCTGTTGTTGTTGGCATGGATCGATGGGTGCAAGTGCGTCGTGGGAGCCGCCCAGCAGCCGGCGACCCTCCGGCAGGGTGGACATGCAGACCATGGTGTCGAGCTGACGGGGGAGAAGGGGTGGGGGGAGGAGGGGTGGGGGGAGGAGGGGTGGGGGACAAGGGGGTACCAAGCCACAGGCAGGGATCGGAGGGAGGAGTCGGAATGCGGATGGTGACCAGGGGTGAAGTGGCAGGTACAGAAGACATAGCGGGCGTCTCGCTACCCCCCGCACTGCTCCTCCTACATTGTCATCGCGACCCAGATTCGGCACCTAGACCCACCACATCCTCATCAGTCGTTACCCTACCTCCTGGCCTACCCTTCCTAACACCCACCTTGGTGAGGTGCTTCTCCAGCAGCGCCCTCAAGTCCTCAGCCAGCCACAACAGCCCGTTGCCGCGCCGGGACCCCTCCGCCACAACCACCCGCTCCAGGAACTGCTCAAACTCCTGGCGCTGTCGTACCAACCGCTGCCGTACGAGCGCCAGGTGCTCCGAGGAGGTGAGCAAACCCGGACCACCACCACCACCACCACCACCAGCGGCTGCTGCCCTGCTGCTGCTGTTGCCATGTGCGGTGGCGGCGGCTGCGTCAGGTGGTAGTGCTGCTGCTGCGGCGGCGGCGGCGGCGCTGCTCGCGCTCTCTCGCGCCCTTCGCAGCTGCGTCTCGAGGTCCTAAGGAAGGGGGCAGTGAAGGAAGGGTTTGGAGGGGAGTGAAGCGCAGGGAGGGGATTCGGAGAGGGGATGGGAAGGCTTTAAAGGTGAGCCATGGCTATGGAGGCGGCTATGAAGGCCCGAAACAGGGGAGATCCCAGCGACAAGCAGGAATCCAGTCGGGTCGTTTCAGCAGCTGTTGGTTACGTCCTGGGGCAAAGCCCCTCAATGGGGCCGCAGCAAGGCCCGTCAAGGAACAGAAGGCACATTCCCACTGCATGTCAAGCGCCCCCCAAGCCATTGCAACACGCCGCCTTTTAGAACCCTAACAGCCGCCCTCCGCACCTGTATCCTGCGGTGCGCCCGCAGCAGCTCGTCCGCCAGCTGCAGGTTGCCTCCCGCAGGCTGCGTGTGGCCCACACCCTCCCGCAGCAGCTGCGAGTGTGTGTAAACAAGATGTGTGACGCATGTGTGAGTGTGACACCACAGGCGACATGGGTAACGGCAGCAGCAGCAGCAGCAGAAAGGGTACATGATCATGCTCGAGGAGCTACCAGGAGCCGCAGCATACCGATGGGAACGCGGGCGGCTAGAGGAAAGCACACAGCGACGCTCTGGGTGGAGGTCAAAGTAACACCAGACCACACGTTGGTGGTGGACACGGGACACAGCACATTTGGAACTTCCAGGGCACCCCCTGCCGTTACCGGCGTTGCTGCTTCCGCTCTTGCAATCACCCTGCCTATGGCCCAGCCCTGCCTCCTACCTCAGACCGCAGGCGCGCCACCTCCGCCCGCAGCTCCTCGCCCTCCCGCTCCGCCTCCGCTAGCCGGCCCTTCAGCTTCTCGCAGCGCCGGCGCTCCTCCTGCAGCGGCAGCGGAGTGTGTTATGAGTTCTGGCCGCGGGTTGTGCGTGGGGGAGATCCTTGAAGACACGCGTCCTAAAGAGTTGGCAGCCGACTACTCTTATACCACACGATGGCGCTGGGAGTGCAGTCCCATGACGGTATGGAGCGCTGTTTGCCTTGCTGGATGCTTTATGAACCTAACCTCCCTTCCAACTGGAACACGTGTGCGTGCCCCACCTTACATGTGTGCCTGTCCCCTTCGTAGCATGTCCCTGTGGCACCCTGCATGTGCCCCTCCCCACCGCACGCTGCTGCGCCCCGCGCATCCCGTCCTGCATGGCGCACCTGCATGGCCGTTTGCACCACCAGCCACTCCCTCTCGCCTCGCCGCCCACTCCCCCCAGCTCCGGAAGAGCCCCCTGACGGACTGCTGGACACATCCAGCCTTGCCGCGGTGTCGCCACTAGAGCTATTCCCCCCACTCAAACTACCTCCATCGCCTCCTCCGCCACCGCCACCTGCCACCCTGCCGCCCGATCGGTGGTTGCGGCCCGATGCGCGCGCCGGCGCGTCACTTCCGCTCCGACCCACATCGCGTTCCTGTCGGCGCCGCTGGTGGTGCTGCTGCAGCTTCAGCAGGTGCCGCTCGCGCTGCTTCAGCAGCTCAAGCAGCTGCTGTTCGCGCTCGCTGGACTTTACCAGCGTCTTCTCCGCCTGCAGCAGCTTGGCACGGGCCTCAGCCAGTGCTGTGATGGTGGAAGCATCGGCAGCAGCGGAAGCCGAGGGTTTTACTGCCGCGGCGACGGCCGCAAGTTGTTGCGAGGCCGCGACACGGTCGGAGAGGTCGACCAGGCTGGACTTTAGGGTGCGTCGCTGCTCCTCCCAGAGCTCTTGTTGCTCGCGGAACTGCTTCTGTTGGTTCTCGAGAAGGGACTGCAGGCTCTGTATGGAGGCCTCCTTGGCTTCCAGGACGCCGTCGTAGTAGAGTTGGAGCTCCGTGAGCTGCAGGCCGCGGTCGTTGGACTCGGACTTGAGGCTGGTAAGCTGCTCATGGACACGTCTGTGGGATTGGAGGATTAGGAGGGCATGTGGGTGGTAAGAGTTGGGTTTGAGGGAGGAAGGCAGCAAGAGGAGGGTCGTTCTAAAGGGTCGCGGAATGCGTTTCAGCTGCGGAAATTCAAGTTGAGGGTCTTGTGCACAGACTATGTTGTGATGGCGCCGGGCTGGCATGTCCCCGTTCGTACTACGAAAGCACGTACCCCAAGGTTCGATTCAGTGACTCCCGCTCTGTGGAGCAGCTGTTTAGGTCAAGGCGCGCCTGCTGCAGCTCTTCGTTAAGACGCTTTAGCCGCTGCTCCAGGAGAGAGCATTTTGTCGCTTCATTACGCAGCTCCTCACGGGCTGCAGACAGCTCCGCCCGCAAGGCCTCATCTTCTTGCTTCAGCAGAGCATGACTTGTGCGGCTGGCCGCAAGCTCACGCTCCTTATCCAGGAGCAATTGTGACAGCTCCTGGATACGCCTGTTCAGGTCCTCGACAGCCATTGCGGCTTCCTTATACTAATATATATAGTGTTGCAACATGAATTGTCTGTCAGCCAGGGGCTGACGAGTCAGGTATATGGCAGGTAGTTTGACCAAAGCCAAACACTAGTACCTTCGTCGTATGGGGCTGACCATAAATGTACGGTTGAGAAAGTGACCAAATCTTTTACAGTGATGTGGTTCCTTGGAGTTTGCTTCGGCCGCTAGAGCCTGCGAAAGTATGTCGTACAATAAGTATCCCGTCGATTGATCTTCTCAAAGGCTATGGGTGGGTCCTTTCTATGGTTGCAAGATGCATTACATGCGCGTCCGATCTGAGATTTCTGTCCTGTCAGTCAACCGCGCAACCCGTACTAACATGTATACATCAGACTTACGCTTGAGCACAAGGACCTTCCAAGGTGCGGTGGCATGCCGAAACCTAACTTTGCGAGATACAAGGAATGGACTATGGGACCCCACATGGTACTTTGGCTGGTGAAGGCTGGTAGCAGGCAGCATACGACGGTGGCCCTTCGTGGTACCGGCCTGAGGGGCTGTTACCGCAAAGCACAATTGCATAAGCCAAAACGTCCCTGTCGATGGTCAACAGAGACAGATTGCTGTTGCCGACACCAGGCGAGATCAGGCACGACAGAAGGCTGCAAGCTGTGCGAGTATGAGCACCTGACCGTCTCTCGGAATGGAGTCATGTTGAAGAAGTTACCTTCACAAGTAGTGTCTAAAATAAGCTGCGCAAGCAGGTGAAACACAACATTACTAGGCTCGTGGCCGTCGCCACCGCACAGCGGTTATGGTACGATTGACTAACGCTGAAATTGGACGCGCTTTTGCATTCGCAATCGCAACCCCAACTTCAGACGGTACTCGGACCGCGCCGCTCTTCGAGTTATCTGGCGCAGCTGGTCAGTTGTAGCCGCAAGCCCCTGTTATGTGCCACCTTAGTCCAATTGACTTCAAAGTTTGTAATTACCTTAGTTGCTATGATGTACTTACATGTTAGCATTTTAGAAGACTTACTTACGTCTACCTTGCTTCGGCGACGGCCGAGCCTGCCATGCTAGTTTAGCGGCCTTTAGTCTCGGAACTACTCAATTATATTTTACGAGCGCTCGACATTACATAGCCGGGGCAGCTACATCACTTACACGCCTTGGCCATGGCGCAGCAATGCAAGGCTTGCGCACCGAGTGAACGCGCATCCCAACGCCCAACCCTTTGCCTCTGCCACCTCAAGCCTCGATTTTCTCTCGTCGTCCCAGCCGCACGGCAACAACCTCGGAGGGGGGGTCCCTCCTTCGCCTCAACATCCTCCGACCGCAGCCATTCCGCCGGCCCCTTGGGTAACCTCCAACGCGATGGCGCTCAGCCCTCGACTCCACATCCCTTGGGACCCCAACAACAACAATCCCAACGAACCCAACCGCCGCAACAACCACTTCCACAACCACCACAACCAACGCGGCGCAGCCGGCCCCGCTTCCGCCTTATCACAGAGGGCCCCGACACGTCACTCGACGTGCAGCGCCCCGAAGACAACCCCTCGCTGGACGATATCGTACTGGACGAGCAGTATTACCGCGAACTGGGCCTTACGCGGGAGGAGGCCCAGGAGGCCCTACGCCAGCTAGATGCTTCGGAACTGGATCCAGAAGCGGAGCTGCTGGGCCCGGAAGACGATGGTGACGGGGCCTTATACATGGACTCTATGTTTGGCCCCGAGGGGCTTAGGAGCCCGATGCATTATGGAGGTTTGGATCCGGGTTTTGACGCCACGTCATCCGCCTTCTTGGAGGCAGCAGGAGGACTAGAAGAGGAAGAAGAGGAAGGACAGGATGAGGAAGAGGAAGAGCTATACGGTCCGGAGGTAAGGGGCACGCGCACCCAACCCTGTCCCTTTCCTAGAGCCCAGCCACCTTTGCACCGCTGACCTCATACGGTATGGTACCATTGTCTGCAAACCCCAGCCTAAGGCCTTTGCCCTCATCCACCAGTGTCCTTTTCCTCTCTCCCTCACCTCCTTTCCCAGATTTCCCCCTCCCCCGCCCTAGTAATCACAAACCGGTTTCCTGTGTTGACCGCCATCCTCCTCTCTCGGCCCCTCCCGCTGTCCCCCCCGCAGGCCGTGTTGCTGGCCGGGTTCCGGTCCGAGGAGCCCGGGGCGGTGCGGGCGCTGCTGGACCAGGCGGGGGGGCACGTTATCAAGGTGGGTTGAGAATACACAAGTAGTAGTAGTAGTAGAAAGCAATTGGAGTCCCAATCCCAGGTCCCGACTCGTGCAACGAGCGTATACGGTGTGACACTAGGAATGGGTGGGTGGGGGTGGGTGGGGGTGGGTGGGGGGCTAGGAGAGGTCTTGCGCTTCATCCCACGCTCCTGAGGTTTTTTCACCATAAATTCACAACACCTATCACCCTTCACAACAAAGCTCCTCTCCCTCCTCTTTCCTCTCCTCCCGTCTCCCCACCCCTCCATCCCTCTCATCCTCCCTTTCATTGAATATCCCTTATTCCCCCCCTCCTCCTCCTCCTCCCCCCCCTCCTCCCCCTGCTGCCCTGCACCAGGTCATTCCGGTCACGGAGGCCATGCTGTACGGCACCGTTGAGGCTGCCGTACACTCCCCCGAGCTAGACTGGGGCGCTCCGAGACCCGCTGACGGGTCGCGTGGGGGCGGCTGGGGGGCGCAGCGCACTGTGATGTTCTCGGGCCTGGGGTGAGGGGGTTGTGGGTTGGGGTGAGGGGATTGAGGGATGAGGGGTGGGGACACTTCCTTTGGGGGAAGAGCGGGTTTTGTGTGAGGATTGTGTATGTGTGATATAAGAAAACTGGCCGCGAGTCGGAACGTAATGTAATTGCCGGAAGGTGAAGTCCCCACAGAAACACCACAGGAGCGTGTGCGTGTTTGGACACCCTCCCTCCCTTTCCCGCCTCCCCCCCTCCCTGCCCCTCCCCTAGCCTACGTGCCCAGCTGACGCTGCTGGAGCTGCTTGAGGCGTCCGGGGTGCCGCCGGTGTGTGTGGCGGTGGCGGGGCCGCAGCAGGCGGGCAGGAGGCTGGGCGAGGTGCTGGCGGAGGCGGTGCAGGTGGGGGAAAAAAGAAATTCCAAAGTGTGGTGTGATAATGATATGGGGGAGGGGGGCAGGGGGGGCGAGGCAGGTGGGGGCGGGCGGGAGGGGGGAAAGAAGAAGAAATACCATGCATTCAGTGATAGGGAGGAGCGAGGGGAGGGTGGTGCAGGTGGGGGTCGATCGGGGTCTCAGGGAGAGCGGGCTGGCGGGGGGGGACAAATCAAGTGAAAAATTGCAATGAAAGGGGCAAGTACAGCAATGGGAGCGGACAGGCGGCAGGAAGCGGACAAGGGGGTATTGCGTGTGTCGCGGTGTTTGGGGGTAAGTCGGTTGGTTTGAGTTGGTTAGACACTAACCTCTCTCATCATCATCATACCCCATCTTCCCTCCCTGGGCCCGCCTCCCACCCACCTCCACTCCCTCCCGCAGTCCCAGCGCTCTCACACTCGGAGGCTGCCCCAGGAGGAACCCTGGCGCCGCATCAGCAGCGGCAGCGGTGCAGGGGCAGGGGCAGGCTCGAATACCAGAGCCAGTGCCCGCAGTAACCCATATACCATTGGCGCGACGAGCAACGCCAGCAACGGCAGCGGCACCAACGACAGGAGCGCCGACGGGGCAGCAGCAGCAGCAGGCAGCGGCGGCACTGCTGCAGCTCCTCCTCCTCCTCCTCCCACACGAGTAGCTGACTCACCTCGCGGCCTAGCCCCCCTGGACTCCCTGCTGGGTCAGCAGGTCAAGCAGCGCTTGCTGGCCCAGATACAACAGCAGCAGCAAGAGGAGCAGCAGCGGCAGCAAGAGGAGCAGCAACAGCAGCAGCAGGGAAGGGAGGCGGCGGGGGAGGAGGGGGAGCTGCTTGGGCTCAGCGAGCAGGCGGCGGCAGAGGCGGCGGCGGCGGAGTGGGCTGCTTGGGCCGCCAAATCCGCCGAGGCTTCAGAGGCTGCTGCTGCTGCTGCTAAATCCGCTGCTGCTGACACCACCGCTGCGGCTACGACCACAAGCGCTACGACCGGTGCTGCTACTCCGCCCACATTTGCATCAGCAACAGCGGCTTCAGTGGAAGCAGCAGCACCAGCAGTACCACCAGCAGGAGCAGGCTACGAAGCAGAGGCGGCTTCCCAGGAGTTCTCGAACCTAAGTCGCGAACTGGGTTTGGATTTGGAGCAGTTGCGGGAGCAGGTGATGCGTCAGTTGGCGGATCTGGATCCAGAAACCCTGGAGGATATCCTGTTGGATTCACCATACGGCGATGCCGCGGGGGAGGCCCTCATGTCTTGGCGCGAGGAATCTGGGGAGTTCGAGGAGTTTGAGGAGGAGGCGGAGGAGGAGGCGGAGGTGGAAGCCGGCGATTTGGAGGATGACATCAAAGCAGCGGAAGAGGCTGGGTTGGGTGGGGAAGCGCTAGGGCAGGGAGAGCAACAGCAGCAGCAGCAGCCACAGCAGGCGGCGGAGGAGGAGGGCGCAGGCATGGCTGGCGGCTTGACGGCGGCTGCGGCGGCCCGAGTGGCTGAGCGGCAGCGGCGGCGGTGGCAGGCAGCTCAGGAGGAGCTGGAGGCGGCGGCGGCGGCGGCGGGACGACTGGTGGTGCAGGCGGAGTCCCGGCCGCTGAGGGCGAGTGAGGAGCCGACGACAACGACGGCGGCGGGAGGTGGCGACGCCGGTGGCGGCAGGGAGAAGGACAAGGACAAAGGCACACCTGGTGCAGGTCAACAACAGCAGCAGCTTCAACAACAGCATCCTCAACCTCAACAGGTGCGCACAGGGGTACGGCAAGTCAGCGAGCAGCACGCGGCTGCACCCGCCAGCGCAGTACCGGCAGCAGCAGCAGCAGCAAAAGCGGCTTCCGTGTCTGCATTCGATTTGGGCCTCAGTTCTAGTTTGGTCAGTGACGGCCTCAGTGATGATGGTCTGGACGCCGAGGGAGACTTCTCCGACCTAGATCAGCTGCTAGGGCTACTGGAGCCGCCGCCGTCGTCAGTCGGTTCGTCGTCAGTCGGCTCACCATCGGCCGTGTCGCCTCCGGAGACGGGAGCTGCGTCGTCGGCCGCCGCCGTCTCATTCAGTCCTACGGCCGAGGTAACGGGAGGCGCAGCTGCGGAGGGTGCGCCGGCGGAGGGCGCGCCGACGGCGGCGACGACAGCGGCGGAGGGTCATGACGGTACGGGGGCCACGGCGGCGGTGACCGCGGCGGCGGTGACGGCGGGCAATGGGGCCTTGCAGCGGGTGCAAGCGGCTGCGCGCAGCGGAGCGGCACCGGAGGTCATCCAGCAGATGTTGGATGAGATGATGTACGGCTTTGCGCCGCCGCCGGCGTCGCCGTCACCGCCGCCACCGCCGTCGCCGTCAGCAGTGGTCGCTTCTGGAGGAGCTGACGGCGATGGTGGTGCTTCATCGGCGGCATCAGTGGCGGAGGCGGCGGAGGGGGGTTCATCGGCGGACGCTGACCTGACGGCGGAGGCGGCGGCTTCTTCTCAGCCGCAATCTCGGCGACGGGGCAGCCTATTCGCTAACCTGCGTTCCTCAACCTCCTCCTCCTCCACATCCTCCTTGCCCCCACTTGCCATTTCGGCTCGGCAGCAGCAAAGGGAACAGCAGCAACAGGAGCTGCGGTGGCGGCGGTGGCAGCAAGGAGAGCTCGGGGGGGAGGAGGAGGAGGAGGATGGCGGCATGGAGTGGGCGGAGAGCAAGGAGGAGCAGCGGCGGCGGGAGGCAGCGGAGGAAGATCTCAGGAGACGTGTACGGCAATCGTACGGCCCCACGCCGCCTCCGGAACCAGATCCGCAGCTGAAGCCCCTGCTGGAGGTGCGGCCCGACCTTGCCAAGGCGGTACAAGGTACGAATGAATTGATGATGGATGGCAAACACACCCTTCATTGCTTTTGAACACCCTCCGGCAAACACGCTCTCTAGCTAAACACGCTCTCCTTTTCTTGTTGCGGCGGGGAGGAGTTTGGGTTCGGTGGTTGTGCTACTCTTCCTGTTGTTGCTGCTGCAATGTAAAAAGTCGTTAGGTTGCCTGTGCGGCGTGCAGTATATGGTGATGGCATAACGATATGCATCTCAATCTTGCTGCTGCTGCTGCTGCCGTGGTTCAATCCTCGCCTCGCCTATCCCGGCTCTCGCAGACAAGCGAGTCAAGTTCCTGGACCTCAGTCGCCTCAGCGACAAGCAGAAGCGCCAGTTCGCGGAGTACCAGGCCCGTCTGAAAGTGCAGCACAGCGCAGCACCGCAACAGCCGCAGCCGCAACAACAGCAGCCGCAAGCCGACCAGCAACTGCAGTCGCAGCCTTCTGCAGTGGGCGAGGCGGAGGTGCTCCAGGGGTCCACAGTAGCCATAGGGCCGCAGGGGGGAGCGGAGGAGGAGGCGGAGGAGCTGGGCAGCATGAGGGGGGAGGAGCTTGGGGAGGGTGGAGGGGAACGTCAGGAAGGGGAGGAGGAAGGCGAGGGCGCGGAGGAGGACCAGCGAGCTCGTGTATTGCGGCAGTTGCGTGAGGAGCAACAGCGGGAGCTGCAGCGGCGGCAGCGGAGGGGCAGCAGAGGCGATGATGAGGATGTGGATGATGAGGGTGATGAGGACGAGGAAGACGAAGACGAAGAGGACGAGGACGAGGAGGGTGAACGGGTGCGTGCCGGGCCCTCTGACGCCGCTCCCCACCCTCTCCACCGGCCCCCATGCCTGCGTTACCGGTACCTTTCCCAACAAACCCCAAACCCTCCAACCAACCTCACACCTCACCCCAACCTCCAACCAAACCCCCCATCCTCTGGTTTGCCATCCTCACTGGTTCTCATTCAACATATTGGGTATCCTTCTTTCCCCCCAGGCGGCGGTTAGCGTGAGTGCCTCCAAGCTGCGGCGGCTGGTGGCAGCTGCGGAGGCCGAGGGGCTGCCGCTGGAGGACACCCTGGCGCAGGCGGTGGCCATGGGTGGGTGCGGGGCGGCAGGCGGGGTAAAAATAAGGAAAACTGACGAACTGGATGACGACGGAGGGGTGGGGGGGGGGCAGGCGGCGGCCATGGGTGGCGGGGGCCGGTGGTGCAGGTCCCCACGCAGTGTCTGACATACCCGTTCCCTTGCCCCCACCCACACCTATCCCTCGTCCCTCGTCCCTGCCGCTGCCGCTGCTGCTGCTGCCGACTTGCAGGTGTGCGGCTGCGTCCCTCGGTGCTGCGGGCGGTGGGGCTGCAGCCGCCCTCTCAGGAGGCGCTGCAGCGGGCGCAGGAGGAGTACGGAAGGGCGTTTGCGGAGTGGGCCCAGTCGCCGGGGGGTGAGTGGGGGCGGGGGGGAGGAAGCAGGTGTCGGGCGACGGGTGGAGAGAAGTAGGGGGGGCCGTCTCCAGGAGGTGTTCAGTGTGGCGGGGGGTCAAAGACCATACCGAACCATAGGAAGCCACAAGTTGGGGCAAGACAATGGGGATAGGAGCGGCAGGGTGCCACAAAAACAAGTATGGGTTAGCGGTCCCTACCGATACCGAGTCCGGGGTGGCGATGAAATAGCGACCCTCCTGCGACCGCGCTGGGGGGGGCAGCCGGGTGGGATTGGACCTTGGACGCTACCCGCGTGTGTCATTGCAGCGTGTGTCAGCGTGGCTCCAGTCGGCAGCCTGAGGAAACTTCTGCGTGCGCACGTTTATCTAAATCCCGCACCAGTGTTTCGCCGCGGCTCAGTACACCTAACCCGCACACGCACACGCGCGCCCTCCCTCACAGGTCCGCTGGCGGCCTCCTCATCCCACCATGGAGGCGACGACCAAGACGATGCTGACGTGGATGGCGATGACGACGACGAGGGCGATGATGGCGCTCATGTCAGCAACGACGAGGATGGAGACGACGAGGAGGGTGATGAAGTTGCTGAAGAGGATTCTGACTGGGGTTCCGAAGGACAGCAAGCTGCTGCTGCCGCTGGAGGTTTCGGGGCCGCTCGTAGCAGTACCCCTGCTCCCCCGCCGCCAGCGCCGCCCCTGCCGCTGCCGCCACTGCCCGTCAAGCCGGCAAGCCGACCCTGGGGAGCCAGCTTTGGACGGTCGCGGCGGCCTGGGCTGGGCGGGCCTGCGGGGCGGTAGGCGGGAGGTTTCTCTGGCTTTCTCTTGCCACGTGTGCGATCTGTACGGCAGTGGTGGTAACGGTAACGGTCACTTCCAGCAGGGTATAGCCACAGCATCGTGCCGATGCAGCTGTGACCGTCAGCGGCCGAACCAGGTGGAGGCATGCAAGGAGTTTGGGTATCGCGTTGTGACTGCTGGGATGCCTGGGTAGGTGGTGGTGTAGGGAGAAGCGGTGTGGTTTCGCTCTTAGGGGACGGGGAACGCATCAGTAAGCGGTCGCGGCATTCATGGCATTATGAGGAGGAGGTTCGCCAGTGATGAATGGAGGCAGCAGTGAAGACGTAAAGCCTCCGCTGTGCCGCTGAAAAGCCCATCGAAGAGCATCCAGGTCATTTTGCAGGGTCACGTCGCCTAAGAGCGACTTGTGTAAGCACCATTGCCTCTGTCATGCGTTAATGTGTGCGGCATATGGCGCCTTGCCACTCGCGCCCACATTTACAGGTATAATACATGGGCTCCCCGTGATTGGCGTTGGTTATGGGCTCGGTGTGCGAAACGCCTTTCTCGAATGTAAAAAACATTCTTTGAAACCGAGGAAGGCGTGGAAGAAGCCACCTCCGGCAGACAGAAGTTAAACGTGATATATACACAAGAAAGTTAAAAATGAAGTGTTCTTGCTTAAAGAGCCACAGCAAGCGCATGTACGACCGTCAGTTTGCGGTTTGAATGCCTTGGTATGACAGCTGACAAACTGTTGTCATTGTAGGGTTACTTTCCAAGCACTCGTTTAGCATACATGCTGCTGGTCTGCATGAAATCCTTAGGCTCATACGCCTAACACCGGTAGTCGAAAAGCTAGTGACATAGCAAATGCAGGACGGCACGGACATGCGTGAGCGCCCGCTGGAGGGCAGTGCTACCCTGCAGCGCGGGGCGGTTCTGAACAACTCGGTCAACAAGCCGTTCACGGACGTGGGACAACTCTTGAAGCTCATGGTACCGCTCTACAGGCCCAGGCTACAGACCGCCGTCGCGAACCTGGTGGCGCGCTTACCTTCGAGGCCAGTCACTTCCTGCCAGGACGGGCAGCTTGAGGACAAGCTGGCTGTCCACAAGTCGCTAGCAAACCGCATCACGAAGGTGGTGCTGGACACGAGCTGCCCGCAGTCCTGGGAGGTGTTAGTGCAGGAGCTGGACAGCAGCAACTACGGAGACTGCAGCGGTAAGCAAGCTTGGGGACTGTGCTATTGCTCCCAACCGCGAGTTCAGGATGCATGGGTGGGCCGTGCAGCACTAATGAATACAACCATTCCAAACACAGAACACACTACCCTGCGCCCGGTACTTGCCCTGCAGATGCTCCGCACGTCAGTACCGACGATGCACTGCTGCTTGCAGAGCTTAAGGAGCTCCACGACGCAGGGGTGCATGAGCTGATGGCGGAGGCGATGCCGGCCGCAGCACACGTTGTGAGGCACTACGAGAAGTTCTTGAAGCTGCTTCACTGAGCTCGGCAGGGGCATTGGGGAGCGCGTGCTAGGGACCCTTCGGGGCCGCTATCTGGAGTGGGCTTGTGACTGCTGTCATCCCGTCGATTGCTGCCGGTAGAGGCCCCAAACGTCCTCAGGGCACGGGCTGGTATCAAAGCCCCTGATGGCAGCCCGTGCCCTGAGGACGTTTGGGGCCTCTACCGGCAGCAATCGACTGGATGACAGCAGTCACAACCCTAATCCAAAGAACAGCCCTGAAGGGTCCCTAGCAACGTGAAAGTCAAACGGAGCCGCGTTTGTACTTGACCTCTTTAAACTGCAACCTAGGGTTTGTAAAACACCCAGGTACCTTGCTGATTGCACGAGGGACATCGTTAATATCATGGGTCACCCAAACAGGCCGTGCCGCACACGTTGTGTGCGTTTATTTCACATTGCGTGCATCGAGCTGCGAAATGGAAGTGTAGGAGCTTACCGGTGCCACTGTTGAATTAATTGCGGAGGGAAGTGACCAGCTGAGTATTACCGTAATGGTTTTCGCCGTGGCGGGCTGGTGAAGGGGTGGGAGCTGGGAGGGCAGGCAGTGTAGAAAGGCAACGGAACGAGCAATTCCTCCACTCACAGCAGATGACGATGACGCCTTATCACACGGTTCTTTAATCCTTTCCTCTTTGCGTACAGCAGCCCCCCAGGGGAACCGCTGCCAGCTAACCGAAGCGGCCCAGCAGCCACCACATTCACTCACGGGGGTCACAGCACCCCTCGCGGCAGCTGTCTGAGCACCCCTCACCCGCGCGCCTCGCACCCTTGCACACCCGTCACGCACAACAGCTTGCTCAAGGACCAAAGTACCGCCACACCGTCGCTCCGCTAAACTCGCACTCACTGCCATTTGCGACCTGCAAACACCCCTGCCCACCAGCTATTACAACACACTCCATGTGTTGTCTGTCACTACAACTTGTCACCCCCACTCCAAGGCGCAGGTAGGGCCGCCGTTAACCCCTCGTCACGTCGTCAGTCGTCACTTCCCTCTTCCACTGCTACTCCTACTGCCACTCCACTACCGCTGCCAGCGGTCCCTAATTGCTAGCCCTGCTGCTACCCCTGCTGCTGCTGCTGCTCCAACCGCCGCCACTCCTGCTCCGCCAGCGCCTCCACATCCGGAACCGGCAACCCTAACGACACCAGACATGATCGCATGTCGTACGGCAACGGGGCCGTCAGCCGTACGACACGCCCCGTCATCGGATGTAGGAACTGAAGCGCGGCGGCATGCAGTGCCTGGCGGTTGATCCAGGGCCCTGAGATGCCGTACACGTCATCTCCCACGATGGGGTGTCGTACATGTGCCAGATGCACGCGGATCTGGTGTGTACGACCGGTGTGTGGCGCACAGAGGATGAGGCTGGCTCCCTCATGATGTTGGTGATTGGATGCTGGAAGGCTGCTGGCATGGTGATCGGAGCACTCTTGCTGCTGTTGCTGCTGCTGTTGCTGTTCTCGTTCCGCTGCGGCCATGCGCATGAGGAGGCCGGGGGCTGCTACGCTGGCTGCGGCTGCGGTGCCGGCAGCAGCTGCAGCTGCGCTGTTGCCGCTGTCATCCGCGCCGCTCTGTTGTAAGTGCGGGTGCGGGTGTGGTTGTAAGTGCGGGTGCGGGTGTGGGTGTTGGCCCGGCAGCAGGCTGATGTGCGGGTTGCGGGCGAGAACGGTGAAGCTGGTGGCGGCATCCTTGCCTGTTGCCAGGGGGGGGAGGGGGGCGGGATTCGGGTTGTGGGGGTACCGTTTGTGAGGAGGAAGAAACGGACTTGGTTGTAGGCAGGGTTGTAGGGTTAGGTATGGGCGTGGGGAACATGGGGATGTACGAGCGCGGACGATTCGCCCCTCTCTACCCTCCTTCCTTTCCTCCCTCCCTCGCTCCCCTTACCCGTGTCCGCCACCATTCGTGCCACCGGCTGGCTCGGGTGGCGGTCAATGCTCGCATGCAGGCTGAAGCGATCCTGGGAGGGGGGCGGACAGCCCACTGCAGCCGCGAGGTAGAGCTTGGAGAGGGAGCGCTCCCTGGGGGGGGAGGGTAAGGAAGCACCACACCAAGCCACAAGTGAGGGTAAGCTAAAGGTGCCACTGGTGATGATGAGGGGCGGACGGAGGAAGAAACTGGGGAGCTGAGGGGTGCGGATGCCGGTGCGTTGGTCGGGACAAGATAGGGCAACCGAACCGATGCAGAGCCCCGTCTGGGTTGCCTGAATACGGACGGCAACGGTTACCCCTTCCTTGCTGTCCCCGCTTGGAGCCTCTGCGGACGCCACACCGTGTAGATATGTCGCATACAACGAAACCCTTCCCCTAGCCACCCTCCCCCTTCCCCTTCCCCAACACTCTCGTACGCAGCATGGATGCATGGTAGGTTGGTAACGTATTTCCTCCTCCATTCCCCGCCATCACCCCCGGTAAACGGTACTACGTTCAGGCCCAGTGTTTCCGCGGCTCAGTTTACCTAATCCCCCCTCAGACGCACCTGAACTGCCGGTGTACCGCCGCCACAACCTCGGAGCGTTTAGCGAACAGCAGCAGCCCCGAGGTGTGCATGTCCAGGCGGTGGAGCACGTAGGGCTCCAACTGCCGCTGGGATGACCCGTGGGTCGGCTGCGGGGACTGCTGCTGCTGCTGGTGATGAGGAGGGTGCTGTGTGTCGTCCGTCAAGTCCTCCCCATCACTCGAGGTGGCTGCTGAGGAGGAAGTGGCGGAGGAGGAGGTGGCGGAGGAGGAGGAGGCAGCAGCAGCAGCGCCGGCCAGTGCGAAGGGCTCTCGCGGGGGGAGCAGTGGTGGCAGGTAGCCGAACGGCACTGCTGCGCCCAGCGGCATGCCCTGAAACACGGTGGCAGCAGCAGCGGGGCCAGCAGTAGCTGCTGTGTGGTGGTTAAGCAGAGTCACCTGCGAGGCAGGCAGGCAGGCAGGCAGGCAGGCAGGGGCCGCCCAAGGCATTAGGGGTAACCGCAGCAGTTCCCGCGTTCCGGTACTGAAGGACAGCTCACTCCTTTCTGTCCACCCGGGTACAGTACCCTCTGCTGCTGCTGGCCGCACCTGCTGCTGTACCTGCTGCTGCTGCTGCTGCTGGCCGTTACAGCACCCCAAGTGTTCCTAACACCGCATATCGGTCATTCATTTGATCATTTCTTTCCCCCTCGTACCTGCTGCTGCTGCTGCTGGCCACTGCCGGCCCGCCGGTCGCGATTGAGGTAGGCGATCACCCGATTGACCATGGAGCCGCCTGCAAGGGGGAAAGGAAAGAAGGGTACCCAAAGTGTCGCATGAGAATGGCAAACAAGACGACAAGCTCCTGGTAAAGTGGGTGGTGGTGGTGGTTCAGTGGGGCAACGCACCGGGGTGTTCAGTCGGTGGACAGTGGTGGGACAGCAATGGTCGCTAGGAACCGGTAGTTGCTGGATAGCCCCAACCCCTGACATCACCCCGCACCCCCAACCCACCGCCTCACATCCGGACCCCCACCCCCTTGCACACCCGCTCGCGGCGGTTCCGACTCGCGGCCAGTTTTCTTAACACCTCCTCACACCCCCCCAACCCAACCCAACCCCTCACCCACGAATCGGTGCACCGGAGCGGTGTTTACCCCGGGCGGCTTGTTGACGGCCAGAAAGTACTCGTCCTCCCACAACACATCCAGACCGCTGCCACACGCGGATGCAGCCCCCGTGTCGGCAGCAGCAGAGGCAGCAGCGCCAGCAGAGGCAGTGTCGGCAGCAGCACCAGCCGCTTGGAAGGCGGCCCAGTCGGATGCGAGCGGCACGGAGACGCGTGCAGCTCGCAGCAGGGAGGAAACCCTGATGGACGCGGGGGAGAGAGATGGGGGTAAAGACCATACCATGCCATAGGAAGAGAGAGAGAGAGAGGGAGGGGGAGATGTGTTGGGGTAGCGGGTGTAGGTAGAGAGAGGCGCAGCAGATTGATGGTGTCGTGTTGGGGCCATGCATACCGCCCACGCTTCCCACCCTCCCAGCCCAACCCAACCCAACCCCACCCCCCCACCTGGCAGGCGGCAGTCCCAGTCTTGCCGCCGCCTCCCCCTCCCCGAGCCGCACAGGTAGTCCCGTGGCGGGGTCAAGGGGGCCGGACCTGAGCGGGGGAGTCGGCACGCAGGGGCACAAATTGGGGGCGCATTGGGCCGCATGGCATCGTTGATGGTAACAAGGGGCACATCGGGGGGCGTGGCCTGGCGGTTGAAAAGGGCGCGACGCCGTGCGGCTAGGCCGGCGAGACAGGGGCGGCACAGGTGAAGGGGGTGAGGACGAAGCCAGCACTCGACCGCGTTAGGAGCTCTCCAGGACATCGCTCACAAGCTGCGGAACCCAACCCCGAACCTAGGAATGACAGCAAGCAGAGGCAACCAAGGATGGAACGCTGACGGATTCGCCGTCAGGTTGGTTGGTTGCTGTTGTCGGTGGGGTGCATGCGAGCATGTACATGCGGGAGACGGGTGACCCACGGGTCTGCCCACCAGCCTTTCCGCAGCTAGTGCACTGCATCCGGCAGCTTCTACGGTATTAGTGCGCCGCACCCCGCCACCCCGCCACCCACCAGAACACGATATGCAGCGCCGTGTGCCGCAGCTGGTGCTCGCGGGCCGCAGCTGCGCGCAGCAGGGCCACCGCGAGGTCGTGTTGGGGGGAGGGGTAGCCGCGGGGGAGGGAGTCCAGCTGTATGTCGGTGTGTGGGGGGGAGGGGGCTCAAATGAGGCCAAACCATATGAAACAACAAAAGGGCGGAGAAGGAGGCCGAGGGGAGGAGAGGGGGGTAGGGGCTACCTGCAGGGCTGGTGATAGGGTAAACCATCTGTCGTAATCTAGGGAAGCGGAGGGAGGTGCGGCGGAGGAGCATGCGGCGGTGGTTATGGCTATTAGGCGTGGACCGGACAGGAAGAGGTCAAGAGATGTGGGCCCTGGGAAGGCAAGTGGCGGATCAATCCGACATCACGGTACCGGTATATGCTGGGCACTTTGCAAGCAATGAGTTATGTGTAAGGCGACGGAGAAAGCAGGCTTGCTGCGCCGCTCCAGGCAGCTCTTGCTTTGCTAATTCGGGCTGGGCGGTTCAGGGTGGCTCACATGTGGCAAACCACGATGACGCCTTATCATAACACGGTTCGTTAGTCGTTTCCTTTCTACTCCCTTCCCTTGGCTTCATCCTTCATATTTTTCCCCTAACTGCCCAGGGCCTCACCTGTCCCCAGCCAGCCAGGTCCGATTCCATCAAGTCCGGGCAGCAGCGGCTCATGTGGCGAGCGATGTTGGGCGGGGTGGCGGCGGAGATGGAGCAAGCGGGACAGTTGTACGACAGACGAGTGGCGCGGCGAGCGTGGGAGGCGGCAATGCGTGCCGAGATTTCCTCTTGGCTAAGACGTGCGCGGGACGCGGAGGAGATGGTGGAAGAGGAAGCGGAGGAGGAAGTGGAGGAGGGTGGTGATGGGGGAGGTGGGGCATTGCTGGTGGCGGCGGCGGTGGTGGTGGTGGTTGCAGCAGAAGCTTTGGCGTTGCTGGATGTAAGCGACGATGTTGCTGCTAGTGTGTCCTTAGCCGGGTGGGGGTTGGAAGGGTTTGTGCGATCTATGTTTGCTGTGAGGCCTGTGGCTGGCTCTGCGGCTGATGAGGGCAGACTGTGTGCTGCGGCTGTGACGATGGCGATGCGGGCAATTGCTCGCGAGCCGTTACGCCCACATACGCTTTGGTTGAAGGCGTCTTGGCTGGCTTTCTTGACATGTCTGATCTTGCAGCTAAACTGAATTCGCGGACATGGAGGTGGTGGTTTCGCCTGCTGAAAAGTGCCATGCGATGGCTGAATGGGGCCGACGCAAAGCAGCCCAACGCGCATTTGCACAATACGTAGACGTTACAAGCTTGAAGACTTCTGGTAGCTAAGATTAAGTAATCGTAAATCCAGTCGTGGCGGATAGGGGCCTGCTGAGCTCGCAACGCCCCAAGGACTTGCCAAGAAACAAATAGCAATCAGCTAAGTATATATATTTATAAAGAATTAATCTACCTTGGAAAAATCTTGCATACAGTAACTAGTCAGAGGGGAGGTGGTGCACGTAGAGGAGACTGTAGCCACAAGGCCAGCTCGTCGGCTGAAGGACTTTAGGTAAGTGCTTGAAGTCGATCGTATGCGAAGAGCGTTCTACTCGCGTGCGAACCCTTTAGCTGGAAGGCTCCATCGGCCTTCGCAGCCAACGAGTCGATCCAAGCTGGATTCGACTATCCGTACGATACCAGATTGCAACCGAGAAGCTCGGTTGTTGTCTCTTAGTCCCTTGCATTTAAGCCATTACTCAATAAAATATTGTCTTGTTTCAGTCAACTGCGGTAGGCACTTGCAGGCTTCTTGTCGCGTATTACGTAAATCTCCCAGCGTTCTATAGGGTTCGCTAGGGGCACCCAAATGGCCTTGCTGCTGCGACTTCTCCTGCTTGCTTCCGCGCTAGCTATTGCAGTGCTGCCTGCTGCGCTAAGCAGGAACTTGCACTCGGCGACGCAAGATGGCTCGGCTGCTGGTTCCACCGCGGGCCCATCAAGCGCCACGAAGACAATTGTTGTCCTTGGAGACTCACTATCAGATACTGGTGAGAATGGTTGATAAGAATAAGAGCAGAAATGCCCAGGCGTCTGGTTTGCTGCGTAGCTGTTGCCTGTCGCGTGACGTGTGTCACATGTCAACTGTCAGCCTACCTACCCAGCCCCGCGTTGCACTGCATAGCGCATACCTCCACCCAATAGCACTGCTTTTTACATACTAGCAAGGATACGTAGTCATTTCTCCTACTTCTCCTCCTCAAAATATTCTTCTTGCTCTCCTTTGTCCGCCCAAACAGGCAACCTGTTTAACCAGACCAGGGGCGTGGTTCCCAATCCCGGCGCCTACTGGCGAGGCCGCTTCTCAAGCGGCCCCAACTGGGTCGACCACTTAGCCCAGATCGCCAATACGGGCTCGAACGCCTCGGTAACTGTCCTCAACTACGCTTACGGCGGCGCGACGGCATGCGCCAACGTCCCCGGCACGTCTCGAACCATTCCCTCACTGAGTGAACAGCTTAACATGTTCCTCGCCCGAGAGACGACTGAAGGAGCGTCGCCATCCGCCGCCGCCACCTTCGCCGCCAGCACCCGTACTAGCCGCTTAAAGCTGTACAAAGGCCGTTCTGCAGCGGATAGTGATGGGGGCCCGCTTTGCCAGATGCCCGCTTGGCCCCAAGCAAAGCCAAGTGCCGACAGTGACGACGGCGGCGACGATTCCGAGCGGTTGTTCGTTGTGTTCGTTGGGCACAACGACCTGCTGTCGCTGCACGACTCCGAGTGGAACGACCCACGGGTCGTTCAGGCCGCGGTTACCAACATGACCTACTGCATTGTGGATGTTCTGGACCGTCTTATGGCTAGCCTGACTCAACAACGCCAGCAACAGAAAGCACGGCAGCAGTATCAGCTGCTACCCGATGCCGATAGTGATGATCCAAGCAGCCCATTCTTAGCTGCCGGCGATGCTGACACAGTAACCCTAACCGGTCCTCGAGATCGTGTCGTACTTTGGAATCTGGCGCCGCTGGAGACCGCCCCTGCCGTACCCGACGCAATCCGGCCCAAAGTCGCCACCGCCGTCGCCACCGCCAATCTCGCTTTGGAGGCCATGTTAACACCGCTTCGAGCCCGCTACGGTGCAAGCGGCGGCCCGGGAGGGCCCAATGCCGGCCGCGACAACGGATGGTTGTCCCTCGATCTGTACGACATTCACGGCACCTGCTTTTGCGCCCAGCATCATACGGCAAAGTACGGATTCCGTAACGCCAGCCAGTACTGCGTGCATGTGGACCGAGTTGAGGTGAGCAGTGGCTGCCGGGGGCATGTATGGGGGCATGGGGTGACATGGGGGTCATGCAGGGCAGCAGGGGGGTGTGCAGCGATACGGCCTAGGGACCAGCAGGGGGCACAATAAGGAAGGAAAAATGATGAACAGCAGAGGGTAAAAATAAGGAAAACTGACGAACAGCAGGGGGGGCATGAGGCCAGAGCTGCAGGAAGGGTTAGGGCGATTAAATGTATTTGCATGGTTAGTTGGATCCGAGCTGCCGAAGCCCTTCCTGTCTACCTGTTTTCCCTCTTATCCTGTGTCCTTCTCCCAAGCAACCCGCCTTCTCCCCTCTCCTCCCCAAATACCTCATTCCCTTTCCTTACCCCTCCCCTCCCCTCTCTCTCCCTCCCCCACCTCGTTACCCTGCATGCAGGACGTAGACGGCATCTCCGTGGCCGCTCGTCTGACTCGCGTGTCGGCGGTGGCGCAACGTGACAACGTGTGTTCGCGCCCCGAGGACTGTCTGTGGTACGACAGCCTGCACCCCACCAGCCTGGCGCAACGTCTGGCCTTTGCGGAGCCCTTTGCGCGGCAGCTGGGCTGGCAGCTGGGGTAGGAGGGATGAGGTGGGGCGAGGTGGGGTGCTGGAGATCAAGGAATAAGCAGTCCGTTCGAACAGAAACCTCAAGGGGAGTAGGGGGATAGGAGGCAATAGGGAGAGGGGGCAGGTTGGGGAGGGGTGTCGGTGGTGAGGGGTGTTGGTTGCTGTGGGGGGGTAGGGGTGGCGGCGATGGGCTGATGGTGTGCGGGTTGTGTGGCCTGGGCGCTGAGTAGTACGGAAGAGGAAAGCCGCTGGGACGCGGAGTGTATGCAAGGGCCCGTACCTTTTCGCCCGCATGAACTTGGGTTACGGGAGGGAGGGAGGGAGGAGTTTATGGCGGGGCGTAACGGTTCGGGGGTTGGGGTAGGGGCTTGGGAGACACATGTATAAAGGCTCCGATGATACATAGGTTCAAGTTGTGTACAACCACTGTGTGTGACTGCAGTGTACGACTACTGTGTACGACCTATTGTGTACGACTATTGTGTACGACTATTGTGTATGTAGATAAGGCCCGTCGGGGCAGGTGTTTCACTGGAAGCGTGGCGTTTGCGTCCGCTTGTGGACTGCTATTTATTGGGCTTTTGGAAGTTGGACCGTGCTGCTAAGGTATACATGTACAATGCGTGCCGTGCTGCCATCCAAGTGCAAACGAGCCGTGTGAGGAGAGTGACCCCTGGGTCACAAGTGAATAGGGGTCAAGGTTACTCAATTTGCGTACAGCTGTATGCGCCGTACAAGGGCGCGGGCTTAGCTGAAGTAAGGGGAATGTAGCAGCTGTAACATTTTTTGCTGTCGGATTGTAGTACGGTACTCCCCCGTGAAGTCCTTCGTAGGGGCAACTTGTTTCGCCGCATACACGAGCGCACAGATTAATACCAACACCTCCTTCAAGGATGGGTAGATAGGGATCCCTGCCAAACAACCTCACTTCCATGCTACTTCTACACACACCGGTACATCCCAGCAGCAGCTCCAGGCACTTCTCTGCGCCGAAAGGATCGCAGATCGATGACGACCGAAAAGAAAAGAATCGCAGCGTACGAAAGATATACAACAGAACCGTACAAAACAACAGATACAATAGATCACCCTAATGCAGTAATGCAGTTGGCCAATATGGTATATGCCGGAGACAGACCGCGTCCAGACCGCGTGTTAAACCGATCTGTCATGCGTGTCGTGCAAACCCTCAGTGCGACATGGCAACACGCATGCAGTGAGGGTATGTCTTCGTTACCTGAACACGCATGCACGAGCAACAAAATCACACTGAAAGCACGAGTAGTTACTCCGCGCATGTACTTGTGGACGCATGCAGGGCGTATTGCGAGGCACATCGCAGGGCACAATCGACAATTACGATGACCAGCGGCAGTTCTCATGAAACATACGAGCGAGCACGACTTCAAACAGCGGTCACACGTTTCACCCCCCTTGTTGCTTCCTGGTTTCAACACGAGGACTAAATTACCGAGGAAGAAGGAAGGAGTCCTTGCTTGCAATCCTTAGATGGTTTTGGGCAGTAACCTCAGCTGCTGCAGGCGTGGCAGGATGCCCTTGACTCCTAGCCACTGATGGAACCGGCTGCCGATGTGGAGCGTGTCTGGTGGCAGCCGGCAAGCGGGCATTAGCAAGGGGTGGAAGAGGCAGGAGGGGATCAGTCAGGGAGCGGCTTGAAGAGTGCAGGAGAAGAGTGGGATTCAACGCCATGACTCTATATGGAGCAGGGAATTCCTCAGCACATGGAGAACGGTAGAAGGTAGAAGGTAGAAAGGTACATTTGCGGTCTAAGCCGTCATGTTTACTTTTGGGTAACAGCAGTACCTTGACCAAAGGGTAACTGATGACTCACCGTAAAACAGGTGGTCGTTGGGGTTGGCGCAGATCTCGAGGCCAGGGTGGATCACCAATGGAAGGTAGTTAGCCACGCAGGGGCCTGGGGAGGGGGGGACGTTAACAGCACAACCGTCAACATCTTCACCGCAGGGAGGGAGCGCAATGTTCTTACTACCTTTTTCATGAGCCCCAAACGGACACAAATGTCGGTAGGCTGCCTAACGCGGCAAGATGCAAACAAACGCGAGAACGCCAAAGAAAAGGAAACAGTAAGACAGAACGAAAGCTTGCTTTCGTACGGAGATCACGGCGGCGGCTACCGTACGCCTACGTAATTTTTGTCGTACGGCATTTCAGTTGTATTATCGTACCTGTCATGTCCGTGAACGGCGGCTTCACCTCCTGCCCGCCCGCCTCAATCCAGGTGTAGTTTCCAAGCAGGTGAATCCGAGCGCCAGCAGCGGGGCGGCTGCCATGGATGGTCTTGAGGTGGGCTTGCAACGCCCCCACAGCGGCTGTGGTGGCCGTGTCTAGGGCGTTCAGCGCTTGTATGACCTGCGTGCGAGGGAGAGAGGGCGAGAGCGCGAGAGAGCGCATGAGTGATAATAACACGAGGCGGATGTCGAACGGGCTGGAAAGCGGAGGTATTGCATGCCTTCCATCAAGGGTTAGCCGGTCATTGATGCGCTCCAGGCATGGTAAAGCTGCCTGCTTGCTTGTTTTCAAAGCTAGTCCACAATAATTCAAAACCCGGTATCCAAAACAACATCACCACTCGGCTTTATACGCAGCAGCCTTCCTCCATGCACCACCTCCTCCTCCTTGCACCCACCATCGGCTTCGCAGCCGCCGGCAGCAGCGGCGCCAGGTGCACAGGGCTCATGGGAAGCATCACAATGTCCTTCAGCCCGGCCAGTGCCAGCGTCTTGGCCCACTGCACGCGGCATGCCACGGTGGCGTTGATGGTGGCGGCCAGCTGCAGGGGGTCGGTGTGGGCGTCGTTGAGTGCGCCCATGAGCGTCAGCTGCGGTCGGGGGAGGAGGGGAGGCGGGAGGAAACGTATTGAGGAAACGTATCGAGGAAACTAACGAGCGGGAGGCGAGAGGGAGGCGACGAGGTCAGGGAGAGGCTATAGTGAGAGACCCCCTCCGGCAGAGGAGTAGGGGATGCTTCCTGTGCGCATCGCCACATGCTGCTCACCATCAGATCGTTGCTGCCAATCCACTGAATGGGTATGATCTTGACGCCCGGTCCGCGGGGAATCTTGCCGGTCTTGTAGTCGGACAGGAAGGACGCCGTCTGGTTGGTGAGGTCCTTGATATAACTGCGCGGGGCGGGAAGGGGCGGGGAAGCAGAAAGCATGTGGGACGTGTGTATGTGCGCGCGTGATTTGTACTTAGCAACATATGTGCGCCTTGTAGTTGGCCTATGACACATAGCTGAGACGTCGAAGCGCGCATGCAGGTGTGGCGCGGCGTGCAAAAGGCACTCACGGATAGATCTGGGAGTAGCCGGGATTGGGGCAGGCAGTGGCGCCGCCATACGCGTAGTTAAACACCTGCAAGAACATGGCGACATGCAGAGGTGTTTTGCGAAGTCGGCATGCAGGGGTAGATCAGAGAAACACCAGCCCAGCCCGGTGTGATGCGCTACCCAGTCAGGTATGTAACAGCAACACAGGAAATAACTTAGAAGCCCTGGTGCGCCTAACCTTAACGCACAAACCGCACCTTTGCAGTGCACTTCTTGGCGAAAGTGGCGTTCAAACGATCCACCCAGTTGGGTCCGTTGGTGAACCTGTAGTGCCGAGCGGGGGCGGGATCATTATAGCAAGTTAGCAGACCCCCGTAAGGAGGCTGACAAAGAAATAGACAACGCAGGAACAACACGTGAGCAGGAAGGAATGCTTCCAGGGCAATTGAAGCGTCCCAGCCATCCATCACCATCGGGCATGGAATTGCAGGACAGTGCTGGTACAGCAGGTACCTGGGAAGCGGTGGTATACCCGCACGGGTCTAGGTTGCAATGGGTGCATGTGCGGGGAGCATACAATACCGGTGCACGAGTCTGTGGATAGCGGGAGAGCAGTGCAACCTCACCTGCCCTTGTAGTAAATGGCGGGGTCAGGAACTCCCGCGGCACGCAGGGTGTTGCCTGCAAGGTTTGGAAAGGGACATCGCGAAAGAGTGGACGCGAGGAAATGGGGGTTATGGATAGGATAGGCGAAGGCATGGGCGTATGCACATGTTGGGCGAAGCCCCTAACGCAAGCTATTCGCGTTAATGGTACAGCCCTTTAAAGGCCACTGTAACAGTAACGGTAATAAGAACTACTTTGGGTAGTGGGCGGCGGTAGACTCTAGTGGGTCACCACTAGTGATGACCGGCATCGGCATTCCTTTTCTACCACAAACTGACAAACAATGATGCGACTACCGTATCAGCTCTAGAAGAAGCAAGCTGGTCAATTCGCATCATGCCACCTTATGCACAAAGGGAATTTTATAAAGGGTACCGGTGCTACCCAGCACCCATCTATCGACAACCCCATCAACAACTTGCGAGAGCTGCCAGGCCATGCCCACCTGTATCTGACAGACTGTCGCCAAAGATGACGAAGACATACGTAGTCCTGGCCGCTGACAGGCCAAGGGTGCAGCCCAGCAAGGCAAGAAGCATGAAGCCTCTCGTTAACGCCATAGTAACGTCGAAGGTTTCAGCGTGTTGTTTACTGAAGGTTCTCTAAACCTTGGTGCAAGTGCTAGTGGCCAAGGATCACTAGCTAAGGACCTTGCACACTGTAGTCATAAAACCATACTGTTGTTTGATATACCGTTACCAATCAGATACAGAACCAGCCGTACACTACAAACGTTTGGCTTGATACGCACAGAACGGCATTCAATCCCCCGCAGACAGACTTATTATCACGACACTCCTTGTACTTCTCAAACACCAGTCGCTCCTATTCAGGTAACAATACAGCGCTGTTCCATATGTTCTTATTATTCGCCTTAACAGTCCTAGAGACGTCTGTTTTTCTTCAAAATGCCTAATCTCGTCGAAGGTTCGAAGCCTTCGAACGCAGATACCGGTACAGTATGGCCCTTGGCCCTCACGAGTGCCTACACAAATGTGTCCTGGAATAGTGCAATGTGACCACAGTTCGATCTGCCATTACTCGATCGGCTAAGCAGAAGTGCATGGACAGGCAACGCATTTCTGCTCCGAAGCATCGCATCCATGTAGATTGGCTTTCAGCGGCCGGTCAGCAAGCACACATACTCACGTACATAACTACCGGTACTTATTTTGGAAAAGAGGCAACTTGCGATCACGAATGCTCTCTTCCCGTAGATGCCGCCTCTGTTGGTTTGGCAAAACTTAAACCCTACGTTTTTTCTGTGCTTACAACATTAACGTGCATTAACGTGATGAACGTGCAGTGCCTTTATTTCCATCGGACAGTTCGTCGCCACCCCTTCATGCCATGTCAAGCAAGCGAAGCAAGTACCCCAAGCTGCATTTACGCAACATACATTTCCGGGGATCGAGGCAATCAACTGAAACGTTTATGAAATCAGGGGAGTCCTGCGCAGAGGAGTCCTGCGCATCATTATGCACTGGCTGTGAATGCCCGCCGTGCAGAAGTTGGAAGGGCACATGATTTCAATTAATGCTCATTGTCACTCTAAGCGCACCTGCATGCGTTTAGACCATAAAGTCATAGCGAAGAGGGGTACCTGCCTAATCTCATATGTTACGACACATGGCACCGACGGGACCACTCGCGGCACTCGCGTTTCTTACTACCGTCACATTTAGCCGCTGGGCCTCCGCAATTCAAGTGGCATCACCACCTCCACCTCGTTCTCTGGTCCGGCCTACGTACGTGCTTGCATTCTTCGGGGATAGCTTAACAGATACCGGTGCGTGCCCATTGCACTGGCCCCTAACGACGTTAACGAATATGTGGCATGCTCCTTGTAGTTATGACCTTGCGCTCCTTAACAAGCCAAAAGGCCTGCTTCCCTAGCTGGGATCTCTGACAAAGCGACGGTTGGGCTCAGCATGGATGGACCCGGGCCTTAGCCCGCTGGGACGTAGCGAGATGAAGAGTAGATATCCTTTACGGGGTTCAACGTCCCTCAAAATATCCATGGCCATTCCCATGCGCAATCCGGCCTATACGAACAGTCCGGATGCTGCTACCATAGCACCTGTCAACTGGTGACACTCCTTCCAAACCCATTCACAGGGAACACTCTGAGGGTTGCTGGCGTGCCTGACCCGGCCGTGTACTACAAGGGAAGGTACGGCAGGGTTTGTCCACGCAGAGGAGGCACACTTACCGACGGGTTTCATTGGAATCGGGCTGATCGGGCTTCATGGACGTTCTCTGTTGGTTGGGCAAGTGGGCAAGTTGAGCAAGCACACGGCGTGCCTTTCGGAAGGTTAATGTTGCAGTACCAGTACCTGCAAAACATTGCGCAACAGCGATGCATGGTTCCCTGCTCTGGTAACGGCGGTCCAGCATGCCACAGCCCAGGCTCCAGGTAGTCGATGACAAGCTTAGCCGTGCCCAGCGGCATGCATGCATGCAGGTCACATGCATGTAGAGCGCCGCGGCATGCGCCGCAGCTTCGTACTTTGCGCCGTACTCATACGTTCATTCCGTACGTACGGCAGGTATACGGATGGGCCGAACTGGGTTGACCGACTAAAGTCCACGTTGGTCAAGAAACACAAGGTTAAGGTACGGGGGTGTGGATAGCTTGGTTAGGACCCCGGTATGCCACGTGCGTTGCCACTCGCTCAGTGCGACTGTGCAGATGTGCACTGCCCCCTAGAACGAAGATTTGTTAACACTCGCCCTGACGACGTCCAAGCTGTCGCCCTGAAGTGCCTGAACCCACCCCACGCAGTCTCCCTTGCGTGCGCCCTCCTCCCGCTCCCTATATAACCATGCAAACACTTGTTGAGAGGCTCTTAGCTTGGGCAGCAAGCAAGCTCTTGCGCTACTGCAGTGTTTCAGGACTGCCGTACTCGTCTGCCTGTCGCCCTTGATCTCCTAGTTGCCGTAGTCGTCTTGGAAACGGTCCCATTTATGCGCGGATGGAAACGGTGCCCTCCTAACATCGCAGGTGTTCAACTACGCGTACGGAGGCGCCACCGCCTGTCCCAGCCCCTTAATCAGTGGCACGTACCCGTAAGTCTGTCCACAACAACGTCCAGGCGGTTGCCGGTGTGGTGCATGTAGCTCTATGTATGTTCAGGGAAATTGGCTGCGAGTCGGAACGTACTACTGTGTATGTACATGTTGCTGGCTCCGCAACGCAGCTTGAGCAAGTTCATGGACACGCACGTTGCATGGGTATACACACACGCACACAATCACAGTACGTTCCCACTCGCGGCCAGTTTTCTTAACATGCACACACCTTCCGTCCCACTGCTTTGCAAGCGGACGGGTCGGGATCGGCTTGCTTAAGCAACCGGCGGGGTTTCGCGACATGACCTTCTATTGTAATGGTCCTTCATTCATGAACTGTGCTGAGTACGCACATCAACCCCCACAATTTCCCCCAGCAGGTTCGTTAAGGACTTGTCCAACCAAACGGAGGCCTTCCTAGCCGACCTTAAGAACGGCAGGATTCCGTACGGAAAGGACGTCAAGACGTTGCCGATACAGTACATTGGCAGCAACGATGTAACGGTAAGCCGGACAAGGCCACAACCATGTCGACACACCGGGAAATGCGTACTGCCGAATGCAGCTATAGCACGTTTGACTATGACAGGTTTATTGGCATGTATCGATGTATGTCAATGGGCAGGTTGACACGCCATGGGTTCATTGCCTCCCTCTCCTCCCTCTCGGCCCCTCCTCCTCCCCTCCTCCTCCGCCACCTCCCTAGAACACCCTGGGAGCTGCCATGCTGAGCGGTGCAGCCCTAGACGCCGGCCAGGTGCAGAGCCTGGTTCGCTCCATCGCAGCCTGCCGCCTGCAGTGGGCCAAGACGCTGTCAGCCGCCGGGATGAGGGACATCGTGATGCTGCCCATGGTGCCTATGCACATGGCACCCAAGGTGCCGGCCGCGTACAAACCGTTGGTGGGTAGCAGGGTTGGGTGGCTGGGTTGGCGGGCGGGCGGGTGCTAATGGAGGGGCTTACGTGGATGCGGGGGGGCTGGGGATCAGGATGTACGACCATACGCAGCTTATGCCCTGATGCAGCGGGTTTAGGAGAGTAAGAGAAAGAAGGGCAGGAAGAGGAAGGTAGGGAAGTAGTAGGAAAGATGTCGCGATGGACACTTCTTGGGATCTTCGCACTCGATTACTGTTGAGTTCCGTTATTTACGGCATGTACGGCATGACAGGTTCTTCAGTTGGTGGCCGCAATCGATGAAGCCACGGCTGCAGGGGCGGCCGCACTGCAGGCGGAATGGGAAGCCGTACAGGCCGCGCAGGGCAACCCCGCCGGATCCGGAGTGAGACTGCACCTGCTTGGAAACTACACCTGGATTCAGGCGGGCAGGGACGAGGTCAAACCGCCGTTCAAGTATCCGACAGGTGCGCCCATGGTGCCTGGATCTACCACTGTACGACGTGCATTGTAATCTGGACATGCATGTCGATCAGTCTTCCTGGTCGGGTAGCAATTGGTGGTGCTTTGACTGCCACCGTACATAGTCATTGGTTGGACTTGCCGTACTCAGACCGTTTTGCGCGGCTGGCGTGCTGAAGCCGTAGACCTCTATTACCTACTGTCTTGGTGCATAATAAAGGAGTTAACGTAGGGTATATTCACTGCCATCATCAGCAGACCCATGGGTCCCGTACATGCTGTACCATCAAGTCAGTCCTGATTTGAGGACATGCCGTACGGTCGGGTGTTTGCAGGAGTTTGCTTCGTTAACCCGGTGTCGTCAATGGTCATCACCCCTGGCCTGCAAGTCTGCGCCCGTCCAGACGAATACATGTTTTACGGTAAGGCGAAGGAACAGTGCACATGATGATTGCTTAACCCTATCTATATCGTACAACAGCCGTACGACAAGCCTTATTCTTGCAGCGCACCTTCCCGCGTCAACACCGTTGTGCGGCAAACTGCCACCATCGCATCCTGCTAGACAACGCGAAGGGGGTATGGATTCTTACATAAATTTGACGGCTCCTCCTTCTTTCGGTTTCATGCTCTGCCCTTGCTGCCCCCGATGCATGCGTTTTGCCGCTGCCACCACCGCCACAACCACAGAGGAGATGCACGTGGGCAGTCGCTTCCACCAGTGGTTTGCAAACAAGGGCGTCCTGCCGCGGCTGCAGGAGTTGGGTCTGCTACTCCCGAAAGTATGAACCGAGCGGCTGACTGCTCCTGGGCTGCTCTCTAACGTCGTACGATAGCGTGAGTGCGTGACAGTTTGCAGCAGTGTGTAAAGTCAGGGGCTGGGCTGTTCAATCACAGCTAGGATAGGAGCAAGATCACAGGTAGCATAGGGGAGGAGAAACAGGGGAAGCCCAACCGGCTGCTGTGTGATTACTGAAAAGGCATGTGGAGGTTCAACGCAGTGACTACCAAAAGGACGCCGGCGGGTAGTACCCCTTGCCTCGTGGCCTGCTGTGGTGCAGCTCCTCCGTTTTGTGTCCGTGTCGGTGTTGGACACGGGTTTCGGACGGTGTGTTTAGGGCACAAGCGGTAGCTGGCTGGGGTTGCAGCTGGCTGGCTGGGGTTATGTGCGTTACGACATGTGCAAACGTGCCTTGTCAGGCACATGTGGACGAATGTGCAGCGGTTGGACGTACTGGTACGATTGTCAGCGCCCAGGTATATATCCACGTACGCTGGAACAACGGATGTGCCGTATGGTTCAGAGCTGTGGATGCTGTGCTATGAACAGTGGGGTGTAGGCGTGTAGATCCAGCGCCAATGCTTGTCATCAGCCTGTAAGGGGGATGTGGGATGGGATCCTCGTGATGTTTCTGGCATCTTCGCCTACCACTACCTTGGTAGGGGCCAGGGGGTTACAAGGGGACACGGTATAGCCCTGCAACTATAAGGTTGGAGGAATAGCTGGGAGTAGCAAGCAGCTTTGGAAGCCGTGCCAACCTGTATACAACCTAAATGTAACCCAGTGTAGCTCACGTTTAATGACCTTGACGCCAAAGTGACTGTGGCTTGATAGCTATCGGATTCAGGGATCTATGGCCGTACCTGCCGGTGCAAAGCCTGCCGTACGGTACCTATGGTCGATGCACGGCACTCGTTGTGGCGCGGGAGTAGCACGTACAGGGCTTCGACTATCGCTGGGCTGTCTATAACTTCTGATGCACGCAATGCTAAAGGTGCTAATCAGTAGACAAGGTTTTACTCTCCGTGGTGGCGACGAAGACACTAGCTTGCCGTTTTCGAACGCGGACAAAACAACAGCTGCAAGCGGCTAGGATCTAAGAATTAGAACACTTTATGTATTGGTGTGAAAACAGTATGCAAGCGTTCGCTTACTGATGTGAACAATGTTGCGCCTAACTGTAGTCGTGCTCGGGCTACTTGGCTATTTTGGCTTGCAAATAGCAGCCTCAGAAACGCTATCTCCAATTAGCCGCTTTCGGGAGATAAAGCTGCCTTGCGCGAAAGGCTGCGAACTGAACGGCAATTGTAATGCTGAGTTTGGGCGTTGCGAGTGCCGGTTTGGATTCACGGGTAGGCAGGGTATCATCTATCTACGGGTTGCTAAGAGTCATGCGCGTCAAACGTATGAGGTTAACCCTTGAAAGGGTAGCAGCTGTCCTTCATCAAGCTCGTTGTATCCCCTCCTACCCACGCCATGCTTTCTTTGTACTTGGCTGGCGGGCTCAGCCATGTCAACCTACCCATTTTTGCATGCACCTCATCTCCACCTCCAACCTTACCAACCCACATCAACACAACCCCCGCTTGCTCCTAGCCACCCCGCCAGCTACCTCAACCTTCCCCTCTTCCCCTCTTCCCCTTCATACAGGTGACGACTGCAGCATCCCGCTCATCCCCGCCTGCCTCACCACCCTTCACAACGCATCCTACGCCGTCCCCCAATACGGCTATTCCTTTCCCAAAAACTGCTACTGCTATCGGCAGCTAGCGCGCATAGCCTGCGCAGGCGAGTACTGGAAGGATCCCTTCCTGTGCAACCAGCACGCGTTCTGGGGCTGGGACCTGGTTCGCTGCTATGAGTACACGGACGTGCCGGAACAGCAGCAGCTGTCGGACCCGCCGGAGCCGGGGGGCAGCCGGGGGGTGGTCTGGAAGAAGGGCGTGAGGAAGGTACGGCAAGCCGAAGGAGTAGAGGCTGTCTGTGTAGCCGGAGGAGCGTGCCGTACATGCCATCTTGTAGGCATGCCTGTCCAGCCCCAGCCCCCTGAGCATCCTCCCTCCCTCCCTGCTTCCCTCCCTCCCGCCCTTTCCTGCTCCCCTCCCTGCTATGCGTGCCCCATTACCCCACTATCCTTCTTCTCCTCCTTCCTTCCTTCCTTCCCTCCTCCCTCCCCTCCTTCCTCCCTCCCTTCCCCCCCTCAGGAGGGTGTTGCGGGTCCGGAGTTCTACGCGCTGGAGCCGCTGCAGGAGCCGGTTCCGGAGCGCTGGGGGCAGGGGATGAAGCTGCTGCCGCTGGACAAGTGCAGCGAGCGGTGGGGGGGAGGGGAGGGGGAGGGGAGGGCGGGTGGGGATAAGGGAGGGCAGGTCGCCCAAGGGGGGCAGATCGCCCATGCATGCATGCTATCTTCCTCTTCTCCTTAACCCCCATGCCTGCCTGCCACCCCCTCACGCCCCGCACACCCCCCCCAGCTGCAACGAGCGCGGCACCTGTGTGGACCTGCACGGCGGCACCTCCTGCCGCTGCGCGCCCTTCTACACCGGGCCCACCTGCGCCGACAGCGCCTTCCAGCACTGCCCGCTCAACTGCTCGGGGCGGGGGGTGTGCCACGGCGGCTACTGCCACTGCCGGCCCGGCTACTGGGGCGCGGGGTGCAGCAGGAGCAGGGCGTACAGCAGTGAAGGTGGGGGGGTGGGGGTGGTAAAGGGATGTACGGCATATACCGAAACCCACAGGTTAGGGGTTGCGGGGGTGGGGGGATACGCCGCCTGGGCTGCTACCGGTACCGGTAGCGGTGGGCGGAGGATCTGCGGAACGTACCTCTTCACCGTCCCTCCTTCCCCCGATCCTCCGCCGCTCTTAGCACACTGTGCCGAGAGGAGGAAGGCCCCTTGTTCGGGGCCTCGGGGGCCCCCCTGCTACCTCCCACTACCTCCCTGCTACGGTATACCACCTGCCGGGTTGCGATCCATCCCTCACACGCACCACACATCACTCCGGCGCTGCCGACCGCGGAGTTGGACACGACACCAACAGCCGCATGGCCGACTGCACTCCCACCGCTCCGCCTCCTCCTCCGCCTTCCCCCCCCCCCCGCCACTATCACACCACACATTGGAATTTCTTCTCCCCCCCCCCGCCCCTGCTGCTCATCATATATATTTTTAACCCCCGCCCCTGCTGCTCTCCTCCCACCTCCACCCCCCTTCAGACTGGCTGCCACACCCCACCCAGCTGCGCATCTACGTGTACGAGCTGCCGGAGAGCGTGGCGTACATGCGACCCAACAACGATGAGTGGTGGGTGAGGGAGTGCGGGGGAGAGGGGGCTCCTACCCGCTTCGCTCCACTCCTACCGGTACCGCTCTTTCCTCCACGTTGCCCGCCTCTCCTGCCCGCCGCCCCCCGCCCATCACCGGTCCGGCATTGGGCATTGGGATTCGGGTGCTTCACGTCTCCTTCCTTTTCTTTTTTCCTCCTGCCTCCCTCCTTCCCCTTCCTGCCTCCCTCCTGCTCCCGGCCCCTCACTGCATGAGTCGGGATATGGGATTGGGACTCGTTGTTTCACTTATTTAATTGTTTTCCCCCCTCCTGCTCCCCCCCTTCCCCCCAAGGCCCCTGCACCACGCCATCTACCTAGCCGAGATAGAGCTGTACCAGCGGCTGCTGGGCGACTGGGAGGTGCGCACGGAGAACCCCTGGTGAGGAGGGAGGGGGGGGGGAGGTGCGCACGGAGAACCCCTGGTGAGGCGGGGAGGGGGGGAAGGGGAGGGGGGGGAGGGGAGGGGAAACAACTAACTGACTGAGGGATAAGGCGTCAACATGGAGGGGGGGAGGGGAGGGGAGGGGAGGGGAGGGGAGGGGAGGGGAGGGGAGGGGAGGGGAGGGGAGGGGAGGGGAGGGGAGGGAGGGGAGGGGAGGGGAGGGGAGGGGAGGGGAGGGGAGGGGAGGGGAGGGGAGGGGAGGGGAGGGGAGGGGAGGGGAGGGGAGGGGAGGGGAGGGGAGGGGAGGGGAGGGGAGGGGAGGGGAGGGGAGGGGAGGGAGGGGAGGGGAGGGGAGGGGAGGGGAGGGGAGGGGAGGGGAGGGGAGGGGAGGGGAGGGGAGGGGAGGGGAGGGGAGGGGAGGGGAGGGGAGGGGAGGGGAGGGGAGGGGAGGGGAGGGGAGGGGAGGGGAGGGGAGGGGAGGGGAGGGGAGGGGAGGGGAGGGGAGGGGAGGGGAGGGGAGGGGAGGGGAGGGGAGGGGAGGGGAGGGGAGGGGAGGGGAGGGGAGGGGAGGGGAGGGGAGGGGAGGGGAGGGGAGGGGAGGGGAGGGGAGGGGAGGGGAGGGGAGGGGAGGGGAGGGGAGGGGAGGGGAGGGGAGGGGAGGGGAGGGGAGGGGAGGGGAGGGGAGGGGAGGGGAGGGGAGGGGAGGGGAGGGGAGGGGAGGGGAGGGGAGGGGAGGGGAGGGGAGGGGAGGGGAGGGGAGGGAGGGAGGGGAGGGGAGGGGAGGGGAGGGGAGGGGAGGGGAGGGGGAAGGGAACCAAAGAGCAACCTAACTAGATGAAACCGCAAGTTAGGTCCACAATCCAAACGACGTACAGGGAGGGAAGGGGAGGCGCTGCAGTTGCTACCACCCTCTCAACCAAGCTGTATACACCCTCGTCCGCAGCAGCTGTTCCCCCTCTTCTTCTTCCTCTAATCCCGGCTGGCTTGCCCCCCCCCCCCCCGTGCTCAATCCCCATCTCAACCCCCCTCCCCCCCCTTCCCCCCCACCCCCAGGGAGGCCAACCTCTTCTTCGTGCCCACCCACACCTACTACTACATAGGTGGGGGCGGCATGGTGCTGCTGGGGGGGCTGCTGGGGGCGGGCGGGGCAGGGTTGGGAGGCAGGGCGGTGAGAGGGCCTGAGAGCAGCGCAGACCTCTGCGGGCGATGCGATGGGGGCCTGGGGCTGCGGCCCGCCTGGGCACTGCTCGCCCCCCAGTCCCCCTGCTGGCCCCGGTTGGTTTGCCTGCCCATCCACTTCATCGTAGCTGCTCTTCTGCCCCTCCTTCCGCCGCCTGCTATCCCCACGACGGTCCCCTGATTTGCGTTGTCCTTCGCTTTGCTTTCTCTCTGCCTGCCGCTTCCCCCTGCCGCTCCTCCCTGCCCCCCCCCCCCTCCGCCGCCATACACATTGGTTGTTCCTCTTTCCCCCCTGGCCCCCCTCCGTTCCCCCCCCTCCGCCCCCCCAGGCAATATCGGCTTCCCCGGCAAGCACTTCACCTCCGTGTTCCACTGGCTGCGGCAGTCTCACCCCTGGTGGAACCTCACTGCGGGGCGGAACCACGTGGCGGCCACCTCCAACGACCGCGGCTGCTGCGACCTGTACCGCCTGGGGCAGGAGGTGCAGCACCCCATCAAGGTGGGGGGCCGCGGGTGCTGCCGTACGACACACACTACCGTTCGTACGTACACAACACGTGCTAGGAGAACTGACCACGAGACCGGAACGTACTGTGATTGTCGGAAGATGTGTGTGTTAAAATAACTGGCCGCGATGTGCGTGTGTGTGTGTGTATATGTGCACGTGTGTTCCAACCGCCGTGGCAGCGGTGCGGGTCCATTTGGGGCTCTATAGCAGCCCGTAACGACGTGGGTGGGTGTGGAGGGGGTGACGTTGCTGGTGAAGGATGTGGAGGAGGAGGAGGTGAAGCGACATGCATGAGACGCGGAGTCAGGGTGTACCGCCCCCAGCTGTGGACCGCGGAGAGGTGGTTGGGCACCACGCAACGGGCCGTTCACGTCGGGGCCGCCCTACATCCGCGCTAACCGATATCCCAACCGCGCTATCACGACGCACCCGACGCACCCTCCTCGCCACACCCAACCTGCCCTCTTCCACACAGAATCAAACTCCCTCTCTCCGCAACCCCCCTCCCGTGTAAATTGTAACCCAACCCCCCTCCTCCCTCCCCCCTCCTCCTCCCTCCCCCTCCCTCCTCTCCCTCCTCCCCCTCCTCCCCCTCCTCCCCCTCCTCCCCCTCCTCCCCCTCCTCCCCCTCCACCCAGCTGGTTCACTTCGGCCAGGCGCCCCGCCACGGCGTTCCTCTGAGCCGGGAGGGACCGGGGGGAGTGCAGTGGAGCGAGCGTCCGGAGGACCTGGCGTCCCGGTTGAACAGCAACTTGGAGGCAAGGGGGGCCGGGGCGTAGTGGGGTGGGGTGGGGTGGGTGTGAAGAGGGGGGAGGGGGGAGGGGGGAGTGGGGAGTGGGGTGGGACGGGTGTGAAGAGGGGGGAGGGGGGAGTGGGGAGTGGGGTGGGGTGGGTGTGAAGAGGTGGGAGTGGGGATTGGGGTGGGGTGGGGTGGGGGTGAAGAGGGGGGAGTAGGGAGCAGCTTGGAGGTAAGAGGGGGTGGGGCGAGGTGCGCGGGTAAAGAGGGGAAGATTTAATTGCCGGAAAGCTGAATTGAGGAGAGGTGAGGTGAGGTGGGTGCTGGTGGTGAAGGGCAAATGACTTCCCTCCCTCTCTCACCACTTCCCTCCCCCATCCCTTCCCTCCCTCCCTCACCATTTCCCTCCCCCATCCCTTCCCTCCCTCACCACTTCCCTTCCCTACCCCATCCCTTCCCTCCCTCCTCCCCAACCCTCCCCCATCTCTTCCCATCCCTCCGTTGATGCATTTATCTATATTTTCCCCTCCCCTCCCCCCACTCAGGACCCGGCTATGGTGGGTGCCATGGCGGAGTTCGCGCACCTGGCGGGCCGCCCGCGCTTCAAGGGCTTCCCGCCCTACCAGCTGCCGGCGCTGCAGCAGGAGCGGGAGCAGTGCTACAGGTGCGGGGGGGCGGGGGGGAGCGGGGGAATTAACGCCCAAACCTTACCATAGGAAACCACAGGTTAGGGCAAAGCAATGGGGATAGGGGTGTTGGGGGTAACATTGAAGGTTCGGGGAATGGGGGGGGGGTGGAAAACGGAGTGGCGGGAAGTACCGGTTGGGAGGTGGTGGGAGGTGGAGGAAGGGGGTTTTAAGGGAATACTGCCAAAACCTCTTCCGTCACTACCCCCCCTGCTTCCGTTTCTCGCACCCCAGCCGCCGTGACCTCTCCACCCCTTTTCCCTCCCCCCCCGGCATCTCACCCTGTCTGCTGCTGCTGGTGTTGCCTGGCTAGGCCGGAGCATGACGTCAACTTCCCTCCCTACATTCCCACCGAGCCCAATGATGGAGCCTGGCCGGACCTGCTGCCCCAGGCATACACCTACGGACCCGACGGCCGAGCAGCATTCCGGCGGGATAACCCCCGAGACCTGCTCTTCTCATTCAATGGCTACTCCAAGTGCGTATATCGGCAATCCTTGTGTTTCTTGTAGTTCACGGGTGCTGGGCTTGGCTTCACAAGTAGAATCGAAGTATGTTTTCCTGGCGGTGCTTGACAGCATGGTGCTTGACAGCATGCTGCTTGACAGCATGGTGCTTGACAGCATGCGTGCTGGGTCTGCCTCTTCATGTGGGGCCGGGAGTACGTGTAGACCCTCTTGCTGTGTGGGGCTGTCGGGTTGTGGTGGTCGGTGCTGGGCTGTCGGGTGATGTCATGGCAGCAGCTCAAAAGGAGCAAACCAATTGATTGAACCCCCCTGATCGCACGCTGCTGCTGCTGCTGCTGCCTGCTGCTGTGCAGGACGGACATGGCGTACAGCGCGGGAGTACGGCAGGGGCTGCTTGCCTTGTTTGGCAACACCAGCCGGCCCGACATCAGCATCAACAAAGGTGCGTTGGGGGGCTGGGTTGTTGGGGCTGACTGGGGGGTGTGCGTTGCAAGCGAGTTGCAGGCGGGGTTTGGCAACTGGAAAAAACAACACACGACATACTAAACCAGATGTTAGGTGACGCGCGTCCCCAACACATCTCCTTTTGGTGTTTCAACGGTACGGTAACCATGGGTCCTACCTGCACCCACGCCCCTGACGATGTCGGCAATGTAATATAAGTCTATAACATGGAATCCCAAACCTAGTGCCGTACCTAACGCTGCACACTCCCACCCCTAAGACAACTCCTAGTGCAGTACGATCCTAAACATCCCCACCCCCCTGGCACCCCCCTCCAGGCGGCGGCACGAAGACGGTGCTTCGGTCGCGCTTCTGTTTCGCGCCCATGGGCTTCGGCTGGGGCATCCGACTGAGTCAGGCGGTGATTGGCGGCTGCGTGCCGGTGCTGGTGCACGACCATGTGTGGCCGGTGAGGGGGGGGGAAAAATTATATAAAAGTGAAACAACAAATCCCAATCCCATATCCCGACTCATGCAGTGAGCGCATTCGGAAGCACTAATAACACGCATCTCAAATTACTTACCGAATCGTTGCTTACCGTAAACCGAGACGACTTGAGGAAGAAGCCGCCTTGCGTGGTAACACTAGGGAGACATGCGCCGCGCCGCCGGGGGGGGGGAGGGGAGGAGGCGTGGAGGAGAGGGGAAGAGGTATGGAGGAGAGGGGCGAGGCGGGGCGAGCCATTCCTCCTCCTTTACCTCGTCCATCTTGTTCCCTAACGTTTTCCCTCACGCTCATCTCCCTCCTCCTCCTCCTCCTGTCCCCCTTCCTCCCCTCCTCAGATCCTGTGGGACGTGTTGCCCTACGAGCGCTTCTCGCTCCGCGTCAGCCGCCACAACCTGCACCTGCTGCTGGAGCTGCTGGAGTCCGTGACGCCGCAGCAGCTGGAGAGGCTGCAGGACGGGCTGGCAGAGGTGCACAAGTGAGGAAGGGGGGGTGGCAAATAACGACATATATATAACATGGGGTTGCCGTACTCCTGCTCTGCTCCCCTCCTCTGATCCTTTCCTCCCGCTGCGGCTGCCCCGGTTGCTGTCTGTCAGGGCCTTCGTGTGGCAGCGGGAGCTGGGCGGCCTGGCATACAACTACACAATGACATCGCTGCACCGCCGCCTGCTCAACATGTGGACCGCCTTCTTCTGATACCGGTAAGGAAGGCGGGACTCAGCAATAACTACTCAGAGGAGAGCTCTTTGCTCTTGAAGGGACTGACGCTAGCGAGATGGCCGAGGGTTGAGGGTGATGAGAAGATTGTTTAGGGTGCGGTAAGGGTGGCTGCGCCGTAGGTTACAATAACTGGCCGCGAGGCGAAACGTACTGTGTGCGCCGTAGGTGTGTGTGGTGCATGCGGTGCTCGTGTGTGTCAGCGGGCAAACGTGGGTGGTGGAGTTGTGCATGCGCTGGTGACGCTTGGACTGTGGCTGCTGGGGATGGCGGGGAATGCCGTACGGGTGCGCTGTGCGGGGGGGGGATTGTAAGCCCCAGTGGTGTACCAAGCTGTGGCAGACTGGCTGTGTATTTGGATCTGAGGTGGGTCGTGTGCGCATGAGAAGGATGCCCCGTGCATGGGTTGCGGTGAGGGGAAGGCATGTGGAGGGGTGATGGGTGTGATGACTCGCATGTTCATATGGGTGGAAATGGGCGATGGACGGTGGTACTTATACGGTGAGGTATCTGGGATGCAGGGGGACTGTGAGAGTGATGCAACGGGAGCAGACGCAAGGCATCAGCATTGCCCGAATAGGCGTCGTTCGCAGTATACAGCGTATGGGTTTGCATGGTTCCCTTCTGTAGCGCGAATGTTTTCCTGTGCGTTTGCATAACGTGTGGCCGTGGCTTTTTGGCTAAGGCAAAAGTTGTGTGTCCCAAGGTGGCAATTATATTTTGTCAGATCTGAAGTACGGTACAGCCGATGGGAAGTCCGCAGTACAGTTTGCCCTGTGCGTTGAAAGTAGTACAATGGAATATTCGCGGGCTTAAGGACTGGAAACTTGATAACAATGAGTTACGGGGTATAGCGGGTAGTTATGACATTGTGGTGATTACGGAAACGCATTTAGTGGGAGATACGGTAGTGAAGGAGATGCTACCGTCGGGTACGCTCCTGTTCACAGTAGATGGCACGCCCAACAGAGGTGGGGTAGCTGTCTGGGTAAATCGTATGTTAGCTAGGGATGTGCAGCTCCTTGGTGTGTCTAAGGTTCCTAAGGGCATGGAGAGTATCTGGTTAAGGGTGAAAGGGCATGCTCTTAATATGGGGGGGCGTAGTTTGCTGATAGCAGCCTGTTATGCAGCACCCCAAGGTTCTGTTCAGTACAATGACCATGCGGGTAGAAGGCGTACTGACACCGTGGATCGTGTTTTTGGTCGACTCCGTGCCTTGTTGCGAAGATATGTGCGTCCATGCGATGAAATCCTCATTTTGGGGGACCTCAATGCGCGAGTAGCCAGCTTGAGTGATATACCAGATCTCCAGGCTGATGCTGAACTGGAGGCGGCGGCAGGTGTGTCGATCGGAGGTAATGGGCTCATTCAAGGCATGCCGAGCAGGCGCAGTAAGGACCCATCCAGCAACCCATTTGGGCAAGGTTTGGTCGAGCTGTGCCGCGAAACTGAACTGATTATCATGAATGGTCGTGTGCCCGGTGACATGGAGGGTGAGTTCACGTTCTACCACGCCCACGGCCTTGCCTGCAGTATGATTGATCTTTTTGTCTGCACGCCTGCTTTGTTCTCGCGGGCGTCGCATTTGCAAGTGCTTGGCATCCCCATTGCTATAGAGGGGCCTAAAGTGGGATCGAGGCTCAGCGATCACTGCCCGGTGTCACTCACTCTGGACGTTGGATTAGGAGGAACGCGAAGGGGTGGCAACACGGGATCCTCTCGCCTGGGGAAATGTGAGTGGGAGCGGTACACGCGCCTATTTGAGGTAGAAGATGCTGCTGTCGTACAGAAGATTGACGAGGCTGTTAGCCAACTGGGCCATGGTCTTAACAGTACGGAGGTTGTTACAGTGATCTGTCGGGCTCTTAAGAAGGCTATTGACGCCACGTTTCGTCTTGAGAGGAGGCAAGGGTCCATTCCTAGTGCAGGCAGGACGGACAAAGACGCGCCTTGGTGGACACCTGAGTGTGCGGAAGCCCGTGAGGCCATGTTTGCTCAAAAGGCGCTCATGCGTGCTAACGGTCTGCTGGGGGATCAGGATGCCAGAGCTGAGTTCAGTCGGTTGCGCACGAAGTATCAACGTCTACGCAGGGAGGCTAAGGACAAGTTCCGGGTCATGCATTTTGAAGGAGTTATCGAAGAATGTCGGGGGGATCCACGGGCGCTGTGGGGTCGGCTGAATGGCAGATTTAGTCAGGGGTGCCCTATCACGGATGTCAACAGTTGGGGAGCCTATTTTAATGCGCTGTTTAATGGGGAAGTCAACGCGTTTAACGAAGTTTCCGCGGACACCATCCTTAGTACCATCAACGGTGTGCCACATGGGAGGGGAAGAGGATGGGTAAGGGCGACAGGCGATCGGGTAGCACGAGTCACCGCTGCTGCTGCGCTCAATGTTCCGTTCACCTTGGCGGAAGTCATTGCTGCGCTGAAGTCTTTGCGTAATAACAAGTCTGGGGGTTTGGACAGAGTACCGGCTGAATGTTTCAAGTGTGCGACGAGAGAGGTTGAGGGTAGAAGGATGTTTGTTTTAGCCCCTTACCTGCTCAAGCTACTAGAGCATATCCGCAGCACGGGGGATTATCCTGTGCAGTTTGAGGTCTCTGCGCTCACGCCCATCCACAAAAAAGGCGATGTGATGGAGAAGGGTAACTATAGGGGTTTAGCAGTGGGTGGTGTTTTGTCTAAGCTTTATGCGTTTATGTTGGAGCACAGGCTGTCTCGTTGGGGCGAGCTGGTGGGAGCTAGGTCGCCGTATCAGGGAGGTTTCCGACGCAAGCGGGGTACCTGCCACAACCTGTTTTTGTTGCGACATCTGACGGACAAACATAAGGGGGGGCGAGATGCAGTTGACCCCCTGTTCGTTTGTCAGATTGACTTTGAGAAAGCGTTTGACAAGGTGCCACGTGATCTCTTGTGGTTAAGGTTGGAGGAACGGGGTGTGCATGGCGCTATGCTGGAGGCTCTCAAGACTTGTTACAACAAGGTCATGATGCGTGTCAGGGTAGACGGAGTGACGGGGGATCCTTTTGAATCTTCGCAGGGAGTGAAGCAAGGATGCCCTCTCAGCCCTACGCTTTACGGGATTTTTGGCGAGGGGTTTGCTGACTATGTTGACGCTAAGGATAAGTGGCTCCCTGATGCTATGCGCGCTAAGCAGCAGACTCCCCATGCGGATGGCCGGCGTATCCCGTTGGAACTGTATGCCGACGACCTCAGCCTTTTCGCTACGACGCACAGACGGCTGATTGTGTTGCTTGCTGATTTGAGAGAGTGGTGTGAGGCCTTTGGGATGCGGGTGAATGTCCGTAAATGTGAATTGATGGTTTTCCACCCTCGTGCCAATATCCGCGAGGCTTTTGCTGCCCTTTGCCCCGTGGTGTGGACTTCTATTGAGGGAAATGCGCGAGTACCTATGGTTATTCCCTGGGTACAACGAGCCCGTTACCTTGGTTTGCACTTTGGTCCTGGCACACCGTTTGTTTCCTGCACAGAGGAACTGTTGACCTCTGGCCGACGTGCTATGTTTTCTCTTCAGCGTAAATTAAAACGCCTAGGTCTTTTGGTCCCTGCTGTTGCAGTTAAGTGCTTCGACGTGCAAGTCCGCTCCATCTTGTCGTACGGTGTCCAGGTGTGGGGGCCTGATGTGGTGCTGAAGCTAATGACGGACTGCGAGAATTCCGCGAGGTACTTTGACAGATCCTTGCGGGACCCAATGGTGCAGTTACAAAGGGAATTTCTTCGGGAGATTGCGGGTGTGAAAGTCTCGCCTGATAAGTTGCTGTTTAAGGAGTTTAACCAGCGCCCCTTGCATGTCTTCTGGCTGGAACTGTTTCTGAGGTTTTGGAATGACCTGGTCAAGCAGAAGGACACGGTCTACCACCAGGCGTTGCGAGGTGAAATTCGTTCGGCTCTCAGTACTGAGCATTATGATGGCTGGGGTTCTAAGGTGTTGAAGATTCTGAAAATGTTAGGGACGGATTTGACGGCCTTGGGGGGTGAGTTGGACTTGAATGCGCGTGTGGAACGTATTGCTGGCACGGAGCTAAATGTGTCTGCTCTCACTAAAAAGTTTGCTGATAGAATGGATGCGGATTGGGAGGATAGGAGTTTGGAAGATGACCCGCGGCTTTTCAACCCAGTAGACCCCGTACCAGGGGTTGGAGTCAAGATGTGCAGGTACAAAAATTGGATGGGTGACCCGGTTGACAGGGGGTACATTACTCAGCGGCAGCATGTGAACCTGATGCGTTTTCGGCTGTGTGTGTGGGGCATTGAAGCCAATCGCCCTAGGGGTAGGCAACGAGTAGCGCGTGTCTGTCCTATGTGTGCCGTGCAGGGGTCGCCGGGGAGAGTGGAAGATGAGAAACACATCCTCATTGAATGTCCCGCTTACGATGATTTGCGTGATAAGATATGGGAAAGTGGTGTCTCACGGGATGCTGATATGATTGCTGTCATGGGCATGGAGAATCAGGCATTGCTTGCTAGCGTAATCACTAGCATGCGAAGTCGCAGGATTGCGCAGACAGGGTTTATCATATGATTAGCGTTCTGTTTGTTTGTCTCGTTTGTTTTACTTTTCTTCTTTTGGTTGTTTTCGCGTTTTGTGCTCGCGATCCATGAGCCTTCTGGCTCGGACGGATCTTACGAGCTCGGTACGAAGCTTGTAACACATACATACATACATACGTTTGCCCCGGGAACACATCAAGACACTATAAGCTGTGGTGCCAGACAAATTCACAAATGCGGCTCGTTGAATGCCTTTTAACGGCATCCCGCGATTTCCAATCGGGTCAAAAGGGTACCAACAAGCAGGTGGCCATAGTAAAGTTACCAATCAAGCAACTGACATAAAGGGAATGGGTCCCACTCTCAGCGCATTGGGGTCGAGGAGAGCATCAACTAACAGTCCTGCATGTCAATGCTAGTTTGCCGCCCATGCGGGTTGCTAGTACTACTCATTTCGGGATCTACACGATTGCAGCTACCTCTGAATACGAGGGTATTGCAACCAAAAAATATGGAGACCGTGCTGGGGTCACCTTTTTCACGAGACGGGGTCACGGGGGTCTAAGCACTTGTGTACCATCGCGTTCATGTGATACCTAACCTTCACTTATAGGCTTCTACACATCCTGCTTTTCGTGCCTTGCCTACCGGGCTAAGCATGGAAGGGTCGTATTCGTCAATAGCTGTACTGCGCTTTCCGCGAATTCTCGCTGTCGACTGGGACAGGCGTTATATCCAACACTGTTCCCGGCCTACAACAGACAGTACACTACCCCAATACTTTCTGGTCCCCTACCCTGCAAACAAAGAGGGCATTGGGGACGCAAGAGCGCTAAATACAATTCGTGTAGTTGAGCACCAATCCGAGTTTCACTGCTTAGCTGTTCCATACATAAGCAGTGTTTGTGCGTACCGGTTGGAGTGAAGCAAGACTTTTCCGGTACACTCGGTTCCGGCAGTACCAGCGACTGCCACTCCTCTCCTCGACGAAAGAAATGGAAGAAACTAGCAACACTCCGGACGCATGTGATGCCTCTGGGGCCAGCAGCGCCTGCACTAGCGACGGTTCGGCGCCGCGCTGTCCTGTGGCGCGCCCGAGAGTAAGGCGAAACGTAAGCACGGATGCTCTTGACGGGCGCCATGCAAGGAGTAAGGGGCCTTGGACGCTACTGGAAGAAGCAACGCTGTCTATGCGCCATTCCCAACTTGGCAACCGGTAAGCGGTGTTCCGTGTTGACCGTTGCCTTAAGGGCGTCGTTGACGCCTCTTGTGAACTTGCGTAGGTGGGCTGCTATAGCAAAGTACTTACCCGGAAGGACAGGTAAGCCCGCTCGGTTCGTAAATGTCTTTGCCAAAGGCTGTCTTTACAGAACTTTTGAATGAACCTTTCCGCTACTCCTGTTCCCCTCTTCTCATTCATTGCTGACCTCTCTCTCTCCGGCGCGACGGCTTGCGTGTTCCTTGGCAGAAAACGACGTCAAAAACATGTAAGTCGTGCTCAGACGCAATAGCCATGCGGGCACACTTTCGTTTTACTAAAAAGCAGTACTAAGCTCATTACAGCAGTAAAGCATTCGTTGCAAGCAATCGACCGCCTTGCTCCTTCCATTTCTCTTCGCTACCCATGCCTCGTCACCTCACATTCCTCCACCCGCTTCCGCAGGTGGCACAGCACCCTTCGCGCCAAGACCTGCCGCCGCAGTTCTCTCCTCTTCACCTACACACGTGCAGTCAAGGACTGCTGTGACGACCCCCAGGCGAGGCGCGCTGCCTACGAGCGCGCCCAGCAAATCTGCAATGCTGGCGCTGCAGGCTTGGGTGCTAGCGGCGTGTTGCCTGGTAGCGGGGGTGTGGCATCCCTGCTGGGCAGGCATCCCTGGAGCAGCGCTCCAGGAGTGGAACAGCTGCAAAGCCTTCAGCAAATACCCTCGCCTTGGCAAACGGAGACCGCGATTGGATCGGCTGCTCAGTCGCTAAGTAAGTAAAGAAGGGTTTGTAAATTTGAAGTGGGCTTTTTTGCACCCAGCCTTGGTGGGTTTCTGGCAAGACAGGTTGAATACTAGTCTTTGGTATTGCTGCAACACCCCATCCATCCATTTTCACCATAAAAGCTTGAAGCCCTGAACTCTTGGGCTCAGCTCTTGCTGTTGCTAATCCATTCCCATCCCGCTTCTCCTCTCCCCAAGTCCCTACAGACTGCAGCCTAGGCGGCACTTCACTAACCACCGCCAACCACTTTGGTGGTGTCGTCGTCACCCCCGTCCGCATCACAGCCAACAACTCGGGCAGTCTACTCGATGGTTGCGGCGGTGGATCCGGTTTCGGAGCGGATTCGGGACCCATTAGCGCCGCTGCAACCACCGGCTGCTGCTTCCGTACAGCAGCTGGACCGCCGGAGCTGCCCTCTGCTGCAAGCGTTCCCGTTGGCAACGGATCCGTTGGCGGTTGCACAACAGCTGGCACTGCCTTTCCGGGAATCAGCGTCAACGGAGGAGTCGGAGGAATGTACGGCAGCGGTTTGGCAACGGGGTTGTCTGAATGCCAGCCTGTATCATTGCAGTCCTTTCACTGCCGCCGGCTTTCCCAGCCGCTGCTTCCCGCCGTCCGCCCCGCTTCCACAACGGTTGCTTTTGACGCTTGTACGGCTGTGAATTGTAAGCTGGAGGATTTGCAGCCGCCGCTGAAGCAGCAGCGGTTCCTGTCGCAAGGCACACAGTTTTACTTCCAGCAGCCCCCGGTTAAGCTTGAGACGCCAACGGCTGCGGCTACCAACAGCGCTGCAGCATCAGCAGCGGTTGTTGCGGCCGGCAGTTGCGGGGGGGCACCAGGTGCGCTTGGAGGCAGTGCCCGCAGCAACAGCAGCCATGGCTATGTGTCGCGCCTCGCTAAACTTGTGCTTGCAAGCGACACGACAACAGCAAACCCGTCTGGAATGTCCTCCCCAGCGCAGCAACAACAACAGCAGCAGCAGCAGCGTCCCTCTCTCTACGCTGAATGGCAGCGGCAAACGCAGCTTGCGTCACCGGCGCTGCAGTCTCAGGCAAATCGTGGTCCGGCCATTGGATCAGGACTCACAGACATGACAGCCGCAAGCGCCGGCGGCGGTTTCACAGAGCCGTTGCAGTTGCGCTTCCCCTCATCAAAAGTAGCAGAGCTGGAGTTGGACGCCGGCATGGCGTGCGGCGGACGACCCATGGGTCAGGGCTGCCTTGAACCGCTTCCCGTGGCCGTTAGTTCGCGCATGTGGGTCGGTTTGGGTGCGGTTTCTGCTCCGGCAACGGCGGTGGGGTATTACCCTGCAGCGTCGGAAGCGCTGGCAGAGCAGGCGTGGAATGCCTTGCAGCCGCAGTTAACGCAGCAGCAGCAACAGCAGCAGCAACAGATGAAACAACAGGTTGGTTGCCATATAGGGCGCATTCCCGTTCACCCTATATTGCCTCCCGCACCTCGTCTGCACCATCTTGATGCGTATTCCCTTGCACCAGTCTTGTATTATTCTTCTACCTTACCGCCACAGCTGTTCTCTTGTTCTTACCGCCACCGCTGTTCCCTTGTTCCGCACCGCACGTGCTGCAGCACCTCCAGTCCAGCGGTTACGGCCAACCGGTTGCCGGAGACCTCCCGGCCGGCCAGCCCTCTCTCATGGCTGCTGCTGCCACCACCACGAGTCAAAGGGCAGCAGGCGCCGGAGCACCCGACAACAACAACATTCCTCGCCCTGTGTCAACGGGCTACGTCGGAACTAACACGATGTATGCACCGGGCGCTTCCTGCCGCCGACCGCTGGAGCTTGGGAACAGCGCTGCGGGAGCCGCCTGGGACCCCGTGTTTCCGCAGCTGCAACAGCAGCCGCAACCGCTGCAGCAGCAACAGCAGCATACGCAACAGCAGCAGCAGGCTCAGTGGTTGTTGAAGGCGGAAGACGGGGGTCGCGGCGGGGTGTGCGGTGTACCGAGTCGACCTGCGTCGGCGTGTGCGGGGGCCTTTGACGTGGCCGGTATGTGGGATGAAATGGAGGTGTCGGAAGCGGCGGATTCGAGGCAACAGCAGTTTGCCTCTCGCACCGGCATAATTGACCCGGATGAGAAGAAGAGCGCCGGTGAGTGCCGCGCGGCACTCGGATGACACGCTGCCAGGAGGGCAAGAGAACGTGTACATTGTTCCCCACCTTAGCTGTGCCCGTGTCCTCCCGCGCTTCACTTTCATAAACGTGCTCTGCGTCCTTTACCGGGTGCCTTCCTCCCTGCACGTACAGCCGTACCCACCCCAAGCACTCACCGGCTCTCGCACCAAGGCACTCCCCTTGACGTCCACCCCTTGCGCCCCCCCTCCCTCCCTTCTACAGGCGCTGGCCTCCTCCCGTCCTTCCTAGCTCCCGTTGACCTACAGCTCTCCCTGGCGCCCCCCTCCGCCAGCACCAGCTCCACCTCCTCCGGCTGGCATATGCCGGGCGGCAACAACCCCACCGCAGCCTCTGCAGCAGCAGCCGCAACAGCAACCGCAGCCGCAGCCGGCATGAACTGTGCAGGAGGGCCTTTCCAGCGGGGGCAGCAGCAGCCCCAGAACAACGCAAGCTGGCTTGACGCCTCCTCCTCCACGGGCGCTGGTACTGCAGCTGCAGGGGTGTGGGCCGGTGTGTCGGTGAGTGCAGCTCCAGCTGGTGGGCAGTTGGGCATGAACTCCCTGCGGCTGCCGGTTGCTACGGACGCCGCAGTGGTGATGGGGCTGGAGGAGGAGGACATCCTGGCGTGTCTCAGCGGACTTTGAGCGGGGCTTGTTTTGAGCGGGCTTTAAGGGGGGCTTTCTTGAGGAGGAACTGCGGTTCCGATTCGGCTGCTGGTTGTCGTGGATGGATGGTGCTGTGGTGGCTGCGTGGACAGCGCAGCGTCGACTGCAGAGATCCGGTTGGGGTCAAGGGCCGTGGAGGTTGATTTTTCCTTCCTCCTAGCAAACCTAGCAAGGCTGGAGTCGGTTGTTCTTAATCGGAGATTTGGTAACCTGTGGTTGTGTAATAATCTGTGAACCGCGGATGTAAGCGGTGTGAGTTTCGCGTGGCCGCCAGAAGAGCGGCGGCGTCTTGTGGGTAGTGCGTTAAAGGTGCTGTTCGACTGACGCGGTTAAGATTGTATGGATAGATGTGTTGTGTACCTGCAGAGAAAGATAAAGGATAGCAGGTTATGGACTGCAGGGGTATGCTAATCATGCAAATGGGTATCTGCGTGCCACAGCGGCTGCTTGGCAATATTCTTGGTTCCGTGGTAAGAAGGTGCGGGAATGGAAGGGATGAAGCATGGAAAGGAGCAGTGGTATTGAGATCTTTACCGCGGGCAGGATGTTCCGGGCGCTTCCAAAACTGAGCATGTGGGGGGTTACATTATTGGTTTTGTGTTTTTTGGGTTAAAGAATACCGTCCGCGAGTGGCAACATGGTTTTATGTATGTGTCCATGCGACGATTCTGTGCACTCGCATTGGGAGAGAGTTTCCAAGGAAATGCGATGTTTATGTCAATACTATGTCACGTGCCTCTTAAAAAGCCCGTGATCACGCGGTTTGCTGCTGCGGGATGCCACCCGCGGCCCTTGCTGTGCTGCGCCGCGGTGGGTCCTCTTGCGGGGGCCTTGGTTGTTGTTGCGGACCAAGATATTGTTCTCGTTGATGACCGGCCTGTGTGCCATGCTTGGTGGTAATGTTGGCGTGCCGGTTTGCTTTCCTAAGAATGATGGGGGCATTGTTTGGGGGGGGCATATTCTTTTTAAAGTGCCGTTACATGTTGTATGAAGCCCGCGGGGCCCACTGAAGCAGAAGGAACTGCGTTGTTCGGTGTGCGTGTGTGTGCTTGCGCATGCGGCGAGACGTTGATGGTTCGGGTCGTTGGTGCTTTTCGCAGCATCCCGTTCGAGGAACCGTTGGTCGGTTACTGGTTGCCGTTGTACCCGTTGGAACGCATTGACGTGGAGGCCCCCTTTGGAATTATATGTAGACCACTGCGAAACACTTCTAGGCAACCTTTGGCTGGTCGAGCTATCCTTCACCCTTCAATTGCGGGGGATCGTGCAGCAAAGGAGGAGTGCCATTGTTTGGACGCATGCGGACGCAAGTGCATGCATTTATTGTATGGCAGTAAATTATGCACCTACGAATCTTCCAAGTATACATGCTTAATGAGGACATGCTTAATGCCATCATCATCCTGGCGGCCATAAGTGCACTGATGCGATGTGTTATTGCATGGTGGGTGTTTTGCCCTTCTTGGACAAAGACACTAAAATGCCTTGTGATTATACTTCAGTATGGATGGCAAAAGGCCCTGCTGCAGCGTTTGAACGTTGCGAAAAAGGGGAAATCTCAAGTATAAGATGATAATTATGCCTTCATGATGTGTGATTTCGGCTGTGGGGAGCCTATCCTGCACCGCCCGCTGGTGTCGCGTGTGCTTGTACCTAGAGTCCAAGTACGTGAAGGCTCATTCGCATAGGACTGCGACTGTATTTTTCCCTGTTGTTGTCCTGCTGCTGCAAGTCATATGTGCTAGTGCGTAGCTCTCATCATACTGTGTTGGTCAGTCAGTCTGTGTGGGTTGGTGATGGTGGCGGTTCTGGCGTTTGGAATGTAACGCGTTTATGGAGTTGGACCTCTGAAGCGAGTGCAGCGTCTGTGAAAGGAGCGCTGGTAGTCTACCGGTATGTATGTCTTTAATGGTGTTTTGCTTGTATGCGTGTGTCTTTCAGTGGTGGTGTTTGTCTTGCCAGATACGAAACGAAAAGGATGGATTCCATGGATTCGTCGAAGATGGGTGTAATGTGTTGTGGCGGTTGTGGCTACGAGTCGCGGTGTTGCCGGCATTTGTTCCACTTGACGACAGGATGGGATGGGATGGGTGGCGTGTGTCTTCAGTATGCCAGCTGACAGACATCTTTCTGACCTCGTTGTTGTCGCTGACCTCGCTGTTGTGAAGCCACGTAGCTTCTCACTCTGTAGTCACATCTTCTCACCGATGTGTCGCGCTGTCGGTTGTTACCGTTACCGTGCAGCAGCTGGAAGCGGCGGGTGTACACGTAGTGGTCGGCTTCATGCTTCCGGCCCGTTGCCCACCTACAAACTGCCCATCTCGCATACACGCGCCGGAGGCACCACCCACTCCACCCTTCCAACGCATCGGCATCCGGGTTGTGTGGTACTGAAAATTTGAGCAATTGCCCAGGGTTATGATGTTGTGAAGGAATGGGGGGCCCTTTTTGCTCGTGTGTCCAGCACCCTACGCCCGGTATTTTGTTTGCCTTTGGTCGGTGTTGTGGCACATCCCGGGAAAGCAGTTGGGGCAGCCTGCTGTCGGGACGGATAAATTGTCACGTTTCTGCGACTTGGATGGTTGGATTTGTACCGTAATACTGCGTGTTGGTTGCTTATAGCATTGCTGCAATGACAGGGTGCAATAGAGTGTGCACTTGGACGTGTCACCTGTTTGCTAATTTTTTAAAACTGGTGGTTGGTCGGTTTGTTTCTTTCCACGGTATTCTTGCCGTGTGCGTTTGCGATCCGAGGTTTGCGTTTCATATGTGGTGTGCAATTGCAGCATTACATTATCATCATCATCCGGAATTGTCGTGCTAGTCGCAGCATGGGTGGTGATGATGCGCAGTGCACAAGCTAACAATTCAAATTTCGCCTCCGCACGATAAAACCCCCCAACCTAACTGTATCGGCGCAAGTTGCTACTGCTCCCTACTGCGCATCATTCTAACACTGTGTAGCATCATCGATGAGGAGGAGGACTTCAGATCGACCGAGACACGGTCGAGAAATTCACATTCAACGTGGCTCTCAGCATCCAACGAAAACAAGGAGGTTGAGCTTCCTCCAACTGAGTACTAACCTGCATTGACAGCAATCCTCCCCCGACACCACGCATTATATATAATCCTGGAATGCGATGCTCCATCCTGGCCGCTCCCTCCCGGATCGAGCACATCCTAATAACGGTGTGAATGCGACCGTACGGTACGGTATTACCCGAACGCCCTTTGAAAGCCGCGCAGCTCCTGGCGCCACCACTCCGCCGAACGTGAACACAAGGGGCGCTTCCTTGTGGCTCCTTATAGAATGGACGTCCATATTCCCGGCGGGAAAACACGCAAGCGCTCCTTCTAGGCTGATTCCTCCGGGGCCAACGCACAACAAGCGTATGGAGCACCGAGGCAAACACACATTCGTCCTTGTTACTCCCTTGTTCCCATGAGAAGGCCCATGGAAACATGGAATCCCCTCATCATTTTGTTGCGTTCGTCCCGCAGTCGCCCCCGCCTCCTCCTCACCAGTCAGCACTCAGCATGGGCTCTGGCACACTTGCGTGTCGGACAGTGCATTCGCGATGATCTCCGGAATCCAACCACGTCCCCTTCCCTTCGAATACCTCTCTCTCCCTCCCTTCGATTACCGAGGATTATCTAGGCATGGGTGCTTTCCAAACAACAGCACCATTCATCTCTCCCGCACCCCTCTACCATTCGTACTCGGCAAGCCTACCCACCGCCCCAGCCGGCTTCGGCCGCACCCTCGTCCCCACCGGCAGCTCAACGCGCGCCCTCACCTCCGCCCTCACCCTCGTCCTCGCCCTCGTCCTCACCCTCGTCCTTACCCTCGTCCTCACCCTCACCCTCGCCCTCGTCCTCACCCTCGTCCTCGCCCTCGTCCTCACCCTCGTCCTTACCCTCGTCCTCACCCTCGCCCTCGTCCTCACCCTCGTCCTCACCCTCGTCCTCGCCCTCGTCCTCACCTCCGCTCCTCACCCTCGTCCTCACCCTCACCCACCGCCCTCACCCTCGTCCTCACCCTCACCTCCGCCCTCACCCTCGTCCTCGCCCTCACCCTCACCCCCCCCTCACCGCCACACATGGCAGCGGCCGCTGCTAGTGGCGGCCACCAGCACCGGCAGGCTGGGGTGGCAGGCGGCGCGGCTGGGGATGGCGGTCATGAAGTCGGAGGTGAGGGTGCGCAGCAGCTGAGGCAGGGAGGGAGGATGGTTAAGGGGGGAGGGGGGAGGTCAGCAGCCAGTATCAGCAGGCGGCAGCGCAAGGGGCACCATCAGCGTCCGCAGGAGTGCGAGGGATTTGCCAGGTGTGGTTGGAAAAGTGACTATTGAGGTAAAGCCCAAACCCGGTAAGGTGCGTATCGGTAATAGTAAAGGAAAGCAGGACAGGGTTAGCGGGACTGCCAGCGTGAAATACAAAGCAGGAAGACCCTACACGAAGATGCTGTCGGTCCGGACCTCGACTAACTGACATCGACAAACCAACCTCGACTAGCTCTTGGGTAGCAAACCCTGGCGGATGATTCCCCCCCATGCAGTCCTTTCCCCCCACTCCCCCCGGCCTACCTGCCCAACATGCTCGCCTGCTGCTGCACCCTTGGCTGCTCCATGACCTTGCTTCTTGTGTCCCTGCGGCTGAGAGGCATCACGCCCTGATTCCCCGGCACCCGCCGCGTCCGAAAGAAGTGGCGCGGAAATCACGTCCAACCCCCGCCGCATGTTTCCCACGAGGATTGCATCGTAGGAGGAACCCCACACGGCCCTGCGGTGACAAGACAGCAAGACCACACATTCATCACACGCCAGCGTCAGCTTTAGGAATACCACGATACCTTACCACGATACCTAGAAACGACCCATGGGTCAGTCAGGCTCGAGCCGGCTGCTGGAAGTTTGCTACTATAGTCCATCCGGTAGCGCTCTGCTACCAAAGCGCTTTCTCTCACACACACACATTCATGCATCCCATGCACGCACATTCCTTGTCGGCTTTGCAGCCAGTTTGTCATACAACAGCTTATGCATGCGTGTCGTGCAATCACTCACGCGTGCCCGTCATGCCAGCTGTCGCACCCAAACACAGGCACGAACATCTTCCGGCATGTACGAACATGTACCAGCTACGGGTGCTGTCCAGCACCCGTATGCGGCACCCGTGCGCTACATAACACTACACACATTCCAAAGAGACACGAGACAACGTTCAAACGTCGCGGAGGAGCTAGCTAGCTAGCCCACCTGAAGGGCGTGATCCAGCGCCCGGTCTGGTTGTTATGAGGTATGGACAGCACCTGCTGCATGTGCCCCCCTGCGCCGCCCGCCGCAGCTGAGGTAGCGGCGGAGGAGGTGTCCGCCCACACTCGCAGCGTGTCATCGTACGAGGTGGACAGCAACCGCTGCGGGTGACAGAAGGGAAGAAACGTGAGAAGAGGGAGAAGAAAAGGGCAAGCTTGGATAGCGTTTGAACAAGTGAAGCAGAAGGGCAGCATGGAAAGAAGGGCCGGCAGCGGTGCCCAGCTGTAAATGCCGGCAGTGTCTGAAGCTGGAGGCATTTGTCCTTTATCATCCACCTTTCGTGCTCCTGTTTAGCATTCAGGCCCCATTCAGGAGTGTAGTGTCCAGCACCCCCATGACATTGTATGGACAGCCAGAGCTCCCTCGCATTGCCAACGTTACGCAAACGTAAGCCCAGGCACACACACCAGTACGTTCCTACTCGCGGCCAGTTTTCTTAACACACCAGAGCACCAGGCACCAGGGCACCTAGCATACTTCCGGCATAGCCCCTTCCTACACCAACCACCTACATCCCCACCATGAATCCAACCCAACCCCACCATGGATCCATCTCCCGCCCAATACGCCGCATGGCAGCTTTTCCCGTGCCGCAACTCGCTCAGCGGCTTCAAGCCCCGGTGCCCCCCGCCAAGCCGCTGCTGGTCCCCCCGACTGCCGCCGCCCCGGCCGGCCCTCGCTGCCGCCGCGGTGCTGCCCAGGCGCCTCACGTCCCACACGCACACACTCCCATCGGAGCAGCTGGAGGCCAGCAGGTGCTCCCGACAGGGCTCCAAGTGCAGCGAGTTGATCTTCCTGGCGAGGGTTTTAGGGATGGGTGCGCGTGCTTGGGCGTATGTGAGAGACGGCGTGGTTGGTTTGTGTTCGAGGACGCGAACGCGTTTGAGTGGCTACTTTGTGAAGGGAGGGTCTGGACCTCAAGGCTCTCTCACGCGCTGGTTGCCAGACAGTTGCACAATTGCTGCGTTGGCCGTCTTTTTGACCCACACGGTATGCTAATAAGCGCCTCCCCCACCGCATTGCCCCCGCGCTGGGTTGACACGCCGGGACAGTCCCCATGTTACCCACCTGTCGCAAAGGTGCAGACCACCGATCGGTCCCACCGGCTCCTCCTTCTGCGCCTGCTGCTCCTGCTGCTGCTGTGGCGGCAGTTGATGCTGCTGCTGGCGGGTCCGAGACGACGGCGGCGGCGGCGCCCGGAGGTCCACCACCTCCACATTGCCCAATGGGTCGCCCAGGAAGGCGGTACGACCGTCCGACGTCACCTCCAGCGCCGAGAACTCGGCACCGTCCCGTGGGTCACCCGGGGCCGGCAGCTGCAGCCAGGTGCCCGCGCCGCCTAGGTCTAGAGCCCTGGCGTGGGTGGGGTGGAGGGATGCAGTGGGGTGGGGTGAGGTAGGGGTGAGGAATGGCGGTGGCGGTGGCAGTAGCAGGCAAGGCAAGGCAAGCATGCAGATGGTTACATGGTAGTGTGGGGGGTGCGAGTGCTAGTAGCCTTGTAGCACTTATGGATGGTGGAACGATTCCATAGCCTTAGTCTAATCCAACATCCCAATCACCCTGCTCAGATTCCTCTGCCTTACGAGTCCTCAACGACCTCTGCCCTTGGCCCCTTCCCTTCCCCTGCCCCACCTGAGGGATCCGTCGTATGATGCCGTGATGAGGCGGCTCGGCCCCACCGCCGCCCCGCGACCCAGCCACCGCATGCCACTCACGTACTCGCCGTGCGGAGTGAACATGAACACACCTGGGGGAGGGGGCGAGAGCGTGGGAGAGCGGGGGCGAGCGCGGGTTCTGTGCGTCATCTTCCTCCCAGTTGCACGGTATCAACTACCCACCGGTCGCCCCGACAACATTACCAGCACGATTTATTTTTCTCCGAAATATCCAGCTTCGCATCACCAACAAGTTCAAACCCTCCGCCCGTCCCTCTGAACGAACTATCTCCGCCAGCAACTCCCTCCCTCCCTCCCTCCCACCATCAGTCTCAGCCGCCGCTGATTCCTCCGCCACATCCACATCCCACAGCGAGACCTTGCCCGCCTTGTCGCACGCAGCCAGCAGCAGCCGCTCGCTGCCGGGCAGCCAGCAGAGGTGCGTGATGCCGTCCTTGGTCACCTGGGGGGGGGGGAGAGCATGCATGGTTCAGTGACCCCTGGGTCAGTGGTGGAGGTATGGGAGGAGGCTACCGGCATATGCACGAGGGCGGACACCCTCGAAAGGAACAAGAGTGTTTTAGCATAGCAGCTTGTGTGGACTTGTGTGGATTAGCGGTGCAGGATTTGCAAATGTTGTTATACTACGTACTACAAACGCTTCATGACTTCATGGCCACCACCTCCTTACCTTGGCCACATCCCGCTCTGCCAGGTGAAGGCCGGCCAGCGCCGTACCTGCCGCACCGCGGTGCCCCTTCAAGTGACCCATGGGTCGCTCCTTGCCCTCCTCATCTGCCTTCTCGTCAGCGCTTCCTGTCTTCTCGCCTGCAGCTGCTGCTGACGGCGACGAAGACGACCCTCCCACCGCCGCCGCTGTCTTGAGGAGCTCTAGGAAGGCGGCATCGCTGTCCTCTGTTCCATTGTCACTTCGGAAAGGCAGCTCACCTGCAGGGTTGTACAAAGGGGTAAGGCTCTGCCAAACAGGGGACGGACTCTTCTGAGGTGGGTCTCTTCTGAGGGTGCGGGATTGTGCAGCCCTCCCACCCACCACCATCTCTGCACTCATCCGTATCCCGCAACCTTCACCCTCCCACGCACTTCTAGCCTCTAACCTGGCAAAGCTCATCCATTGCCCCAGCACCTACGCCCTGGCACCCGCTTCCTAGCAACCCGCTCTCCCTCTCACCCTGCGGATGCCTGAACTTCTCCCCCGTCGCCGCATCGCCTCCCAGCGCCGCTGCCTCCGCCGCCTGCCTGCCCGCCACCAGCTGCACCCCGGCAGCGGTCTCCACATCGATCCCTGCAGACAGCGCACTGTCTGCCTTGACGCCCCGCTGTCGCAGTGACATGCGGCGCGGCGGGGGAGCATCCTCCTGGGACCCCTCGCGGGACCTGCATGCGGAGAAAGCAGGTGAAACCGTTGGTTAGCAGAGGTAGCAGAGGTGGTGACTAGGCGTTTCCTATGACGATACTGGTAAGGCTAGGAAATGAACGAGCGAAAGGAGCGGAAGGAAAGGAGGCAATGCAATTCCGCGGTTCACGTTAGCCATGGAGCGACCCATGGGTCATGGTTCCCATTCGGACTTGACGAAGCGCATATCCGTACACGGATCGCCAGTAAGGCACTGCCGCCTCTGCCTGCCTGCCTTACCGCTTTGAGCCGACTCCGCGTTGGCTTGCTTGCCGCCGCTGGTGCTGGTGACCCACCGACCCATCGCTCCTGCCGCCGCCGGCGCTGCCCGCTTTTGTCGCGGCTCGTAACTCCGCCACCAGCCCCGGCAGCTGCAACTCCATCAGCATCCGCCGGTTGCGCTCCATAATTTCGGCTCTTTCGCGATCCAGATCTTCAACCACATCCCGATCCTCCGCCGCCGCCGTTGGTGGTTTCGGCGCTGCCGCCGCCGCCGCAGCAGCAACAGCTGAGTGTTGACTGCCGCCGAAGCCGCTGCTGCTATCCTTACGGCTGGCTTCCTTCACCGCGCCACTGGGGCCTGCTGTCGCAACAGGGATATCTGCCGCCGCCGCCGCCTGATCCCCGTCCGCTCCCTTGCCATGTCGCGTGCTGCGCCGCGGCGGCAACGGCGGCCTGCCTGCTCCCGCCTTCTTCACAGCTCGAGCCTCGCCCGCAGCCGCTGACTTTACCGGCGGCGGCAATGGCACGCGCCGTGTGGCGCCGCCGCCGCCGTCCAAGAGCACGCTTGCGTCGGATACGGCAGCGGCGGCGCTGTAGCCGCCGCCGGGACTGAAGTTGTCGTCAGCGTCCTCATCGCACTCCGGGCTATCACTTCCGCTTTCATTATCACCGGTATCGCCTTCGTCAGCGAGTGCCGATGCTGTGGCCGTTCCCGCCTGGAGTAATGCGGTCCGAGCCGCCGTACGATGAGATTCCGGTAGCTCGTCCAAACCGCGAATACCTAGCAATGCTTCGGAGGTAGCTCCCAGCCCTACTGTACGTAAAACCGGCTTTAGTAATGCCAGACCGGCCGACAGTTTAACCGGCAATGCTGTCGCATGCTCGTTGCTGCTTCCACCGACTGATGCTGTTGTGGGTGCAGATGCTACTGCCGTTGCTGGCAGCAGCAGGACTACGTCGTCGGGGTGCAGCGTAGCGCCAGATGCCGCGCATTTCGGGATTTGCAGCGTTGTAACGGTGTTTGCGGCGGAGATGCTGCGGTTGCGAGTGCGGCGAGCGACGCGCTGAGGTGTCGCGGCTGAACCTGTGTCGCTAATGTTGCCGTTGAAGAGAGGGGAAAAGGCAGGCACGTTCCGAGCGAGGGCAATGGACAGTGACTGGAGGAAAGCGCCAGGTTCCTGTGGGAAAAGGAAGGGAAAGAAGGGAACGAACACCACCACAATGATTTGTTTGCAAGTTTAGGACGTGATGGTGATAGGTTCTTGGTGATAGGTACTGTCTGAGTGAGCCACAGAAGTTGGCCGGGAAGGAACCGGGGCTAATCCATGGGCACGTCAACGCTTGTCCCTGTTTGTGGTCAATGAGCCGTAAGGTCTACTTGCAAGCATTATACGTGTTGATGGGAACCAAGCATGCAATGCCGTCTGCCAGCGCCCGCGCTTACATAATAGGTTGTCGTGCCTCCGCGCTGGCCACCGGCAACGATGCTCACGGCATACTCGCCGGCTGTTATTGGAGAGCCAGACGTTGCGCACACAGCATTCTTACGTATCCTCTTACATTGTAAAAGCATCGTCATCTCTTCTAGCCGCAAGGAAAAGCCGTCCTGGACTACCGGTGCCTCGCGCGCGAGTAAAGCTTGTTTGGCTTTCGTGACAGCCTCAGCGTCTCATCAGCTGGTTTAACTCAGTACAGAGCAATGCCCTAGCTGTTTAGGGGGTCAAACTGTGTTTTTCAAGTTGCAGTTGCATGGATGTTGCTTGGGCATCGTGGCAAGCTCTCTTTTAAACAAAATTAAAAATGGCCTTACGGTCTAATAACGTTAATGGCTTTCGGCAGTCCTTGCTGGCTTGCAGTACGTTGAATGCAACGGTTCCTGTAACCGTTTAATACGCCCAACATGTACTGCAATGTGCTACTTTTCAACCCTTTGCAGGACTTGACACATGCCAGTATGCAGGTGCACCTGATTACGATCACATGGCAGCTGTTTTCACTTTATGCAACCCGTGCTGCCTAACCGACGTTGAGTTCTATGCTCTGAAGGTGCCCTAATGACCTACATCATGCTTGATGGGAAACGGCTTGCCCACTATTTAGTCTCAAATTAGGGCCGGTCATGGAACAGCTTGTTGCTTTTAAGCTTTCGGACAAGCATGAAATTTGGGCCTCGGCCCTTCAGCGGAGGCAAACCTGGGAGACTTAAGAGCCTAAGGACAGCACACTACCCTAAATTAAAGCGGAATGAAGCATTTCAGTGAACTGGATGTTGGAAGGCTTTACACCTTCTTGTTCTTCGGCTTTTCAGTTCTCTGCATCTGCCAGTCAGGTGCGTTTCACTCATCTAAATGGTGTCACTTGTTTGGGAAGGCTTGCTTAGTACTCAGGCGTGGATATGCTTCATTCGTATGTCCTCTGTTTACTAACTTCCGCGCAGCGTCGCTAAGGCTACGATCACAGCAGTTTAATGTCAGCATTGTGCTGCAACCTGCAACGGCAGAGGATGCAGCGCGGTACTGTCTTACTGAGAGCTCGCTATCTGGGCCGGGCATCCTCGCGCCTTTGACGCTTGTTCTCTATGTCCTACAAGAGCTCGTTACTACGAATTCCGCACTTTTACAGGTGGGGACGTTGCGCTCAATGTCCGTTTGTCAAAGTGAAACTCGACCATCTGTTCAGCAGTTCTTACCTGTGGGCCCGCAGTTCTTACCTGTGGGGAACTGGATGCAAGGGTTTCTAGAGCAAAATACATGTAAATCACTGGCTAGAAACCGCGGTGCTTGCTCCAAGCAAATCCTTTTCGCCCTCACCCTAACAAGCAATGTCATTCCCCTCGTGCGCTGTCGCCAACATACGGTGTCTCCACCCTTCCCTTCCTCCCCCCCACGCGCCCACTAACACACCACACATTGGAATTTCTTTTTCCCCACGCACCCTCTCCCTCATTCCTCCCGCCCCACATCAACCCTGCAGTCGAGCCTCCGGCAGGACCCCGCGTCCTACAAGACAGGTGGGGTGGGGGCCTTGGGGCCACAACGACATCTTAGCACACCGCCGCGCAACTCCCCCTTGACCGCCCCCCCCCCCCCACACACACCTCACCTCCCCCCTTTATTTCAGGCGGCAGCAGTCTGTGGGTGTTGGACCCCTGGGGCAGCTGCCGCGCCATCATCCTGCCCTCCCGCCTGGCTGGCTACACGGGCGCGGTGGAGCTGTCGTGGGTGCCGTGCTCCTGGTCGCTGCAGTACGTGTGTATGGAGTACGACACGGCGCTCAGCCTGTCAGCGGGGGTGAGGGGGGGGCGGGTGGTGAGGGTGATGGAGGGGGGGACATGGAGGGAGAGGTGTGGGGCGATGAGGGTCTATTGGCGGGGGTGGGCCTGCCGGGTTGAGGGGGCGGGTGGTGTAGGAGGAGGCGCCGAGGTGGTGCTGGGTTGTGCCAGGCATGTGTAAGGCGTGCGTCAGCTAGGCTCGCTCATATCTTGTCGTGGCCTCCTCCCTCACTACTCCCCCCCCCCAACCTCCCAGTTTGTCAGTGTTTCTTTATTTTTACCCCCCCAACCTATGGTGAAGCCTTGCCACACAGCTCGTCAGTTTCCTTGTCAGTTTCCTCGTCAGTTTACCCCTCGCTTTCCCCCGCTCCTTTCACCCGCCATACTCACAGCTCACGCTCCCGCACAACCTCTACCGTACACCCAACCCGCCGCCGCTGCCGCCTGCCGTACCGCTCACCGCCGACCCGAGCAGCGGCCTGCCGTACAGCGGCCTGCCACCCGGGTACCGCCTGGTGACGTCAGGCGTCAAGCTGGGGTACGGCAGCCCCCCGGTTGGTGCCGTACGCTTCTCCGGGTTGGATGCCTTCCTTCGGCTGGGCCCCGTGGTGAACATCGTGGGCAGGTAGGGCAGAGGGGGGGGGGCCACATGGGGAGGAAAGGTTGGAGAGTCTTTTTGACTCTGCCAGATTCATGCCGAGTCGCAATCGCCCATGCTAGTGCTGCACGCTGGTGCGTTGATGATGCCCTGTTACCGTTGTTGCTACCCTCACCGGGGTCACCGCCAGCATCCACACACCCCACTGCCCACCCAACTCCGCATCCCCGCAGACTCCGCTGCCACCTCGCGCCCCACACTCCTCCTCCTCCCTACAGTCACGGTATCGGTTGTCCATGTCGGCGGCTCATTCAATTCTCTTTCTTTTCCCGCACCTCAGTCCACACCCGCAACCCACCCCTCTGCCCCTCTTTCCCCATTGTCTTGCCCCAACCTGTGGCTTCCTATGGTTCGGTATGGTCTTTGACCCCCGGTTGGTATGGTCTTTGAACCCCCCGCCCCCACCCAGATGGAAGCCCACGGGTCTGGACGCGCTGCGAGTGGTTGCCGCGGGCGACACCTCCAACGTGGTGGAGCTAGCAATGGCCAACTCCGACCTGCCCGACTACTTTGGGGACTCCTCCGCGGCCGCCTCATCCGGCAGCGCCCCCGTCTGGGCCGCCAACCCCATGAGGCGGGAAACGGACGGCCTCAACAGCAGCAGCAGCAGCAGCGTCGGGAACAATAGCGGGAACAGAGACAGCAGTAGCGGAAACAGCACGGAGGTATTGCGTACGTCGTACATCCGGCGTGTGGAGGGCTGCAGCAGCAACACAGCGGTGCACCGGCTGATCCTGGTGAATGCGGAGGGGGCGGCGGCGGCGCAGGGGGTGGTCCGCTGCATCGCTAACTTTGGGGAGGAGGTAGCTCCCGGTGGCTTTTTGGCCGCGGTGGAGGGGTATTACGTAAGCAGCGGCAGCAGCAGCACCGCACGTACCTCCTCCACCTCCAATTCCTCCGCTTCATCACCCGATTCCTCCTCCTCATCCTCATCGCCATCCTCGTCCCCCTCTCTCGCCACCACCTCCTCCACCACCCCGTCCTCCTCCTCCTCTTCCTCCTCATCCTCATCCACCCCAAGCATCGTGCAGCTCTGGTTCGTCTGGGCGGTGCCGGAGAACTACACCACCGCCACCGACCCGGCGGGTCGGTCCGGTTTCGCGGTCGGCGGCGTGCATTCCGTGGGTCCTCGTCTCACCCCGGTTGTGCCTCGGCCGCGGTGTGGGGAGGCGCGGTCGCTCATTCCCGCGGGGGGCAGCATCAAGGGAGCGGAGTGCGGGCAGTTCAGCAGCGAGTCGTATGCCTGTCCGTCGTACATGTGTTGTGGGGCGGCGAGGGGGAGGGTGGGGCTGTGCGGCACGGACCCCTCGTCATGCCTGGTGGGTGCGTGGGTGGGTGGGGCTTTATGCGTTCTGTGAGGGTTACTGCTGTTGCGGGTGGTCGTGTCAGCGAGCAGGAGTTTACCCTGCAGTTACCGTTACCGTCCAATCCAGGGGCAAGCGTATACGGTAGCCTCGTTCGTCCACCTCAACACCTCCCACCTCAACACCCCCCACCTCAACACCCCACCTCAACACCCCCCACCTCCACCCCCACGCAGCTCTCCTCCTGCGACCCGCGGTTCGGTTTGTGCGGGGTTGTCCCCGCCGACACGCTGGAGGTCACCCCGCACGAGGGCATTGCGGGGGTGGCTCCCGCACCCAGCCCGCTCTCCACCCCGCCGCCGTACGTGGTGGACGATGGCAGTAGCACTAGCAGCATCTACGGCAGCAGTAGCAGCAGTAGTGGCGGTAGCGGTAGTAGTGTGAGTACGTCGACTGTGCGGTGGGGCTCCTCTGCGTACGTGCTGGACAAGAGCAACACCTTCACGTACGCGGATGCGGTGGAGCGATGCAGGTGGGGGGGCGGATAAAGAGGAAACAACGAACTGGCCGTGTGATAGGGCGTCATCATGGTTAGCGTGCGGCGCGGGGTGATGAGGGAGGGAGGAGGGTGGGTGTGGCGTGGTGTGAGGAAGCCGGCTCTGTGAGGGGTTTGGGGGGAGAGGGAGTTGTGTGGTTCCCAGCTTCCCAGGGAATATGCCCATTGTGTGTCCCGAATCCAGCCGAATCGGCCAATTAAGGCAGGGCGGATGGGCCGGATGTTGCCGGATGCTGCACTCCACAGTGTTGCACTCTACAGCTCATTCAGCTCGTCAGCTGCCTCCTGTTTACCCCCCCACTCACCCCCACCCCCCTGCCTACCCCACCCCCCTGCCTACCCCACCCCGCAGGTCGCAGACCCTGATGGGCCTCACCTGGCGCCTGGCGGGGCTCGCGGACGCCTTCGCCTTCGAGGTCTCCCTGCTGGCCCGCGCGCCCTTCCTGCAGCAGCTCAATGCACGTGAGTGTTGCCACACGTCGCGTAATCGTGGCGGTGGGGTGATGGTGGTGCTGCTTGGCACAGCTGCCTTGCTCCCATCCCCGCTCTCACCTCGTCGCCCCTTCCCGTCCTCTTGCTTCCCACTCCTGGCCACCGGCTCTCGCCTCGCCTCGCCTCGTCCCCTCCTTCCTAACCCCCCACGGCTCCAGTCGCGACCAACCTTTTTGCTTGATCATCCTTGGATCCGGCCACTCCCCCCTCCCCACCTGCTAATGCGGATTTCTGTTTCCATATTAACCCCCCACCACCACCACCACCTGCTACCCTGCCACCCACCCACCTCTCCACTAAGCCTCCCCATGTCTCTATCCCCCCAACCACCCACCCAATCCCCCACCCACCCACCCAACCCCTCCCCCCAGGTGTTGCCTGGGTCCGCCCCCGCCCCGACAACACCCCTCCCGGCCTGGCCGCCCCCGGCTGCCTCACCGTGTCCTGGGCTGCGGACGCCGGCAGCGTGCAGCTGGTGCAGGTGCAGGCGGCGGACTGCGGAGGCACGGCGTCGGCGATATGCAAGGCGGATTGGCCGGTGACACCGTCGGGGGCGGGGGGTGGGGGTGAGGGCGGTGCGGAGAGCAGCGCGAGCAGCAGTGGGGGTAGTGGGGGCGGTGGTGGGAGTAGCAGCAGCAGTGGTAGTGTGAATGGGACGACGACAACGACTACGACTGGCTGGGTGAGGTGGACGCCAGGTGAGACGGGGAGGGGGGCGCTGGAGGAGGCTGAGGTGCCTTGCCCGTCTAGTTCCTTCCCTCCTGCCTACCCCCAACAGCTCAACCCCCTTCCCTTTCCCTACGGTACCTCTCCAGCGCCCTTTGCCTCCCACCCTCCTTCCCACACTGCCTGAGTCGGGCCACCATGGGATTGAGGTCCCAGTGCTTGAGCGACCTCCCACCTGTGTTTTACCCTCCTCCTCCCTCCCTCCTCCCTGCCTCCCTCCCTCCTCCCCGCCTGCCTGCCTCCCAGGCCCGCACCTGCTCAGCCACAGCCTGATAGGCGGCGGCAGTCCCAACTCGGGCGCCTCCTGTGTGGCCAGCTCCCTCAGCGCCCTCCTGCCGCTGCCGGCTTCCACTCAACAGGTGACTTGGGCACACGGCTGGTGGGGGTGCGGGAGCAGCTGGTGGGGCTGGTGGGGGTACGGGGGCAGCTGGTGGGGCTGGTGGGTTTAGGGAGCAGCAGTTGTTACCGGACTAGAGACGGGTAAAGACGCTAGGGAAGCCACACCAGGGAGGCCGAAGACCAGGTTGCATGGCTGTTCGCGCGAAGAGGTGCGTAAGCCGTATAGCGGGCGGGGTGGTGTGATGGTCGGGTGCGGTGCCAGAGGTCCGAGCAGCACCCCTGCTGGTACCTTGCTACCTTGGTACGCCTGCTGTCGCGCCCCTTCACCCCCCACCCCCCGTCACACCTCTTGACCTGCGTGTCGCCCCGCTGCCTGGGTTCCGTCGGTCCCGCTTGTGTGCTGCATGCGTGTCTGCTGCCACCACCGATGCCATGTTCCCCGCCCCGCCCCTCTCCTGCTCTCCTCAGGGCTCGGGAAGCGCCTCGACGCCCCCCTCCAACCAGGATGACTCCTCTAGCTCGCCACCACCCGCACCCTCCTCCTCCTCCACCGCTGCCGCTGTGGCAGCGTTGTTCCCCACCAACGCTTCCCTCGCGTCTCCAATCGCCGCCCTTGCCCTCCGGCCGCTCCTTATCTGGTCCGCCGTGTCCTCGCTGGAACAACAAATGTCGTACGAAGCCGTATCTTCCATTGCCGTGCAATACACCTTGGGGCCCTCCTCCTCCTCATCATCATCATCATCATCTTCCTACGCTGCCAGTCCTCCCACCGCCGCTGCCATCACCCTCGGCAGCACTGCCACGGCACCACCCCCGTCACCGCTCGCGCTACCTCTGGCCCCGCCGCTGGTCCTCGGGCCCCTTGACGGCACCTACCTCGACCCCAACGCAACAACCCACGGAGCGACGGCGTCCGCCGGCATCGCCTCGTACGTCTCCTCCTCCGCCGGCTGGCAATCCCTCCAACTGGACGTGGCAGGCGGGGAGGTGGTGGTGGAGGTGGCGGGGTGCCGGGGGGCGCTACTCGAGCAGATTGTGTTTCGTACGAGCTTTGGCAGGAACTGGAGTACGGCAGTGGGTCCGGGGCTGGGTTGCAGTCTGCCGTACCGCTACCTGGCGCCCCCGGGGGGGTATCTGGTGGCGTTGCAGGTGTATGCGGGGAACTATGTGGAGGAGGTGGGCCTGGTGTGGGGAACGCCGTTGCCGACGATGGAGGTGCCAGGGGGGAACGGAACGCCGGTACCCCAACATGCAGGGCAAGACAGCACTGCCAGCGGCGGCGACGCGACTGTACGGCGGACGACATCACGATCTGTCGTACTTGGTGTGAGTGTGACGGTTCCTGTCGTACTGGCGGTGCTGGCGGGCGCGGCGGCGGTGTTTGTGGTGTGGCAGCGGCGCCGCGGAGCTGACGGCGGCGTTGGCGGCGGCGGCAAGGGTGAAGTGAAGGGGGTTTCGCTGATACCGCTTGCCTCGACAGCAGGTGCAGCGCCGGCGCCGGACGGGGCGATGGGTTGGAAAGCCGGCGGTGGCGGCGGTGGAGGAGGCGGCGACGAAGAAGGCAGCGGTGTTGATGACAGCGGCGGCAACGGAGCTCGCTCAGACTTGTCCTCAGTGGTTGTGGAGGGGGCGTCGAGCGACGGACGATGCACCGGTCCTAGCCCCCCTGCGGAGGAGGCAGGGAAGGAATCCGTCCCCGCTGCTGCTGCTGCGCCGACCGCGGGAGCAGCCCCCTCAAGCGTCAACGGGGAATGTACGGCAGTGCCGTGCGAGGCATTGGGCTCCCCGGTACCGATGGGAAACAACAACAACAACAGCAGTAGCAACAATGCCAACTGCTGCGACTCGAGCGCCAGCGGCGTGGCGTCCACTGCTGCTGCTGCTGCCGCACAACACCACCACCAACAACAACAGCAACACCACCACCAACAACAACAACAGATCTTGAGAGCGGCTACGGCGGCGGCGACGATACAGCAGCAGCCGCCCGGGCAGCAGCAGCAGCCGCCAGCGGAGGCATGTGGCGGCAGCCTTGGGTCGCCGTACGTACATCAGCTAACTGCCGTACATGTTGGCGGTACGGCAGCGGCGCCGCGGCCGTTACGGCCGGTGCTGTACGGCAGCATGGGTTCTACTGCTGCGGATCCGGTCGCTGCTGCTGCTGCTTTGTTGGTACCTTTGGCTGGCGGGGCGGCAGCAGCGGCGGGGGCAGCGGGCGGATGTGATGTGGGCGGGGCCGAGGGCGCGGATGCATGGGCTCAGAGCCTGCATGCGGCGCTGTTCCACAGGGTCTTGTACGTGAGTGCGGTGGGAAATGGGGGGGACGGATGGTACGGATGCTAGGCGGGGGTAAAGAGGAAACACATGCACCCTTGCACCAGCAGGTCAGGGGCCTGCACATCATCGGAAGGAAGCTTGTCCAGCGCACCTTTCTGGTGCGGTTCTAACCAACCAATGTTTCGTTGGGCAAACTGTTTGTTACGAACAACCGATCAACCAACCAACACCGCGACACCCTTTGTACCTCACCACAACATTCCATGTACCCCATTCCTTTCTTTCCTGCCTCCCCTCTCGCTCCCGCAGCAATGGCAGCCACCGGTGCTCTCCGGCCTGCCCCCCACCGCTACCACCCCCGGCCTCACCTCGCTCACCAGCGCCTCCTCCTCCTCCTCGCCCGCCCCTCCTCCTGCCGGGAGCTCCTCCGCATCCGCCTCCACCGCCTCCGCCGCTGCAGCCACCGCCGCCGCCGCCGCGGCCTCTCGCCTAGCAGCCTCAGGTACGGCGCCCGGCTCCGCCGTCTCCCTCCCCAAGCGGCCCGCTGCCGCCGCCGCCGCCACCACTGCATCCGTCTCCTCCTCCGCCGCCAGTAACTCCCAAACGCCCTCATCTGTTAGCGCGCTGCCCGCATCTTCCGCCGCCGCCGCCACCGCCGCCGCTGCTGAGGGTTCCGGAAGTGGCGCTTTGTTCGCCGCCGCTGTCCCACCCACGGCACCAGCAACAGCAGCCGTGACGGCAGCAGCAGCAGCAGCAGGACACACAATCCGCGCCGTCAGCGGCTGCGACGCCCTCATAACGCTACCGCCGCCGCCGCCTCCGTCCATGCAACCCTCACCCAAATCCTCCACCCATTCCGCCTCTGACGCCCTGGCAGCACTACAGGCGGGGGGCCGGGCTGCTGCTGCTGCTGCTGCTGCTGGCACGCGGAGGTCCGAGGTGGTCGGCAGCAGTAGCAGCTCCGCCACGGCACCACCTGGCACCGCCTCCTCACGCACTACCACTGGAGGAGGGGCGGCACCCGCTCAGGCAGTACAAGTGTCATGGACTTGGGCTGCTGCGGTCATGGCGGGAACCGGTGCTGGTGCTGCGACCGCCGCGGGGGCCGCCGCCGCTGGCATTGCTGCAGGAGCAGCGACAGTGGCAGCAGCAGCCGGCGAAGCGACGGCGGCGACCGCAACCGACGTCGTGACGACGTCGCACCACCACCAGCACCAACAGCAGCAGCAGCACCACCATGCAGCAGTGCTGCCGCTGGCGGCGTATCCTGGCTTGCACCTGGGTGATGTAGCAGCAGCGGCAGCAGCACCCCACCCTTACCTCCCTCCTCAGGCGGGGGCCGGCTGCTGCTGCCCCGCCGACCTCGACAACGCCTGCAACGACAGCGGCGGCGGCAGCAACGGCCCGACCACCGAGCTGTTGCTGGGTCGGGATGTGGTGGTGGATGCGGAGGACCCGGGCAGCTACCTGGGGCATGGTGGGTGCGACAGGAGGGGACTTGGAGGTCCAAAAAGAGACCATACCATAGGAAGCCATGGTGGTGGGAGGGGGCAGATAGGGCGTCAGCTGTCTAGCGTTTCGGCGGTATGGGTTGTCTGGGACAAGTAGGGTGTGATGGTCCCCCGTCCGGGGCCCCCCAGCTAGGCAGCCTTGGTTGTCGCCTTGGGTACTAGAGGTGTGTGTGCAGCCTTGGGTACCAGAGGTGCTTAGCACCTCGGTGCAGAAAACGTGGTGACGGGAAGTGCGGCCGACATGTGAGAAGGAGGAGGAGGAGGAGGAGGCAAGCACCCATTCCACACCCATTCCGCGCAGGTACTTCGGGCGTGGTGCGCCGCGGTCTGCTGCGGCAGTCGGACGGCTCCTGGCTACCAGTGGCGGTTAAGCTGCTCAACCAACCCAACGACCAGGCGGTTGACACCTACCGGAAGCACCTGCGGACGCTGCTGCAGGTGGGCGGTTGTGTGGGTGGGAGGTGCTGGGACAGGTTTTGCGCCCCGCGGCATTCACAGTGGCTATACGGTACACATTTCCACCTATCCTCCTTCCCTACTGTCGCTGTCCCCCTCCCGCCCATTGCCCCGGGTGCGGGTATCAGTCCGTTTGCTTACCCGACCCTCCCTTACTCACTCACTCACTGCATGAGTCGGGCTATGGGATTGGGACTCTAGTTGTTTGCATTTCTTATATAATTTTCCCTCCCTCCCTGCCCTTCCTCCCTGCTCCCTCCCCCAGGAGATGACCATCCTGGGCTCCCTGCGCCACCCCAACGTGGTGCGCCTGCTGGGCGGCTCCGTGTCGCTGCTCAGCGGCGCCTCCTTCCTGGTGGAGGAGCTGTGCGGCAGGACACTCAGCCACGCGATATACGATGGTGGGTGCGAAGAGCGAAGAGTGAAAAGCGAAGAGGACATGGCAATGGGGGGGGGATTCACCCACTGTGAAGAGGAGATGGCAGTCTAGAGGGGGGAGGGGGGGGGCTAACTACCGGTAAACATGTGACGTCGTGTGGGATGGCATCTGGCATGCGTCATGAGGGGTTGCAGCAGGGTGGTTGTATCATATGGTTGCGAGAGGGGGCGTGCTGGTGGGGAGAGGAGGCGCTGCCTTGTTTGACCCCCACTACGCTGAGCTGTGCTCCTCCGCCCTCCTTCCTTCCTTCCTCCGCGCAGAGTCCACACCGTACAGTCTGCAGCTCGTGCTGAAGTGGTGCATCGATGTGGCCCGCGGGCTGTCGTACCTTCACCCCAACATCATGCACCGAGATCTCAAACCCAGCAATGTACTGCTCGATTCGTACGGCACCGCCAAGATCTCGGATTTCGGGCTGGCGCGATTCAAGCTGCACACAACACTCGTGACTCGGGACGCGGAAGTGGGCACGGTGAGAGGGAGAGAAAGGGTGTGTGAAGGAAACTGGCCGCGAGGGGGGGTCACTCGGGGGCGGGGGGGCGGAGTTGGGGTTGTGGGGTTGGGGTGCGACTTTCGTTTGTGCTTCCTTCGTACTTTACTGCTTATACGGATGCAGGTGTTCATGAGGGTCGTGAGCTCGTGACCTCTAGCTAGATTTCTGCCCTCCTTTCCTATTGCCCTCTTCCCTCTTGGCCCTCATCCCTCTGTCCACACTCCTGCTCTCCACGCCGGCCAACGCACCACCCGTTTGTTGCCGCCTGCCCCCCACCGCCTGCCCCCCACCGCCTGCCCCCCACCGCCTGCCCCCACCGCCTGCCCCCACCGCCTGCCCCCCACCTGCGCCTGTGCGGTGCTCGCAGACCTGTTACATGTCTCCCGAGGTGAGGGGCGTTTGAGGGCGGGGCGGTAGGGGGGAGGGTGTGGGATGGTGGATAGAGTGAGGACACAGATGAGGGCTTTCTGGTGCTGTTGGGAGGGGGCATGCGGAGAGCGCAGCGGGGCTGAGTGGCATGATGCACTGGGGGGGTGGGGGAGAAGAAGGACAGCGGGCAAGCACCTCCTCCTCCTCTCCCCAAACCAATCCACCCCAACCCCGCCTGCTCCACCTGACTCCGCAGTGCTTCGTCAGCAACGACTTCAAGGTCACGGCGGCGTGTGACGTGTACAGGTGGGGTGGGGGGCGGGGGCAGGTGGGGGCAGGCGGGGACAGCACCCTCGGGGTGCCCTCACGCGCCCCCCCTGTGTGTTTAGGCGGCTGCTGGGCCTCTTGGGCTTCATGTGGCGCTCGGTCGCCGTGGTGCCCCCGGATGTACTCCGGGGGGGGGTACGTACCTTGCCCAACTGAGTGCTACCTGAGTGCTACCACGTGACACGGTGTAGCAGGCCGCCATCACGCAACGGAACAAGTCGGCAGCCACCCACGCCTCACCTCAGCTTGCTCCGATGCCATTCCGCTCCCCGTATATCTCCCTCTTCCACACTCCCAACCACCATCCTTGCATTACCGGTAGCCTTACCAGCATGGTCATGGTCTAATCCTCGCTTCCCACACGCCCACCCTCCCTTCCCCCTTTTCCCCTTTCCAGTCTGGGCGTCATGATGAACGAAATGGTCACCCGCTGCCGCCCCTGGAGTGGCGTGCGCACTGCGGTGGTGGGCTTCAAGGTGGCGGTGGTGGGCGACCGGCCGCGATTGCCGCCGCCCGACTGCCCGCTGTGTCCGCCGGGGCTGCGGCAGCTCATCCAGGACTGCTGGGCGCAGCAGCCGGAGGAGCGGCCGAGCAGCGCGGAGGTGCTGTCCAGGTTGGAGGAGCTGCTGGGGCAGGTGGAGGCGGGGGAGGGGGAGGGGGAGGAGGGAGGAGAGGCAGAGGGGGTGGTGGTGGGAGGGGGGAGGGAGGAGGAGGAGGGGCAGGGGGAGGGGGGGAGCCGAGTGGAGGAGAAGGAGGAGGAAGGGGGGGAAGGGGGAGTGGAGGAGGGCTTGAGGTAGGATTGTTTTCCTCAGGGTTTAGGCACGCGTGTTCGTGTACCCCTCCGCCACGGTATACACGGCTGACAGCAGCAGTGGTACGGCAATAGTATGTTCGCAGGAGCAGCAGCAGCGGCAGCGGCAGTGGAATGGTCCTGAAGGTAACGCACACAAGGGATATCTAAGGGTAATTAATGGTCGAGTCACCGTCGTCCTCTCATCATCGTCGTCCACGCAGCCACCGGTACAGCATCATCATGGTGTGCACGGTGCATGGTGCATGGTGCAGGACGTCATGGGGCATGAAGTGTGCAGCGCGCGCGCACACAGGCGTGCCGGTTTCCTCAACACAGGCGTGCATGCATACATAAATAGAGCGTTGCCGTACGATGCAAGAGTGCCCGGATCCGGAACGCGTCTGGATTCAAGCTTGGATAATCGAGCTTTGGACGTGGAAGGATGTCGACGATGGAGGTATGTTTGCTGTGTTGAGGGGTGAACGGAAGGATGTGAATGGCTGGTGTCGACCTTTCTACGTTTCTTCCTCGGGTTCGCAAATTGAACGAGTCCTTGCATGTGACCACCGATGACAGGAGTGGCTTTTTCGTGACCATGCATTCCCTGTTGAACGATACCGAACGTATGAAGGAACGTGTGAAACTGTGTGATTGGCTAACCGCTTAATGATTTGATTTTGAAGGAATACGAGACATCCCGGGACGCGCGAACTAAAGTATCTGTTATCCAGGTGCTGTCATAACATTTCCGTACGCACCGTTGGTGGCTGTGGTTTAGCCTTCCAGGCAGAGACGTTTAACCTGGAATGACATAGGAGGCTGGATGTAGGAGGCAGCAGGCTGGGATGTATGGATGTGTAATTTGGATGGGTTGGGGAACGCATGACGGGTAGGTTTCAAGGTACGAGCCGATCCCGCCGCTCTTCCTTCGCATGTAAGGGTACGGTAAGGCTGCTTACAGAACCATTACTACTCGTATCACGTATGTCCGTGCAGCCATCTACCGCCCCCATCCCATGAATCAGAGGCTTCCTCGCAACTCCTCCAGGCGACAAACAGCCTCGATACGCATTTTCGGCCCTCCTACAGAGCCGGGAAAAGTGTATACCAGGACAATACAGTAGGAAGCGCCTTGCCTCCAAGCGACGGAAACTCCCCTGCTCCACTAACGTCACCGTTCCAAGAGCTGTCTGCAAAAGCTGTCAGCAAAGCGTAGCACTGCTGACTCGCAACACCCGGCTTCCGGCAAAAACTCTAAACACACCTCAAGCCTCACCTGCTTACTACTCCTATTACCCAATGTTACACCGTTGACCCAGGAAGCGGCATACCGATCAGGTGTAACATACCGATCACACCCACACGACGCGCCCCAAGCTCTGCCCCCTTCCTCCACGGTGTGTGCACTCACGGTTCCACAAGCGCCTTCGTACTAGAGCACGCAGGCCCCAGGCAGCAGCAGGAGGAGGAGGAGGAGAGGGAGGCGTTGAGCGATCCTTCGGCTGCAGCCTACAGCCCCGCCGCTGCAGTGTCGACCAGCAACCCCACAGCAACCGCCACCTCCCTGCCCCCAACTGATTACGGATCACTCATTCCTGCCTGCCCCCCCCCCCAGCCCCGCTGCTCACTGAGCGCTCTGCGCCGGCAGCGGCACATGCACATTGCGCAACAGTCGGAAGGCGGGGCCGTACTCAAGACCCGCCTCCGCCAGCTGCCGATACACCTGCACGGTGTCCCTGGGGGGGCGCGAGGGGAGGGGAGGGGAAAGGAGGGAGAAGGAACCGTGTGAGTGAGAATGGGCAGTGAAGGAATGGCAGAACGGCACTTGCATCGGTTGCGGCACTGGTGCAGGGGCGGGCAGCGACTGGTGGGAAGGTCGCAGGCAGGAAGCGCCTACATTCCTCTTGGGCGGCATAGCCTTAATCGCCGGCTTAAGCAACATAACGATACAATGTCCAATCCCTGCCAGCACCAGCGCCTGCCAGCACCAGCACCTGCCAGCACCAGCACCTGCCAGCACCAGCACCTGCCAGCACCAGCACCAACACCCACCCCTCTCACCTGGGAACGGGGGCGGAAGCGCGCTGGGCGTCGATAGAGCGCTCGGACCAGCGCTGGGCTCGCCGCTCCTGCCGTACCTTCTCCGCCTGTGCGTGCAGAGTACGGCGGGGCAGTGACAGTGGCAGCTATGAATGCCTCTCAGGTTTCAAGGGCGCTGCCACGTTAACTAGAGGACTGTGCTGCAGCAGCGCATTCTGCAAGCCTGCCATGTAGCAAGTGTGTTAGTGCACGGCAAGTTCTCGACCTACTGGAGAACCAATATCAGTTAATATTATAATCTCTACAAAACAAAATTTGCCTTACCTGTACGGCACGCCGGAGCAAATCTTGTACGGCATCCAGGTCGTTGCTAGTAAGTACGGCAAGGTAATCCGGGAACTGCTGCAACTGGGCCATTCGCTCGGGGTCCGCTATCAAGGCGGCCTGGAAGGCGGCGGCGTCCACAGCGCTTCCGTCTTCGGCGAGAGCAAAGGGATCCGGCAAGCAGGAGGCGGCAGCAGCAGCAGCGGTCGCCGCCGCAGTGGGAGGAGCGGGAGGAGCAGCAGCAGCGGAGGAGGAGTCGGCCATCTTGAGCAGCAGCAGCCGGTGGGGATATGCTGTGGTCGTGAAGACCCGTCAAGATCTGACTGGCTGAAATACCGGCGCCGGACGACTGAAGTGGTGTTGGATAGTACAACAAAACTGTGCAAAAGACGCGTTGCGTTGAGTTTGTGTTGCGCCACCGGGTCAACTGCCGGGCAGGTCACTTGAAGGGCTGTGGGCGGTGATACGGCTCCTTCGTGCTCCTCCAGGGTGCGCTGCTAGGAGGGTGGCAAGAAGCTAATAGTGTGTGGTGTTTTAACGGTGCTTCGTAGGGGCGCAAGCAAGTGTCTGTTGTTACTTGTGGGTTCGGGCTGCTAGGCTGAGCCGCTGGGAAGGGGGGACTGAAAGCCGCTGGTGGCTCGGCACGCAAGGATGGTGGAGGGCAGTCACGGAGGCCTCGAGTTCAACCTAAACGCTAGAGAACATTGCCACAGAATGTCGCGGAAACGCTTTTACCGCCCTGTGTCCAGGACGGCATGCCAGGCTTCCTTGGTCTTGTTCTGGGACGGGCTGAATGAATGGTCGCCGTGACGGTTGGGCCGTACAGTGTTGACTTCTTGGACGGGTCAAGAGGTAGGGACAGGTACTGTAGGAGACCGACGGCGGGAGAGGTGTACATTGCGATGCAGTGGCACGCAGGCCGGGCTCCCAGACACAGTCCTCATTCAAATAGATCAAAAAGACATAACAGACACAGACAGAGGCAAGTGCAGTTGGCGGAGGATGCGGATTACCTGGGTGCAACTGAAGGAGCAACGGAGGGCGGTCGGGTTCTGTTGCTTGGACGGGTGGATGTGGGAAAAAGTATAGATAAATGCATCAGCGATGGTTGTGGAAAGGGAAGCAGTGCACATGAGGACCCGTATCATCTTACTGCTGCGGCTGCTGCTCCGGTCGTTATCGCACCTGTTTATATTCTCCTCCATGTTCCCCTCCTATCGCTACCACGTTTGAACGTTACATATCAGTGATACCGAGCCGTGCCTCACAAAAACAAACATAATGAGATAATGGTTTGTTCTATAGCATTATTGCTTCTGCTATTCGCTGTACCGCTGCCCGTATAGCGGGACCCGTGCCTTCTTGTTTGCCTTCTCCCAGCGGCGCAGAGGACACATGGGGCAGAGGCAACCCACTCTCCGAGCAAACACACCATCCGAACTTTGAAACGCAAAAACAGACACGCACGTCCTTCCGCACCTGCAATGGCTTCCGTGCATCGTACACCTTGTGGACCGGTGGCAAGCCTAACTGCACGATACAGATCCAGTTTCCTTAACGCACACCATTACAAGTAGCACCATACATAGGAAGCCACATACCCTTTAAGCGCCTCAACAACAGACGCAATTTCCCCTTGCATGAACTCGCGGCAGCAGCAGCAACAACAGCAGCAACTGACAGAGCGCGTACGTCAGCAGAGTCCAAAGTAGTTCGCCATCGGCCCATCGCCCAAACAATTCGACAACCGAGGTGGAATTTGTTACCATTCCTTCAAGCGTTAGTTGCATCTACTACTGTTGTTAGTTAGCATCAATACGGTAAGTGGTCGTTATGCATGCGGAAAGGGCAACGGACGACGCATACGCAGGGCATCTTAGGAAGCACACGAAAGTGTAATAACGGACGACGCCGCAGGTAAGAGCCCAACGACAACATACAGAGCCCCACGGCACGCACTCTTCGGAATTCCCTCGACGTTCCTTCGTGCGAAAGAGCGGCATTTCCCCATGTGGGCAAAACGACGGTACAAAAACGGGCGATGCTTTTAACAGCTGCTGCACGTACCCAACCCTAATACCGAGCTGCGGCACACACGGTTATTAATAATACCCCACACTGTTATTACTACCCCACACTAGTTATTATTACCCCACACTGTTGGTTCCGCACACTGTCAGTACACGCCTCAAGTAGTTTCAAGGATGGCAATCCATTCGAGAGCAAACAGCCGAGGCACAACAATAGCAGCGACAACGCTGGCAGCCTACCATCGCATCCCGTCAGCAGCCAACAGACGGCACCCATTCGACCTCAAAACCTCAACCCACTGCTGCTCCAATCCCCAAAGTACCCAACCCGGCATGCAGCCTTACTAACGACAATCCCAGCGGATCTCAAACAGCAAAAGCGTTTTCGCCCTCGCCTTCACACCTTCGCACCTTCACGCCATCCTCCAATTCTTTCCTGCAGCAACCAGCCAGCCAGTCAGCCACAGCCCATTCAGTTGCAGCTGCTCACAACACGCTGCATCGAAAGCGCCCTTCCCTTCCTCCTCTCCTTACTCTGCCTCGCTTTGGGTGCAAGTCTCCGCTGACCAAAAGCCCGCACACCCACCATCAACCCCAGCACCCCACCTCTCACCCATTACATGCCACCTCATCGCATTGCATGCCCCCCAACAGCATCAGCCCACCTCACTCAGTCGCTGTTACTGTCGCTATCATCAGCAAAGCTCCCCATCTGCGCGCCTCCCACCCCGCCGCAGCCCGCCTCCTCATGTCGCCGCTTCTTGCCGCCCCCGCCCCCCAACAACCCCAACCCGCCGCCCCCCAAGCCGCCTGCATGCCCCCCCATGCCTCCCTGACTGCGCCCCCCCTGTTGCCCTGCACCCGGGCCTGCTGCCGGGCCTGCTGCCGGGTCGATGACGGTGGAGGGCGTGGAGGCGTTGTTCCGAAGCTGCTCCCACATGGTGAGGGCAACCTGGGGCGGCAGGGGGGGCGACACGGCGACACATGTGGTAAACTGCGTAGAGGGAGGGTCGGGTGCGTGGACACACACACGCGGCCAGTTTTCTTAACACACGCATGTGCCACAGCGCAGCATGGGCAGCTGGGCGTAGTAAAGAAGAGATGCTGCTGCCTTCAAAACCTACAACCACCCCACCACCACTACCCCCCCACCAGACCAAACCTCCTCGCGGCCAGTTTCCCTCAACACACCTGGGTGCGCCGCAGGAGGTTTGCGGGGGTCGGCAGCAGCCCCCGCGGCGGCGCTCCAAAGGACTCGCTGACCCCCGCCGACACGCTTCCGCCGCCGCCACCACCGCCCGCCGCCGCCGCCGCGCTACCGCTGCTGCTCTCCGGCAAACACCTCCCCACGCACCTGCTGCCCTGACCCCCTCCCCCGCCTCCTGCAGCAGCTGCTTCTCGCCCTGCTCCTGAACCGCCTCCCGCACCTCCGGCCAAGGCACCAGCAGCAGCAGCAGCACCAGCCGCATCCACCCCAGCAGGACCCGAGCCCTGTCCGGATCCAGATCCAGATCCCCCGGAACCCGACATCAGCTGGCCTGCATCTCCCAAACCCCCTGGCACGGTTGACGCCATGCAGGGGCCCTGGTGGCCGGCATGAACATGGCTCCGGGGGGACGACGTGTGACGCTGCCCCTCATCGGCTTCCGCTGCATCCGTTGCTGCCGCCGCCGTCGCCGTGTTCGCCGCTGCCACAGCATCAGTGTCGCCACCCCCTGCGGCGAACCCAGGGGCGGTGTCATGACGGGTGGACGTACCCGCGCCGGCCCCGACGGCTTCCTGGGCTGCAGCTGCCGCGGCCGCCAGCGCGGCAGGAGCAGCGGCTGCTGCAGCTGCCACGTCATCATGCGCAGCAGCAGCAGCAGTAGCAGCAGCAGCGCTCCCCTCAACAACACAGCCTGTGCGGCCGACGTGTGTTGCATGCGCTGCTGCTGCCGCTGTCCCCACCGCCGCTGCCCCCGCCGCAGCACTGCCGGCGCCGTCCTCCTCATCCTCCTCCTCGTCCTCCTCTTCATTGTCTTCTTCTAGGTTGTCGTACTCGTCCTGAAGGCACCAAGGCAAGCCGTGTGAGGGTTGGAAACGGTTAGAGGGTTGCCCCTCCATGCATGCCAATGCTACCGGCACTATCAAAACCCAGTCCTGCAGCCTTCCCTCCCCCGCTGTGCTACCCCACCGCAACCCCCGTCCCCCAACCCAGCCCCGCCGCCATGTAGCAACCCAGGGTGAAGCCTCGTCATAAAACCCATCAACCTCCTCTCCTTACCCTAACCCGAAGAAAACCTCCTTCAGAGGGCGCATAGCTCCGCCGGGACCGGTCAACCTCGACCTCCATTCCCTTTACCACACCCCAAACCAACGGGTGAACGGGTCTTCCTCTGGTCACGGTCAGTGTTTCCTCGCAGCTCAGTTCATCCAACCCCCAACCCCCAATCCTAACTTTTAACCCCCAACCCCCAATCAACTCTTCTCCCCACTCTCACCACAAAGTGCTGCAGCTCTGCAAGCTGCTCCAGCACGTAGGGCCCCGACAGACTGGCGGCGCTGTTGTTGTCGCTCAGCCGAGTCAGGTTGCGCAGGAAGCCGCCGCTGCCCGCCTGGGCGCCTGCTGCGGTTCCTGCTGCTGCTGCTGGAGTGCCTGCTACTGTGCCAGCAGCAGCAGCAGCGGCGGCGGCGGTTTCAGCTGCCGTAGCAATCGCACCTTGCGACTGCCGCCGTCGTTTCTGCCGCCGTGGTTGTTGCTGCTGTTGCCCTTGCTGACCTGCAGCTGCCGCCTCCCCTCCCGCTCTCCCAAGCGCCGCCGTCGCCACCTCCATCTCATTCCCCATCCCTCCGCCGCCGCCGCCGCTCTCCGAGCAACTGGGACTGCATCCACCTCCACCTCCCGCCACACCGCCGTACGAATCACCCTCATCGACACCACCACCAAGCGTATCTCCACCTCCGCCACCTCCGCCTGCCTCAACAGGGTCGTCGGCAAGGGCAGTGGCAGTGGGCCGCCCGGCTGCTGCTGCTGCTGCTGCCTCCCCTCCTCCTCCTCCACCCGAGGTACCCGAGACGGAGAGCTGGCCAGCCAGGCGGTGTATGCAGGACTCGGCCTTACGGGCCAGACCCGTCATGAGCTGAGAGGGGGGGGAGCAGGTGGGGAGCAGGTGGGTACAGGTGGGTGCAGGTGGGAGCAGGTGGGGAGGGGTCGAGGAAAAGAGAAACATTAAGCGGGCTAGCGGTGAAGGGAGAGGGGCGAGGCAGGGCCGCCAGCACTGAACCGCCATCCGTCCTATGCCCTTGCCAGCCTCACTCAGCTTCCCCCCGCCCCCTCCAGTCGCCTCCCAACCTCTTCCGGCCCCCATCCAGGCGCACCCCCACCTCTGAGGAGCAGAAGGGCTGCGACAGCAGGTCCCCCAGCTGTGGGGCGCGCAGCAGCAAGCCGGTGCGCTTGTGGTGCTTCTTCAGGATCTTGACGGTGGCCGTGTAGGCCAGCACCGACCAGTGAACCAGCAGCAGCACCTCGCCTGCAGCGGTACGGCAGTGGCGGGTACGGCAGAGGTACGGGTGAGGTACGGGAGAGGTACGGCGGCGGACAGGCATAGTTGTAGAGGAGCAGCAGCAGGAGAGGGGGTTCAACAGAGAGGGCAGGGAGGAGGGGGTAGTAAGCAAGGTGGCAGCGTTGGCGGGACATGCCTTGTTGGCTCACCGTGGAAGTTGACAAAGCGCTTGTAGAGCTGAGCTCGCTGCTCCGAAACCGCATTCAACGCTTCAGCGGCAGCAGCCTCGGCAGCCTCGGCTTCAGGCCCGCTATCCGCTGCTGCAGCAGCTGCATCTGAGGAGGCAGCTTTTGCAGCAGCGGTGCAGGCAGCTGCTTCTGCTTCCAGACGTTCGAGCTGGATGACGCATGTCTCCTCCCGCTCCAAGAAACGATCGTTAAGCCGCTGTAAGTGGTCTGTTAGTACAGCGGTAAAGCGCGCTTCTTCAGCAGCTTCAGCAGCCGCGCGCTGGGCGCTGTTAGCCCCGTCTGCGGCTTCCTCGCCAGGCTGGCTTGTCTGTGCTTCTCCGGGAGGACCTTTGCCATCTGAGCGAGCTGGTAGCTGCTTTAGCTCCTTCTTTAAGTGCTTATAAATATGAAACAAGCATTGTAGTTCTGGCAAGTCCTCCGCTGTTGTCCGCAGCAGTCGAGCAAATTTCATTGCTCAGGTCGCACACCTAGTTAACCTTGTAGACCAGCGCAAGGCAAACCTCACAGGCTGGTTAGAGCCTGAGCGTGTGTCCAACCCCTTGCAAATGGCGCCCAAAACCGTAGTAGGAGATACTTGTTTACTGCTTATACCAAGTCTACATATAGGTGCCAGCAATGTAAAACGCTGCCGATGTTCTATGAATATGTTGCAAGGAAGAACCAATGTCAAAAGTATGACGGCTGATAGTGGACTAGTAAAAGCAGCGGATGGCTTTCGCAAACTGTAAAGTTCATAAAACTCTTGCGTTGTAAAACAACAACAAGCATAGATTTAAACCAGTTTCACATGGGCCATTGCGGCTAACTGTTACTGGCTAAGGGCTCGAAGCCCGATAGATGTCGTTAATAAACTAGTATACCGGTGCTTTAGTGTCAATGTTTGTCAAAGGGCAGTCAGAGGAGATTGGGGCGTTCCGTATAATAACGTTAGGCAACAATCCATGTGAGTTAGCGCGCAGCACTGCACGGGCAGCACGGCAACAAGGTCCAAGCAAGTTGGAGCATAACAATTGGGCACAATCATGCGGCAGGTTGTGGTATTGCGATCGTTGCTGCTTCGTCTGCGAGAGATACCAATAACTAGATGCTGTACGGCGGAATAAAATCTGAACGTGGAGGAAACCCCCGTGTTTCGCTGCCAGTAAGGTAATTTGTGCGTATCGCGGCTTACGAACACATGCTTTGTACAGGTGCTAGTTTGGAAAGGATACTCGCTATAAGAGGTAAGTCCATAGATGTACACGGCCATCCTAGATACATGCGACGCCTCCAACGAACCTCGCCAAGACGAACGGCCGCCTATGTGTGGACCCCACGCAACACACAAGTGATACGGATACGGTATCCCAATAAGTCATGCCGATAGCTAGCAACCGGAAAGAATAGTTACGATGGCGATTGCAGTACATGCTTGCCAAACTAAGGAATGGGCCGTTGGGCACGTTCCTCATGTGCCGGAGCACACCGTAACACCACACCAGCAGTCAACTCTAGAACCCCTGAGACCAATTGGATCACCCCACCAGCAAGCGCCAGAAGGCTCAAGCTGCGGCTTCCAAGCTTCCCAACCCTGACTTCCAATCCTGTCACTACAACTCAACATATGGAGCACCAGGCGCCCTCAATAGCCCAGAACCGCGGTGCGCATGATTGTCAACGCGTTGGCAAACTCCTGCAAACATCAAGGCAACGGGAAGTTGTGTCAGTCCGATGCAACAACTAAATACCGGTAGCCTTTATATATATACATTTCACATTAGGCGAACCTAATATCAGGCAAAACGCTGTTCATACGAACACCGGTTCACAGAACCACGACACAGGTAAGGAAAAGATCGCTCCCTCACCTGCGCGTCCAGCCGGCTGTCCCCGTCCACCACCTGGTCCACCCGCCGGAAGATGTACTCCTTGGCCGCCTCCCCGCTGGGGCCCAGAGCCGGCACGCCAGCCTGCCACTCGCGCAGGCTCACGAAACCCTGTACGGCAGCGGCAGCAGCGGCGGCGGGGGCAGCGGCAGCGTTAGCAGCGGCGGCAGCAGCGGCGGAAGTAATGCGGGGCGCGGGTGAGGACAACTCGCCGTCCGCCGCATGCACGGCAGAGTCAGCAGCACCCTTCTTTCCTTTCCTTAATTCCCCGGCTAGCTGGGCACGGCAGGCGCCCCTGCCGGCAATACTTCTCTCACACGCATCCCCCCTTCCTTTGCTTCACACCTGCCGTGCCCTTACCCAACCCATGTTGAAGCCTTATCCCTCAGTCAGTTAGTTGTTTCCTTTTTACCCCTCCAGCTAGACATCCCACCGGCCCCCTAAGCCCCTTCCCCACCCCCTCACGCTACCCAAACCTCCGCCCCCCCTCCTGCTCCCACACAGTCCCTTCCCGCTCCCGCCCCCCCGTTCCCCTCCCCTCCCTGGATTGGAACTCCAGTTGCTGCCCCCCTCTGCCCCCTCCCCCCCCCCTTCCCCTCCACATGGTGAAGCCTTGTCATACAGCTTGTCAGTTGCTTCGTTAGTGTCTCACTATATTTTTTACCCCCCCTCTTCCCCCTCCCCCCCCCCTTCCCCTCCCCGCTCCACCCACATCTCCATCCCGGTCGAACACCGCCGCCACGTTGCCGTCCACCTGCTGCCCGTCCTCGCCCACCGCACCGTCCAGGGCGATGGAGGAAAGCAGCTCGTCGGTGGCGAGCGTGCCGTCCTGGGGGGAGGGGGGTGGCAGAGAGTTAGAGCTTAGAGGGGGGTCAAAAGACCAAACTAAAAACCATGACCAAAGTAGAGGAATACCCAAGGTGTTGAGTGAAAGTGGCAAACATATGACGCTCCTGGTGGTTGCGAGTTAGGGTGGCGCTGGAGGCAAAAGACCCTGCCAAACCATTTAGGCTCACAGAAGGTGGGCGGGGCGGGAGGTAAGAAGGAAACTACCGTAACTCTTGTGGCCAATGTTGGCAGTGCTCCCACCCTTGCACGCCCCCACGTCCCCCCGATGCCATCTCCCTTCACCCTGGTGCCCACCCATCCATCCTTCACCTTCCCAACCTCCCCGGCTGCCTCCCCCAACCCTGTCATCCCACCACGCCCTGCCACACCCCTACCACCCTCCACCCATGCCCCCCCCACCCCTACCAATCTCGCCCACCGATCATCCCCCCACCCCCCCTAACCTGGTTGAGGTCAAACAGCTTCATGGCAAAGTCCAGCTGCTTCTCCTCGGGAACCATGAAGTCAACCTCCTCAGCTACAGCCTGCTTGGGCGCCGGGTGCAGAAAGAGGGTGCACACAGGTGAAGGGAAAAGATAAAAGCCCGAGGCGGGGAGGGGAGCAGATTGGGATAGGGGCCGGAGATACTCGTTTAGGGGAGGAGGGTAGGCGCAAAGAAGAGGAAGAGGGGTTATAATTGCCATCCATCCCACCTGCGATGTCCGCAGCAGCTCCTCTTTCGTAATGACGCCGTCCTTGTTTTCGTCAACAAAGTCAAAGTTGCTCCGGACGATATCTGCGAGGCTGTTGAACTGGCTTGCTGCCTGAGCTGGGCTGGCTCCAAGGATTGGGGTGAGCGTCATGCTTAGCGCCAGACCAGCAGCCAGCAATTGCGACGCGAGCGGCTGCGCCTCAGATGGCTTGCGGGATTGCTGTTGCTGGGCACGGGGCTTAAAGGCACAGCACGATACAACCCGACGCTCGACGACGGTTCGGCCAACGCCGACACCACGAGTGCTTTGAAGGGCCATCTCGAGCAATATCACCGGTTCCTGCAATAGACGATCGGAAAATTGCACTCACATGCTGCAACTGCAAGTGTTAAAGCCAAAAAGTCCCTAGCCAAGACGGCAAATAGAGCTGCCTGTCAGCGTTTGGCAACAATTGAAAGCATACATTGTAGCAAATTACTAAATTCAATCTTAATTTGCTATCAGCCCACTTGTGTCACACCTGGACAAAATTGTTGGTGTTGGAACGCTAGATACCCGTGTGCGGCGGCGGTTCACAGAAAACACTAAATTGTTTGGCGCTATAAAAGCAATCACCCTCAGGAGCAGCATTGTGGAAAACAGTAACACTGATGGCATCGCCGTCGTACGAAGACGTCTGTACATTTGCTGGAAGACCAAGGATGCTAACGCTTCCTCCGCAGTAACCACAGCTTACGTATGTTAAACGTTCACTTGCAGCAATGATCTGGGCCGATACTCCACTTGACCAGCATTCCAGCAAGCATGAGCAACGGATGGTTGGGATGGATAGTGTCAAGGGCTGAACAGAGGTGCGCAGGCTACATGAGACTACAAAGAACAGCACTCTTAAGTTACCTTGCCGTCTCGGCTAGCTTATCTACGGCTTTGCTACAGGATGTTCGTTTGTACTTCTGTGTTTATCTTGCTTGGTAGCGGTCCCAACCATGCTCATGCGCAGGACCTTTTTACCGCACATACACAAACCCGCAGAGTCGCTTTATTACCCTTGTAATATAACCTCCCGACTTTGCCCCAAAACCATTACATCGTGGCAACCCCTACACATACCAAACAGTGTCAGCAAGCCAACAGCCTACTGCAGCGAATCCCCTGCAAGCAAAGGGCTACGGGAAAATTGTCAGCGCCAAAAAGCGCAAAACACCGAAAATGCCCCAAAGCAAACAAGGGAACACCTTCCTACCACAAGCCGGCACAGTCCTCAACCGTTCTGCCGTGTTTACCCTCCTCGGCCTCTCCAATCCCTCCTCTCCGCCGCCTCATTCGTGCCTTTCACCCAAACCCCCCATGTGCTTTCCAGCGTTCCTCACCGCACCGCCTCGCACCTCCACAACCTCACCTCCCCGTCACCAACAACCACCTCCTTACCTTCGCGGCTCTCCCACCCTTGCCACATGTACATCCTCCTCTTCCTCCTCACCGCCTCCCATCTCCCGTCTCCTCACCACATCTCCTCCTCACCACACCTCCTCCTCACTCCGACCTGCCCGCCTGAATCGCCCCCGCCAGCGCCTCCTGCTGTGCCACCATGCTGCCCACCGCACCCCGCACCGCCTCCCAGTCAGCACCCGGCGCCCCCTCCGCACCCTCCCTCGGCTTCCTCTCCTCAGCCCCCCGCCGCGACGCCATGCGCCCCCGAGGTCCCATGGCCACCTCGACGCTGGCCGCCCAGCCCACATACACCTGCGTCACCTGGATCTCCTCGGGTGCCTCCGGCTGCTGCTGCTCCTCCTGCTCCTCCGGCTGCTGCAGAGCTTGGTCTTGCTGCTCGAAGCGGCGAGGCAGGGCGGTGACGAGCTGCGGTACGGCAAACAGGCGGTTGCCGTTGGGGCCCATGCCGCCCCGGGCGGCCGCGAGGGCGGTCATGCCTCGGAGCAGGGACTCGGGGCCCACCTGGGGGACGAGAGGGATGGGAGCAGCAGGGAGGAAATGAAGATGGGGCATTCCTAACGGATTACCCGCTCACTCCTGTCCTAATACCCTGGTAAAGTTCTCTACCTCGAAGGGCTCGAACCCACCACGTGACAGCGAACACGGGGTTAAACCTCTTTCCCCTCCCTCCCCCCCTCCCAGGGACTCGTTGTTTCACTTATTTAATTTTTCTCCCCCTCCCCAGCCCACCATGTCCAGCCGCATGTACTGGCCGGTCTTGAGGCTCCTCAGCGCCCGGTTCAGCGCGCCGAACAGCTTCTCGGGGTCCGTACGGCTCGACACGCTGCGGCAGTTGGGAAAAGTCGACGGTTGGGAGGTTCGTTAGGACCTGGTGGATGTAACAGCCCGCGCGTAGTAACGCACTAGCAATACCAATGTGCTGCTGTGCCGCCCTCCGTTCAACAGCCGCCACAACCCGAACTGCCCCTTGGGACCCCCTCGTGTACGGCTAGCAATTGTACCGCACCCCTTCCTCCCCGCCACCGCCGTACAGTACAGTGCCGTCCAGTGCCAACGCCGTACATGGTACGTGCTAACATCACATCTTGACACACTCAGTTACCGCACTCACGTGAACACGTTTTGCAGTCCGGCCGCCTCATCCTGCGGCAGCGCCAGCCGCTCCCCCTGCCGCGAGCTCACGAAGAATATCAGGGGCGCTCCGAAACCCGGCACCGGGTTCATGAGCTGCGGCTGGAAGTGCAGGTCTCCCTGCGCGGCGTGTTGCATGGGGTTGAGGAGGATGAAGCAAGAGCGGCTAAGATAGAGTTGAGGAGAAGGGACTGAGGAGGAGGTGCATAGGGCGAGGCACGGATTACCGGTGATCAGGACGGGTACGGGGAGTCCTATTGGCTGCTGCCCATATCCCCGCCCTCACACACCCACGGCCCGCCCCCTCCAGCCCCACACGCCGCCACTTACTGCTTGCACAGCCGTTGCAGCCCGTTCCGAGGCAGCCTGTGCATATTAACCCCCGCCCCCCACCTGCTGCTGTGCTGGCACCTGCTGCTGTCCCATCCCCGCCCCCAACCCGCCTGCTGCCCCTCCTCACCACCCCCGCCCCGCCTTATCACCCGGTCAGTTAGTTGTTTCCTCTTTACCACCACCCCCAGTCCCGCCCCGCCGCACCTGCTGCTGCGCTGCCATCTGGCGCAGCTCCAACAGCATCCGCATCGCGCCCGCAGCCCCTTGCCGGCCCATGCTGCGCATCAGCAGGCCGCGAGGGGAGGGGGACGTGAGGGACTTCTGCGGGGGGCAATGAGAGGAGGCGGCGGGCGCAGGAGGGGTAAGGAAGCGGAAGAGGAGGTTGGGAAGCCGGGGTTATCAATGTCCGGTAGGGCTGTAGCTGACCCTTGGGTCACGGACTGGTGCATTGGCTTATGTAGTTGTAGACGTAACGCGGTGTTGGTGTGAGGCTTGGCGGTTGGGGCAAAATGTCCAGGTGAGAGGAGGGAAGGGAGACAGGAGGATAGACGGGTTAGGAGTAGCGAAATGTTCAGGCGTGCGTTAGGGACAAATATGCCGGTAGGTGTCTTTCAAGCGTTAAGAGATGCAGTCTCACGTTGTAGTAGTACTCGGCCTTGGTAGCCACCTTCTCCTCATCGTCCATCTCCAAGAAGGAAACCTCGAACATGCGGGTCCTCTTGACTGGGGCCTCCTGACTGGTACCCTCAGCCGTGTTTCGCGGCTGCCGCTGGCCAGGGGGGAAGCGGCCTGCACAGGACGCCGCAGAATCGGAAAGATTTGAGTTGGCTAAAGTTGCATCTTTGCATAACTGGCTGGAAGGAAGGCGGGGCTCTGACCCAGATTACAATTTTGGACCAACTTGCGTACGTTAGGTTGATGAGCTTACCACGGTTAGGGAAAGGGCCCCGGCGCTGCCCTTGAGGACGGGAAGAGCGAGGCGAAGATTCCGATGGGGCGGGGGCTTCCATAACAGCTGGCGCAGGCTGCGTCGCGGAAGAGGCCATCGCAGTGCAGCGTACTGGCGGCATTGCCCTGAAACAGGGTTCGAAATGGGCAACAAGTTCGTCGCTTGCAGGTTCGTCGAGCTAAGGCATGGCTAAGCTAAAACGGAAGATTGGCATGGCGTCAGGGAAATTACGTGCTTCTATAATTAGGAGACAGCCAATAATATATTGGCCAGCTGTTCATGCACTTAAGCAGCGCGGCGGCGGCTTTGTGGCTCGGAAGCTTTCCCAAAGCGAATTACGCACCTGCCATGAGCCCTGGCAATTGGCAGAGCCTTTGATATCGGGCTGTTCAACAGCATCATTCTGTGCAAGGGAAGACTTGCGGCCGTGCGGGTAAATGAGAAAGGACGCTGTGGTTCGACGCGACCAGTTCGAAGGCGTGCGCTCGTGGTAATGCCAATTATCCTACAATCAAGTATAATTGAAGTTGAGGATAGCTGATTTTGTCGAGCCGTGCTGGGATTGACACTTCGCCCGGAGGCCCGGTACTGTGTACGGGTTTCCAAGAACCTTGAAAAAAGGAAAGTGATATATAAGATATTACATTTTAGCATCTATACGCGCTCGCTAATAGTAGCTTGCATTTAGCAGGATTTGTATTGACTGCACATTCCTTCGTTTCTAGCGCTCAAGGCTCCATTTGCTCTGAAAAGCGCTTGTGCATTGGTACTTTTTGTTACTCTCATGACATTCACTTTTAACTTAACAAAGTCTAGATGGCCGTGTTGTTGCCTAGGACTTTTACAGGGAGCTCCTTGCTTGCAGCAGAGTGCTCTCCTGGCTAAGCATGGAACTCCACACCCGTGAATATAACAGAAAATGGGGTGCCTCTTTAGCAAGAATGGCCAGGTCCGGATACTCTCTGACGATGTCGAAGGTCAGTTCGTGTTAAGCTTGGCACCGTTAGTAGAAAAGTGATGGGTGAAAACGGTAGTCGGTACAATTGGCGGTATATGCCGCGTGTTTCGCCGTTGTTCTGCACGTTGACTACTAAACGAGGCCTAATGCCGTCGCCATGTTGACTCAGAGCTCAACCTTGCAGCCAGCTGCCATGTTTTACACATGCCCTCTCTCCAACTATCGCCCATGACCGCCTACCTCAGAGCCCTTGCCTGCCTCCGCGTTCTCCAGCCGTGGTGCGGCGCACGCCTGGCTCCAAGAAATTGGACTACCCCAGTATGCCGCGCCATTTGAAGACGCCGGCTTCAGTGGTGAGGCCTGTCAATTCAATGGACAACCAAGGGACTTTGGCCAACACCGCAACCGCCATAACCAACGCCCCCCGCTAACTGAATGCGCAACACACCCTCTTTGACCACACACCCAAATGCAGACTGGGACCTACTGTCCTGCCTCAATGCCGCCGACCTGGATGCTATCACGACCCACACGGGCGCCATCATCCCGCCCGGCCACCGCAAGAAGCTGCTCATGGCATCCAGGCAGATGGGCCAGGTGGGCGCAGAGTGAAGCCAGATTTGCGAAAGTTGGGCCGATAGTAGTGATACTTAGGTAGTACCCGAGGTGAAGTGTCAGTGCACCAAGTAGGGCAAATAGAACGGACATGCAGGGGGGTAAAGAGGAAACAACCAACTGACTGTGTGGGGCGTGCAGCCGGTACTAACCCTCCCTCCTCCTCATCCCTGCCAACGCCCACCACCCCTTACCCCTTATGCAGTCCGCCCAACAAGCGCTATCGCTGACACCGGCGCTGGGCTCTGCCCGGCGCTACAGCCACGGCAGCTACCACAGCGGGGCGGGGCACGGCTCGCGAGCGGGGGGTCTGGGGGCCTCGGCCGCAGGGGCGCTGGAGCGGCGCTCAACAGGTGGGTGGGGCGCCTGCCCGCCTGCCTGTCTGGGGGATGGTGGGCTGGCGGGTCGGTTGGTAGCCGGTTTGTTCCCCTCCCTGGGGGACAGCTGTGCTCCCCACCGCTCCTCTCCTTGTGCCGGTGCTCTTTGGGGCTTTGGGAGTCCTACCTGTCACCGCACGTTGCGGGTACCCCGTGGGGCGCCCCGCCGCTCCTCTCCCACCATGCAACGTCCTTGCCCCCACCCCACACAGGCCGACGTCCCAGCGGCAGCACCTCCCAGCGCCACCCCAGCGGCTCCCAACCGGGCCTCCCACCGCCAGGTACGGCGGGACCTGGCGGCAACTCCCTGCACGCACACGTGCATGCACATACGGCCGGCGGGGGGCCGCTGCAGCAGCCCCGAGCGGCCACGGAGGAGGGTATGGCGTCCGGGCGCCGCAGCCGGCCGCACCTGGCGGCTGCTGCGGGGGCCCTAGCCGCATCGCGCAACAGCAGCCGGAGCAGCCTGACGCCCTTGCTGTGGGGGGGAGGTGGGGTTAATGGAGCGGTGTTGATGAGCGGGCATGCGATTGGGTACATCGCCTCGCCATCGGCTACAGCGGGCGGTAGTGCCCATGGCAGCGGAGGAGGAGCAGGGGGTGCAGGAGGGGAGGGGTGGACGCGGGAGGAGGGCTACCAGGGGCTGTACCAAGCGGTGGATCGGCCCGGTTCGCGCTCGGGAGGGTTAGGGACGGCCGCAGCAGTGGCAGTGGCGGCAGCAGCAGCGGCAGCTGCCTCCTCGCCTGGCGGTCAGCCCAGGCAACGTAGGCGGTGGTCGGTCAGCAAGCAGGCGGGGAGAGGTGTGCTTTTAGGAGGTGGCGGTGCGAATGCGGCGCCCAACGGTGGCGCGACCGTGGCCTCCGTTGCCGCGGTGGCTGCGACCGGAGGATCTGAATCGTCGCGAGGGTGGACGGATAACGGAGAGGCGGTGGCGCCGGGAGCCCTCGCGGGCAGCAGCGCCGGCGGCCGTGGGCAGGCTGACTCATCCGAGGAAGTACGGCATTCATCAAGGACGTCCTCTTTCGCCACCACCAGCACTCCTGCGCACGCGTTTTCTCGTGACTTGGATCAGCTGGTTATGGGGGCGAACGATTGGGGGCAGCAAAGCCGGAAGCGCGCGGGGTCGCGGGGCCAAGGCCTGGCGGCAGCGCGCCCGGAAAAGCCTTACAGCGGGTGCTACGTTCCCGTGTCGCCGCCTCGCAACAACGGTAATGCTACTGCTGCCGCCGTTGGCACCGCAAGCACTATGTACGACAGCGTGCCGCAGTCAAACGCTGCTGCCGTACCCTCGTCGCCATCATCACAGCAGCAGCAGCAGCAGCTGCTGCCCCTCCCCGCAGCTGTCACGGCCAGCACTGGCTCCCCCGTCGCCACCGTAAAGCCGCATCCGCCGATGTCTGCAGGCGGCCTCGGCAGCAACAACAGCCGTGACGCCCAACTGTTTGTACGGCACACGCAGCTCGTCCTGGAACCCAGCACCACCGATCCCACGCCGCGGGGCGCCGTCGTGATGCAGTCCGCCAGCCCCGTCAACAACAACAACAACAACAACCCGGTTGCGGTCCCAAGCAATCACCGCGCCGTCGGCGCCTCCCCCAGCGGCCCCGCAACTACCACATCAGCATCAGCCTCAGCCTCGCATGCCGTTGCCGCGGATGGCGCAGACTCCACGCTCAAGTCCTGGGCGCAAGCGCTCGTCCCGCATTCCCCAAAGCCCGGTCTGTACTCTCAGCTCTCTGGAGGACTGGCGGCAGCGGCGGCGAAACAGCCTCGAAGCCGTACGACAGGCGGCGGGGAGCCGTCGTCGCCGCCGCGGCCGCCGCTGACGTCGGGAGGTGCCTCCCGTCCGGCGTCGCCTGGATTAGCGTGGGGAGGGTTGTTTGGAGGCGGGGCGGCGCAAACAGCGGAGAAGACAAGCTCGCCTGGGAATCACTCCAACGGTGGTGGCGGAGGCGGAGTACGGGCTTCGGGCGGTGCCCTGCCTCGCTTCGTACGGGCAATTGCCGGCTGGGCCATGCCCGCTGCGGCGGCGCCTGCGACGGCTCCCGTCGCCGCCTCCGCCGCCGCTGCTGGCGGCAGCGGCATGGGAGCCCGCCGCCAGTCTGCGGACCTGTCCGGACGTCGTAGCGACGCCAAGCCGGTTAGGACACCGGCGTCACCACCTTTGGAGGTCCGTGGAAGTAGGGTTGCAGCAGCATCCACCGCTGGTGGTGGTGGTGCTGCTGTTCGTGCTGTCAGCGGCGGCGGCGGCAGCCTCGGTGTGCGGGACACGTCGAATCGGGGCGGAGGCGGCTCAACGGTGGCAGCTGCAGCGGCAGTGGCGGCGGCGATAGCGAAGGAGCCGAGTGGTAAAAGCGGAGTTGCAGGCTTGCAAGGCGCGAGGTACGTATTGACATGTACATATGCACATGCCACGTAGGCATGAAAGCAAGGAAGGCAGGAAGGGGACGACGGGTGCGTTACAGAGAGGCATGTTGGCCGTCCCGGGCATCCCTCGGCTTGCCTTGAACGCACTTGGGTCTTGTTTTTATCCGCAACTGCATGCCTCGTATTGCTGTGTGTCTACATCTGCTTACATTGCTTTCCTTGCACATCTGCATCGTCACGTCCAGGTCTGGTCGTTACATGCTGGTACCTGACACGTCAGCGAACCACGGGCCATGGGACCAAAACTACGCGCTGTGCATCCAAGGCCGCGCCTACAAGCCAATGGAAGGAGCAACCGCAGAGGCGGGAGGAGCATCTGTCGCCGCCGCCGCTCCTGCTGGCGGCAGCGACGGAGGCGGCGGCGGCTCGGAGGGCGCGTCGCCAGGCAGTCGGCCTGCCACCGCAATGGCGGCGGCGGCCGCCGCCGCTCGTGGCGGAGGCTGGCCGTTCGTCATGCCGCAGCTCCCGCAGCCGCCTCGGACGTCGTACAGTGGCATGCCGGCAGCGACGACGTCAGCGGCGGCCTCCAATTCCTACCCCGCTGCTGGCGGCGCCTTTGCCGGCCCTGCCGCCGCCGCCACTGCTGCCGTACTGGCGGCTTCGCCATCGTACAGATTGACGCCGCTGCAGGAGTCATCGCAGCAACTCGGTTTGAACAACCCCTCCGGCGGCGGCGGCGGCGGCGGTCCCAGCGTGTCTACATCACTCTTGCTTGAGAGTGTGAGGCTAAGCTCGCAGTTCTATCGCGAAGGCGCCGAGGCAGTTGTCGTACGGCGGCCTGCCGTTGCTGACGTACCGATGGCAGCAGACGCCTTGCCGCAAGCGGATTCTTATCCCAGCACCGCCGCCGCCGCTGCTGCTGCGGCCGTCGTGAGGTCATCCTCTCACAAGCAGTCCGGCTCGGCCAGCTACTCGACGCTTGGAATGCCGTCGCCGAGGCAATCGCCATGCAGTGCTCCTGTTGCTTCCGAGGGCACTAACAACGGTAACAACGGCAGCGGTGGGGGAGGCATTGCCGCCGCTGCCGCCGCGGCCCAGTGGCCCGCGCAGCCGCTGCGACCACCCACACGCGCGCGGCCCATGTCACCGGGAGCTGGTCCCACAACTCCCACGTCTCCTGCAATGCCGCCTACGGCGGCGCCGGCGGCGGCGGCGGCGACGGTAGCAGCAGCTGCGTCTCCTTACCGAGTAGGGCCCCATGCGGCGATGCAGCGGCTGGATAGCGTTGATGGCAAGCCCACTGCCGCGGCCGTCAATGCCGCTGCTGGCGGCGGCAACCATCGTTTTGACGCGCCGGCGGCGGCCGCGACGGCGCCGGGAACGCCTCCGTCGGGTGCTCCCCGCCCGACACCTGGCCGCCAACTGGACCTCCAAATGCTTGCGGAGCAGGTATCTCGGATCATGGCGCGCCTGTCCGACATAACGCAAGACGGCAAGGAGGCCGCGGCTTGCGAGGCACGGGAGGCGCAGGGGCAGCAGGGCGGCTGCGGAGGAGTCGCGGCAATGGCAGCGGCGGATGGAGTAGCCCCAGCAGCCGCATTGGTAATGCCGCCGCAGGCGACCGATGGGAATCTGGAACATGTGCCAGCTGGATACGGTAGCAGCGGCGGTGGCGAATCCCTACGGAAATGCTCGAGGATGCAGGTTGGACCCATGGATCATTTCTGTTTCCTAAGCGACGCAACTTTGGGGAAAGCCGTGTTATGTTATCGTATCGCCAAAGTCCCTCACGCATCCGCTTGGGCTGTCGTTTCCCAGCCCCTTGCTGTGTCCCTCCTTCTTCTTCCACCTTCCACCCTCACGCCTGCGTCCCCCCACCTCTCATGCATAGTACCCAGTACCCCAAACATCTGGCACCTCACTCATACACGCCCATTCACTCGTACCGCTATTCGGCCGGCTGTCCCTCCACAGGCCATGGACGTGAAGCGTCAGGAGCTGCAGCGGCTCCATGCGGACCTGGTTGCCCGCGTCTCAGCGCTTGCACCAGCAACCACAGCACCGCCAACATCGCCAGCAAGATCCGCAGCGCCATCGCCACCCTGCACTTCTCCAGCCACAGCAGCCAAGGCTCCTGTTGCAGCAGCAGCACCAACAGCTGCTGCGGCCGTGCCCGCCGCCGTCACAGCGGCAGCAGCCGAAGCGCTTGCTGATGTGGAAGCGCGCATTCGCTCCAAACTAGCGGAGCTGGCGGATCTCACGTTGGACAAACTGGAAGAGGAGCTTGACGGAGGCGAGGAGCAGCCGCAGCAGCAGCAGCAGCAACATGTGGGCCAGGGGCTGAATGGCGGTGGCGTCGGCGGTGTCGCTGAAAGGGAGGGAACTACGGCGGCAGGGCCCCAGCGGAAACGCAGCCTGACCTCACCGGAGAGGGCTCTTCGTGGCGGCGATGTCGGAGCAGTGTGTCAAACGCCGGCGGCGGCGGAGGTGAGTGTACGGCAGCGGCAGCGGCGGGATGACGAGGCGGCGCTGCGGGAGGAGGTGTTGGCAGTGCTGGGGGCTCGAAAGCGTCAGATGCGGTGTGTCGGCGGCGGCGGCGGAGGGGCCGCTAGGAGGGAGGTGGAAGTTGCGTCGCCCGCTGATGCGGCGACGGCGGCAGCGGTTGCTCCAAGAGCCTTAGCAGGGCTGGGAGTGGGTTTGGGGACATCGGAGGTCGTTGGGTCGAGCGCGTGTGGCGGTGGTGCGGCGGCGGTGGTGGCGCCGGGGTCTGGGGCGTTGGTGTTGGGGCTGGGAAGGCAGCTGTCGCGAGGGGACGTCGCGACGGGGTTGGGTGGCGGCGCGGGAGGAGGAGCTGGAGTGGATGGCGGTGGGAGCGTGAGGGGAGGAGGAGCAGGGGCAGCCGCGGCAGGGGGCCGAGGAGCAGGAGGAGGGGGGTCGAAGATAGACCAGGGTTTAGGAAACCACAAGCTGGGAGGGGGTGCGGTGCTCGCGGAGATGCATGACGCGCTGCGGGCGGAACTGATGGCCATTGAGGGCAAGATCAAGGCGCGGGTTCTGGAGGGCGGCGGCGCCGCGGTGGCTCGCAGGGTATGAGGAGCACCAGGGATGGATGGCGTTTGTAGTTTGTAACTTCGTATGTTACCGATACTGGACTGGAAGGTTGGCGGTTGGCTGCGGTTACTGTAGTAGGGTAAAGAGGAAACAACTAACTGACTGAGGGATAAGGCGTCAACATGGGTTGCAACATGTGAGCCAGGGAGGGGGTGGGTGTCAGTTTGGGTCGAGCATTGCATGTGCTGGTCACCTGGTATTGCTCTCGCGGTTTGGGGTTCCGGTTAGTCCTGGTGTGGTGTGGTTTGCCGCATGATTGCAGGAAAGCGGCAGCCGCGCGGGTTGGAGGGGACATGTTGAAAGATAGGTCATGGTTCCAAAACTCCTAGATGCCAATTTTATATACTTGATGTATTCTGACTTGCGTGGCATTGTGGTCTTCATTAGGAGAAACATAAGAGCAGCCTAATTGCGAACACTTATTGGCTGGTTCTGCCTCATCACTGCTCACTCCTCTTTGTACGCATGTGGCCCTGTTTGCCGAAGCAAGGCATTTGTATTGTTGACGCATGTATCGCATGTGCATGCGGTTTGGCTTGGTGAATTGATACCGCGCTGTTTTGGTGGTTGTGCACTGTGTTTTGGTGTATACTTGGCTTACAGCGCCACTAGGATGTGATAGCACCTCTATCGGACATATCTTTTGACCAGGCCGGGCGGCGTGCCGCGTTATTAGGACGTGCGCCTCTCGCCTCTGATGTTGCTGTCTACTTGTAAGGCGGCCCCGTCTTGGGTGATTTGCAGGCGTGAAACTGTGAGAGCGGTAGGAGACTGCATCAGGTTAGCGCCGGCGCGCGGCCGGTGGATTGGCACGTGGTGAAAGGCCACGAAATTGGAGGCGCTGACAGGCTTTCTGAGGATGCGATCTTGGTATATGTGTTGACAAGCATTGTCATTCTTTCCATGTACCTTTGGTGGTGATGTGGCTTTGGGCTTGCAGGCCAACGTGAATGAATGACCGTTACAATTGTGCCCTAAAAGGCAACGTGTCTGGAGATGATGTGTGGGATATGCACAACGCTGAGCCAGCTATTGCACGTGCTGGGTCCTGCTTTCGAGGCGTGCATGGAATCCTGGAATCTTGCAATGAACAATCTCTGTGTATGTGCATGTGTTAAGAAAACTGGCCGCGAGTAGGAACGTACTGTGATTGTCGGAAGATGAAGTCCCCACAGAACCGCCGTATGTGTAGGTGCGCCCCGTCTTGAGACTGGTTTGGGGCAGAATTTGCTCTCGCGAAACCTTGGTAACCAGTTGGATTGGGGCCAAGATGCTGAGACTGAACTGCGGGCGTTCTTTGTTAGCATATGCCTTGGGCCTTTCCATGGAAGTGAGCAAGCAAACGCCCTTTGCATTCAGTACTGCAAATCGGTGTTGAGGAATGAGCATTGCCAACTTCCCTTCACTCTGACCAAGGTTGCTCCAGCCTTCATGTACGAGAGCCTGAAGACTGTAATGATCAGGAGCAGCAGGAACGGGCATACAAGCGAACACTATGATGACATGGGGGGCGCTGTTGGCAATCTGTAAGTGGCATGATGGAGTCCAGCGTTGCGTGACAGCGTGTTATACAGCGGTGGCAACAGCAGGGGGGTGCACAACGGCATATGCTTAATGCAGGAAGGCACGCCTAGCTCACTACAATAGGAAGCGGAAGTTACACTGGAGGACAGTAGCCCACTACAATAGGCTCCCCAGTCCGTATGATATGCCGTACGGAACGATACCAGCATACCGGTACCAAGTGGTTGCTTTCAGCATATCGGTACTTTACCAACGTATTTACCAACGGCGGCGCGACAGGACAACTGCAACCCGAATAAGACAAAGAGGCCCGGCCGTCAGCATTGAAGGAGCAGATCATGCATGCGCCCAACGTATGCTGCTAAGGTGCAATACCGATAAAGCTCGACATGCAATATGTTATGTTACGGTACTGTGCTCAAGGATAAGAGAAGATATGATACCCGGAACACCAAAAGCGGTCTTCATGCTTGCAAATTTTCGTACGTTATGATGCCGAAATACACGTCCAGCCGGCGCATAGTTGCGACCCGAGACATAATGCTTCAATCAACACTAGATACTCAGGAAAGCAATTCACAACGCTTGAATAAAAGAAGACCCAAGCAGTTCAACAGTCATCTGCATGTACCGCATCCCGTCAACGTTTTCACCACATTCATTATCAATCACCGCCAGCTCTGATCACGTGAATACCTCGAAAGCCATTATCTCGAAAGCTCCACAGCCGCGCCCAGCAACGCCAGCGACATTGGCCACCCGCCTGGGAACTCAGCACTCCAGCACTCACAAACTCACAGCTCGCCCCCTCAGTACGTGTTTTTCTAGCCGACCGCCGCCGCAGTGGCAAAATGTTATCCGCCCCATCACTCCACCACCCATCACCATCGTCCCACGAACCGAGACAAGCCACCAGCATTGAACCGCGAACCAGCAAACCTCTAGCTGCTGCCACCGCTGTTGTTGTTGCCCTCGCCTCCCTTGCGGCTGTGGTACGCGTACTCCACACTCAGCAGCCCCGTCAGCAGCATCAGCCGCTCGTGGTGGTTGGCTTTTGGCGGGAAGGGCAGCACGTAGTTGTTGAAGTCGAAGACGCAGCGGCAGCAGTCCGCGCAGCCGTCGCCGCCGCCGTAGGTCTTCTGCGCTACGGCCGCCAGCGTGCCGTTGGGCTCGAGGATGTCGATGAAGAAGCTGGGGATGCAGCAGCTGAGGTATGAGGGCCAGGGGGCGGGGGCAGAGAGGAGCGGATAGGAGAGATGAAGAGGTTTAGGATACCGGGATAAGAAGAGGCGGAGGCACGGTTGTCAGGGGGGTAAGGATGGAAGGGTGCTGAGGTGGGAGAGCAAACCAGCCAAGGCAGGTTTGCCACGAGGTTTGCTTACAGCATCACCGGTGTATGTCGTAGGCGGGTATGTGAAAGCGGGGCTTATGCACTGTGCTGGTCCGCTAGATGGGCGTCAGCAGGTGCTGCGTGCTGTGCCACCGCAGGGGCAGATGAACCAAATCAGCTGGTAACATTTAGAAGCCAGTTGGCTTCACGCTAGTGCGCACGTGTTCTATTCAGCTACACGCATGCAGACCCGCAGGAAACCCCCTACAATTGTGAGTATCGTAACTGGTGTGCATGGCAACATAGTCGGCAGTCACAGCGTTCTATCTTTGGAGTACCAGCTATCGGCTCGTTCCCTGCACCTCGGGCGTGAGGTATGAGGATTGCCGCAGGGTACTCACGTGGCGCCGCAGCAGTTGTTGACCCGGCCGCAGCAGCACATCGGGTTGACCAGGGAATATTTATGCACCAGGCTCTCGCGGGTGCCGCCCACCAGCACCTTCTGGTAATAAGTGTTGAGGCAGCAGCATTGGTAGCATCGCAGGCAGTAGGGGTCAAAGTCCTCGACCACCTGTTTGCAGCGAGAGGTAGGGAAGCTCGTGATTAAGCTTGATAAGGTTTTAGATACAGCGGCAGCCGCAGGCGACCTGATGATGAGTCTTACCATGCCAACCATGCGGTCCCCTTCAGGTCCTTTCTGGTACACGGTCATCTCCAGCGGGCAACAGCAACACCCGCCGCACATGCAAGGCCGGTCAACGTAGTACTTCTCGTAGTTGGCGTGGTAGTAACGGAGCTTGAGGGCCCGTAGGTTGAGGCCGCCCCAGTATGCTAAGCACGCACGGAGAAGGCAGGACGATTCTTCTTCGACGAAAAAGACCTCGGGAAGCTGGTCAATCTCCGCCGAGGAAGGCAACCAAGCGCCTGGCTCGTCGTGGTCTGTTCCCGACCTCTTGTCGACCGGCATAGCTTTGACATGATACTTGTTCGCGGCTTCGTACGCGCCACCAACGGACGCCATAATTGCATCGATAACCTGTGTGGTTTCCTTTACAACCAGACCAGGATACGTCTCCAGGTTTTCGGGCATTACGCCCTGGATGGGCTGCACGTAAGGCGGTTGCATACAAGGAGCCGGTGGGATGGGTGCTTCCGCATACTGAGGTTGTGCGTAGGGAGGCTGTCCGTAATGAGGCTGCTGCGGATACGGTGACGGCACGTAGGCAGCTTGCGGATAAGGCGCTTGCGCGTATTGCGGTTGCTGGTAGGGTCCTTGATAGGCAGCCATGGTATCTTTTGTTTCTATGGTTACGAACTTGCAATCATATGCGCTGGGAAGTATTTAAATGGCGCCCTTGGTACTGCTGGAAACGGGATACGTAGCTATATAGAGGGCCTTATATGCGATGATTTGCCTTGCTACGAATTGGTCTTCTTCTTTACCCTAACTTGGACTTTGCGTAAACGCCCATATTGTGTCGCCTTCTATCAACAAGCGCTCTGACATTACATCCTGGCGGACCATACCCACACACATTTTTGAGAAGCATTCCAAGCCCACCACGGTCGCGCTCGCCACCGCCGACGACGACTTGACACTAGCACCGTCGATCTCTTGCTACCACGTAGTGAACGAGAAAATTGCTTTACCCGGTGCGCGAGGGCGCGAGGGCGCGAGGGCACGTGCTGTTGGGTTAGACTGAGTCAAAACCAAACGAAACAGTGCACGACAGCCACTACTTGCGCCTGTGCACAAACCCACCTACTACATACTTAACAACTTCGAACCGGACAGCTGAGCAGCAACAGCAGCATGTCATTGCATTTAAACGGCCAGCAGCGGGGCTTCCCAGGCGCCTGAGCACCTCCACAATGTCCTTGGCGTGCCAGCGGCTCCACCCTTTCACGACGACGACCCGAAATCTGCCGTTCTCACCCACACGCGCCATCGTAACTGCGCGCGTCGCAAAGACATGCTGTCCGTGAACCGTTGAGCGCATGAAGGTACTACATGTTCAGAACTCACGTGTAGCCATCCGGCTGCTGCAACACTCATCATCGCTACCAATACGCGCCACATGCTGCAAGACACGTAGTCGCTAGCGACATGCTCCACATAAACACATCCACAATGTGCGCTAATGAACTGTTGCGACCAGGTCTTGGTCCATACGCAAGAGGCCTAAGTGTACACTGCTAGTACCACGCGTATCCCAGACGCGTTGCCCCACCTGGCGGCCTTTTTAGGTACTGGTATTTCCAGAAAAAACATTCCGCTCGGTACCGCCACCCCAAAACGTCGGCTAAGTACTTCTCCACAGAAATGCTCCTGCTTTTATTGGAAAAAAGTTATCATCGATAGGACAAACCGCTTAGCCGCACGTAACACTGGAGACCTAGTACGGCAGCTCCCCTAAGCCCAGATTTTAACGTCTCGGTGCGACACAGCTCCGCAGACTTTACGTTAGGCACATGTTGTAGCCCCTCGAGCAGTCGAAAAAGGGTCGTGTAATGTACAAAACACCCTAAACCCCAAAACACCCTAAAATGGTTATACCACATATGTAAGTGAGGCTCGATGAGGATCGATTATCATAACAAGACCTACCTCCACTCAATCACCTAGGCGTTAATAAGCCTGGTGCAACATAAAATGCCATTTACAGCGACACGTAATCAATCGGCATGTAGATCTTCAGTTACCTCACCAGCCGAGCCATCATCTGTCAACACGAAAACCAGTTCCCAAAGAATGCCAGTGCAAAGCAAGAGCCCGTATCCATGCATGCATGCAAGCCCCTAGTTGCAGATTTGCGCAGCTGGGAGGGGCGGCCACCACCCACCCGCAACCTTCGCAGCACACCGGACGGCAGCCCAGCTTATCGCGAAGGTAGCTCACAGGGCTAACGAGAGACCCATGGGTCGCTTCTGCACCCCACTCCAAACAAATTCGTCAGTAGCAGTATATTGTTGTCCACCCATACCCATGCTTGAATAAAACACATGCACATTAACCTATGTTCAATCTCACATGTACCTGGCTATCACCGCGTCAATTCAATTACGTTGACTGCACCCCCACTACACGACGATTGCGCCGCCTCAACCCACACCACAACACACCTTGTTCCCTGCCAGGACCCCAGCTTCTCTTCGCACGCAAGGTCAGGAGCTCTCCATGTGTCACCATGCTTCTTTCTCCACGCGTTGTCGTCTTCGCCTTTCCCTCTTTGATCTTCCCGTCAGCCTCATTCCCAGCCACTCTCTTTCGCACTGCTCTTAACCACCTTTCCTCCCGCAGCGCCTCCTCATTCCCATCGGCTGCTTTTTCATCATTTCCGCTTCCTGCCTTCAAACGCCTTCAAACGCTATGCCTGCCGCAACACCACCGCCCTCCTGCTCCAACCCCGGCTGACACAAGGACCAGCACCGCTGCCATCACAGCACCGCTGCCACCAGCACCGCTGCCATCACAGCACCTGACAACGGTATAACGGTACCCGTAAACGGTACAACGGTGTTGCTCTCCCCGAATCCTCGTCATCACCGCTTGCCCTGCAGCGGCAGAGGGCATCAAGGCTAATGAAACACACGGGGTGGTGGGGTAGACGAATGCATGTCGGCAGGGAGAAGCACTGGAACTACAAGGGTTTAGGGTTTTAGGGCGTAAAGTGCAACACGACTCGAACGATGAACGTGGCATTCAAACGCTGTCTTGCCGCCCGGTCAAACCTTCCAACATGTATGTACACCCCCACGGAGGGACACCTCAAGAGACTAGGCTTGTCCTGCAGACCCGTAAGCAGCCGCCCAAACCCAACATGTAGGGCCCTACTCCCCACCGCAGCCCCTCCTAGCACTGCGGCCCCTCCTACTGTAGCCCCGCCCTCGTACCGTGGAGCCGCCCGCCGCCGCGAGCACCGCACTTGCACGTATCCACTCATGCTGTAACAGCTCTTGCGCAGTCGGGCGGTCGCCGGGGTTCTCAGACAACGCACTGAGCACAAAGTTGCGAGCGGCCAGCGAGAGGGAGGCCGGGAAGTGCAGCTGGGAGCTGCTGGAGCTGGCCCCACGGCTGGATGATGACCCATGGGTCTGTCCAAGGTGCTGCTGCTGGGGGGTGGCTGCTGGTGTGATCATGGGAGGGAAGCCGACAAGCAGCTCGTAGGCTAGGACCCCGGCAGCCCAGATGTCTGCACATGGGGGCGATGTACCGGGATATGTGGGTAGGTAGGTGTACATGGGTAGTATATGTATATAGGGGTGTCATGTTTGACTAATGGAGAGACCCACGGGCAGGAAAACGATGTTACGGATACACACACAGGGCAGTACGTTCCTACTCGCGGCCAGTTTTCTTAACACACACGGCAATCACAGTACGTTTCGCCTCGCGGCCAGTTATTTTAACACACAGAGGGTAACATGGTCACCTCTGTTCTGCCTGTACTCGCGGTTCACATGCGAACCTCTCCCAATTGCTTGCTCTTATCCTACTCAACTACACACAGGGTAACATAAACCTACCGGCAAGCAGAACCCCTTTTGCTCCTAATGTCCTAAACAACACCCAAACATCACATCACATGCCAATCACAATCCTCACACGATTCCCACACCACACCCCGATCTCCACCATCACCCCGAGACTGAATGTTCGGAAAGTGTGTGCTCACCTACAGCCGAGGTGTAGGCCAGCGATTCGTCCTCCTTGTTGTCCTCCGGTCGGGCCTTCAGCGGGCATCGGCTGACCTCGGGCGCCATGTAGTCCACGGTGCCCGCGCGCGTGACCGCCCGCTCCTCGCTCAGGTTGATGGACACCCCAAAGTCCGCAACCTTGAGCACCCACTGGTCCGTGAAGAGGATGTTCTCGGGCTGCAGGAGGTGGTGGTGGTGGCGGTGGTGGCGGCGGTGGTGTACACAGCAGGTGGGGGGTCAAAGACCATAGAACCAAACCGTAAGAAGGAGCCACAGGTTAGGGTTAAACAATGGGGATAGGAGGCGGCAGGTGGGGGTAGGGTTGTGCGTGCGGGCTTGAGGGCTCTGGGTGTATTAAGAAAACTCCAAGAAAACTGGGTGTGTAGTTGAGTAAAACAAGAGCAAGCAGTGTGTGTTAAAATAACTGGCCGCAAGCAGTGTGTGTGTGTGTGTGTGTGGAGCCGTGAGGTAGCTTGATGGGCCTGGTTACCCTCAGCAGGCGGCGGCAGCTGTCACCTTGGCTTGCAACCGGGTAGCCCGGCGGCAGCTGCTGCTCTGGCACGCACGCCGCTCCCCCCCTTCTACCAACCGGGTTTAAACCCCAACCTACCCACATTTCCCTCCTGCCTCCCTCCCCCTGCTCTTTCTCCCCCCCCCACCTTTATGTCCCGGTGGCAGATGCCGTGCGCGTGCAGGTAGGCCAGCGCCTCCAGGAAGGGCCGCAGCACCAGCTCGGCCACCTGGGGGGGAGGGGGGCGAGGGAGGGTGGGGAGGGGGGGTGGTGTGAGAGCAGGCGGAGAGGGAAGGGCAGGAAGGAAGGGTGATCGGACTCAACCTAGGTATGGGGCGACGATTGATGCGTGGCGGCAAGGTAGATGTGATCAGGGGCGCTGCTGCATGCGCCACCCCCACCCCCCTTACCTGCACCTCCGTCATGCGGCCCCCCAGCTGCCGGGTGATGTGGAACAGGTCCCCCCGCGCCGCCCACTCCTGCACCAGCACGATGCGCGAGGAGGCGTCCAGGAAGGCGGCGTGCAGCGACACCACGTGCGGGTGCACGAGCGCGTGGTGCAGCTCGATCTCGCGCTGGGAGTGACAAGGGGGGCGGGGAAGGGGAAGCAAGCAGGGGTTGAGCAGGAGAGGGGCGTGAAAGAGTGCCGGGAAGACCGGCGAGGTAAGGGGGGCGGGGGCAGTAGCAGGTAGGAGGGGGTGAAAGGGTGTGTTAAGGATGTACTGTACGGTATCAGTCGAAGGTCGGGGAGGTAGGAAGTGGATGATGGGAGCTGCGGGCTGGTGGGCTGCACGGATGACCCATGGGTCGCGTCGTCGCAACATACCTTGATCATGTGCACCACGTTGCGAGGTACCCGGTTCAGGAAGTACACCTGCGCATGTGACAGCGGCAGCAACAGCAGCAAACAGCAGACGTGGCGGCGACGACAACCAGCTCAGCAACGGCAGCAGCAAGCAACAAAGGCAACACGACCAGCAGTAGCAGCAACAACAACAACGACTACAATACAACCGGGCAGAGTGTCAGACAAGCAGCCGGTTGGTAATGACAAGACTCCTACAGGGGCAACCCTCAGCCATTTAGTAAACCCGCCAATAAACCCTCCCCCTCCCCCCCCCACGTCCCGTTCCCCACCTTGAGTGCTACGGGCATCCCGGATCGAAGACACGTCGCCTGCAGGGAGGGGAGACACGGCAGGAAGCAGCGGGGTCGGAGAGGAACCAGGCCGAAAGGAGGAGGCGTGTCACTGAGGCTGCGTAAAGGTGGAAAAGGGCAAACAGAACCGGGCAAATAGAAGTACGAACTAGAAGGTACTCTCGAAGGCCAAGGCACGCGGTTGAGAGGGAATGCCTACCTTGTAAACGCTGTCATCAGAGGGAACGGCAGCAAGCAGCAACCGCCAATGGTACGGTGGGGTAAGGGGCGAGGAGGGATAAGGGGTGTGGGGCAAGATAGGGCAGAGGTCAGCGAATGTGGAGTTGGTGGATGATGGGCCCAGCGCGTTTTGCAGCAATACAGATGGAGAAAACAAGGGGTTGTCACCCCTTGTCAGTTATCTGAAAGCTGGATAAGGGCGAGGCCCCTTGGTGCGGATTGGAACTGAGGATGAATAACCGTACGACGGGATGCCGCTCGTGAGGCGTACGACATCCCGATTACCTACCTTGCAGACGCTCCTTTGTACAAACGTTTAATGATTTGGTAGTCCTCCAAGCACCAATCACGACGACGCATGGCGCCCGGAAGGGCTGGGTTGATTGCCAACATGGTTGAGGAGGAAGGCGGACCACAGGCTGGAGGCATAGACGATAGGGTAGGAGCTGAATAAGGAGGTGGAAGCGCATCTGGTGTGGATGGATAGGGTACCGAAGACGCCAAAGTCGTCGCATTAGGCGAGACATTGCTTACAGCCTCAGGCCGGTCCGAGCCACAGCTGCTTAGCCCACAAGAATGAGATGTTAGTGCAGTAGACGGCGAAGATGATGTCTCTGGAGATGGTGATTGCTGAGGACGCGCTGTAGTTGGCGGTTGCGACATAGCGACACGTGGCCCGCACGTGCCACGTACGTTGCAACATACGCCAGAGCTTCCGCACTGCAAGTTGCAATCTTCGTTTTCGCGATGAGGGAAACCTGGTCGTTCCTCAATTTCCGGAAATGGCGAGCAGGGAGAATGTGGTTCGATGGGCGGGCTGCTGCCAAGGCCACCATTGCGTACACTGCCACCCCGCAGGATTGCGGCCAAACGATGGCTGCGTGAAATGTCGGCAGACGCCATTTTCGAAATGGAATTGGGCAGCGAGGTAGCCAGGGTCGCCGAGGCCAGCTCCGGAGTAGAAAGCGCATGGGCCAGACCATTCCGCTGAGAGGGGTCGCTCTCTGAGCGCACACCATCAGCATTAGAGTGCCTCAAAGAGTTGCCAGTGATCAACATACCAATGCGCTTGAGGTTCTTCAGGAGGCCTCCCTTCTTTTTCCCAGTAGGGCTGCTGGAACTGGTCAGTCCATCTACGCAGGTCGGAACCATTTCATCGCCCCTCCCAATTGGTAGGTGCGGTGAGGATCCGTGACGACTTATCACTGGCGTGTGCCCGAGCCCAGACGACATGACTTTTGTCTGCGCTTAGAGGGTAAGGTAACTGGGGCTTTAGCGCGCCCAGGCACAAAGCCGCGTTTATAGTACGAGCCTGCGCAGGATTGAGTTCAAGCGTAAATTGTAAGGTTAGTGCTTGCTTGCGCGCAGCGCGACGCAGCGAACGTTCTTCTGCATCGCGAAGCAATCAACGACGGACAAGAAGCGCTGCACCACCAAACCCCAAACACCTAACAAGGATTCAGACCCCTCCAGCCCTACCGTATGGCTGCCCTAGAAACTTGGTCAGCTGTCGACACACGTTGAAGACTTGAGTAGCGACCGTGTGAACGTGTGCGCTAGGTAGCGCTGTGGCGCCCGAAACGTTTTGTGCTGTGTATGTTTCCTGGTTTTTGGCGGGCGTAAGCAACACGTTGAGGATAATTCCAACTGTTGCGTACAGTAAGGAGCTTTGTCCTGGACTAATACGTCGCAAGATAACCAGTGTAGAAATGCCAGGATTCAAGCTATTGAACTTATGTATATTTATGGCAGAGGTTCTTCCAATATATGGTTACGAGCTTACGACGAGTAGTTAGGGTTGTACAATAGGGCTTAGGTACTTAGGACCCTAATGTAGCTTGGACCGAAGGAGTGCTTCGGTTTCTTCCGAACAGCAAACACCCTATTACAATACAAAGACAGTGAAGTCAACATGCCGTTGTGTCACACTTTTGTCCAGTGCCGCGCGGATGGCCTACCTTACCCGAGCGAACGTCGCGACGGTGCGTCGGCGGCCTGCTTGAACCTGCTTCATCTTGTCAAGGGCATCAGCAGCATTGATACTACATCAACTAATACTTCTTCTTCCTACTATGCGACGATAGTAGGGTAGTTACAGTTGCAATCCCGGTAGTGATGAGGTAGACAACACGGCGGCCTGTTCTGTAACGGTCATTCACTTAAGAAGAGCTCTAGCTTTGTTGTCATTCCCCTCGACCGCCCTGCTAGTGGACCCTGCTGTCCTCATCGGCTCCCGTGAGTACCAACACGCCGCCGCTCACCCGACACGCGCCTAAAACGGGGTCCCTGTGCGTGCACGCAGCGGAAGGCCACTGTTGTCACCGCCCGCCAGAAGCCGTACCGGGGGGTTACCGCATGTGTGGGTTTCAGGGAAATCTTGCGAGGCCATGCAAAGCAACGCCAGTGCTAATTGCCTCTTAAACTATACCGCTTATGGCTGTATGAACATGCCGGCAACGGGGCGCGACATGGCGTTACAGTAATTGCGATGGTTGCACGTGTCAGCAGCGCACAAACTGGCATCCGGGTCATGTTGGACTGATGGGGGCTGGGGCACCTACCTAGCACACAGTTATTAGTTGGGCTAAGTATGACGGACTACAGGTCTACAGCACAACCCCATTCCATCGTGAACGAACGAGTTGGCGGCCAAGGTAAAGCGCAGCGCCGCGACTGACACTCAATTGTGACCTTGGTGTTGTTGCCGTTGTATTGCCCTAACGTATGTACTGCATCATATGGCATTGCCGGCACTGCAAACGTAGGACACACCCCTCCTATCGTCATGGTTTGGCTGATTCAGGCCTGGCGGGACGGGCCGGCTGTCATGTTGCGACCCGGTTAGTTTGTTTCTTCCTCTTTACCCCTGTCGTGCCCCGTTGATGGCTCGTGCATTTCGTGGGCAAGGTGGGTGTCCGTTAGACCATGCACCATGGGCTCTCGAGAGCGACGGTAGGGTTTAGCGCTTGGTTGGATAGGTTCAAGTTGTTGCAGGTATCACTAACGTTGCAGTTGTGGCTCCTTTGGCTCCGGGTGCTAGTGGCATTAGGGTACGGCGTATCTCGCATCTTTGCCGTACAGCCGTCGGTGTTCTTAGGTCGCGCAGCGCCCCGGCCAAGGGGTTGCGCTGCGATCAAATAAGAGATGCAAGAATGTAAGAGACGTGGATCTACTCCGTGCTCGAAGTGGAGGTAGAAGCTGGTCTTGCATATGCGCGACAGCGTTGCCATAATAAGGGAAGCGTGGTAACACGCGTTGCAGTAGCATAGAATAGCAGCCAGTTCAGTCACTAGATCATCCAGTTCCCCGTGGGCCTGGTCAGCCTGCGGCCCAGCCGCCTTGCTTGCAGCCGGTGCCCAGCCCGGAATGCGAGGCCGCTGGGCAGCGCAGCTCGCCCTCTACCCAGGGCTCGAGCGCGCGCCTTCCTATTTTCCTTAGGGAGGTTTCCAGGGAACAAGTCCGGACCCCAGTGCCCAAGTTTGGCCAAGCCAACGATGGGGCACGACACCCCTCCGTCAGGCGCCATGGCGGAGCCTTGTCACGACCTCCGAGGGTGAATTCCTTCCTCCATAAACCCCGTCAGCTGCAGTTGTACGGCAGTGGCATGGCAGCTGTGGGGCTGTCGGCTGGAGTACCTTGTTGTAGGTTGGGTTGACGCTGGACTGGGAGCGGGGGGGGGCTGCCCATGCGCTGGAATCCTGAGGGCCCGGGAGACGGGCCGAGGGTGCTCCCGCTGGGGTATCGTACCGCTGTCCCACTGCCGTACATAGCGCTTTGGGTAGGATTTAGTATCGCGCTTGGGAGGCTTCGAATTGCATGGGTTGTGAGCCGACGTGCATGTGGAGTAGCAAGGCAGCACGTGTAACGGCGAGTGAGTGGCTGATGCATCGGACCACACATGGAGCTTAGCAAGTCCCAGACCGCCCGTTGTGCACCCGTGCCTGCTCAGGAAACCTCCGTGTAAGTTGTAAAAGGCAGTACAGTCCCACGTGATAACTGCTGAACTTGGCGTGTGCCTGGCGCCCTAACGCGCCCTAAGCCGTCCTGCTCAGGAGACATACCACATATCAGCAAGAACACGCGTGGATCGACCGCACAGCAATAATACATTCGCAAGACAGTTGGCTCGCAAGTCTGCCTAATCTGCCGGCCTAGTCTGGCTCCGGTCGGAAGGTCCCTGTACAAACTGTATTTAGCAACAGTGGTCGTAGCAGCAGCAAACCCCATGCATGTCGACATGTGGCTAACTGAGCCGGTTCTCTTGCGCTTCAACCATAAGACTTGAGCATTGCAGCAGAATGTCTTGTGAGAAGGTCATTGAAAGGCTAAGTAACGGTTGCTTTTGCTGAGTCGAGTGTGCCGGTGCCAGCGAAAGCGTCGAGTCACCCCAGGATTGTGAAATAAGTAGTCGTGAAATGAGCACCAAAACTTAACATGCTGAACGCAAGAGATCGCCATATAAGCGGCCAGGTTGGAGCCTCAGAATGGAGGTTGTCATTGCCGTACGCTGAGTGGACAATGTATCAGCTGAGTTAATTTCTTATGCCTATGCTAAAGTTGTACGTGCTACTGATACATATAACTAAAATGGGGCCTCTTATAGGCGTGTCCACAGGGGTTCCGTAAGAGAGTCTCACCGTCTTGCCTGTCCCCAGAAAGATGGCTTTCCTGGCCTTAGTGAATATAAGAGGTCTTTTTAATACAGTTACTGTAACTCTTCTGCTGCATGCGGCTCAGGCAGCTATTGACAATGCAACCGCAAGCAACTCGAGAGAATTCTTTACCCTCCTAGGCGTGCCAGGAGTTACAGCTATTACATTGAATAACGACATCTCCCTTGACGCCGCGGATGCCCCGGCTTATCCAGTCAACCTGACGACAAACCTGTCCATTTTTGGGGTACCTTTGCCAGGATACCTTACTCGGCTGAAAGGTTCGAAGCTCGTTTGGTAGTCTTCATTTGCCTTTCATTAGCGGTACCCTCTGCCTAACACCCTCTTTGCTTTCTTGTTTGTTTGGGGTATAGCTAACTACATCGCGAACAAGATACGCTTGCAGCAGGGAGTCACGCTGTCATTTGTCAACATCATTCTGTCAGGGACCTTGAGAGGGTAGGTATGGCCAGGGCATACACAGGGGCGCAGGCTTGCGTCCGGGATTAGAAGCCTTACAGTTGGCATGGACCAACGCTGGCCCAAACCCAACCGCATCCCAACTGCCTACGCAGGGTGGGCCAGCACGTGGACCTTCTCACACGCTCGGACGGCGGAGCGGTGGTGTACGTAAACACAATCAACCACCGTACGGCATGGTACGACAAGCAGCTGCTGTACATACTTCACAAAGCTTTTAACATAGTGAATTCTTTTTGAAACAACTGCTGCCGCAACAATAATACGCCTGCCTTGTGGCCTCTCACCTGCAACGTTTTCTTCACCTCACATCCAAAACACGTGGCTTCTCAGTTCTTTCCTTTCACCCTTACCAACTCCATCCCCAACTAAACCCCACCCTCCCGATGTCACCCACAGCCTCCCTTTCGACGTCTTCATAGCGCAACTCGCATCGCTTCCGGCGCCCCTCGCATCCGCCGGAGTAGCCGACCCGCCCGGCCTCACCCCACGCAACTTCCACGCGCACTACGGCAACGACAGCAGTGGACCGCTGTGCTGGCTGGACGTACCAACCCGCCAACGCCAATGCAGAACTCCGTACATCTCCATGGTATCGTACGGCGCATATAACGAGATCTTCCAGGGAGCGGTTGGCAGCAACGGCGGCTACAACTCCTTTTTCACCAATTCCTACGGCTTTTGCGACCAGGCTGTTAGCTACGAGTGCCTCTCAAAGATGGGCGGGGACTTGTGTTTGGCTGCCGCGCTGACGCAGCTGGTGCCGGAGGTGTTTGGCGCAAGCGGTGGGAACAGCAGCAGCGCTGGTAATGCAACAGAGCAGGCGGCTAGCGGAACAGAGGGCGGCGGGCTGCTGGTCGGTCAGAAGCGAACAGCGGTTGGGCTGTCAGTTGGCCTTGGAGGTAAGCGGGCCGGAGGGGCTTGAGGGATGGGAGGTGCGGTGCGCTATTGCTGAGGGGCATTGGGATTAGGGGTCCGGCGCGTGGGGGCATGTGGTGAAGAGCGGGCGGCCTCCTCCCTGATGCGTGTATTGCCTTCCATGCGGCCCCCTGCACCTCACACCACCAACCACCCACCCCCTTAACCACGCCATCCTGCCGTACGCCATGGCATCCAGCCGCCCCTTCCCCTTCAACCCCTGCCTCCTCTCCTTCCTCTCCAACACCCCCTCCCCTCCCCACCCACACCTCCAGGCGCGCTGCTAGCCGTGCTGCTGGTGGGCCTCTCCCTGCGCTCGCACTGGCACCGCCGCCGCCAGCTGGCCGCCGCCTCCTCCGCCTCTGCCAAGGCAGGGGCAGCTGCTGCTGGCGGTGAGGGCGGCATCATGATGATCGGTCGCTACAGCCCCTCCGGCGACACCACCGGAACCGCCGCCGCGGCGGAGGAGGGGGGAGCAGGTGGCGACTTGCTGCGCGGCAGCGGGTCCGTGCTGCTAGACCTGGAGGCTGCAGGCGGGGGCGGTGGCGGCATGAACAGCGGCAGCAGGAGCAGGAGCGGACTGACGGTCACGGCAAGCAAGCTCAGCGCGAGCGCGGGAGGCGGAGGAGGAGGGAGCTACAGGGGGGTGTCGGTGTCGGTGGGAGCGGCTTTGCGGGGAAAGGAGAAGAGCTTGACAGCCAGGAGCGGTGGCGGTGGGGGTGGCACGGCAGGAGGAGGTGGCGGTACGGCGGGCAGCAGTCCGAGCAGCAGCGGGGCGACGCTGCGGGCGTCCTCTCTGACCGCGCCGCCCACTGGGGGGCCCGGGGGAGGGGCGGTGGTGTCGGCGGCGGGTGCGTTGCAGCGCAGTGGTGGCACAGCGGGAGCAGCGGCTGCTGCTGGTGCTTCGGGAGCGGAGGGAGTGGCAAGCGGCAAGCCGGGTGGGTATTACACGAACGTATGCATGGCCTGATGTGATGGACGGGAGGGGGGAGTGCATGGGGGGCAGCGAGGCGCTGAGCAGCAGGTCCCTCACAGGAGGAGGGGGGAAAGGAAACACCAAACCACAAGTAAGGGCAAGAATACATGGATATGAGAGGCGGCAGGGTGCCGCAAAACAGGTGAAGGGAGGGTTAGCGGCGCTTACCGGAACCGAGTTCCCCGGGGCTAGCAGTGAAGCAATTCCCAGCGCGCTGTGAATAGCTGCATTATAAATACCTGGGTGTATGGGTGCCACATGGGTTGGCCCACCCTGCTGACCGCCTGGCTTCCCGTCGTGCCGCCGCAGGTCTGGTTGAGGTGGAGGCGGCTCGTCGCAACCTGATTGCCAATGCGGCCAAGGGCGGGCGGGGGGCGCCGCTGGAGGTCAAGATACTGCAGCTGCTGGGACAGGTAGGGTGGGGGGTGGAGAGGAAGGGAGGGACGGGCGGTTGGGGAGGTAAAGAGGAGGAAGGAAAAGGGGTGATGTTGTGGGTTCGTGGGTGAGGGCGGTATGTGGCGCTGGCTGCCCGCTTCTGTCGCTTCTCACGCCCCCGTCCACTTATTGCACCCCTTCCCCGCCTGACCCCATCTCCGCCCGCCTCACCTCTGCTCACGCCCACCCCCCGTCCAGGGCTCCTTCGGCAAGGTGTACAAGGGTGAGCGCGTGGGGGCGGGGGCGGGGGCGTGCTGGGAGGTGGCCTGGGGCCTAGGTGCTCCGCTGCGGGACAGCTGCCACCTGCTGCTGCAGCTGCCCTCCTCTCTTCATCCCTGCTGCCCTCCTCCCGCCTGCGAAGTACCCCTTTCCTCTTCATGATTCCTCCCCTCCCCTTCTCCTGCCCCTCCCCCCCCAGGCGTGTGGCACGGCACGCTGGTGGCCCTGAAGGCGCAGGTGCTGCCCGCCTCGCTGAGCGGCGATGCGCGGCGGCGCCACATGGCGGTCATGGAGGCCGCCATCAGCTCCGCCATCAACCACCCGGCCATCGTGCAGACCTACAGCTACAGCTTCCGACCCATTCAGGACAGCGTGGGGAAGGTCATGGGGTGAGTCGGGGGAGGGGCGGAGCACGAGCGGGAGTGGAGTTGCCCGGTCTGGCTTATGGTGCGTATGGTGCTGGGCTCTGATGTCGGCCCTTTGGGGGTGTCTGTTGTAACGGTAATTCGGTGTCCTTGCAGGAGGCGCGGCAAGTCGAGGGCCATTCCCGAGGAGCCTGAAGAGGGCGAGCAAGGTACGGAGTTGGAAGGACCTAAAACGCCAATTCCGTGCGGTGTGTTGAGTCGCTGTGCTGCAACTGAGGCGCTGTGCTGCGCCTGTACCGCTTCGAAAGGTGCTGCGCATGCTCCTCCCTGTCGCCAGCTGGAGGAGATCGAGAGATCGAGCTAACCTCTTTTTCCCCGGCCCACCCGACACCTCCCCACCCACACCCCACATCCCTGACCTGCTGCCCTCTTCTACCATGCCCTGTGCTGATTGCCGCGTTGCCGTGTTGCCGT